CAATGGGGCCTCGCTCAAGTTCAATGAACAGCTCAAGGACAGCTTGGACCCGAATGGCATCCTCGCCCCGGGAAAGAGTGGCGTCTGGCCTAAGCGGCTACGCGGGCGAGGATTTGAAATCCAGCGGACCCAGCCGTATATGGCAAAAGATAATGGTGCCGCCGCCGCTGCCTTGTCTTTGGGACGGAAGGAGGCCGAGCCAGGCGAGGACATCAAAGACACAGTTGACAAAGGGACACTCACGGGACAGCTGCCCCTAAGATTGTAGAAGGGGACAACATTTTGAGCCATGATGAGGTTTTGGTTGCGACCAAAGTCACCACCTCCTACGAGTCTTGCAGTAGTTCTACCGCAGTACTAGTAAAGCTAATCACCGTTCTATCTTCTCTGCTGGGAATCGCCGCATGCAATGTATGCCCCCAGGTTGCCCCCGAAGCAGGAGAAAAACCTTCCCGTCCCGTTTGTGAGAATTGACAGGAATCAATCTGCAACTCAATAGAAGCAGGGCCCCACATAGAAACCCAGCAGACCCTCAAAAAGGCTAGTCATCAAAATCATGTGGAGACGGGTTGAAATAACCACCCATCTCCCCTGCGACAGTCAAGGCTGGAGACGCTTAAGGCTACTCCTCAAGGGGGCAACTTGCCGAGAACGAGGCAAGGACAAGGTAAACACGTCCACTTCCAGCCTTGACATAGAGGGACCAAAGCGCCAGTCTTCCGGCGCAGAGTCTGCTCAGACTCAAATGTAGAGGGGTCTCTTTGTGTCCTTTGAGGAACGAAGGGGTCAGATGTCTATGCCCCGCGAACCTCTCTTAGAACCTCGCACATGCAATCACTCTATAAGACGAAGATAGAGGAGGATTAGACCCTCTGAATAAGCAAATTTGTGGCTATGTCTCTAGAGGTTGTGGTTGGATCCACGTAGTGTACTGGTCCATTGTCATTATTACATACATCGACAGTGCTCCGATATTGCTCTTGTTTGCGCCAGAACATTTTCAATCAATGTCGATGCCGGCATAGGTCTTGAGCCAGCCCCGAGGCGCGTCCGGTGCGAAGAATAGCTCGCCGCTCTTGGTACTTCTGGTGATGAGATCGATGGCACGAGGGACCATCAGCCTCTCGTACTCTGAAACGGCGCCACCGAGATCATCCAGTCCGTGCTTGACGATCTGCTGGGCTAGCTGGAGACTGTCCGTCATGGCACAGTTGACTCCTTCGCCGACGAAAGGCGTGCTGATGGTGTCGTCAGTTAAATGCTCGCAATGGCGGTTGTAGAAATGTTACAGGGTATCCCATCTTACCTTAGGTGCGCAGCGTCTCCTACCAGAGTAACACCATACACCGTCTTCCACGGCAACGATTCGGTCGGCATGGCGTACAGCGGCCAGGCATAACACCTCCCATCGCCGTGTTTGATCAGGTCCATGTGCAACTGCGGCCAGCCCGCGAAGTGATCGTTTTGCAGCAACTGGCAGAGCGCCGACGGGTTCTCGAGCACACCCGCGTTCTCCGAGCTCCAACCCTCAGGAAGGCGCAGTCCCACGCCAACATAGTAGGAACCGTCGCCGAGCTTGAGAGCAACGATTTGCTTCCCCTCGCCGAAGGCTATGTAATGCCCTGTCCGGCCAGAGAAGCGGCGGATGGGTGAAAAGGATTGCCTGGACTGATCGTCGTGGTCAAATAGTGCAGTCCAGAGTATTGAGGTTTGGCGGATGTGACCTGTTTACCGTCAAGTCTCTAAATCCAGATATCAAGACAGGAGACTTACGAGACTTCTGGCCTTCGACCATGCCCCATCCGCACCGACGACGAGCCGGAACCCTGACTCGATGCTTCCGTCCGCGAAACGCACAGACATGGAGCTTTCGGTGTCCTGCTGCACCTGTTGCACCTTCATGCCCCAGCGGACCTTGTTCGCCGGCACTGAGGTCAGGAGCAAGGCTCGTAAGTCCTTGCGGTCGATCTCCGGTCTGTCCTCGTTGACCTCGTCGCTTGCACCGGTCCGGACGTACACTTTGCCGTGACCATCGGCGAGTACCGTGTGCGCGTCGCCACGGGCGACTTTCTTGAATTCATCTAACAAGCCGGCTTCTCGGAGCGCCATCTGACCAGAGTCGGCGTGAATGTCGAGGGTCCCGGCGCGCGAAGAGGTCTCATTGCCCGACACATCTCGCTCAAAGATGATGTAGTCAATGTTGGCGAGTTCGAGCATGCGACCGAGTGTCAAGCCACTAGGGCCAGCGCCGAGGATAGCAATAGGCGGTGCCATGGAGGGGCCACTTTGGACGTGTCGAAAGGAAGCGGAGGATTCATTCCCAAGATCTCTATACCAAGTGCCATCCTTTATAGCAGGCTAGGGATTGCATTGCGCTCAGTGCAATTTACCCACGAGGCGGTGTTGCCGTCATACATTAAGCTCCGTAAGCTCCGACGGAAGATACTCGGGGCTTAAACTGTCTTTATGTCCAGAAATATACTTCATCATCAGTAACGCTGGGGCGGCCATTTTGTTCCCATCTCACAACCACCCCAGCAACTGGATCATGTTGGAGCCTCTCGCCCCATATGCTGTAAGTTCCTATCAATCACGACCGATTGAGAACTTCTGACTCACTGGAATGGCGGTGGGAGTGCGATAAGTGCCGATCTCGCAAGGTATGTGTATCCTATCCATTTCAAGGACCCAGGACCGCATTGACTAATTTGTAGGTTGCTTGTTCTCGGGGCCGTCCAGAATGTCAGCGTTGCAAAGATGAATCTGTTGTCTGCACCTATTCGCGATCGGGTGTTATTCGCCGCAACAGGAAGAGGAAACACGACAGCGCTGTTACTGAGGGGCCTTTCTCTGTCGCAGTCACTCGCAACCATGACTGTGAAGCGAACTCCAGCAGTCTGCAGTCCAGCCTCGCTCCTGACATCGAAGTAACCCGAGAGCGTCTGCGCGGGTTTGGCGCGTCACCACACAATTCAATGGGTGCGCTGTCATCTCTAGCCGAAACATCTGCAGCCGTCTGGCACGATGCCTTGAAGCTTGATAAGATCAATAACAGCTTTTACTTGTTCGAAGATCGGGCAACCTCCTGGGTCGATGGTAAGAGCGGTGATCTTTGCGCTGTCGGACACAGCTGATATCACTTACCAAAGCATTCGAGGCCGAGTTGAAACGAGATCGTCCCTTTTCTATCACACCGCCACCAGCAGTGCTGGGCCACTTGAGAGCATCTCGCCCGGAACAGGTGCAGGACAGAGCTTGGCTAGTCATGTATTATGGCATCATGCTCAACCTCGTTGCTGCTACTGACCCCAAGGACGAACCCACAAAAGCAAAGCTTCGATGCAATCTCTGGCTCGCCCTCAACGACGCAAGGCTCCTCCTCGAACCTAGCGAACTGAACATCCAGGCTTTGATTCTGCTCGCTCTCGACGTTGAGGAGTTTACCAACCCATCGCTTTGCTGGATGTTGGTCACAAATGCCTGCAGAATGCTACAGGCGTTGGGAGTGAACCATCGTCGTTTCGACCCTCAGACCCGGGACCGGCGCGTCGTGATGTTTTGGCACCTGAACCTCGTGGACATTGGACTGGCTCTCATCTTTGGCAGAACTCCCACATTCCACCGCGGGATGGCGAGAGAGATGCCGCTGCCCACACTCAACCAGCTCTTGTCCTTTCAGCCCAAAATTGACTCCTCTGGCGCACCGGCTCTGTTCGGAGTGCGTAAGTCGGCTCTCGAATGAAATCTGAATGGCAAAGGTAACCTGAAACAAGAGAAAAAGGCTGACATGGGTTTCAGATTATATCCACCAAATGTTTCTCCTGTCACGTATAATGGCTGATATCTGGTACTGTCTTCACGAAGAATCAATGCCCAACGATCAGAGCATCGAATCAACAAGCGAAGATCTCGAGTCCTGGTACCTCCAGGCACAACGGGTGTGCAAATATCTCAGCAAGGCTGTTTTCCCCAAAGGCTGACATGGTCTGCAGATTCTCGAGGCTGCCGCCCTGGCAGAGAAGCCCTTTCTCAGTGCTAATGATGCTGCTTCCTTTGACCTGGCTCTGAGCAGCGTTAGCTTCCAGTACGAGTATCTTTATATCCTCCTCACTCGATCTTCCACCCAGAAGAGAGCCGAATGTATCGAGTCGTCAAAACGGATGCTCCATTTACTTGAGAATATGGTGTCGGACTCCGAGGCACCATCTAACGGCATGGTATGGCACCTTTTGTGCGGTCCTTTCACGCCGTTCTTGGACCTTTTCGGAGAACTTCTTTCGAGTGCCGAGGACGGATCAGAAGGGAAAATGGGAGCTCTTGAAGCCATGGAACATCTCCCGGTCTTTTTGGACAGGATGAGCTCGAGGAACTCGCTTGCGGCCAAGCTGAAGAGCGTCGCCATGGTTCTAGTGCAGCATGCCAGATCTGTGGTCCAATCTCAAGGTATGTGCGACTCTGAGCACATCTGACCCAGAAAAAGTGTGGCTGACCAGCATTACTGTCTCGAGAAGTTCGCCCTGCCGATACACTGCCCGGCCCAACCCTAGCAGAGACCTTGCCCGATCAATGGCCAGCACCCACAAACATGTTAGACTGGGAGTTATTCTTCAACCATACCATTGCACCACCTGTACCAGGTCATCCGCCGCCGGAGAACTACGATGCCGAGCCGAGTGACTTGACAGCATGGACGAGTGACTTCTTCGACAACGGTTTTGCGGACTGGGTTGGGTGGGATGCTCAAGTCTGAGATTCTCAGCGGAAGCTATCATCAAAGAATTGGCGAGAACAGCCCCTGAAGTAGAAACCACGGGTTGGGCGTTGGGAGATCTACATCTTCGCGACAGAGTTGAACGGGAGTTACGGGGATATCTCCTGCCACGTTTTGCAGCCAGAGCCACCGCTTTGGGAGAGTTTCTATCTTTTCATGGCCATATCGCCTGTCCAGACCCTTGCCGCAGAGGGGAAGGGCCCTATTCATACCGCTTTGAACCTTAGATTTATATAGACATCACTGAGATTCTCTTGGCGGCTTCCTCGACCCCGCCGTCCGCATCCACAATACCCAGGGCGAAGTCTTCCAATCTGCCGCTCCGTGGCACGCCACCCGGCGGCAACGTGAATTGTTCTGCGATATGGTTGCGCTGAATTTGCGAACTAGGTAGAGGTTTCGGCCGGATCTCTACGTACTGGCCCAGAGTGGAAGTCGCCATCTCGCCTCCCACGGATTGTGCTGGGGTGTGCTCCAGTCTCGGATGACTTTCAGCAGCAAGGACAGCATGCGAACAAGCGTATCCTCGCTGTTGGGTCAAACTCTCGGTTCGCTGATGGTTTGTGCCCTGCAGACTTGATTCGCTGGTATTCCGTGGGGTCGAGCCCTCGGACAAATAAGGCGAATTTGTGCCTGAGGCTGACACGGACGTAGCCCCCGTCACGATGTCAGCTGGAAGCAGGAAAGAGTCGTCGGCACTGAAGAATGCGGCCGCATCAGCAACCAGATCCGATTCGCCGGTGATCAACGGGGACAAATCCGCGCTGAGATAGTCGGTCTCCTCGCCCCAGCCAATATCTTCAATATCGAAAGACGACATGACCGATTCCCGCGACGTCTCCGTTACCACAATATCAGGCACGCCAATACCCAAGTCCCGATCACGGATCTTTATCACATTCTTGACCACCATCTCCGCCAGGCTGGAGTCCCACAGACCATCACGCGAGTTCTTGAGCAGAGGGTGGGAGAAGAGACGGTAGGCCGTGGTCAATATTTCCTGGCTGTTGGTTTTGAGGCACAGGAAGTAGATCGTCCCGACGAGGAATGTGGATAGTGTGTAGGTGCGTTGCGAAGGAGATGCTAGGGGGAACAGAGCGCTTGCGGAGTGGGAAGCCGAGTTGCTTGCGAGTGAGAGGAGGTCTAGTACCTCCGACAGGGCTGTGCTGAGGGTGTCTTCGCCATTGACTGGTATCCCTGCAGCAGCATCGGCAGCAATGGGAACGTTTTCCTCGATAAGGTTGTAGAAGGTGTGGAAGCTTATCTGCAAGAGCAGGAACTGTTGTAACTGAAACTGCCTCCTGTCTTCTTGGCTGCCAGTTTCTGGGCCTCTCAAGGGCGAGTTCCCGGGTTTGGGATCGAGGCTCCTCAGTGTCTGGCGGTATTTCTCATATTGCTGGCGCAGAACCACTCTTTCGTGCCACAAACCCGGAGGGAACTCTTCTGAAGATTTGCCTTTGTGCTGGACATGGCTGATCAATTGACGAAGGGTCCAATTCTGAAGTTTTACCAGAACGCGTTCCGCATGGTCGAGAGTACTGAATGAATCAGGCACAACCGACAACGCTCCCCGAGTCTCTTCTGGGGAAACAAGGTCCAGTACCGGAAGTCGAAGGTCATCGTAGCAGCTGACCTGAACGTCCAGACGTTCGAAGAGATGTGTGAGAGGCACGTACAAAGGGTCAGTGGCCCATTTTGCCTCAGTTTGAGTTCGCTTCAACAGCCTTAACCCGCTGTCGAGATGCGATATCGCTTGCCTGGTATCGCCCAGGAGTGATTCCAAGGAGTAGAATAAGACGCTGCAGACCAATGCTACATCCGGTAAGGCATCGGACCGTGCGAGGTAATTCTTCAATTGCCCGTAACATTTGCTGACCATGGTCATGGTCTCGACGTTCGAACTCGGCTTATCCTTCCCACTGGCCACCAACGATCCAGAAACGAAGTCCTTGTGCAAAGAGCTCAGAACGACAAGACTGCTGCGGATGACGGCTTGATCTTGGCTTCGCTGGAGGATCAGCTCGGTCCACAAGGTCGGGTCTGCGTAACTGGAGAGGTTCCATGCCGCTTGGCAGCAGTAATAGTGCAAGAGCTGCCGATCGGCTTGGCTTCCGGGGACTTTGAAAGGGATGCTGTACGATGAAATGGTGTTGGAGTCGTGAGAAGAGTTCTGTGCGCTTGAGGCCGTGTTGGTCAGAGGCGTGGGATATCCCTGGCATTTCCTGTTGGACGAGGTGCAGTTCTCACACTCTGGCCTCTGCTGGTCGCATCTGATATGGCGGGCTCTGAGAGGAACTGCGTCAGCCTTGGGTCTGCGAGCTAACACAGCATACTCACTTGCAGGTCAAACATCCTGATCGAGATTTGGGTGCGCTCTTCCGCGGCCTCCTACCGGACAATTTGTCCATGGTGGCAGTGAACGCACACGCAAGCAGGGTGCTTTAGAGCGGGCATTTTTGCAGAGTCGAGAGTTCCAGATATGAGGGCAGCCTAGGGACCTGGTTCACCGGGTTAGTATGTGCGACTCTCGTTGGCGCAAGGAGAACAAAAGGACCGAGCTGAAGAACAAAGAGCCTCGAAGTCTCGCCAGGGGGCCAAGGAAGATTGCGCTCAGCCTTGTGGGGCTTGGCTCAGCCTCGTCAGCCAATCCTATACGCCATTTTCCCCGAGGTTGAAGCGTACGGACAAGCGAGAATCAACTAACCACATCCCATGGCCAAAATATCCCTTTCTATACGACAATGCTACTACCACTGTTCAATGACTATGGCTCTACATGCCACCGAAGGGTATCGGCCCATGCAGGGCCCCCCATATATTGAAGCCCGTTGCTTTGTCAGGGTTTCACCAGATGATAGCTCGCAAATTTACGGGCCTTGCAACCCTGTCAACGAGGGCTTCTGGGGAGCGTGCTCAATTCAAAGCACAGATAAATGGATGTGCTAGATTAGGCATCGGGGTATAAGAAGCTGTGGTAGGTACTCGAGCTCGTGTGATCAGAGGAACCCTCTTCAGTTGCAATCGTTTGAAGGCTTGTGCTTTGCTTATCAGAATACTCACTATGGGAAACCCGTCCGCGCTCGTTCTTGCTCTTGGCTTGTTCCAACCCGTCGCTCTCGCTTTATCTTCCAGCGCAGCTCAGAATCTTGTTCTCAATCGCCGGAGCTCATTGGTTTCCAACAATTCCACTTCAGGTCTGTTGTCGACTACATTCGGTACAATCTTCGACGTCAATGTCACTATCGGCGGGCAAACATTTCCCCTCCTTGTCGACACTGGAAGCAGCGACACCTATGTGATGAAGAACGGGTATCAGTGCTTCGATAAGAACAATGGTACCAAGCTCCTACAATCTGCCTGTTTATACGGCAGTGCGACATATACTCCGTCCGCTACATACTCTGAAATCCCGGATGAGATCTTCGGAGTTCAATATGGCGCCGGCATTGCCTCTGGCGTCTTAGCCCATGAGGATGTCACTCTCGCCGGCATCAAAGTCAAGAATGCAATCATCGGAGTGGCTAATAGCTCGACTCCCATGGGCGACGGCGTCAACTCTGGCCTTCTGGGCCTTGCGTACCCTGCCCTGACATCAGGTCATCCCGCCAATGTCACGGACAATACAACCTACTTCTACAATCGCATCACATACAATCCTTTGCTGTTCATTATGCACCAACAAGGTCTGATAGACCCATACTTCAGCCTGGCCCTAGCACGAACACCACAGAACGCCACCTCTGGCTTCGGTGGCTACTTGTCGCTCGGCGGCCTTCCACCCGTTCCGCACAGCGACAAGTTCTCTAGCGTTTCGGTTGAGATTGACAATTCCGTTCCCATCCAAGTCACGTCCAACGAGCGCGTACGCGCCTACTGGACGGTGACCGTCTCCTCGATTGTCTACGGGCCCGGTAATCACACCGTACTCTATTCTACTCCGAAACCTAACAACATCACGACCTCTTCCACACTCAAAAACACTACTTCTTTTCAAGCATTCATCGACAGCGGCAATTTCTTCTCATACCTCCCTGACACGGTAGTCACCACCGTGAACTCTCTATTCTCGCCTCCCGCTGTCTTTGATGCCACCACTGGTTTGTGGCTCGTCGATTGTACGGCGACGCCTCCCCAACTGGGGCTTGAGATCGGCAATCAGACATTCTTTCTCGATGGGCGTGATCTCATTTATCAGACCGCCGAACCAAGCAGTGGCGAGGCCCAATGCGTTTCGAACATTTTAAGTTCGGACTTCACCGAGGGCGCGGCTGGGGATCTCACATTGAATATTATTGGCGCGCCTTTCCTCAAGAACGTACTTACGGTGTTTGATTTTGGAGCCAATGAAATTCGGTTGGCGAAGTTGGAGGGAGAGGTTACTGAGAGCAACGGCCAAGGTCAAAGTGGAAGCGGGAGTGATGATGGGGTTACTTCAGTGAGCGACGCTGCTCCGTTTGCGAAGACTTCGAATTCGTGTTCATTCTTCGCGCTACTAGCCTCGATCGTGGGTATCGGAATCTACTTGTTCTAAGGTGGCGAGGAGGAGAAGTATTAGCCGTCATTGCGGATGGACGAGGTGGTAATTGTCAATGAATAGGGTGATTGATTTGGTAGGCATCGGTGACCTAGGATATCAGTAGCAGTCAGCGTCGGTGCTTGATAGTCTTGAGGCAGATGGCAGCCTATGATGACTGATATCCAAGGTCCAATCTGATCGCGTAGTGACAATGCACGAGGCTGGACTCTTGGCGGCAAGGCTGGAGGTCCGTGGAATGACGTATGACGTGGTTGTGGAGAGTGGACTCCAATAATACGAGGTGCATTGTCCTCTTCGCATCGAACTCCCCAACCGCCTCGGGCATTGATACTGGCAAAGCGCTGGCCACGAATGCTTGCTGTCGCGTTGGTCTCTCTTTATTCCTCCCTTCCCAATCCCTATTCTTCCTATTCTATATATACTTGCTCTCCTCTCCATTCACCAGCATGAAACCCGCCTGACGCGTGAGCTTGCGGACCTAAACCATGACCATTAACACGTTTACCGCCGGTGCTGCCGTCACTCCCACTGTCATAAAGACATGCATATCTCATGTACGGATGTTGCCTATGACAGAAGTCTGTCCTAACCGAGAACATAGTATGCCAACCGGAAGCCCCGCCGCCAGAAACCAACCGCCCACATCTCCTACGATGAAGGTCTCCATCTAATGCGAACCTTTCTCCACTATGCCTCACACCATACAGTTGAAGATTTACAGTCTTTTACCGCACAATGGGTCCCTAGTCCGTCCTGGGTAAGGACCGAGAATGTCACAATCACAGCGGACCATGTCTCGAAGGCTGCGAAAACAATCGCGGAACAACTGGGACCCGCGGGAATTGAACAAGTCGGCGGGACGCAGTGGTGGCAATGGAGACCCAAGGGAGCTGATCTGAAAGCAGAATGGGTCGAGATGCGCGCACACTACAACGAACACAAAAGAGAAGGAACGAAAAGCAGGAGGATCATGCTCTACATCCATGGAGGAGCGTACTTCTTCGGCAGCGTCGATGTCCACCGGTATCAGCTTCAGAGACATGCTCGAAAACTCAGGGCCCGCGTGTTCGCTCCGAGATACAGGCTAGCCCCTCAATTCCCCTTTCCGTGCGGGCTACAGGACTGCCTTGCGGCGTATTTCTATCTGCTTAGCATACATGACCCTTCCGAGATCGTCCTGGCGGGTGACTCGGCCGGTGGTGGCATGGTGGTCTCGATACTCTGCATTTTACGTGATCAAGAGCTTCCCTTACCCGCGGGCGCAGTCCTAATCTCCCCATGGGTCGACCTCACACATTCTTTCCCAAGCCTGAGTGGCAGTGCAGAGTTTGACTATATTCCATCCTATGGCTTCATGCAGAAACCTTCGACCTCGTGGCCCCCTCCCAACGATGAAGAGATAGCGGCCATCAGCAGATTGGCGAAAGGCAAAGATCTATCTCTCAAGGAGGACGGGGAAGCCGATGCAAGCATGTCAGTGCCTGTCAAAGACGACGGTGATATTGAGCCTGGACCTCAATTGCCTCTGTCAATGGAGCTGGATGGAAAGCGAGTCGTCTTAAGAGACCAGATCCAGATGTACACGACCAACCAGCTATTGGCCCACCCACTAGTGTCACCCGTTCTGCAACCCTCTCTTGGAGGACTTCCTCCCGTCTTGATTCTTACCGGCGGAGGGGAAATTCTGCGCGATGAACAAATCTACCTTGCTCACAAGATGGCCGATCCCTCTAAATTCCCCCTAGGTTCTATTTACAATTCAAGATATGATCCAGATGGTACCATTGTTGCGAAGTACAAACCCACACCGGTCCAGTTACAGGTATGGGAAGATTTGTGTCACGTTGCTCCGACTCTGTCTTTTACCCGTCCGGCCAAGTTCATGTATCGTTCAGTTGCACAGTTTGGGGCCTGGGTACTGGCCAAGGCTCAGAAACGAGCGATCGAGATCATGGATGACGACGATATCTCGATCATTTCCTCGCAGTCAGATGATAATTCGCCAGCAGACACCGACGTCGAGTCGTCAAATAACAGTGCAGCGAAGACGAACTTGGATCCGAACAAAATAATAGGAAGTGTTGGTCGAGCAGGAGACCCAATACCGCCCTTCGAGAACAACATGATTCGTCAACGGGTTGACCGACATGGGAGAATCTATCCTCTCGCTGAACCAGGAGAACTGCCTGCGTTACAAATGCCTCCAGACCAGGTAGGAGTGGTCAAACCTGGTCCCGTGAGGAATTGGCTCGCGGCCAAAAAGATCTGGGACACAAAATATGCCAGAGCGCGGAGCAGAGTGCAGAAGGAAAGAGTCAGAGCTCTATCCAGTGGAAAAATAAAGGGCTTTGGAGCAGGTGAGCACCCTCCACCGTGTGCTCTCGCAAGCCGGCGGACGGACAAAGATCTTTGGGCCAAAAAGAAGAGGAAGAGCTACGGGCTCGCGATGTGGAGTATGTGGGGAAGCAAACATGACGAGTCAGCGCTGAAGAGGGAAGAGGAGGCAGTTGAGATGGAGAAATCGGAAGATAAGCGCCTGGGACGAGAACGCGAAGAGGGCGCCACGCCCGCTGCCGTCGAAGGTGAGCAGGCTGCGATTCGTTCGCGACGAAGCTTCAGTGGGAGGCGAAGCATGAGCGCAAAACGCAGGGCAAGCGCATCGAAAACTCGAGGCAGGAAACGCACCATCTCGGTCACGGACAGAGGCCAAGCTGAAGGCCGCAATGTACCCCCGGTCGTGATTCCCTCAGACCTTACAAGTACCACCGAGTTAGCAGATACAGCAGGGAATCAACAATCGGCTCAGGACCGGCATACAGCTTCACCTGAGTCGTCCCTGCTCTCGGCGGGCTTCATTCCGAAATTCAAAACAGCGGCGCACCTTCGTGATGACAGTGGTGGACAACACGGGCCTGTACTCTCCGACGCCGCCAGCACGATGACTGGGCGTAGCGGGATGGTGGCTGACGATGCTAGCACTCGTGCGGTGTTCGCCGCACCAGGTATTTCAAAGAGCGTCGACTCACAAGAGGTGGAGAAGGCGAAGTCAACAAGTCCAGCCACCAATACAAGGCCGGGAAGCCCCTTAGCCAATGAGGCGAGGAGTTTTGTATCTGGGAGCGAAGATTTCAACGAAGGCGTGGCCAGTATAAATCTCGACGCCGAGCCGGGTACGAATATTTCGGGAAGAGCTCATCCTGGGGCGTTTGGGAATGATACACCCCGAAGCCAGCGCAGCCTAGAGCGGCTACAAAGCCACCAACGCGACGAGGGGATGGACCGGCTGGCACCGCTCAGAAGTCCAAGTTCCACCGCCATTGTCAAGGCAGAGGGCGTGGTTGGCGTGGTTGATACAGCGGAGCCTGCTGAAAAAGAAAGGGTCGAAGATTATGAGAGAAAAGAAGAACAGATAGAAAAAGAGAAGGATATAAACGGAGTGGTCAATGAGGAGGGCGCGAACAAGCAGATATATTCCGAGGAACAACAACTGGACGGTGATACAACTGAGCGGCCCAAGATGTACGACCGGGCGGAATCGAAGTTCCAAACTGCGCAGGAGACTCCCTCTTGAAGCCTCTGCAGAGATTGACAATGTCATCTTGCATTATTTTTGGCCTGCGATCTTCATCGTTGCTTGTCATGCCCAGACAGATACTCTTTGTGTGTGAGGGTCTTTTTGCCTTTGGAGATCAAGGCGCGCCCTCGTTACTGTATCTGAAACATGTCAAATTAAATATGAAGGGCAAAAAGAAGGAGACGGGAGACTGAATACCTCAATTGTGTTCTTAAGGGACATCTACGACGAGAATAAACCTGCCATTTGGCTACCTCTTACACATTTGTTTCTGAGGGTCTTCAGTGAGCCTTGGTGTCCTAGCAAGCTCCCATAACCATGCTGCTACCCAGTACCAGCAACCCACGGAAACAACCGCTTCGAAGTGCTCTGAACCGTTTGCACCAGATAGCTACATGATGGCTAAAGCGTTGGGAGGAGACGCCACTCCCCCAGGCACATACAGCGGCGCACTGGTCAGCAGGAAACTCCAGCGCTTTTCAGCGGCGCACAAATGGCTGAGCGGCTCCAGGTTCCAGAGCTCGCCCAGCGGCATCCCCCAGTGTGCGAGAATCCATTCGTGCAGCACCACCTCGCCCTTCTGTCCGAACGGGACAGGGCACTGTTCGAAACCGATCGAGTCGCTCGCCACGGCCGCAAAGTGGTGATTCCAGAGAAACCGCTTCATCTCTTCCGTCCTCTCCACGCCGACGAACGCCGTCTTGTCCAGCTTCTCGACCCGTTCTGCCTGCGGAGCTCGCTGGTGCCAGAGTGTGAAGCCCCCGCGTAGGAGAAGGATGTCGCCGGCCTGGAATTCGAGATCTTGGAACCTTGCCACCGCCTCCAACTCGGCCACGCTGATGCCGTAGGGGCTATCGGCTGGAATGGCTGGCTGGCCCGTCTCTTCTCTCCATCTCACATAGTCGATGAGGACGCCTCTGCCGACGATTCCGCCTGCCTCGACCCATTCTAGACACCAGATCCGTTTAGTGAATGCTCAAAAAGGCAGTGGAGGAGGAGACAGTTCTCCCTAGGAAATATAAAAGGAGAGGCGAAGAGTGGGGTGGAAAAAAAGAAACGAGCTATGGTGTTTGAGTGAACGATGAGTATATATCGACGCTTACTGTCTGTTCCGTTCGTCCCTTTTCTTGTGCCTTCAATATCCGCGTGCCGAAGGCCATTATAGTATAACTCCGACTCTTGGATCGCGCAATGGCTCAGCCCGTCCCACTGAGAGGAAGACTGGGTGTTGAAGCGTAGCTCCTCGTCGTGGCCGATGGCGCCGTTCGTCTTCTTGAAGTCGATCACCTTGTGCTCGAACTGGATCCGGTTGGCAATGACATGCGTGAATGCATTCAAAGGCAGGTCCAGAGACACGCTCTTCCCGACCCTGACTTCTCGTGCCGCTGCGATTCGAGCTGCCGGGCTGATCTTGTTGAGTGCTGATCCGACCTTCGATTAGGTCCATATCTCTGGATGTTCTCTCGATCGCACCTACCACCAAGTTGATCATCTTCCCCCCAGAGACCCCATGCGTTTCCTTGAGGCTGGCCGGGCACTGGAGGCAGTTCGTCAAAGCTGGGAATTGTTGCCATTGCTTGACCGAAGATGCAAGGTCCCGATTCAAAGGCTGTGGTGGAAGGAGTGTCTGCGACGAAGGCGCAGATCGACTTGTAACTTTGATCGCCTTTCTTGTTGAGTCTATTGAAACCGTAATGGAGTATTTGCTTTGCATATCCCGTATTGGCCTGTCGAAGAGGTGGCAGTAACCATTCCTGGGAGGAACCACATTCTTGGTCCGATCGAGGTGGCCGCCCTCTACATGAGACCACAAGAATGGACAGGATGGCTGAGAGTCGATGCTAGGTCAGATCAAGAAATGCTCTTGTCGCCGGAGCGAAGTAAATACTAACAGAGGCTTCTGTATACTTCCTGCAACTGTTGTTCCGTTGATTTCCCACAGCGCAAAGCAGTCATCTATTGCCCGGTTTCTCTCTCATCGTGTGGTATCCATGTCTCCTGCACCCATGGAAACAGAGTCCCCTGCTCCAGAAATCCAGAATGGGACCTCTATCCCGTCACTGGAGTATCTTCAGAGCCTGCCCGACTGCTATGGGTGGCCCAGGGCAAACAAGCGGGGCTACCGGATCGATGAAACACCGTCGGGCACTTACAGACCCCTAAAGGTCATCGTCATGGGCGCGGGCGCCTCCGGCATTTCCTTTGCGAAGTTTTCGCGCGAGGAACTGCAGAACGTGGAGATTATCATCTACGAAAAGAATCGTGATGTGGGCGGCACCTGGCTTGAGAACAGATACCCGTAGGTCGCTAAAGGTTGGAATCCGGTTGGAACGTCGCTCTTGGAACTGACACTGGCCTTTATAGGGGCTGTGCTTGTGATGTCCCCAGCGTCACCTACCAATTTACTTGGGAGCCAGATGTCTGGAGCAAATTCTACTCCGAGTCGCCCGAGATCCACGCGTATATGAAGCGCGTGGTGGATAAATACAACCTCTGGGATTTCATCAAGCTAAATCACACAGTGACAGACGCCCGATGGGAACAGGACAGCGGCAAATGGTCCCTCACGGTCGAGGATGCAGGCCGAGGGCGCACCTTTACGGAGACGTGTGATATCTTTATCAATGCTGGAGGGCCGTTGAAGTAAGTTTTATACTCCTCTCATGGCTTGAGGTGGATTATGGCGTCGTCCACTCTCAGATCTTACAACTTACCATCTTGCAGCTACTGGGAATGGCCAAGAATCAAAGGTATCAAGGATTTCAAGGGTGTCATTGCCCACACCGCCAACTACCCAGAGGACCTCGATCTGAAGGGCAAACGAGTAGCTGTGTGCGGCATCGGTTCCAGCGGGATTCAAGTCACAGCCAGGATTCAGAAAGATGTGGACCATCTCTATACCTGGATACGATCGCCAACATGGGTCCTGGGTGCCTTTGCGAACGAATTCGTCCCGCCGGGAAATCCAAACCCGGAATGTAAGCTTCTTTGGACCGCCTTTGAATCTACGGTTGAGAGGTTTGACGGTGATCCTGACCATCGTTATTAGATACCAACGAAGAAATCAACCTGATGAAGAATGATCCCGTCACGTACCTGAAATACAGGAAGAACATTGAAGGGAGCATCAGCGCAGGCTTTGGCGTATACTACAAGAATACGCCCGAGTCTCTGGCGGCACGAAAGGTGAGAGAGCAATGGATCTCTGACTGCGGATGGATAATGATTCTGAGCATGGAGTAGATTGCGACGGAAGATATGTGCAAGAAGCTGGAGTCGCGACCAGACATCGCAAATGCCCTGATCCCAAAGGACTTCCCCGTGGGTTGTAAGAGACCGACGTATGCACCAGCCCAGGCGATTGAAGACTGGGTTTTTCATTGCTAACCACGCCTCCTTCACAGTCCAGGTGTTGGTTTTCTCGAAGCCTTGACGATGCCCAATGTGACAGCCTATCCAGGAGGTGACCTCCAGCAAATCACCGCAAGGGGCTTCATCGACCCCAACGGACAGGAGCAAGAGGTCGACTTGATCATCCTAGCCACCGGCTTCAATACTACATGGGTTCCTCGATTCCCTATCGTGGCAAAAGGTAGGAATCTGCAGGATATGTATCGCGAGAACCCGCTTTCGTATCTCGGCGTGGCCGCGCCTGAGATACCCAACTACTTTACCTATTATGGACCATACGGGCGTACGTGGAAACCACTCTCTGTCTCTTTTTTCCAATCCCGGACCAGGAGTCATTCACGATGCTATGGAAGATGAATACTGAGTTCAGCTCGGGGTGATTAGCTCTGGGCCAAGCGAGCGCGGTAGTCATGATCGAATTTTTCACGCGGTATTTCAACGAATTCATCCGCAAAATGCAGGTTGAGAACATCAAAAGCTTTGCCCCGCGCATAGACGTGGCGCTCGAGTTCCAAGAGCATGCCGACCTGTACCTCAAACGCACCGTGTGGGACTCGGAGTGCCGCAGTTGGTGGAAAGGAGGCAAGATCGACGGCAGGATCATGCTATATCCCGGGTCACGGACACAGTAGTAAGTCAGTCATGGTCAAAGAATCCTCGCGACGGCCCAGTGAGTGAGTGCTTACAAGGATTGCAAAAACACCAGCATGGAACTCATTGAGCACCCGCGCTACGAGGACTACCACATCGAATACAAGGCGATGAACAGGTGGGCGTTCCTGGGGAATGGGTTTTCCACGAGAGACTACGATGGCAGAGACATCACCTGGTTCTGGGGGCTGGTGGATGGGAAAGATCGACAGGAGAAATATGAATTGCAGTGGAAGGATGTCGCACAGCCAGATCACCAGGTTCAGAACGGGGGAAAGAATGAACCAAGCTCGGAAAAGGTGGTAGAAGTGGCAGAGACTATCATCTTTCCAAATGCTCTATAGTCTATAGATGTTTGATACGGGGCAACCATTGATTAGATCGTTCCATGGATGATACAAGTATTTGTGCTTACAGTATTCAACGACTCTCAATTAGAGAAGCTTTTCGCTCACCTCAGGCTATTGCAGATCACCTACCTGAAAAGCTGTCAGGGTATCATGAAGAGGCTGTGTCTATTCAATCAGAGGAAATTCCTTGACCAAGTCCACCGTAGCCTTTTGCCGCGTCGGCGTTGCGGTAGACGCAGGATTACATGGACTCTGTGGCACGTCCGATCCCACATCTTACATGTACGGAGTTGACTTTCGCCCTCCGGCCTTGTTATCCGAGCTCGAGTTCGGACTACCCGTCTCGCCGTCTCCTTGGGTGGGAGTCGGACAGAACATCTTGTGCAACACCGATGAACCATGGATAACTCGTAGAATGGCAGTTTTGGAGGGGGAGAGAAGAGCAACCTCGTCAGTCTATGGTTGACAACGCCTTCAGCTCAACAAGCACTCCACCCTGTTTTTACCGTCCGCAACCCCCCTTTTACATGAATCGTTTCTTACATGGCCCATCACTATTTGCCAACCATGGCTTACGAAAACGGTACCTCCACCCTCGCGCGAGAGACGGCGAATGCTCTGGTCACCGGAGGCGCAACTGGGATAGGTAACGCGGTGGCCCACAAGCTCGCGTCGCGAGGCATCAACGTCCTCATTGCCGACGTCAATGTCGAGGGCGGTCAAAGGGTCGCCAACGACCTCAAGCGCTTATACCACGTCGACAGCGTCTTCGTGAGGACCGACGTCTCCCAGGAAACGGACGTGGTCAACATGGTGCAAACGATGGTCGACCGGTGGGGCACGATTGATTACGCCTGCAACAACGCCGGCGTCGGGGAGCCGATGGAAAAGCACGAGGACGACGTGACCGTGGCACAGTTTGACAAGTAAGACGCCCAAGAATGGGATCTCACTCGAATCATATCTCAATATAATTAAGAAATGTCACTCACGAAGCTCCGGGTGTGGAATAAAGGATGTACGCGCTCAACCAGCGCGCCACGTGGATGTGCCAGAAGCACATCTGCCTCCAGATGAGGTCCCAAACACCCCGCAAGGCGACCCTTTCTCCGTCCAACCTGGCCGTCGAAGAGAGGGGCGCCGTGGTCAACATCTCCTCGGTCAACGGCCTGGTCGGGCTAGGTCTGCCGGGCTACTCTGCGGCGAAGGCCGGGATCCAGGCCATCACGAGGAACGGCGCGCAGTTCTACGGGCCCCACGGCGTTCGAGTCAACGCCATCTCTCCGGGGTCCATCCGGACCAAGAAGTTCGAGGCCTGGGTCCAGGAGCTGCCCGAGGAGATGGGGAGGTACGTCGAGGAAGGCATCGTGGCGGCGACGCCGTTGAAGAGGCAGGGCATGCCGCAGGAACTAGCCAACGTTGTCAGCTTCCTCCTCAGTCGAGAGAGCACGTTCATCAACGGTCAGAATGTAACGGTGGATGGAGCGTATACTACCGTCAAATACTGAAGCTTTTCTTGGGCGAAGAAAAACAATGGAACCAAACAACGTCACCAATGGGTCTTGATCAAGCATGTCGCTCGGGACTGCAAAAGGTGTTAGATTCCTTGCTGTTTGGTAAGGGTCATACTGGATGGAGAGTGTGAGCCGCCTGACGACAAAACTTAGACATCTTCCTCCTTGAAAAATGGAAAGCTACATGTGCTTGATCTAGGTCCAAGCTCAAGCAAGATCAAGAAGTCATCGATGTGGTGATTCAGCATCTGGTTCCCTTCGCCATCCTCGCTAAATATGGCAGAAGTGTCACGGTAGGATCGGGTTGGAATGTTATAACAGTCTCGTGATTGGAAGCTATGTAGACTATCGAGACAAAGGTGAAAGACAGCAATGGTTTGCCGCAATTCCCTGTCTCACTTGCCAACCTCCGCCATCTCCTTCTCCTCAGCTCGGTAGGACTGCTCGTCCATCTTTTCTCCCATGGCATCCAAGGACTCGACGGCAAGAGTATCCCCAAAGAGGCCTCCGATCTCTTCTAGCGTCTTCCCCTTGGTCTCCTCGGCGTAATAGAAGAACAGGGCAATCAGGATGGGTGAGATGCAGATGAAGACCAAAAAATACTTCCATCCGATGCGACTGAACGCATAGAGAGTTCCCCTGGAATCAGTGGTCAGAGCAAGCATCTGGAAAGAACGTGGCTGTTCGAGTTTGGGACTTACGTGAGATACCCGACGTCACACAGATAGAGGGCGGCAATACCGAGGGTGACGCCCTTGGCCCTGAGGTGGGTGGGCATCAGCTCGGCGACGTACACAAACTGCGTGCAGTCCCAGGAGATCGAGTAGACTGCGCAGTAGAGGTAGAAGATGAAGATGCCGGCTCTGTTGGCAGCCTTGTTCGAGCCGGACGGGTTGTTGGCGACAATCGCGGCCTCGATGATGACACAGACAACTTGTGCGACGGAGCCGTAGGCCATCAACTTGACACGGCCGAACCGGTCGATCAGGAAGATGGACAGAAACCCGAAAGTAAAGGCGGTGCAGATGTAGCCGGCGGCTAGATACAACTGTTGCACCGTACCAAACCCCAACAAAGAGTAAAAGAATGGCCCGTAGTTGTTGATGACCAGGACGCCGGTTGACTGTGGATATGGCCGGTTAGTGGATAGAATCCCCTGCCTTAGGGATACGGGGGGAGGGGTGAGAGGAGACTGGGGAGTGCAATACCTGACCAAGCAAGCCGACCAAGCAACAAAGCAAAGACCGTCGTCGCCACCTCTTGACGATAAACATCTCGAGGTAACCGACGTGCATCAGACGCTCTTCGGCGATCTGGCGCTCCATCTGGAGTAGCTCGAGGTCGGCGAACCGGTGATCGCCGTCGACGCTGCTGCTGTGGATCAGGCGGACGACCTTCCTGGCTTCAGCCTGGCGATTCTGCATCAAAAGCCACCGCGGGCTCTCGGGCACAAAGGCCAACAGGACCAGAGCCACCAGGCACAGTCCGCCGAGGATGACGAACGGGAAGCGCCAGTCGTCCTGCGATCCCGGGGCGTAGTAGAAGCCCACCCCAGCCCAGGAAGCGATCAGGTAGCCCACCAAGTTGCCCATACCGGTCATGCCGACCAGCATGCCGCGCAGGTGTGGCGGCGACATCTCGGACTGATACAGCGGGGTGAGCGTGACGAACTGGGACGCGACAAATCCCGCGCAGAACCTTGTAATTTTGAAGTTATGAGTACAAGAACGGGCCAAAGAGCAAAACTTGATGGAGGACCCTCCCAATCGTACCTAATGGTGATGAACATGGCAATGTGGACCGAGCCAGCCAACAGCGCCATCCATACGGTGGCCATGATGCAATTCAACGCCACGGCTCTGCGCCGGCCGAAACGGTCCGCCGCCCATGAGCCGAAGAAGACGCCCACAAAGCCTCCCCCGTAGAAGGTGCCGTTGGTGGCTCCGATGAGCGTGGTTGAGTTGGAGGCCGTGAGCGCAAAGTAAGCAATGAACGAAGGCTGCGCCAGGGTCGTGGCGATCATGGCGTTGACAGCTCCTCCTGCGATCATGCCGACTCCGATCGCGAGAATGTAGAGAATATTCCGCAGGTTAGTTCGAGGGATGGCCGCCTCGGGGTGATGGTGACGCCCTTCGTGGTGCTCCAGTGTCTCCTCCGCCCCGAACTCGAGTATGTTGATGCCGTCGCCGGCCATTCTTTGGGAGTTCCGTAGCCAGGAGGAGAACTCATCTAACCTTGGGATAATCAGCGTTGGGTACAAAAGCGGCACTGTTCTGGAGCACTGAACCAGTCCAGTCAACGACCGTCTCTCCCTATGCCTTTATATCCTTATATCAGGTCAACGAGTTTCCTATTTGGGTTAGCGGGTGACCACAATTCTCGACCGATCGGGTGGTCGACCCACATCCACCATTCATTCGTCACAACGACAACCACCATCGATCGCTCCAAATTGAGGAGCTCGCAGTGGGATTCAAAGATACACATAGACTCTGGGGGGAAACCCTTCGAGCTGGCGAACGGGACTTTGGCCAGACATGGAAGAATAAAGATCGAGACACAAATTGGGGTAAGGCAACATCAGCACATTCAGCTTAATCATTTCGTCTATGCAACGCTTATGCCGCCCGATTGTATCTGCCAGGAGTATTCCCTACAGTTTACATTTCGCCCATATGCAACATAGACACCGTCCGCACTTTATCTACTAAGCCACAGATCTTCCCTCCCGAAGCTTAAAAGAGGCAAAAGGTCCTTTCTTTTTCACATCTATCAAAAGTTAGCCCTGCCATCCAGGATCACGGATGGGACAATCAATGGAGCACGTACTGAAGTGGTCCAAGACTTCAAAGTTTCCCTCCAGCTCTTCTGGCTTCTCCGGAGTGATGTCAAAGAGGTAAACCAACCTCCCGATCGTGAGATATAGTTCCTGGTACGCCAGTTTCATGCCGGGACATTTTCGAACCCCTGTCTGGAAGGGCCAATAACTGTTCTTTGCTCGCATCACGTCGTCTTCGGTAGTGCTGCCCTCCACAACATAGCGCTCTGGACGGAAGATCTCCGGGTCGGGAAAGTAGATAGGGTTATACGCGTAAGTCCAATTCGAACACCCAACGTTGATCTGATGGAGAGCGAGTCAGTCAACCACTCCCGACAACACCTTTGGCCGAAGATCCAGGGCAGAAAATACTCACTCCCTCATCAAAGTACTCCCCATCGATCTCGGTTCCGCCCTTCCAAAGCGGTCAGAGCTCCGGGGACCAACCACACCGAGCAAGAATACAACCTACCTCCATAATTGTGCGCGTTGCCATTCCCGGCCCTGGAGGCGCCATTCGCAAGCCTTCCTCGACGCACGCCCTCAAGTACACACAAGTGGAAAGCTTTGGACCGGTGCTGATCTCATCGACGTCGGAGAAAACCGAGTCCAGTTCTTGTCTCAGTCGTTTCATGCAGTGAGGATACTTGAGCAAGTAAAACAAAGTACCGGCGAGACCTTGCAATAGTGAGCTCCAAGGATGCGAAGCTGGTAAAGGTAGTGGGGAATAATCTTGCCTGTTGATGTGGTATCACTCCCCGCCGTCACCAAGAGCACACCCTCTGTGAGCAGTGTCTTCCTCGACAAAGGTGCGCCGGTCTCTGGATCCCGATGGCTCAGCAACTATGCCGACCATCAGCTGTGCGAAGATCATGTCCAATCCATTTCAACTTACAAAGTGAAAGAAATCCTTCCTATCACCTTTGCTCTCGTGGCCCCGGGACAGCCGATGCGTTATTTTCTTTTCAGCCTCGGAAATAAACCGTACACGACCGGAGTAAATGGAAGGAAACATGAAATCGATAACTCCCCATTTGAAGAGCCACGGAATAATCCCTCCCTGGACGGAAAGCTGGTCAGAAACCGGAGCCACATCGACGAAACCCATTCGTACAGTCTTACCAGGAGCATGCTAAACACCATATTGTCAATTAGAGGAAGGATGTACCTTTCCTTGTCGTCGGTCATCATGTTGAAGCCATTCCCGAACACCACCTCCCCCATGACGTCGTACGCAAGGTAATTCAACCACAAAGACATATCCTTGACTGGTTCCGTGCTGGGGTCGACCAGACATCTGCAAAAGATGCGAATTTGATCAACAATGAATTCTGATGCCCCAGTCAGCGAATCAGGTCGGCCTCGGAAGAACGCGGCGGGGCCGTCCTTGCCTTCAGCATGTCCCAGTGCGGATTCAGAGAAGCCTTGGGCCAAAATCTTGCGCTTCTTGAGAGCGGGCACGCGGTGAAGCTCGCTGAAGGTGCTGGTGGTCTCGGGGTCTGACTGTGTAGCGGCCATTCCGTCGTGCTTGCGCACATTGGCTTTCCAGCCATAGATGTCTCCATATAATCCATCAACACCGGAAACAGCTAAAGAGACATGGCTTCTATTCACATACCCACAAAGGCCTGAGGCGTACAAAAACTGAGGTCATTCGGGCCAAATCGGACGACGGGGCCTGTTAAAGTCAGCATCTGCCCATCCATGTCCACAAGAAGCCCGAAAGGCGTTTCCACACCATATTTCTTATGCAGATAGCTGAAATGCTGAGCTCGGTGTTCTTGATAGCCAACGACGAAGTCGTAAAAGTTCGTGAGTTTGGCGAAGAACGGCCCCGGATACTTGGCCAGAGGATGAAGAAACAGTCGATAGATCACTACCGTGACCAACCCGCAAGCAAGGCATCCAGCCACGAGGGTGCTGAGGAGGATTGCGCCTGCTTCGGGTGACAGTGTTGTGACGGCTTGAAGCATAGCCATGATACGCTCGCTGTCGTTGAGAACTCGGAAATGAAGATTGACGTGCACACGAACATGAAAGAATCACTTGGGGAGTTGTTCTTGACTGGCCCCCTTTGGAGTGATCAATTCCGTGGCCCAGTACGCCCGAAACGTCTCCCTCACGGTGCAGGTTCGGGGCAACTGTGGTGATCGGAGGAACCACCTGCAGCACGTGAACAGAAATCCAGAAGGTCACCACTCATGCATGGCCTGGACCACGAAGGGCCACAACGTAAACTTCTTGGGTGGGATGTGAGATCACGGTGGCTGTCGGCCTCATGTATGGTCCTTTATTTCTTTTGGATCCGGATTACCTGCCCAGGCACGGCGATTCAGATTATTCTTGAAGGAAGCTTTTTTTATTCTCTTCCGCTTTAATTCGTGTCATATATGGAGCGAAATGTGCCTCGAGCAACAGCTTCCTCGCAGAAAAGTAGTGGAAACTGGTCAAAAAATGACTGTTCAAGCTTGAATGGTGCGTTGATATCGCTCAGGGTCAGGACGAATCTGGCCTCCAAGGACTTTGACATTCTGGCGCGATGGGAACTCGCGGTGGACGGACCTTTCGATGTACGAATGACGTTGAGATGGTCAATATACTCCCGTAGACGGTACAAGGTCGTGGTGTGAGGGCGGCTCGCTTGAGGTGTTGGAACGAGCGGCAGCATCAGTGCGGTGAGGTCAGCCGAGGGCATGTCAATGTCAAGAGGCTCATCGGGAACCTCGAGACAGTAGCTTTGCATGGCCGTGAGGATGACATCGGTGAGGTCGATTTCATTTCCATGCATAATCAGCTTGTCTCGAATTTCTGCAAAAGGTATCCAGTCCAGCGCGGGCCAGTGGAATCTGCTCATTTGTAACTGAGTCGGTCGATAGCCGGGTTGTATCTTCCAGTAGTTTTCCACTGTCGGCGCGATTTGATACTGCGTGATGGGAGCCAGCTTCTCTAGGCCAATGGTCTCCCAAAACCACGTTTCAGCCCATTTCCATTTCTCCGTGACCAGTGAGACGAGCATCTTTTGGGTCAGCGCATCCAGACTGGGAACGCGGAGTCAGCACAAGCTCCCCTGGCAGTTGAGAGACAGACTTGCCTCTGTTGCTGGTCTTTAGGTTTTGTAGACTGTTCGATCATGCGTTGGCGAACCACGCCGCCCATCTCGATGAGATCCAAACAGAAACAAGATGGTCGAGGAAGAATCGGCAGCGATACTCGGTTGACCTCAATGGCAGTGCCTGAAGCAATAGTGCCGGCGACTTCTTGAGAAGTAACGGTAGGCGTAGAGATGAGCTGCGCATCGTTAGAGCCCTTATGCTGGGTCGTTCCTCGGAGTGCGTGGATAGCAAGGTCTCGGGATTCTGCCAAAGCCTGCATTGCGTCCTGAAATTTCCTTTCTATCAAGGCTATAGCATGGGCAGATTTCCTCTCTTCAGCAATGTCATAAAGAGGGGACGCCATTGAGTTGGTGAGGCCCAATGGAACATGAGAATACAGCAGCACTGTCAAACTAGAGTTGGCGGATTAGTGAGTCCCTCCAGGCTTGATGAATGATGAGCTTCGCCCGCCTCCCGCGTGTCTTAGAACAATCCAGGCTTCCAGGGCCAGGCTGCCCAGGGCATCAGCCTCACCAGCTATCACTGCTCGCCCTACCACTCCCCGCGGGGCTCCCCGAGATCATCCCGGCTCACGCTGGCACAGATACGAGCAAGCAAAGTGCGGGGAGACGGTCGCCCGAGGCTCATTCTGGCGAGCTTGGAAGTGAACTAACTCCTCTCTCAACCTCCCTGTCACACAGAGATGATCGACCAAGACAGCTCAGGGCGTTGCTTGTTCCATACCTCATTTCAGCAGAACCCCAATCAGAACAACAACGACCCATACCAGTACCAAAGCCATGTCCTTTGCCGATAACTCCACCATAAATCCCCAGCCAAAGAGGACCTGGAGCCGTCGTCGAAACACCCCTGGGACTGCCCCTGTGATCTGTACAATTTGCGGAAAGTCCTTCGCTCGCAAAGATGTCTTGACAAGGCACGTCAGATTAAAGCACCAGGATCCCCAAGCGCACAGAACGTCGTACCCGCGCAAGAGAACGAGTTGTCTGCGATGCGCGTTGTGAGTATTCCCCTTGCTTGGAAAACAGCCTCTCTTCAACGAAGACGGCTTGCTATATGTTTCTAAAAGCGGCGACAAACTGATCCTTGGACTCCAGGTACAAGGTCAAATGCGTGGGCACACCGACCTGTGCGCGATGCGACAAGCATGGCGTCTTCTGCCAGTTTGATTTCTCTGCAAAACGACCTCGACGCGCTTTAGCTTCATCGGACCAGTCGCTGGCTGATGAAGTCCAAGAGGATGCAAATACCTCGACAACACAAACACAATCAGCGGAATGGACAGCACTCCCGTCATATCCACCGGACGTGCCCCATGATCAAGAGCCAGCTCAACGCGAAGGCACTTGTTCCGAGAATTTCCGGAGAGATGAGGATCGACTTCAGGCGACGCCGTTCCAGCTAGACCTCTCTCCTGAACACGCATCGCTCCAACTCTGTGAAGCTGCAGATTCTTCGTCTCATAGAAACCATGACATCGGACTTGACAAACTGGACATGACGATGCCGGTTTGGGAGAACGATGGAACCTGGAATGACCATTCCACAATGATGAATGAGACGCTCACAGCGCCTTCGCCCTGCAGTGGTTTCACCATGTTTTGGGACAATCTCTGTGCAGAAGGTTTGCTGCAGGACACAGTAGCGTTGGGCCGAGGAGGAGCAACCCGGGGAAGGCATGGTGAGATTCCAGCGCTACAATACCTCGAGGCTGCAAATCAGGAGGGCATTTTTGAATCCGACCCTGGTAACGGCTTGAACAGCCCTTCCATGGCCGTGCCGGCACCTCCTCTGCTCCAAGGCCGAATGATTTCGACGACAAGCACAAGGCAGGACGATGAACCGATTTCAGCCGGGACCGACTCTGCCGTCTCCCAAGGGGTCTCTGAAGATTCTGACAGCAACAGCAGTTGTAGTCTACCCTGGAGAACTCAATCAACCACAATAGCCGACATGTATGACCGATTAAAGCCACCCTCCGGGCTGACCTTGTTTCGAGACATACCAAGAATATCCCATTCGGAAGCCGCATGTTACTGGACTCTCTACTTTACACACTTCCATCCGGTATGAAAAGCTGAGCAATTCAACCCCTCCCTTGCAAACGTTCCCGAGCTGAAAACCTTTGGAAGAGATTTCCCATTCTACACTGTGGCACGCTCAGTGTCGTTACTTGCACGCCTCTCTTATTAGGCGCCATTACGGCCATTGGTGCCGGCTTTAGCTCTCAAGCCACCGCTCGGGAGTACTCCGTCACCACGGTCGGAACGCTGTGCGCATTGTTGTCTCGGGTGAGCTTTCTCTCTCTCCTCTTGCATTGTTTCTCTCGTCGAACTTTGGGATACCCTGCTAACGGCTCATCCTCAAGACGAATTCCCACCTCCCTGAGAGCATTCAGCAGGAAGGTTTTGTGCGACTGGTTATCCGATGCTTGGTGTACTTCCATATCATCGAGTCAGACATGCACGCACTCTTAGATTTTGCGATCGCGGCGCAGGCGTCCCTTGTTCGAGATGCGCGCAAATCCATGCTCTTCACTCTGGACGATGAAGCTGACCCCGGGCACATGAGCTGTCGGCCGAGTAGAAGCCCAAGCAGGGAACAAGACGGACAAAGTCCAAAGGATCTAGAGAAATGGTATACCTGGGTCTACCATGAGCAGAGAAAGAGACTGGTCTGCGCGGTCATCGTACGTTCTACGCCTCATGCGTCCCTCTCTTCGGTTCACAGCTCAACTAACCATTTTTTAATCCTCCCTCCCCAGGTTGTCCATTGCCGCTCCTGCTTGATGACCGGTGTACAGCCTGTCATCACGGACGAGGAATTTGACATTTACCAGCCGTGTACGGAGAAGCTGTGGGAGGCATTAGATCCGCAGTCATGGCGCGCCTCATTTCCTTGGACACAGAAACCTCCCAGGAATCCTCCTCTCCGGGGGGCGCTAATTCAGTCTCTCGATGACGAACAAAGGTTCAAAAACATACCTTTTCTCGGGAGACTGATTGCAGATTACCTGTTGAGGTTGATTGATGTTGGTTTGATCCCGCCTCGTCTTTTGAGCGACTGCTCCGCCCGGGTGCTGTCAAACAGACGATTGCTGCTTGTGCAACAGGCGCTCAAGGAAGATGCTGTTGCTATGGGATAAAAGTATCAGAACCGTCAAGCTGGGATAGATGAGCTAGGTACGGACTGACTCTAAATCGCGGGAGGCGGATCACCTCCAGATGTAATGATTTTGCCTGACGGCTGTGACTGTCTCTCTCGAACGATGAACACTTTACCACTGAGAGCATAATACTATAGAGCTCGATAGGGAAGGTCCCCGGCTCCATTCCCCATTTTGAGAATATCCGAATAACGGACGGGCTTGACGAATGCCGAGGGAGGGCATCCAGGGAGAACACCGGGCTTGGAGTACATCACCTGCGATCTGCCTCCAAATTGATTATCAGAAGAGATGACTAGGTTCATCAATAAATGGCCACAGATTGCGGCTGCGAAGTTTCCGTGATATTCTCAACACTACGATAGTGTCTCGCCCTAGAGAGTCGGCTCTCTTCACGCTGTATATGAAGGCCGTCACTATCCTAGTCCTGATACATAGAAAAGGGGCACCGTATAAGCACTGGTTCTATTGTAGTAACGTCGTGCAGCATTCTCACCATTAATTCTAAGTTCCCTGGAATCAAGGAATAGACCATACATCGCCCCTAAACTTCACAAAATGAACGAGCTCATCACCCCTGTAACTCAACTGAAAAAGCCCTTGGAGATCGGGCCTCTCAAGCTGAGGAATCGAATTGGCATGTCCTCGATCTCGCGAAATCGGTATGTCATGTATTCCTCGGACCTACCATAGGCTGTGCGAGAACAAGTCGACTAGTCCGCGGACATCTGCAGATCCTCTGAGACCTACCCTAATGAATTGGATGCTGAATATTATTATCAGCGTGCACTTGGCGGGGCAGGCTTTATTGTCGCCGGTGGTGCTTTGATCGAGCCTCAGGGCACGCCGATGCGAGAGACACCAAGAATCGACACGCACGAACACGCTATGGCTTGGAAGAAGGTTGTCGACAAATTCCATTCTGTTCCCGGTTCCGTCTTCTTCTGTCAGCTCTGGCACTGTATGTCGCCCGTTACACAAAAGCTTTTGGCCTAGATCAGTGGTTGGTTGACTGACTACTTCAGCGGGACGCATGTCGTACAGGAATGTCAAGGTTCAACGCGAATATGGGAAGCCGACGATAGCCCCCAGCCCTATAAAAGCGCGTATGGGTCTATCGCCAGACAATGATGGAGTCTACGAGCTCGAGCCAGGAATGGAAAATGGCTATTCCACCCCAACAGCAATCACCGACCCCAAAGATATTGTGGAATTGTATCGACGGGCCGCTGCGAACGCCAAAGCAGCCGGTTTTGACGGAGTGGAACTGCATGGCGCCAATGGCTACCTCATCAACCAGGTCAGCTTCCGCATTCTCTATTTGCCATAGTTTACCTCTTGTACTGACGTCTGAAAATCAACAGTTTCTAGACGATGGCGCGAATCAGCGAACGGATGAGTACGGCGGGTCGGTCGAAAATGTAAGGATCTGATACAACCTAGCGCCAAAGCGCATCAAACTGACGAGTTCAAGCGAGCGAGATTTTGCCTGGAAGTTATCGACGCCCTGATAGACGTTTGGGGTCCTTATCGAGTAGGATTCAAGGTGACTCCAGCTCTGGGGCGTGGTGATCTCGGCATGTTCCCTGTTGAAAGGCAAATCGAACAGTATTCCTACTTGATCAAGGAGCTTGATAAGCGTCCACTCGCTTACATTAACTTAGTCCGATACCTAGGTACCGCTCGGTGCCCTATATGTTGACCAAGTCTGGTTTCTGCTAACTTCTGTGTAGACTGGATGGACTGGGAAATCGACGGCCGACTTCGAGGACCACTACACCCTGTCTGGGCCACCTACCGCCACCTGATCAAGAATGCTAAGGTCTTTCTCAACGGTGCCATCTCTATCGTCGAAGCCGAAGAGCTCCTCAAGGACAACACTGGAGACGTCATCGTCTTTGGGCGGCCTTGGCTGATCAATCCTGACTTTGCGAATGCTGTTATTGCCGGGCGTGAGAGCGACCTTTCTTTCAAATACAATTACGATGTAAGTTCTTTCTGCCCCTCTCTACACCCTCCGTTCGATGGCCGATACTGACAAAATGGGCCAGTACTTCGCACAGTATCCAAACGGAGATCCAAAAAAGGGCTACATCGATTACCCATTCATCACCATGGATTACAAGGCGCCACAACTAGCCGCAGATTGAGTCGGATTTATAGGCAATTGTATTCTTGGAGACTTTCAAGTTTCGCTGCTCATGGATCGTGGACATTTCCCAAGGGCAGTATGTGACAGTCAATCGGTTCGATGGCATATTGGCCAATGAATGGCCATTGTTCTGTCTCTGTCACATTAGGATGAGGATTGATCCACTTGGACTAATTTTAGAGATCGAAATCCGGCGAGTCAGGGTTCAGGTACCCAGTCGGCCATTAATTAGCATATAGCAGATGCTCGATTCCACGTAGGAACCCTGTCTAAAGTGCAGACATCTATCCGTTATAAACTCTCTACCGCATTCTGCCTCCCCATTTACATTGTTGCTCTGCCATTTTGATCGGTTGCTCTCACCTTGACCCCCCTTTTGTGTGCACTCAAGTAGAGGACTTGCCGAGTGTGTCGAAATTGCAATATCGCTCCGATGGTCTAGTCTGTGCCAGGGAACAATGCGGAGTACTGCTTCATGTTCTCTCGACGCCGCTCGCTCCAAATTACCCAGTCAGAACATCCCAGGCGATCGAGCTCAATAAACAGTCTCAGATGACCTTTTTCCACGACATGCGACCCTGAGGATCCGACGACACAGTGACCGGATCCGCTGAATGTGGGATGCGAGCTCTTAGTCTCCATCTTCAGCACTAGCAAGGCCACCGAAGGGCAGAGTTGACGGTCGCTTTAACCAACCATGATTGTGCGAGACCATCGTGTCTGAGAACAGATCTTAGAAGTGAGTCTGGCTGAGCTTCTTTCTCGCTACAGTTGCGGGAAATTCAAATCCCGGATCGATCAGGAGACTTCAATGAGCCCACAAACCTCAAACAGCTAGAGTGAGCGAGCAGTGCTGTTGTGCCACGGCATTTTAGCATTCCTCGAGACGGTGGCCGTAAATGATTCTTGCTCCGATCGTTGTGTAAACGAGCCGCCCTTGAGCTTCAGATGCTGGAGCTGTGGTTTAATGAGGAAAGAGCTCTGGAGTTTGGGGAAATTATACTGCTTGTCAACGATAAGAAATTCTGAACTTGTAGGACACGAACAGTCAGCCCAGTGGTAAAGCAGGATGTTCTCTCTGGGTAGTCAGACTGCTCTTGTCACTGGAGGAAGCCAAGGGATCGGCTGCGCCCTTACAGTTGGCCTTGCGGAAGCTGGCGCCAACGTGGTGGTCTTCGATATCAATCCCCCATCAACAAACTTCCAAAGCCTATCCGCTACGTACGGAGTGGCAACGGCATACCAGCAACTGGATGTTTCTAATGTCCCTGCGCTAAAAGAAAGCTTCAGGATCATCAACACATTCTGTGAAGAGAATGACGGCCTCGACATCTGCGTCGCTTGCGCGGGAGTCAACCAAGTGGTTGACTTCCTCGAGACTGACGAGTCAATCTTTGACAGAATCATGAGGATCAACGTCAAGGGAGCCTAATATACATGCCAACAAGCCGCGCAAGCGATGATCAACGGCGGCAAAAAGCAAGGCAGCATTATCGTCGTCGCCAATGCCGCAGCTCAGATTGCTGCACGGGCTCATAATTATAGTGCTTATGCCGCATAGTCCTCTAAGAGAACTTCTGCGGTCACTTTCCTGGACAACAGAAGACTAGTTTTCTCCGTGATGCCCCGCCACCTGTCGTCAAGACTTGCGAGTCCGCCCTCCGCGTTCTATTTGGCTGTCCTCACACTGTCGGCGTAGAAATACTCTCAGTCATTACTTCTTTCTCTCTGTGTACTTCCTGGACATGGTCCGTGGAAGCCTTCTCGTCGTGCAGGTTGACTTTAATCTCGTGGTGCTCATGGTCGATCTGGATATCCGCTGCGTGGATGGCAACTTCATCACCCAGCGAAAAGACGTCCGCCATCTCTTCCATTGGAATTCCCTTGCCTCGGGGAGGACGAAATAAATCCAAACAATCCCAACGATTGTGATGGCAATAAACACCTGGGAAGCAAGTCAGCCTTGTCAGCGGCGCTACATAAGTTGCGGGCACCCCTTACCAGGAAGAATTTCCATCCGATATTCGCAAAGGCGGTAGGGGCTGCTTGGAGAAAGACCAGATTGGTCAGGACGGAAGAGCAGAAAGAAATCGTTGCACCCTTGGCCCGTAGATGGTTGGGAAACAGCTCGGCGGAAATAACGAAGCAGCAGATGTCCACGCTCAGGCAGTATGATCCCTGGAAGAGCCACAAGGCTGCGACACCAACCCCCAAAGCGGCCTTATTGGTGCCCGCATCGGCGTACACGGCGACAATGATCGTTTCCAGGGTCAGAGAAAGCGCGCAGCCGCTCAGTCCGATCATCATCAGTTTTCGTCTGCCAATCTTGTCGACGAGAAGGCTGCCAACAACGCTGCAGACCGTTGCAGTCGTGATATAGCCACACTGGAAGCTCAGTTGATCATAGACGGCATAGCCGAGGCGTGTGTACAGGATCCCGCCCTGGCATATTAGTAAGGTAACAGGACAGCAGGTTGGGACAACTTACATAGTTGTTGACGACCAGATTGCCAGATGACTGTCCAAGGAAGGACATGATAATGACAATAACCCCCCGTTTCCGGACTGCCGCTTTAGTGATGAAGCTGATCCACGATGCGTCAAGTCGCTGATCCAGTTCCATCTGTTTCTGCATCTGGAGAAATTCTGCTCGAGCAAAATCCTCGCCCCCGCCAATTGCGTGTTGTTTCAATGTCACGGCAAGGGCGGCGGCATCTTTCCCTTTTGCCAACAGATACCTGGGTGTTTCTGGGAGGAACATGCCGCCAACAACCTGGATCATGGGACAGAGGACACCTAGGGCCAGCGGTACACGCCACTGAACGATGGCACCGGTGTGATAGAAGGCAGTGCCGAAGTAAGTGGATACCGCAAAGCCAAAGGCGCACCATATACCACACAAGCCGGTCAAGAACCCACGCAGGTGTGAAGGGGCAAGCTCAGAGGTGTAGACAGCGGCTATATCAGAAAAGGATTAGAGAGGTGTTGAGTACGTAGATTCTCAAGGGCGTAAACTTACGCAGGACAACCATGGAATAGCCGACGAAGCCAGTAAAGAACCGGAAAGCGATGAACATTCCGATGTTCTGCGAGGCTGCCAAAATACCCTGGGCAATAACGCCTATCACTGACAGGATCAAAAAGGCCATTTTGCGTCCATACGCATCCATGAGTAGCCCTGCGGCCAGCGTGCCAATCAGTCCACCAGCCTGTTCGTGGGGTCAGCTCTTCGGGTTCTGTAGCCACGAGCGTCCATGACTTTACCTGATAGACGCCCGTGGTAGCTCCGACCAGACCAGTCGAGCTCGGAGTCGGGTTTCCATCCCCGTCAACCAAGCCCATGTATAAGAGAAAATTGGGTTTGGTGAGGGTCGACGCGATGATACCGGTGAAGTATCCGTATGTGAAGAGTCCAAAGGCAATGAACAGACATGTCACAAAGTTTTTCCAATGGATGGGTCTGTTTGGTTCGATTCAAAGTCTCGACGTGCTCCATTTTGTCCGTGCAGGGAAATATATGGCGTTCTCTCTACTCGCCTGAACAATCTTCAGCCATGATAGATGGGGAGGGCCCGCTCTTATATCGAAATCGATTGCCCATCCTTTTGGCCTTGTCGGCCAACGGTCCTTGACGGATGGGCCAGAACAAGCAAGAGAACAAGCGAGATATCAACCCCGGATCATGGGGCCCCGGGGGACAGCACGCGTTTCTCCCCGCCAGCAATGCTGACATTGTGGGCGAGCCTTGTGTCCTCCACCCTCTTCTAGAACCACTCTCTTTCCCTCTCTTGTTGTAAGCGGGAGTGCAAGATCCGCAGGGCGTAGAGCAGCGGCCTTCATCTGCCCCGTTCGAAGTTCAACGCACGGCCCAGGATCGTCAACTTATTCCCTTTTTGGCCAAGTGGGCTACTCCGTGATTGCTATCGCTGTTCAATTAGTAAGGAGGTGAGCGAGGGCTAGCTTTCCCAAGCAGCTGCAAGTCTGGACAGACTCGCTGGCTTTGTGAGACGAAGTCTGGTGCGCCCGCAACGAACCTACGCCAAACGTTGGTACTCCTCCCCTAGTGCGGCTTCCATGATCGAGTAGGAACTAGTTGGATTCGTCCGGACGGAGAGCGCAAATTTCCGTGGAGTTCAAAACCGGAAGCGAAGAACAAATGCAAATGACTCTAGGCCCAGCTCCAGGCCCCGCCCTTTTTCTAAATCATATGCTGTCCTATCGGTGACGATGCTGGTAGTCGGAGACTTCTCGAGTGCAATTAGCCATCGGAGAGCCGAATGCCGCATGAGCATTTCACTGCATTCGAAGCAACACGTCGGGATAACTCAATGCCGGAACTCCCACGCACGCCTTGACATGGGCCGGCTAAAGCCCAACGTGCCAGGCTCGCTGTCACAACCCGATCAGAGGAAGAGACGGCGAAGGGGTCAGAAAGGGGAGGCGTCCTGAGGAGGCGTAGAGAACCCCGTTGTAGGAATGGCCTATGAGTGGATAGGCAGAGATAAAAGTAGGTTCACAGTCGAGTAGCTGCCTCTTAACCGCTTGGGTTGTAAAAGACTTGAAGTATGAGAGGGGGTAAGGACTTTCAAACGAGGAGGTTGGGTAGAGCTCTATCTGCGCTGGTTGGTCGCTTGGCACTTCTGCGAGAGGATCCCTGATAATTGGCGTTTACTGCAATGGAACGTTCGAATAGTAGTCTTGAGGTGACATTGCAGAAACTTCCTGCCCTGGAATAGGACAATAGGAATAATATGGCCACACCATCGCGAACAAATGACATTCTCACCTCTGTATTTCTACCCACAGATCAAGCATCGGATTCGCGTCTTACTCGACACATTGGAAAGATTCCCAATCGTTTGGATTCTTTCCCACGTACTTCGCAGTCCTGGGCCAAGCACACAGTTTTCTGGTCCGATTGGTTCCATCGGCAGGACCTGTACTTTTTATTTCGACAGGTGCAATACCCTTCTCGACCCAGGACACCAGCGTGCCCAAAGTGTCGACGGTACCTGGTACCTGCGGATAAGCAGATGCTGGGCCACAGTGCCCATACCCAGGAATCATGAACAGTCGATAGAAGTCTGAAGCATTGCCGGCTGCGATGCCATTCGATGACAGAAACGCGGAAGTCTGCTCAAAATGTTCGATTGGCCATGTCGCTGCATTGTATGCATCCGCCCAACCTTGGGTGACGAGCAGCTTGCCCCTGTTCTTATACGCCCGGAGGTCGGGGGAAATAGAATCAATGAGAGGCGAAACCCTGGAATCGACAGTCTCAAGCTCAGCAGGGGTGAAACTGAACGAGATGTATTCGTACGACAAATTCTTGAAGACTGCATTCTGGAGTATCGGAATAGTGAAGTTGAGAGCCAGCTCCGCTTCTTGAAGGAGCCACGAGCTTTCTGACCCGAAGTCGAACCCTGGATACACTTTTCTACCGGTGCCAGCTTCGCTCGGACCGGCTCGGATTGCTTGATAAGTGGCCACTTCGGCGGACGTGACGCACTGGATCCCTTTACTATTGTTACGTGCTTGTCCCGCTGCACATGCAATCTCTGAGATATTGAAACGACAGTTGAGTGGATCTCCGATCACGCCATCCTCGAGGCCGTCGAGGCTATCGCACTTCTTCAGGGTCGAATTTGTGATGAAATTGAGAGTGGCCTGGTCCAGAAAGGCCTTTTGTGCATGGAGATAGTTCCACAGGAAGCTGAGAGTCAAGTGGCTATACCAATTACCCGGAGATCCAGCAAATATTCCGTCGAAAAGCTCTGGGTGATATTGGGCGAGGGCGAAGCCTTGTGCGCCACCGGTCGAACAGCCTGCATAGTAGGAATGTGAGGGACTCCTTCCGTAAAAGATTTTCGTCAGTGATCGTGTCGGCGGTGTCATTGACGCAACGGAATTGTGGATCCATTCAGTCGTTTCATCAGGGTCCTGCAAGAAGGGGATGCTCTGACCAGGCATACTGATGCCGTTACCGTTAGCTGAGAATAAATGTCCAGAGTCGCCACCGGCGACTGCATAGCCGGCATTGACTTGCTGCAACATTGTACCATAGTCGATGATGCCTCCGAAACCCCCGGTCCCTTCGTCAATCAGCTTGTCGAGGTCAGGTTGTGCCTTGGAGGTAAGTCATACCAACAACCAGATACCGCCCATTCCACAGCGACGAAGGCGGCAACCAAAGCTCGATACCTTCAGACTTGTTTAATCCATACCTCACATTTCCCTGAACGCGACATAGTGGGACCTCGTTGGTGTAAGGCCCGAACAGCGCAAAGCTAAGGGTCTGCGGCGCGACTTCAGTCGCGTTTGTGATGGCCAAACTCGAGGAATCGCCTGCTTGTGAGGTTAGATCAGTGCAAGATACTTGCTGTGCAACACAGTATTGGGCGATATGGATAGAAAGGAGGGACAAAGTTTTGAAGGCCCGGAACATCCTGGAATGCGTATTCAGTGTCACTGTAACCAAACAAAAGGCGGCTTTGAAAGTCTCGGGTATCCTCAGGGCAGTCCTGCATAATTTATATGTAGAAGCTGCGTACACTGGCGGCCAGCTCAAGGAGGATCAATCCTAATAACGACATTAAGGTCCTTCGCAGAGGCGGAAGGCTTTGCTCAAACCGGTATGGACCGGCTTGCACCGGTTTGACCGGACCGTAGACAAATCTACCTCACCTTCTGAATTTACCAAGTTGCTATATCCGAGGTAAGACTCAGGAGGCCTGTAAGAGCCTTCAGTTACTAGTCAAAAGTTCCGAGAACCCCAGATTTGCTCAGATAAAGAGGTGGAGAAATTTGAAGGATTGGGGGCCATTAGGGGAAGGGGTATTTCAGCCTCGTGATATCGGTTCTGTTCATCCATATGCTGTCGTTCATTCTAAAATCCAAAGAACAAAAATATAGGAGGAGAACCACACCAATAGGAGCAAGGAGATTCTGCTCCAGCTTCAGGCTTCAGCGCTGCAGAATTCAACTGGGCCGATGGTTTCAACTTGCCATGACTAGCACCCATTGTTGATATTTTCACCTTCTCATTTGCACTCCACGTATAGAAACCTGCTCATGGCTGTATTCTCTTCCTGCAGCGGAGCTTTTTAAGATATGTTAAGCTGCCTCAATTCTTGGTCGGAAAATCAGACATTTGGTATCGGTCTTCGAGGATGTCCTCCTATCGGAGTGGGAGCGGGTCCTGGCACATCCTGACATCGCCACAGCCGAGTGAGAGACGTTCATAGTTTTGTCGATAAGCTTTCGCCAGCCTTAAGTGACCTCACATCTGCTGAATGGACGCTGGGAAGAGATCTATAAATTCACCTGTGACAGGTAACGAGTTCCCACATGAAACTTCGATCTTTCCAGACCTGATAATTGGAGTGTCCTAAGACAGAGTCTCAGGTAGCAACAGCATCGCAGATCTGCTACATATGAGTGACTTGGGATATAATTGAAATTCGTAGATACAAGAGATGTACTCCGTAAACTTGGAACGTTGGCTGCTACCCTGATCCTCGCCCCAGGTTCGTGGAAGGTTGCCCGAAGCGTCAAGGGAAAGTTAGCCGATGCAGTCTTCTGCCCGCTCCTTCATCTTCAAGATTCACGATCAGCGATGAAGAATAGTCTTAAGCGGCTTTCGCCTGCGTTTTACAGTGACGTTACTTTAATATCGCCTGATTGACCGCGCTGGCCTCGCTACTCAGTCATATCATCTCAATGTCAACACTACCTTAGGCTATCCCTCGTCCTCCCCCTTGATCTACTCGTTTCTGATTCCTCGAAAATACTACAACCATGGCTAGTTCGCCTCCATCTCCATTTCACACAAGCCTCCCAAATCCCAAGAAGCGGACCTCTATGAGTTCACAGGCATCGGCACAAGGAGCATCCAAGAGACCGAAGCTACATCCTCTCAGACAAACCTCATTTCCTGCTCAAGATGCAAGTGGACGATATGGTTCCGCGGTCACGAGTGCGCGCTCCGAATCTGGTAGTGTCGCAAACAGTCTCTTATCAGGGGTGAGCGGCAAAGTCCCCGGCAGGGGGAGAGGAAGACCTCGGAAATCACAACAACTCAACGACGAAGATACTCGCTCCGTGCGCCAGGCTCCCGCCGATACGGCCAGTCAAGTCGAAAGTACCTCAAGAAATGCCGGCCGCGGAACAAAATCGGTGGTTAGCGCTCGTTCAGGTGCAGCTGAGCAGGAAGAGGACGACGAGGGTGACATTGATGGCATGTTTGAGACCATGGATGAACAGGAGAGACGGCAAGCTGAAGAAGAGGAAACAAGGCAGGAGCAGCGCCGTGAGCGGTTGGCAGATATGCTTGACCCAGACCAATATGCGCGATACAACCAGTGGCGGGCTCTCTCACTCAATGTCGCTACAGTCAGGCGGCTGGTGAATTCTGTTGTCTCGCAGTCGGTCACGTCTGCTCCTCTGCAGGCGGTAAGAATCTACGGTAAATGGTTTGTGGGCGAGATCGTGGAGAGAGCGCGTGAAGTGCAGATCGAATGGGCCAAAGCGTACGAAGAGACGAGGAAAGAGGAGAGCAAACGCCGACAGAAGGAGTTAGAGGCGCTAGAGGAGAAGCAAAAGCAAGGCAACTATACCGATCAACAAGCCCGCTTGTTGGCGAGGGACCTGGAGGGACTCAGGAGGGAAGTGAAAGAATATATCCCAAATCCGCACAAGGGAGGGCTCTTGCCAGATCATCTTCGAGAGGCATTGCGGAGATACAAAGCCGACGGAGAAGGTGGAGGTGTCGGATTCGAAGGTTCGAGCCATGGTCTACTTGGAGTGCAAGGCCCTATGGCTTGGAGGGTTGGCGATGGTGCTTCTGGTAGACGACTCCTGAGATGATGCGGGGTATTCTCAATTCTCGATGCCCTGGATCTTCAGAAGGATCAGCATATCTCCGCGATGCTACTCCAGCCAACGGTTGTTTCTCTGCGCCATACAAATTGCGACTGAATCTACCCGGAAACTGCAAGCGAAAGGGAACTTGGCCCAAGACAGGTTGAGTCCGAACACGATGGATTTCTATACGCCGTATCGACGCGCCGATTGACCGTCTCGGTCACTCAACGGTGAGGCTGGTGGGCCAGCGACCTCGTTAAAAAGCTCACTCTTGCGGAGTGGAGTGTTCGCCGGTGAGAACTGCAGGCCACTTATGTACGGAGTCCCGAAGGAGCAGCTGAATCCTAAGCGAACGAATGAGGCTGAACCTCCGATACGCGTCAACCAACCACCCGCATTTCTCGTTGACTGCAAAGAGAACTGTTCCCGGATAATCGCCCCCTGGCTAAGCCGTCAATCTCCTCGGTGTGTCGTCTGGCATCTTCTTTTCTCGCCCCAGCTGATCCAGAGTGTATGTACTTGTATGCTTCGATCCTGGATGTTTGTCACCTATGGACAATCACTTGAGGAAGACCCCACCTGGTGATTGATTGGGCTACTTTGGCCTTTAGGCTACCAGCAACCAAACGAATGTTGCGGTACAAATACAGGACGCCTGACCAGCGAAGCCAACGGGCCAATTTTTAGACGCAACTCGCTCTGCAACATTGATCAAGCTCCGTCGACGCCACATTGGCATCTAATAAAACATCATGTTTTCGTGCTCGTCATTGTCACTTTCTCCCTTCCTCTATTCTATTCTCGAGGGACTAACGCGCAGCGGTGCCTAGTGTGCTATCACTCTACCATGGCCGATGTCTTCCTTGCGCAGACCTGCAGCTGCCCAACGAAGCAGCTACTACGCAATCGAAGGCTCTGCCTTTCTCGATGACTACTCTCCCGAGATAGTCCGCACTGGGACCTTGGGTCAGAAGGTCGACCGCCTCTTCAAACGCCGAAAGACTAGCTGGCAGGACATTGAAAGAAGATCCGAGCGGAAATCGAGACCATGGAACCCTCTTCTCGACTACCTTTGGGACCACAGATATCCTCTTCGTGCGCTCTTGTCAATCACGGCAGCCCTGCTCGAGTTGTTGTTGCTATTATTCCTCTTTTGCACATACTACACCTTACCTGCCGATCCGCATACCGGCGCGAAGCCACCTCGGGTCGCTGATCTCTACTCTACTTTTCCTTTCATGAGCTGCGTTGGCTCGAAGAAACTCTCGGTCTATCAAAGTCTGACCTTTTGCGTGGTACTTCTCGGCATCACGTCGACCGCGATCAGCTTCTATTTCACCCGGGACGACCACCTAGGCTGGCAAACGCGTCGCGCAGGATGGCTCGCAAGTGTTGTGGGAGCTGGTCTCAGTATCTGGGTTGTCTTTGCCGCAGCGACGCCCAACAGGCATCTCCACCTTCTCGTTACCGCGGCTAAAGCGATCACCGTCTTCTCCATCAAATCCACCGGACTGCTGGTTGATCATTTGGAACGCCGAAAGTATCCCGCGCTTCGAGAGGTCGGTGTGATCAAGATTTTGCTGTGGTGGAGAGCTATAACGTTGGTGTTCGCATTTCGTAAGTCCATGATTGGTTTATAGCTCCGTGCGAAATCTGACAAATGGACAGCGCTTGCCCTAATGACCAACATAGCCATCTTCGGCTGCAACGGGTCCAAACCTGAAGATATCCAGACACCAGGAACCAGATGCTACCGTATCATGGCACTGGGGGCACCTGCAGAGTGGCTGTACGCACTCACCACCGTCTCCTGGAGCCTAGCAATCGCCTTCGACGTCTATACAACGCCCATCGTTAGCAAGGTGAAATCTCAACAAGATCAGGCAGAGATAGGACTGTTGACGTCGCCTTCGACCGGGCAATGGGGCACCCACCCTCACAGTCCGGAAAGTCCAGCATTTTTCATCTCACCGGACAAGGACGAGGACTTCGGTTTCAGTCAGTCGGGCAACAAAGGAAATCGCAGCAGACACTCTGAGAATCTCGATACAAATTCTACGCATCTCCATAGTGAGCATGATGTCGCAGTCAACGATGAGCCTGAAGAGGACCTCGGACCGGCCGTTCGAACAAGAGACTGGGCGTGAAAGCGAGAGATTGGACCTACCGACGCCAAGGCATCCGGGAAGCAAAGAGAACTGGAACGGACAGACTCGAGAATGACATGGATTATTACCGTCCATCGACATTCTCTGCCTGTGATCTTAGAAAAGTATCTTGACAGAATTCCTTTTACTTTTGTTTTTCTCTGTCTCTTGGGCCGGAACCTTGGTCCCTGGTCCATTTTCACCCTTATTAGGAGGCAGACCTACGAAGCCTCACTGCTTGAGTATCGTCAAGTGATCTGGATTCCTGGATGTATGGACTCTCTCCATTTGCGATGATTCTGCAGGATCTCTCTCCACCCTTGAGCACGCCTGACTCGATTCCATGGACTTGCTCGAGAGCGCAGTGCCTGAGCCTCACCAGCCAACACTAAGGCGTCCTGGACGTCCTATAAGGCTGGAAAAGGCTGAAAGTGGGCGCCGGTATCCGACCAACAGGAACGAGGTCGGGCTGCCGGAGACAGTTGCTTGGCCGTTGACTCTCCGTCCCTACTCAGGCAGTATCCATCTTCTAATACAACATTCACATAGGTGACGATGATCGGCGCGGGGAAGTGCTTCCGGCGACCCATGGACCATCATCTTTGGCCATCTTTGCCATATGACATACGGTGACATGCAGAACTCGCGACATGTAAACACTGACGTCATTTTCGATATTGGATCCCGCAATCCTTGCGTCCGAGTCGTGAGGAGACATTCAAATGGACCATTATGCCATACATATGAGCCCAGTATGTTTTCTAAGGTGAGACTAGACAAGAGGGAGAGCCTGACCCAGAATTCCCTTCACACGCGTGTATTACTTTTAAATCTCTTTTGCTAAAGTTTGACTAGGGGCATTCCTTGGGCCATTCTTGTATAGATTTTAATTGTTCGCAATTCAAATCCGCTGGCTCGAAACGGTTATATAAAAGTCTGGGCCACATTGAGAAAGCCAAACAGACCTCTTCCAACGTCTAATACTGTTTCGACCCTCTTCATAACATATTCTGTTTCTGACAATATGTCCGCTTACACTGAAAATCTGCAATTCTCCCGGGAAGATGTCGAGTTTGGTGAGTTCTTGACCCAGCCTAGCTGGTGGTTCCTCAAAGGCTCGCATTAAAAGAGCCTCATATCACTCGGTCAAGACAATACAGGTCACCCAGGCTGACGTTGACTCTTGGGATTGCCCGCAGAGATCCCCCAGGATCTCCCGGAGAAGCTGAGAGAAGAACTCCGAAGATTGGAACAGATTTTTACCGTCAATACGGCCATGCTGAAGAAGATCACGGATCGGTTTGGTGAGGAGCTCGACGAAGGTAAGCCCCTGTCTCATTTGAGGGCCGTGACTGTGAACACGAAGCTGTTTGGATAGGAAGAGGTCTGAGACCATCGACTATGGAAAGGTTGTCGAGTGGCTTGACTGGGGAAAAGGCAATGCTACTTCAAGCCTCAGTGAACGGTCGAGCTTCAATTTGGGCATTTCTATAGAACTGCTGCTGACTTGTATGTTCCATCAGGTCTCCGAAAACATGAGTCAAATGTCGTATGTCTTCCCTACACTGTCTCATTGATGCTCCAGTCTCCAAAGCAGAGCCCCCATTCTCTATACATGCTGACCTGCTGTAGCCGATGAATATAACATGGGTTACTTCCTTCCCAACAGGACGCGAAACAGGTACTTATCTCACCCTCGACCTGGGCGGAACCAATCTCCGCGTCTGTCTCATCACGCTCACCGGCACACCGGGAGGCTCCGACATCACCCAGGAGAAGTACCAACTACCCAAGGAGATCAAGACCGGCACGGCAGATGAACTGTTCGAACACATTGCCGACCGCCTCGGGGATTTCGTGAAAAACCACGTAAAATCCGAAAAAGTGATGGGAGACGAGGGGAAAGTGCCGCTCGGGTTCACCTTCAGCTACCCAGCTACTCAAGACAGGATTGACCACGGAGTCCTGCAGACGTGGACGAAGGGATGGGACGTTAAAGGGGTGGAAGGTAACGACGCGGCGGAGATGTTGAGGGGAGCTATAGCCAAAAGGGTATGTTCTCGCCTATAACACCATCATCTCCTATCTTTTTGCTTACTATGTTCGACGTGTCTTAAACGGCATTTGAGTGTCCGATGTGCTGATACTGCTGTGTTGCACGGCGCAGGACCTCCCGGTAAAGCTTGTCGCTCTGATAAACGACACGACCGGCGCGCTCATCGCTTCGGCATACAACGACACCGAGACAATCATTGGCGCAATTTTCGGAACGGGATGTAACGCGGCATACATGGAACGAGCGTCTCGTATACCAAAGCTGCACGGAAAGGGTCGATCCTCGAACGGGACTATGGCCGCGTCAGAGACCGAGAAAGGAGGGGCCGATGACTCGCTCATGGCTATCAACTGCGAATACGGCGCCTTTGACAACTCCCACTCGATCCTGCCCAGGACGCGATACGATGAGTTGATCGACGAGCAGTCTCCGCGGCCGGGAGAGCAGACGTTTGAGAAGATGTCAGCGGGACTCTACCTGGGCGAGATATTCCGCCAGATCCTCGTCGACCTGCACGCCCGAGGGGTGATTCTCCAAGATGCAAGACTCGACGACAAGCAGAAGGAACCCCTAGACACCCCTTACGCGATCGACACGGAGTTCCTGTCCAACCTCGAGAACGACTCCTCGCCCTCCCTGTCCTCCTCGACCCGTGCCTTTGAATCGACGCTCTCGAACCTGCGCCCCGCGCCGGCAGAATTGGTCTTCTTCCAGGCTTTGGCAAAGCTCATCGCCATCCGCGGCGCCAGGCTCTGTGCGTGCGGCGTCTCCGCGATCTGTCGAAGGATCGGGACGCGGAAGGGCCATGTCGCCGCGGACGGGAGCGTGGCGATCAAACACCCCCGGTTCAAGGAGCGGTGGGAAGACGCGGTCAGGGAGATTCTGGACATGAAGATGGGGGCCAAAGCGGCTGGGGGAGGGGAGGGAGGGTTGGAAGGAATCGAGTTGACGAGCGCAGAGGATGGGAGCGGCGTCGGGGCCGCCGTGATTACTGCGTTGACTATGGGGAGGACAGGTGGAAGATGAAGCAGTAGTCGTTGCTGATTGCCGCTAGCCACTACGAGGGATATGTTAACGCGTTTGAGCGACGCTGCAAGGTTGGATTGTTTCCACAGATATCCTGGGACACGACCTGCCGCCAATGCAAGACATTGGTATCACCGGGCTATAAGCTCTTCATACTTCTTCCTCGCCACAACACCTCCTGACCCACTGAGTAGTTTCGTCCACGCGGCTCAGGAACGGAAAATGTCCGCTGTTGATGCTGGTCACATGGATCTTCCTCGCCTCATCCTCTCGTGCGCTTCCGGCCTGGTGCGCCGCCGCAATGTCCCTGTCCGTCCCCTCGATCATGGTCCTTTGGAATGCCGCCGGGAGCCCTCTGTCCTCCTCACACACCAGGTAGAACAAGTCCAAGCCCGGATCAGACTTCGGCCCGGGTTTCCACGGCGCAAACGGCACCGGTGTCTTATGGACGGCCCAGACCTGCGGCGTGCAGAGAGAAGCGTACCGCTGGGCGGCCTGGGCATCGCTCTCGGCCAGGTCGTGGTAGAACAGAGCGATGGGACCGGGTTCGGAGACGGGAGCGCAGACTTTGACCTCCCTCGTCGGGTCGACTGGGGAGGTTATGGTTGAGATGGCCATCGTCGGCGGGACCTGGCCGCCGTTCCAGTCGAGCAGCGAGATCCCCGGAGGCGCGAGGAGGCCGGAGATGATTAGCAGCGCGGTGACGCCATTGCGGTGGCCTGCCCACGCACGCGAGGACTTGTCGAGGTCCTTGATCGCCGCACCTGCGGGGACCGTGCCGTACGAGTGCGAGACCAGCACCACGTCGACGGCCGGGCTGGAGGCGAGCTCCGAGACGATGGCCCCGCGGATCGCAGAGACGTCGTCGTCGATGCCTGACACGGGCGGCGCGTTCAATCGCTCGTAGTGCATGCTTGGTAGCCACGGCGAGACGGTCCTATAGCCGTGAGAACGGAGAGCTTCCTCCAGCGGCTGGAAATGCTCTGGCGAGTGCCAGGCGCCGTGGACCAGGATGATGGTGGGTTTTGGGGTGGTCATCGTGGCATGTGCTTGGTGGTAGATAAATCCCTTCTTTACACTCTGGAGTCAGCCTCGCGTTCGGATGAGGGCTCTTCGTTTGGATATTTGGACACGGATACGCCTCCATACCTAGTTTTGACCTTTTTAGGCTTTGGAAAAATACTCAGCCAGCCAGTAAGAAGTGGAGAATTGCTTTCAAGTCTACTGGATCGTCGCTCGCCAACTATATGACCACGAAGCTTCCTCCAACGCGGACAATGTACAGAGAGCCTGAAGAAGAGATATGTGACACACGTGAAGTACGTTTGAGCAAATTTCAAACTCATCCTCTCCAGCTCACCGTTCACTCCACATTGCCGGTCGTTGACGCTAGTTGGATCCAACAAAGGGGGCCTGAGGGCTGGAGGCCTGAGACGGCGGCGGCTGTCCTCTACGAGCACGTTCGCCTTTCGCAAATACAGCCTTCAGGCGCAGCTTCTAATCGGTGGACACGACAGTTAAGGCGCCTTCCCACAGCACTTGAGGAGAGTGTGAGATTGTAGAGTAAAGATTGCACCGCCATTCTCATCCTCGAAGTGTGCCCCCCCTGAGTGTGGCAGCCTCGGCAAATCCTCGTACTGATGACTTGTTGCCTACGCCGTCTCTACAGGATGCCAATGTATTCTACAGATCCAGGAATCGGCCACAGACTCTGATCTACTTTCCACCTACTCGTCTACGCATTCCTTTCCTGCAGAGACCATATGGCATGTCCACGACAACACTTTTGGACTCTTTCCGGTTTAGCAGACCCCCGGCCGCCGGCTTTCTGCTGCTCCTTGGACTTGAGGATTCCTGAACATCATAGACGGTATATGAAATTTGGCTAGACGGTCGTGGTAACCGTGTCTTGTAAACATTCAATTATTCACCTGTTATAATCATTGTCCTATCAAATTCTGACGACCAATGCCAATTTTTTAGCGCATCGCAGGATATGTTTAGATGACTTCATTGGATGTCACACTATCTCATGAAGAAGAATCAACGGGTCCTCCAAATCAGGCCTGAGACGTTCGGCATTAGGAATTGTCAGCGACGAGAAGAGGCAGATAATGCCACTGGCCAGAATTCTGACGCTCTTGTCTGTTTTTTGGATTGTACTCCCCTTCACAGTCGACCGCGGTGGGACAAGGAGCTCAGCAAACCAAGGCCTTGATCCGTCTTGCTTTTTCGATATTCCCGCGGCCATATCCCCGACTTCCCAGCAGCAAGTATTCCGTTGGGATCAATGACGTCTTTCAGCACTTGAGTGAATCTCAAATGAATGTGGTTGTTGAAGTCATATTGCGCAGCCACGACGTCCATGAAGTTGAGGTGAGTCCGGTATTCGGAATATCCCCTGGCTCTTGCCGAATTCAGGAGTTCTAGGAAGCAAGCGTGCGCGGCGGCCTTTTCTTGCTCACTGTCATTGTCGTAGTATAGCAAGTTTAAATGGTTGAGGTGATGAGGGTATAAATGAAATCCGGCGTAAAAATCGAACCCGTGCTTTGCGCTAATCTCCTTTCCCACGAGATAGAATTGGAAGACTGCATCACCATCCGGCGGCAGTACGGGGGAGAAGGTAATATGTCCGCCGTTTGTTCCGCGAAATTTGATCGACTGCAACCGAAGTAGATTTGGAAGGCCGATCTGAGTACCACCACTCTCACTGACTGATACTTCGTCTGCACGAAGCAGGCGGGATGAGTCGCGAGCTAGAAAAGTCTCGTTTGTGAGCTTGCAGCCCTTGACATCAGAGAAAGCCGCCTGAATGGCTGACCACCGCGCGTTCATCATCGTTTCACTGCCTGGTACTGGCGGTCAGTCTCACGCACTGAAAGATGCACACAGAAGGAATACCGTAGAAAGCAAAGCGCGCATTCCAGAAGCCCCAACCCCGTTGCTTCCTGATCGCGTCGATTATATCATCTGGTATCGCCCCGGTTCCGCGAAAGACTTGATCTCTCGGTCCAGATGCCGCCAGGGTGCGGATGACATTGCCAATTACCGGATGGTTTTGCAAAACATCACTTTGATACAGACGAGTCAATTTGTCGACCAGGACCACCAAGTCCTCCTCGAGATCAATAGATACATTGCAGCTCATAAAGCCTTCCTGCTGCGGATATAGCCAGATTCCCATCTTGGTGACGATGCCGAAATTGGATTGGAAAAACAAGGAGTCAAGCGAAGGGCCATAGCCTGGCTTGAAGCATTGCCACGTTGAACTGTCGGCGATGGCACCCATGGCGGTGCGCAGAACTTGTCCGGTCGGGAGCACGACTTCCATGCCACATTGCGCAAGACAATGCTCGCCCAAGGGTGTATAGCCCCATCCTCGGTCCAGGGTATTACCCACGATGCTGCCCCAACCGAGGGAAGGCACCGAAGGATAGACCTTCAGGCTCTTCTTCTTGCAGTGATCGTAAAGATCGAAGAATGTAACACCCGGTTCGACGAGCGCATAGCAGTGCTTGTCATTCACCTCAAGAATTCGGTTCATGCGGCCGAGATTAACAAGGATAGAACCTTGGACTCTGCATGCGGGACCTCCATACCCATTGTTCTTGCCACGAGAGAAGGGCCACAGAGGTAGGTGGTATTCGTTGGCGACCTTTACTATGAACTGGACGTCTGCGACTTCTCCAGGTAGCACTACAGCCGAGCAGCGGTTTTCGTCTCCTGGTTTTGTTCCGATGGGAAACGGATCTCGAAATGCTGATCACCCAAAAGCTGTTAGCGAAACTCATTCTGCTCATATGGCAACAATCGTTCACCTTCAAGATCTTTGGGGTTTGAAAGGACATTTTCATTACCAAGGACTCTGCGAAAAGTACAGAGTACATGGTCAAATACTTCCGACGAGATGTGCGGCGGGAGCACGACAGGAATCTCCATCAACTACTTTACAACGAAGGCCAACTTGGAAGGTTATAGACAGATGTATCATCTATCAGAACTATAGACTGGGGCATGTTTATGGAAGCTTCAGTACCTATAAGAAAAAGTACCTATAAGAAAACAAAGCTAGGGTCTTGTTCGACTACGAAGCAGCTGGTAGCGCGACAATCCTTGCAATCTTGTCATTGGCGAGTCGAACACGGGTCTTCCTTATCGCTTCTGAGCGCCCTCCGCACTTTACCGCCTACAGTCCGGCTTTTCGCGGGCAATCGTTCTCCGTTCGAAGGCGGCCTCCGCATTATCCCGCTCTTTGCACCTGTTCCGCTCTCCTTTACGAGATTGTCATGCAGCCGTTCTCGAGATTCGACATGTCTCTGCCTCCCATCGATAGAGTAGATTCTATGTCAATGCACAGCATAAGTGGCAGATATAAGAGGGCAACCGATTGGCACCCGAAGCGTCGGTCTGCCATGCGTATTTCAATGGTGTGCTGTCCTGACCAGCACAACTCAGTCCATCCAGTACGGTAACTGGCTCTTCCTTTGAAGATCCATGAAATCATTTCGGGCATAACGCCAGCAGTTTCACAAGATGCAAGGGAACAAGACAACCGCCATTGTGGGTGGAAATGATATTGACAGCAAGTGTAGCGACAATGCCGACCAAATACAGAAAATGGGGATAATTGACGTTGAGGATGGTGACAGCGAAGGGCTCATCGATTCAGTGCCTAACTCAAAGCTGGTGAGGTAAGGGGAACTGCTCCTACATCAGTTCACTATTCATTCAGAGACTTATTCGATCCAAATGCAGGAAAATCGACCTTAAATTGATGCCAATTGTAAGCAAACGCTCATCACACCATTCGCTCACAACTCCTACTAAGCTGCCCGTGTAGATGTGTATCACCTATGCTCTACAGTATTATGACAAGGTGCTTCTCGGACATGCAGCGATATATGGCCTCATAGCCGACCTGAACCTTCAGGGTCTCCGGTTGGGGTACACGAGCCAGATGAAGTGTCAAACTGCTGACTGAGGTAGATATTCGAACGCTTCTATGATATTTTATTGTGGATACATCGCTGGTGCCTTTCCAGTGAGTCTTGCTCCTCAGACTACATTGAATACGACTAAGCAGTTGAAGGTGTCATTGATCACCCAGAGATACCCAGCTAACAGAGCATGCGCGGCGCTGTGCATGATGTGGGCAACAGTTGCGCTCTCGACGGCTGGATGCACTACGTATGCCGGCCTGTTAGCAAACAGATTCTTCCTCGGTGTGGTAGAGAGTGGAATCTCACCGACTTTTATGTGGGTGCTCGTGCATTCCGGTGATTTACCAAACTACACCTTGCCCACTCTAACAGACGCTCCAGGATTATTACTTCCGAATGGTACAGCCCTGCCGAGCAGGTCCTTCGGTCTGGCTTCTGGTTTAGCTCCAGCGGCGGAGCAAATCTATTCGCCCCAGCAATCAGCTACGGAATCGGCCATATCAATTCAGGAAGCCTCGACTCCTGGCAATATATGTACCTGCTCGTTGGTACTATCACGTTTGTTTGGTCGCTTGTCATCTTTTTCTTCTTTCCGCACTCTCCCGTCAAGGAGAATGGGTTCACGCCCGAAGAGAAGGCCTTGATATTGACTCGGATAAAGACAAACAATGTTGGGTCCACGAACAGACAGTTCAAGTGGAGGCAGGTGCTGGAATGTTTGACTAGCGTCAATTTCTGGTGCATTTTCCTGATGGCCACGTCCAGCACTGTCACAAATGGTCCGATATCATCCTTTGGACCGATCATATTAAGTGGTATGGGCTTCACAAAGTCTCAAGCATTGCTACTGAACATACCGACTGGAGCCATGGCGGTTATCTGCGTCCTAGGCTCGGCAACGCTGGGTAGTAAGATCCCCAATGTTCGCCTGTACATCATTATGGGTGCTTCGATGTTGACTATTTTGGGAGGGTGTCTCGTGTCAGTATACATCTGCGCTAAGAAGCTCCGTTCTTGGATTATTGCAGCTAATGTGATGTTTGAAAACTAGATGGAGACTCCCTCTGTCCAACAACGGGGGACGGCTGACCGGCTTCTACTTTTTGAATTTCTTTTCATCAGCATATGTCCAAGTTATTGGGCTTGGGACTTCGAATGTATCTGGATATACGAAAAAGACCACACTTTCTGCGGGTGTATTTGTCGGATACTGTCTGGGAAATATCATTGGACCTCTAATGTTCAAGACGTAAGCTACACTCTGGCACTTACATGAGCGCATCCATACTCACAGACAGTAATAGCTCAGATGCGCCGCGGTATGATCCCGGTATGATGGGCACGGTGGCTTGCCTCTCGTGCAGCTTCTTCATCGCCATCGTTCTCAGATTCTACCTCTCATGGGAGAATCGACGTAGAGATAGAGCATTCGGAGAGCCGGGGTGTGAGAATGGTTTGTCGGATCTCACGGACCAGGAGAACAAGGACTTCCGGTACAAGCTTTGAGGCGGCTGATAATGGAAGGATGTTCTGGTTAGATACATTCGCAGTTCAGACCGTCAGAAAGTCGGTAGTTTGAGGTCTGGGCTCTCGAAAGTCACTTGACTCGTTGCGGAGGGATGGCAAATAGCATAGGAACATCTATATATTGTTATGCTGCGCCCGTTCCGCGGTGAAACATCCAGAACAGGTAGCATATCACCGCATCAAGCCGGTGGTCACTGCCTTGATTTGTTGCGTCGCTGATATTGATATCTGTATTATTCCCATAAAATCACGGGACTCGTGGTTTTCCCGGTCGTGAAAGGCTTCCTCATACTTGTTCCGCTCGGCGACGGGAATGGATTGCACCGGGGGGGGGGGGGGGGAGACATGATATGACTCTAAAACCCTCGACCCTAACTGACACTTACCTTGAGTGTCGGGTCATCATAGAAATTATTAAGGGACTCAGGGATAAGAGCAACTGATAACCGACAGGTAGAATTATCTGGATGATGTCCGCTTTGCCATTACGTACGTGTTCAAAAGGTCGTTTTAAAGACTTCCCGCGATCCGCTGGAAGCCGTGATGGTGCTAGCGGGTGTCACACGTACTACAAAGCCACACGGTCCCCAAAACTTCTTTCGATAGTTGAGACGTCGTTTCAGCCATCACTTTGTTGGCTTCCAACTTTCAGCCATTGAAAAAATAAGCAGCTTTCCGTCATCATTCTCAACACGGTTTAAGGGTGATTATCGACGTCCAAGCCCGGTTGCTACCCGACCACATTGGTCTAAGTCTCTACCACAATGTCGCCATCGTTCAGGGTCGCTGCCTGTCATGTGTCTCCAATTCTACTCAATGCCGCAGACACAACGGCCAAATGCATTTCCTTGATCAATGAGGCTGCAGACAACAAAGCACATCTCGTGGTCTTTCCGGAGACGTATATTCCAGCTTTCCCATACTGGACTCCTGTTATTAGTCCTTCGGAAGGCCACGAATTCTTCATCAAGATGGCTAAAGAGTCGGTATACGTCGATGGGGACGAAATCAAGGCTGTCTGTGTGGCAGCAAAGGAAAGGAAAATATACGTAAGCCTTGGGATCTCGGAAAAAGTGAAGTACAGCAGTGCGACATTGTTCAACGCCAACATCATCGTCTCTCCTGAAGGCAAGATTGTGGTTCACCATAGGAAGTTGGTGCCAACCTTTATGGAGAAGTTGATCTGGTCTATGGGTGACGGCCACGGCCTGAAAGTTATCGGGTGCCAACCTCTCAACTCCGATCAACCCATTGCTCGAGTTGGCGCATTGATATGTGGAGAGAACACCAATCCCCTGGCAAGATACACTTTGATCGCGCAGGGGGAACAGTTCCACATCTCAACGTGGCCGGCGAAGGCTCCGGCGGTTCTACCACCTCAATCGGAAGACTCCAAGGGTCCTCACAAGCCAGTGCTTGGTGTCTACGACAACATTGTTCTCAACCGCCAGAGATGCATCTCACAGTGTGTCGAGGGGAAGTGCTTTGGCCTGCTCTGTGCTTCGTTCATGTCCCAGCAGATGATCGATACTCTGGTGTCAATGGCTCCCGAATCACGCAAAGAGATCATGAAGACAGTCATGGAGCAAAGTGCACAGGCAGAGACGCTGTTCATCGGTCCGTCGGGCCACCCAATTCAAGGTTTCACCGTCGACAAACAGACCGGTCAGTTGCACGGAGCCGAGGTGTTGAGGTACCAGGAAGGTATCCTCTACGCCGATCTGGACATGGATGACACTATAGAGGGAAAGCAATATCACGATGTGGTAGGCTCGTATCAGCGGCTGGACATCTTCGATCTGAAGGTCAATACTACTAGGAGGGTACCCATTCACCTTGGTGAAGACACACCGTGATAGAGGCCGCCGAGAACGATAAACTCAAGACCAAAAACTATTTCTGCGCCATTGGAAGGTTAACATGCGTTGGGGGAAAATACGAATCTTCAGTTAGATGCGGCAATGATGGTGGTGCGTGCTGCTCTCAGAGACACCCTACTCTCATCTGGGCGTACACACCATCAACCCTCGCAGGCGGTCCTAGCAATCGCTGATTACTATACCTTATAAAACAGCACTGGTAGGACTACTGTTATCTTGGTCCAGGGTTAGCTTAACTTAGCCTGCCGCTTTCGGTTGCGTGATGAAGCAAGTCCTTAACCGCGGGGTCCAGAAGCTCCCCCACTCTCAGCTGCTCCCAACCTGTACAATCAAGACAGTCATTTTGTTCCCTAAGGACTACGGAGATTCCAAATTCCCAATATCCAAGTGCCCAAACTGAATATATCGTCCTCGATCCGCCTTCCCTGCACCGGGCTCTTAGTCCCGCGGGCTCCATTCTATGGAGGGAGAACGCTCTCGTCGAATTTACCGTGCCTGTGAGAACTGTCGGGTCCGAAAGGTACCTCAATGTGTGAAAGCAGTTAAACTCAGCTCACCCCTTTTCAGGTTCGGTGCATTGTGGATAACACCGAAGCGCCCACGCTTCCTTGTGCCAGGTGTAAGCGGATGAACCTAGAATGTGCTTTCACGCAGCCTGGACAACCGGGTTTGCGAGGCACGAGGAAATCGCTAAAGAGGACCCGCGAAGAATTTTCGGAGTCTCAATTTGATCCTGCAAGACAGCCATGCCCCAGAATACGAACTGAGGGATTTGGTACGGACGACAACGAAGCATCCCTGCAGACTTCACCAAGGGTCGACGAGGCAGAAGAGACTTCAGGCTGTCGAGGGACCTATGCTATTATTGAAGACGCTGTTCACGATTCCACTGATGCTTTCAATGCCGTGATCAGAGTTTATGGCACGACTAAGGATTCTGACCGGGTGAGGACGAATAGTTCAAGAGATGCGAATCTGCACCAAACGACGGGAACGCCTTCGCCTTCAGCGACAAGACATGAACCGGCTCAAACTGTCTCACCCGATCATGTGTTGAGCGTGGGTAAGCCACGGCGCAATGGAGCCATTGTGACTGTTTGGAACGATTTCTGGCTTGTCAAACACCGGTGGTTACTTGCAGAAGAGGCCGCGTGGTATATCCAAACGTAACACCATCAGCCATTCTCAAATTTGCAAATGTGCTGATGGCGCCAATAGATTTTTCGAGAAGCTGGGTCCGATGACTTCGATCTTGCTGCAATTCTTTGCAGACCCGGCAAACCACAGCATTCTTATCACGTTCGAGCCGACGCTGTGCTATGCACTGATGTCTATCTCCACCTCCATGTTCACATATCCATTTGCAGGTCCCTCGTCCAACCATCAATTCCTTCACATCAAATGCTGGGACATTACACAGCGCCTTATCCAGCGCATCTTGTGGGCCGGCGAACGTGGTGCAAATTCTAGGCTGAGAACACTGGGATCTGTCCTAGCACTGATGCTGCTTGCAGAATGGCCGCCCAGGGCCGTTCAGATGAGCACCGACGAGATATTGGATGCTGTAATGATCGATGTCGGGCATACTCAAGCGAGAAGCTTTGCCACTCTCGAAGATGAAGAGCGGCATGTTAGGATTTCCAACGGTGAGTTCCAAGTCCAGCACCCAAGGGGTCAGCTTTCTGATCTCCTCATCAAGCAAGTCAGTGGATGGTGAATCTTAGCGAGCCAGTAATTCGGTGGGATAGGCTGTCTGGGTGAGCTCGTGTGCTCCTGATATGAAGGCTTCTGCTTACTTGATAGGATGATGCTAGGTCTTGCTGAATCATTGGCGAGTGAGCTCAACATACGGGATCTGCATCAGCGATTGACCAATAAGACTCAAAGCCCCTGGGAGAACAGCATTGACAGGCACTCCTCAATTGCACAGCGCTACAAAAATCGGCAAGCGCGGATTCGACTGATGCTCGAAATCCACAGTTCAATTTTAAGTATGCGCGTAAAACCATTCTCAGCAGGGGCCAAAGAAGTGCTAGACACGGATATCGGGGTGCTCGAAGAATTGTCTAGACACAACGAAGGATTGGAGAGCTCCCAACTGCTCGCGCTTTGTAAACTTGGAAGATTGGGGGATATCAGTCGTTCTGCAAAGGACATCTTATTCCAGCGACAGCAGCCCATGGGATCTACTCTCCGTGCAGGAGACCGCAATGTATGGTTACAGCACTTCTTTACATTGCTACAAGCGTGGTATGATGATTTTGTGCAAGCGCAACGTAAGACTCATCTCTCGCGACGAAGACCATCGGGCTAAATTATGGTTTCCAGTTCCTCATCCTATCCATGACATCCTTGACATCGAATACCAAGCGCTTCAACTTCAAATGTTGTCACTCCCCGTTCAATCAGTATCCGCACGCCTGCTCGAGCTTTCTCACAGCCTCTTCCGCAGCACTTCCTCCAGTGAAGATGCGTTAACTATGTATCGATTTATCACCCAAGATCCAAAATACTCAGAGGCAGCGAGGATGGTCCAAGATGCCATACATCGATCCAGGACCTTGCTCTCCACCTGCATCAACCTCAATGAACTACACCACCTACATTACTCCCCCATGCGAGTTTTTACAAGAATTGTATTCGCAGTGACACTTCTTCTCAAGGTGAGGCAAACCTCTCCCTTTGCAGCTTGGATATCACGAAGCAGACACAAGAGAGTTGCCTTCGATTGAAAAGGGCCTTCAAACTCTCGTGCTCTTCACGGCAAAGTGCAAACTTGCAGAGCTGACCTTGACAAAAGGCTACATGTTGCTATCCAGGCCGCGAGGACTTGGAAGCTTCTATCAATGTTGTTCAAAACATGCATCAGATCCTCATCGACAGCGTAGCGAGCCGAGCGGACGTGCTCCCTAAAATTGCCTCGATCATTTCCCTCCACCTGCGCCAATTCCACAAATTATGGAGTCGGCATTATAGCTCACCCAGGCGCACAACGGACCAAGACCTTCATTCAAGCATTATCCAAGATCTCCCGGTACCCCAAACAGCATGGAATCCTTCTCCTGCTCAGCAGGCAGACGACGATGGGGCGGAAAACGAGCCGTCGCAAAATGCCAGTCTTACGGCTGACCTAGGACTGGACCTAGACTCTTCATTGCTTCGGCTGTTACCTGAGGATTGGTGCGAAGAAAACTTTGAAGCACTGTGGCTTGGAGAGTTATCGGGAGATGGACACGACACTGTGGGCTTTTGAAGTCCGGTGCGCACTCCCCTTGATAGACACTCCGACGGCAAGATTGGGCCGTGGTGAATAAATTGCCGTGGCGGTAAATAGCGGCCCGAGTGCGGTAACAGCAGGAGGCCTTGAACATTGCCAGTGTCCACGAGACTGCAGTGTCCTCTGCGAAGATTGGCTGGTCAAATGAATGCACATACGAGGAACGGTGGAGATACCGAATTAGTGGCCAACGTCTACAGCCAACAAGGAGGTTATGAGGTCGAGCTAAGAACTAGCAAACACAAGCCGCTTCAAAAGCAATAGTAATCAATATATCCATAGTCTGAAAGCGTAGGCGGCCTCCTTATATCTCTGCGTTTGGCTTTCGACATGCGTTGAGTAACTATAATCAAGCCGTCAAAATCAACATCTTAGCCTTTGCCCCCAGAATTAATTAAGAAATCTCGTGCTCAGAAAGCAGTCAAAATCGGCGTAACGATATCCCATATGGGCAACAAGGTTCGAGTGGGAGCCATCCAAGCTGAGCCCGTATGGCTCGACTTACAAGGCGGCGTCAGAAAAGTGGTATCGTTGATCGAGCAAGCTGCAAAGGATGGGATCAATGTCCTTGGTTTCCCAGAGGTGTTTATCCCAGGATACCCATGGTGAGAACTGGAAACTCGGGCTGCAGCTAAAACTGATACATGTACTAAGCTTGTCCAAGGTCTATTACCACAGAGCCTGCTATAGCGAATACTGAGTTTGTTGCTGAGTACCAGGCCAACTCGCTTAGCAGAGAATCTGCAGAAATGGACAAGATCCGCGCCTCTGTGAAAAAGGCAGGAATCTTTGTGGTGCTCGGCTACTCGGAACGGGCTCGCGGAAGTCTCTATATGGCTCAGTCGTTCATTGATCCCAGTGGAGTGATTGTGCTACACCGACGGAAAATCAAACCAACGTATACGGAGCGGGCAGTCTGGGGCGAGGGCCAGGCCGACAGTCTCACGAATGTGATCCAGACTCCGCATTTTGGCAGGATTGGCGCCCTCAACTGCTGGGAGCATTTCCAACCTCTGCTGCGCTACAACGAATATTGTCAGGGAGTTGACATCCATGTGGCAAGCTGGCCGCTCTTTTGGGATAGGCCTGAAAATCTGCCGGGGTCATACAACTCGCAGGCCAGTCCGAACCGGCTCACTGGCCAATTCATGGCCATGGAAGGCAGTTGTTTTGTCCTCGTCGCCACCCAAATCCTCACGGAGGAAAACCGCGAAAGGACAAAACTCACAAACGTCCCATTCGTCAAAACCCCCGGAGGAGGCTTCGCGATGATCTTTGGGCCAGATGGGAAACCGTTGGTTCCGGCATTTGACCCGGGCCATCAGGGCATCCTCGCCGCAGATATTGACTTGGGGGATATCGACTACGCCAGACAGGTGCTTGACGTCGTGGGACATTACTCACGGCCGGATCTCCTCAGTTTGAATGTCAACAAAGAACCAGCTAAGCATGTGCACTACGTTTAGGAGTCGGAATCGCGCTTTGTGCTGTCGGTCGATGGGTCTCACAAGCTACAACGTCGTGACGTGAGTGGGATTGTGATGGCTGAGGAGAGAGGAACGATGTAGGAGGGCTAGCTAATTCACGGATGGCTCTCGGGCGACATACTCTGTCCTGCAGCCACCTGAGGACGGCCAATTCGAATGTATTGCTACTTTAATTGCTTGCCACAATCCATTTACCTGAATAGTGACTCGGAAGGTCACGAGCAACGGGGTATTACGGGTAGGCATATTGTTGCCGCTGAATACCGTTAGATGCCGTATACACCATCGTGTGAGGAGAGGCAGATCCAGCTGAGATCAAGCTTCGAGATTAGTGATCCTTCTGAAGCGGCGAGGCCATCCAAAACAAGCCAGATATATACGTGGAATAGGCCGATACGGTCCCAGTCCAGTACGATTCAAATAGTCCAAGACTTCTTGCCACCAACTGCACAGACAGACAAAACGCCTCTTCACCGGGCGTGTTTGTGAAGGGTTCTTTTGATGTCCTTTCATGAAAGCCTTTCCGCCCATTTCCACTCCCGCTCATTCCTGCTATTCCGTCTTCCGCCAAACAGGTCTGCAATGCGACCAAGGAAGATCAAAAGGGCTCCACTCGTTCATGACATTCCCGCAAGAAGCCAAGTAACTTCTGCATCATTCATGCTGAGCCCTTCTTGGATCTTGGACGTTATGGCCATGAGCACTCCCTCTAAAATGGCGACTCGACCAAGAGCTAAAGTCGTCGTCAGGACAGAAAGACATTCTGAGAGAATATTACCGAAGCAGTTAGGACGGGGCCCGCAGTGTCCGTAGGCGTCCAATCGCGCACGAGCGCGAGGCGATCAAGTTGTATCCTCTGCTGAGTTTGCACTCTGCCGATAACGCTTGGAGAACGTCCTGCTGAGAGGCTGATATCCGGAGAATGGCCCAATGGATCGAGAGTTGTCTCGAACTCTGAACAGTAGCAAGCCCTCTTAAATGTTTTTGTCCATAATCTCCTGGCATTGCAGCTTTCCTTCTTTGTCGCTGATGCTTGCTGGAAATCGCGCCCAGTCTGCCGCCCCAGAGGGTCACGTCCTACCTCCTCTTTACCTGTCGTTCCTGCATAATCGTACAATCAACTGATGCCTCCGTGCACAAGGATACTCGGCTACCACGGCATGGAAATTGTCAACAGGCCCACTCTCCGAGCTGTGGCGTGCTGATAGTCCCTTGGCATCCCTTGAGTTTGCTGACGGCTCCGTGCGGCTTTTGGGCTGGCAACGGTGCCCCCTGAGCAGCGACATCGTGCAAGCGCGGCGCCGTCTGCGCCTCTTCCCACCCATAAGCTCTGCCTAGGGAGACGCCAAGTTCAATGTATTGCGCAGTCTTTCCCGACACCCGAGTTCTCGTTCCTTAGGCTTCTTGGCTCTGCAGACGAGCGGCTCAGTAGTCCCTTTTTGCAGTAAACAAGGCGCACACCCATCCTTTGACTTCGGAAAAGTGGTCCGCGAGCGCGTCATCGGGGATGGGTGTATATATCTAAATCGGAGCCCGCACCGTGGACGACTGTATCTTCGTTTTCGTTATACAGGACCATATTCACCACTTCTGTCGTTTTCCTTTACGTTGTTGGTGTTGAATGTACTTGTATAACTATCGCTCATCGTTCCAGCCCTGTCGTTTACAGTCCAGATCATTCAACACCTTCATTTACCTTCCAGGTTCCCCCTTTTTGGTTGATAGATAGACGGGATCTTCCACATCGCATTTTTTAATTTATTGCACATAATACACAGCGAGTGAACGACGTATACGAGATACAGTGCAACACCAGCGTTAGACACCTCTGCAGGACATCAACCCGTGGAAAAGAAAAGCAAGCAATGTAGTATTGGAGTTCATTGAACACCGTTCGGGGTTCCAAAGTCAACATAAACGCTCGTTTACTTGGAGGCTCACTTTTTGCGCGATATCAGTTCAGAAAAGCATCGGTTGCAGCAGTCGAGGGTGGATGAACAGTGGAATACTGCAAGGAAACAACATAACAATGAAGTTGTCATGGTTCGCCGCAATCAGCATCGCCATTGCCCTCAAAGCAACACCGGTCTTTCCACAGGATGAAGTCACTACATCTGAAATCACGCCGTCCGAAGTCACATCGTCTGGAGTCACGCCCTCTGAAGCCACACCAACCGAAATCCCACCGGGCTCCGACCCCATCCCGGAGGAGCGCAGCGATCCAGTCCCCGAACAAGGCAGCGAGGCTGAAGTATCAGAAGAGGAGGATGACTACGGCACGGTTCCACACCTCCCAGAGGATTGCAGCGACATTCGAATCTTCAGTGCTCGGGGATCGAATGAACCTTACCCAGGCCGGGGAGGGGAGATGTTGGGGGTCATGTGTTCGAAGTTCGAGCCGGAAGGCGTGTCCTGCGACTACGAGGACATTGTCTACCCTGCCAACATCTCTTACTCGGGTATTTACTGTGAATCGGCCAACGCCGGCGCCTACGCTGGCCAAGCTCAGTTGAGAGACTATACCCAACGGTGTCCAGATTCAAAGTTGATCTTGCTGGGCTATTCTCAAGGGGCAGATGTTGTTGGTGATATGCTGGGTGGTGGCGGTGGGTCGATATTTGGATGTGATCAGGCCTGGAATCCATCGATGCCTCGGGACACAGTGCCTGGGTCAAGGAGTACGTCTTCCACGCTTTGCTTTCTACTCCGCTATGCCCCTTGCCGCAGCATTCAATCAACGCCTCCCAGGATCCTTATTCGTGCAGCTGCCCCCTCTTAGGAAAACATTCTAACACCTCTTAGTCGCCGCCGTTGTAACCATGGGAGATCCTCGCTTCACCGCAAACCAGCCGTACAACATCGGACGTGGCTCGACCTACAACGGCACTTCACCACGGTCAGGGCAACAACTCGCCGACCTCAACGTCTACGAGGACATCATCGCAATGTGGTGTAACGCGGGCGACCCCGTGTGTGCTGTCGGTAGCGAACCAGTCAACATTAGCGCCCACTGGAGCTATTACGACCAGTATTCCGTGGTTGCGTCCGAATGGGTCGTGGCCACCGTACTGCACCATCCTAATGTACGGCTCGACTTGGATCTTGACGGACATAACGAGAGTGTTGTCTTGACGGGGTCGAAGAATTCAACGGATAACAATGACACTGTAATTCATAGTGGGAATAGTGGGGATGAGAACAAGGCAACAAGCTTGATAAGTCCTTCAGGCGGTGGGATAGGTCTTCTGAGCACCGTGGTGTTGGTCACGGCGGGTTTGATCTCTGCCATTTAATAGTAATGAGAGCATGTTTATCCTGTTCATCTCTTCTCTAGCTTCCTTGCTGACACTAGCAGTACAGTCCTAGTCGTGGGGTTGGAACTATCCCGGCAAAATAGAAGACCTGCAGTTCCCAGCCACTCACGCTCTGTGCTAACGGCAGGAAATGCCGAGAGTATCGACACGTGTGCTAGAAATCCTCGTCTAGAAATAGGAATGCTAAAGAATGCCAACTGTGGGGCAATTAAGGTCCTCACAAAAGCTTAGTCGCGTACTCGTATCCTTGGTCGATTCTACAGTGAGTGCTTCGATTGGAAAGATTGATAAAGGAATCTTCCTCGCAAACCGTACCCGCATGGCTTTCATCTTCTACTAAGATGGATGTCGCTGTGATCGGCCTAGGTAAGTGGGCCACGCTTTCCCCCGACTGTAAAAGACCGATTGACATATTATTCGCTGTAGGAGCCTTCGGGCTTGTGGCACTTAAGAACCTGAGAGAGGAGGGGTTTAATGCGACCGGGTTCGATAGGAATTCGTATCTGGGCGGGCTCTGGCAGTTCACAGAGGAAGATCAAACATCCGTCCTGGAATGTGGGCGAAAATCCTTCTAGATAAGTCAATATTACAAGATGTGCTGACAATCATCGAAGCCACAATTGTGAATATCTCGAAAGAGAGGGTAAGTCCGTAGTGCCCGCGGAAGAGCTCATATTCTTGTCTGCTTACTGCCACTAGGGCTGCTTCACGGATTTTTCGTTTCCAAAAGGCAAGTATCGGCGTGGGTGTGGTCGCTGCTTGTCACAGTCTAATGGCTTATCCATGCTCCTGTTCTCCGGCGGACTAACATGTCCTAGAGACCAGCTCTCATGCCACTGCGGCAGACGTCCAAAAGTACCTCGCCGATTATGCGGCTCATTATGAGCTCCTGCCTCACGTCCACCTCGGCGTGAACGTGTTGAGCGTAACCAGAGATGACCAAAACAAGAAATGGGTGTTGAGCATCGCCGGGCCCAACGGTGCGAACAGACTTGTCTCGTTCGACAAAGTAATCGTGGCCTCTGGGACCAACCATAGTCCCGTGATACCCATTCTGAAAGGCCAAGAGTTGTACAAAGGGCAAATCCTGCACTCTAAGGGTTTCAAAAGGCCGGTTGTTTCCACGATGGTCTTCAGGCAATACTGACGCGGGGTCCGCTAGGCCTTCTGATTACAAGGACAGGAGAGTGATGGTCGTTGGTATAGGCAATTCCGCAGCAGACACCGCCACGTCTCTGGTATCAATTGCGAAGAAAATTTTCCTCTCTCACCGACACGGCGCGTACATGGTCAGTATTTACGGGCAGACTGAACTGATTCTTGGAACTCATGTCGATCTAGATGCCGAGATCCCAGCCCAACGGAGAGCCGCTCGACCATTTCCTTACGTACAGGAAAACCAAGATGTCGATGACCATGCAGAGATACCTCCCGCGACAGTGGGAAGCCGTGAGTAATAAAATGCTGGGCAAGATGCAGAACGCATCTTTTCAGCTGAGGCCCGAATGGCACATCAATCCTGCACCATCCATCGTTCATAACGTGCCGACGGTGACGGATACCTTGATCCCAGCGCTGGAGAAAGGAGAGATCGAATCTGTCGAGATGGCGAAAGAGATCACCGGCGATTTTACCGTGGAGCTGGCAGACGGCAAGGTTGTCGAAGTCGACACCATCATATGGTGCACCGGGTATCATGTCGACTACAGCATCGTTGGTGACTTTGATCCTACCCTCGAAACCTGCCACACGGATGTCTCAGACGAAGCTTTAAAAACGGTGCCACCCCAACCTGCAAAAGATCCTGCATCCAAACCAAAGCACTTTGTACCACGGGTTCCCCGACTATACCAAAATCTCCTGTCCCTCACTCATCCGGACTCTCTGGCTTTCCTCGGCACCGCGGCGATTCCGTCTGCCGCGTTCCAAATTTACGACCTCGCCACGATGGCTATTGCGCAATTATGGAAACCCGATGACTCTTCGCCCTCGCTGCCTTCGCGCCTTGAAATGATCACTTGGGTTCGGAACCACCTCAACTGGGCCAACGCAATCTTGGCCCGCGGCGCCTTCAACACTCGGATGGTCTACGCACCGGACTGGAGCGACTGGCTCGATACAACGTCAGGTTGCCTCGTGAACGAGCATTTGGGCTACGGGCGCACAGGCTGGGCGTTCTGGTGGAAAGACTCCAAATTCTGCAACCTCCTCATGGACGGGATCTATAGTCCCCACGTCTATCGATTGTTCGACAGCCACGGCCGACGGAAGCCATGGGCCGGCGCAAAAGATGCAATCATCAGTGTCAATGAGGAGACAGAAAAAAGACGGCAAGAGAGTATACAGCGCAAAGGGGGTGCATGATATAGAGAGCGTCATCCAACTTATATTAGACGGGCTGCGACTAGTCATTTCCAAAGTGTTCTTCGAAGCAAGGATTCAAAAATTTTCCTTCCTTCGGCTTTCTAGTAGGACTTCTCAAAGTTTTAGCCTCTTTAAAGGAATCAATGCCTATCGATATCTATCTTGTCATATCGAACCAGACACAAGGCCGACCAGGAAAATCATGTAGATGTGTGGACAGACTTCACCCCCAACTTCCCGACCCAGAAAAGCCAGCTCGAAGTGCCTGTCTGGACGGTGATGATAATTTTAACAGTCTTGCAGGCAAAGACCACGCCGGTGAGCATATTCACGTAGTGAGAGGTTCTCGGCAGCTTACGACCGGGTGGACAGTTGCAGGTCACGCGGATCCAGTCCTCCAATCAGCGTTGTCTTTCTTCAATTGAAAGAGGGGTGGAGTGGGACTTCTATTGTACCGGGGGGGGGGGGGGGCGAAAGTGGCTTGTTTAAAGGAAAGATATTGTTGATATTGGCCCTCTGTAGCATGGGCACAAGAGTATGTATCTATATGACGTATGGTTCGCATTCCATTCGGTCTTGCCGTCTCGTCGTCTTCGCAGCTCAATTCTTGTCGCTCCCGTCTTGAGACAATGCAAACATTGGTGTCTACCTCAAGATTCAGGTGTGTGGCAACGACGTGAGGACCATGGACCAGCTGAATTAAGTCGACCTTGGTGTTGAAGAGAAGAAAAGTGGTGTATTATGCTGCGTTAACATCTCATCATTCAGGGAAAGTCACTCGCAGTGCACATCCCCATCGGAATGAGTGTGGCATTCCTGGTCAATAGTCAGCTTAGCAAGTCAATAACGAGAGGGTCACTTACAGCAGGCGCTGATGCTGTTGTCGAAACGGGCGCTCCACCTGTTGTAGCAGTGGATGCAGCTGGCTCGTCGTCGTGCGATTCGGTGACGTTTCCTGGACAGCCCTTGCCAGGTACGGCAATATCGTGGGCATATGCTTCCAGAGCGAAGTACTGCAATGTGTCGCTGTCTCTGGTCAGCATAGTTGTATTCCCTTCGTCGACCATTTCGAGAACATCTGCGTAGCCCTCTGTCAAGTGTTCGACAGCACCTTCTCCAAAGGCCGGCATGTGATAGAGACGATGCATCAAGTCCGACGCCCAGAAGGTGTTACTCTCGGATCCTGACACGGTATACCCCAGTGCGCACATCTGCAACAAAGACCGTCGGGTCTCGTATGATAATGGGCAGATGACCGTCTCACCGGTGGCATTTTCTCCACGCCAGTGACCTCCCCACCCTACACTGTCTTAGCTGCTCTGTCTTGAAAGCTAAACTCCGTACTGACCTTCAAGAGCACAGTTGCCGTCTGGATTGTCACATCGGAACAGGACCCCACCTCTATCTCCGGATGCTATCTTCTCCAAGAAGCCTATGGCTTCCCCAGTTGGCGCATCGCCAAAGTACTTCTGGTAGATTTCTGAGCTGTTCCCCCAGCGGAGGATGTGTTCTGAAGCATGTCCAGCCAGTTCAACGGCCTCGGCCAGTCCCTGCCGGAGCTGTCTGGCTTCACTGGCATTGCAAGATGAGTGAATTTGCCACTCAGTCGTTGCCCCTTTGGCCCATGCTGAAAGTCCTTGCTGGGGAGCGAGATCAGTTTGCTGTTCCTGTCGTGCTTGAATTGGAGATGGTGCCGCAGGGAAGGAAAACCCAACCGAAGCCAGCGCGAGAAGTACGAAAGAAGTGGCCCTCATTTTGAAGATTGATCTGGTCCAAAGCATCTGCACCAAACTGAAAGTCCTCCTGCTTCAGAGAACAGGGCTGCAGGTCTGTCTAAATACTCCCGGTGCTACGAGGGGCGAATCCACCCGAGCATCCTCCTCTTCGCAGCGAAACGCACCATTGACGTAAATGGAGCCGACCATCGCTGGACCAGACTTGTTCATACCATTATCAGCGATCCTTGCCGCCGGTAGTGCCGATAAATCACATCGAAATGCAGTCCATGACGGTGCCCAAGTATCCATGGGCAAGGCCAGGCTTGGCAGATGCGACAACTGAGCACTTACTGTAGAGCCTCCGCCCGTCCGCCAAGCCAAGGACCCTAAGCTGCTTCACTCCCATTGAGCGGAGAGATGCCACAACCAACAAACTTAGAGCCTCCCACCCAGCCGCCAAGATGAGTACCTTAAGCTCCTCCACTACCATGGAGCGGAGAAGTTCTGTTCGACTGTTCACGGGGCTACATTGAGAGCGATTCTGGGAACGAGGGTTCCGAGCCTCGGCAGTCCGCTCCTCTTGGCATCAGGTCTGGGCATCGCCGCCCCGACCAAAGTTGGGAGATTTCATGACCAAATGCCACTCTACACCATCATTCGCGCCTATCACGTCGCCTCCATTGTTGTTAACGTGGTACAAAGCGAGCCAGTGACGTTTCAATCAGCAAGGCGAAATCTGAAGAGAGCGTTCTCAAGGTCAAAGTCTTGACAAAGTCCCTGTTTGAGCTCCCAAACGGACCAGAAATTATGCCGCGAGGCACTGTCTTTCTTATTTAAGCCCCTGTATGGTACCAGCTTGTTGGTAACGACTTCTTGCAAGTGCTTCCAGTCAACGATTCTATTGCCAATCATCGGGAACATCTGTTGTGCGGGAACTGTCTCTTGAATGATCCAGCAGCGACTCCAATACTTGCGCCTGATGAGCCATCTCATAGCTCTTGAGCCACGTTTCCTGGCAATGGGACAGATTGACTTAGACCGCTGTTAGCGTGGAATTTTTACCGCTAGATTCATACAGTGTATAGCGTCGTCTATTGAGAAAAGGATTGAAAAGAGAGGAATGGAGTAGATAACACGGAAACGAAACTGAGACAGCTCCCAAACTCGACAACCTTTGCCTGGAAGTGGGCCAAAAAAAAAACACTGTCACAAAGACGGATGAGCTGGCCAGTGATCAAATATTGCTGCATCACTTGAGCAACCGCTATCAGCAGGGCCAGGCAGCCCACCACCAACGCGGCTACGGCGGACGAAGTAGCCGCGTCCAGAGCCATTAAATTCGCCAAGAAGGTAACAGTCAGAGAAAGAAGAAGAGAGAAAAGACCTTGAAGCAGGAGCTATGGACACGAAGACCTGGATCAAAGGCAGGAGTTTGCACAGCGGCTTCGTATTGTGCAAGGCTGAGAGTGCTGCTCAGCCATCAGCCACCACCGCCCAGCCAAGCATGGCGTCAGGCAGAAATCGTTGCTCAGCCGCCGCTCAAGATCCGCAATGCGTCATTGTCGCGCTGGATTTTCTGGAAGCGTCCCAGAGGCTTCGATGTCGCATGCCAGTAAGAACGCGAAGCACAGCTCCAAAGCAATCAGACCAACATGGGCTTAAGCTCGTTCCAAGATAATGAGAATTTCTAGGAGTTACAATGGGGTAGCTTCAGTTTTGATACTCTGCATAAACACCCCACCCTTTTCGTGGAGAGGCCAAGGCTCAATAAGCTGGGCGCAGGATTGCGCAGCCACTGCGCAGACAGGCTTTGTCAGGACTCAGAGGTGCCTGGCAAGTCCTTGAAATGCCACAGACGAAAGCCCATCATATCCGGCAGCAAGTACATCCAATTTTGTGAAGCATTGTCTCGCTGCTGGCTTTCCTAGACGCTCGAACGGGCCCATTTCTCCCCCCGCTTTACCACAGTTGGACCACAAACACAGTGCGCGGACTCTTCGCTTCCCTACGACCCCGCCCAGAAAGTTCCACAGCGCCTAGTAATCAAGCCTCGCAGAAAACAGAGGTGCAATCCTCACAATTCTGGGGTATTTCATTGCGGTTCGATAGGAGTACGAACACACTATATCGCGCTCGGAGAAGAGCGATTAAGTCACGGTAATGGGGGGCTGATTCTGCCCCTTTCACCATGTAATAGTGCCCGGTAGGACCGCCTCCAGGACAGCTATCCGCTGCGCGGCCAAGAATGCTGAGTAACGTCTTGGCATCACAGCCTTGACTAATTAGGAGGAGAGTTTTATAGAGCCCACCAATCAGGGCCGTCTAAGAAACCTTCTGCAAGACTACAACGTCTTCTTTATCGCTATTTCTCAGCACTATCTGTGCCTTCAATACTCTACAAGCTCGCCATAGTGTAGCTAAGACTCCAGATAATATATATATTGACTTGAATTATCTTTGAAGGCTCAATTGCGGGCGTAAAAGAGGGCCAAGACTTTACTCGTCGTTCCTGGCCGCGTAGGGGATAGGTGTCGCTCTAGGCACGGTATGCTTGGGGCTTAACTGGGAGCAGATTTTCTCAAAATGCGCTAAAAGGCATTGGCAGCACTAGTCTCCCTGGGCATGGGGCTGAGACTCGCACGGGAAGGATGGTCGACCTCTTGAGCTTTGCGAAATGAGGTCCAGACGCGAAGGGTAGGCACTTTCCAACGCCTTTATTCGCGAAGCTGTCTGCCATACGCATCGAGACATCCTCCAGTGGGTTTGCCCCGAACAGAAAAAAGAAAATGCACCGCCCAGCGTATCACCACCAGCAATTGCGCTGTTCCCCGCTCAGTCTCATCGGCCTCCGACTGCAGCCAACGAAAGCCCTTCTCCCAAGTCGCAGCTTCGTATTGCAGAGCCGGACGTAGAAGGCTGTGCTTGGGACTTTGCTTGGGACTTTGACTTGGGATTTTTGCTGCGTTCGTCTGGAACATTCGATTTCTCTCCGCCAAATGCCGTCATTCATCAGTAACAGCCTGGCAGCCTGATGACTGCCGCTATTTCCTTCTCGCTTTTAGAAAGCTGGTCGGAGCCCTCCTTCCATCTATTTGTCGCGCTTGAGAGCAATCAAACACCAGAATAGTGTCATACCTCTCTGGCGTCCTAGGATTTAGCAGCGCTATTCAAAACTCGCAGATTTCTCCGTACGGCTCCGGACCTGCCCTCGAATGGTTTCAGTTTTCGACTCTTCACCAGCACTTACGCCTACAGTATCCGCTTGAATCCTACGATATCTACTCAATACCCGTTTGGACACTCCGCGGTCTGGTTGAAATTACAGCTCGGTCTCAAGATGCCATTGATTCGGCTTCTGGATGTGAGGGACTTGAGATTAAAAGAGTTTGATGAATCTCGCTATGTCCCAAGCTATCTGATACTATCACATACATGGGGAAGCAGGAGCGAAGAGATCTCCTATGAAGACTTGGCCACTCTGAGAGGTCACTTTAACAAAAAGAAGGCATGGGTGGAAAAGGTTTGGGGATTCTGCGACCTTGCCAAACGTCGCGGTTTCGATTTTGTGTGGATCGATACCTGCTGCATCAATAAAGCAGACAAACCGGAGCTCGACCGCGCCATACGCCGGATGTATCGATGGTATCACAAGGCAACCGCTTGCTGCGTCTACTTAAAGGACGTGCGATGGACAGATCGATTGTGGGAAAGGCCCGGCACCAAAACGCCGGTGTGGTTCACAAGAGGGTGGACGCTTCAAGAATTACTGGCACCTGAACAGGTCCTGTTTTTCGATCAGGATTGGAGGCCCATGGGAGATCGGAAAACTCTAGCGCCAGCCATAAAATGGTTCACAGGCATACGTCAAGATGCTCTGGATGACAGTGATCCGACTCAATTCGGCAGCTTTCAGATCTTGAGATGGGCCCGGTATAGGGTGACGCAGGAACCTGAGGACAGAGTATATTCCCTCTTTGGACTTCTTGGCGTGTCAACCCTAGACACAAAATACGGGGAAGGCGAAACAGTGGCTTTCATTCGCCTCCATGATGAACTGAGCAGGAGAACGGCCGGTCCTGGAAACCATGGAAGGCCAGAAATCCCGGGAATCCCGGCGACGAGATTCTGGAGCTTGGGTCCGACCAGCACCGTTACTCAATCCAGCTTTGCCATTGAGAGATTCGTCCATCATCACGAGCGTCTTGTGGACCAGGGACACAGAATCCTCGGCGGAAGAAACAGCAGCCCTTCGATGGGCTTTCATCCCGCTACCGAGATCCCTCAAAGTTCCCGAGTTTCACGCGGATCATATCACGACTACAGCCGTCACCACGATGACTACGACCCACACCCAGGTTTGGCGCCAGCTAATGTGCCCGTTGTCACCAATCGCATTCAACTGGAAGGCTTTGGGGATTCAGACCGCCAAACCGCGGGAAGCAGGCAGATGTACGATGGAGGACCGGGGAGCAATTTGGTTCCCTACAGAGTCAGCAATGGAGGATACGGGACTGGGGGTCTTCGGCCTCCTGTACAAACATATCTACCTGTGGTTCTACCTCCTCCTCGACCCTCTTTTCCACACAGCAGGATTCGACAGTGGTATGCCACCGAGCCTGACCCAGAAGCGCGTCTGTGGACCCAGGTGGAAAGCAATAGAGTTGTCGAGGCGGCCATCCAAAGGATGGGCTACGAGTATGACGTGACCGACGACCGCAGGTTTTACTATATTTTTGCTCATCTAAAAGTGGTACGTGACGATTATGCCCGGGAGATAGAAGGGATCGCTAACGACAGGCGTAGGAGGATATGGATGATCTCGTCGATCTGTCCGAAGCTATCCGCCGCTTGCGACGGACGCGGGTCCTGGAGATTGAAATGGAGCGCCAATACTCTTATTAGCCCTCCGGTTGGGCGGTGGGCGACAACAGGCCATTGAGCCTCTACCGCCTCTAAGTCGCCGGAGCCGGGATCGAGAAGAAGAAGATAGATACACAGTGCGAAAGGCTGTTCATAGAGGAGATCGGCGTTGGTCGGAGGTGGACATATCCCTCGTAACCGGAGGTGTTCTAGATCATTGACAGATGAATGCAATGGACATGAACTGAAAACGTTCTTCTCGCAAGAAGATGGGAGGCGAGTAGGTCGGGCGATGAGGAGGTTTGTGAGCTGAATGAGTCTTGCGACATGAAATCACGATCGAGGCGCTCCTTAGGAGAGCGGTGGGAGCACAGCCTCACTTGGCACCCAACCAAAGTGCCGGCACGTCAGAAGATGATCCTTGGTATTTACGGTGTGGACTACGACTCCGAAGCCCGAAAACTGAAGCCTCTTTGTCACTTGTCCCAAAGGGCGATTTTGCGCCGGTATCTTTTGCCGACATAGGTCAAAGATAGCTATGTATCCTATTGCCCAAGTCTTTTCGTATTCATATTCATCGGCCGACTCTAGCAATGCTCAGAAGCCACATGATCTTCAAAGGACACCATGATCTTGCGTACCTTCATCTCACTTAGCGCAACCCCGGAATCTTCCACAGCGGCCAAACGCTAGTATAGGCTCCGCCGAGTTGGGCAGTTAGCGATGACAGATCCCCTCCGTCTAAGCGGGCTTAACCTTAATCCTGACGCCCTTTGAGTCGAGTCGTGGGCTCGGGGCAAAGAAGTCGTGCGCTAGCTCGAGATCGCTAATATCGGTATGGTAAAGCTCGAAGTCAAAGTTCCTGAAGAGCGCCGCGAGTGTCATGTGGAGTTCGGCTTGTGCAAGGCTGTAACATGTTTAGTAAACGGCCAGAAGCACAGAGCGTGAACGCTTACTTGATGCCTAGGCAGCTTCGAGTCCCCTTGCCAAAGCCAATGTAGTATCTTTCCAAGCTTTGCCCGTTGGGCGCCTTGGGGTTGCCGACCCATCTCTCAGGTTGGAACGTCCTAGGCTGTGGGAAGATCGTCTCGTCGTCGCAGACGTCGACGTTGGTCATGCTCACAGGAGTCCTCGGCGGGATGGTCCAGCCTTTATACTCCAATGGCTTCGACAAGAGCCTGGGTTCTCTCGCTGTTACCCCGTAAGACATGCGGACTGCTTCTCTCACGCAGCCGCAGAGATACGGCAGCTTTTCGAGGTCGGTCCAGCTGGGCTTCACATTGGGGTTCGGGATGGCAGCCTCTAGCTCGGCTCGCAGCGTTCGAGAGATTTGTGGGTTGTTAATGATGTGAAAAGCCGCCGTGGAGAGAGCCCAGCCGGTGGTGACAACACCAGCTGCAACCACGACAGAAGCTTCGCCCATCAATCGTAGTGAATTCTTCTCTGACGCTGGCAGGTTGCCTTCAATCAACTCTTGGAACACCGTCCGATGGTAGGATTTCTCCAGGACATCTTTCATTTTCCCGGACTTCATCGCGTCGATTTGCTTCCGAAAATCCTGCATTGATCAGCAATCCGTTGTGTTTGGGACGAGCACTCTACCATACATTTTGCATCCTGAAGAATAGGGCGTACTCCGGCTGCATTTTCACCGTGATGGACTGAGGGAGGTTGAAAAGGATTTTGGGGATCCACGGGAACTGCAAAGACACGTTGCTAAACTGATTAGCCGCCATGATCGGGTCGTGTAGTGATTTCTCGAACTCCGGCTCTCGCAGAGCATCGTAGCTGAGGTTGAAGCAATATTCCAGTATCACTTCCTCGGTAAGCGCCGAAAACGCTCGATTGATGGGCATGGCTTTCCCTGCCGCCTGGAATTCACGAACACGATCAACTAGGATGTCGATTTTGCCCTGAATCACATTCTGGAGGTCAAGAATGCGTTGCCGCGAGAACAGAGGGTTCAGAGCCCCTCGTCGAATACGGTGAAGCTCGTCCGAGGCTGTGGCAAAGGCGGAGTTGTGATCCCCAAACCGGCCAGCCATCCATTCATATTTATCCACGCGACCGGCCTTGGTGTACAGAGTCTCGTAGAAGTCGGAATCCTGGATATGTAGCTCGTCGGGAACGATCCGCACGATAGGTCCTACCAGCATTAGGAAGAAGACTACGGATGAATCGAGCCCATATACCGTATTTCTTGTGCAGCTCCTGTACCTTGAATGTAAACTGTCCCTGCAGTACCACATCATAGTAGACTTCATGCCAGTGGCTTATGGCTGCGTACTTGGGGCCGGGGAATTTCGCAAGCGGGTGGAAGTACAAGCGGTAGATTACGAGGCCGATCAGGTAGAGCGCATATGCCCCGGTCGCAGCGAGGAGAGTTTGGACTAAAGGACCAGCAAAAGCCACGTCCATGTTGAATGCCGCCGGATGTTCTGGTGGGAGGCAGATAAGTCGGTCCACAGGGATGTGCAAGAAGGCACAATTTATCCCTTCACCAGGTCGAGACCCGCCCTGCTACCCTCTCGCAGAACGTTTGAGGCGGCACCGACGGCTTTTTCCCTAGGCACCCTGCACAGGCAGGCTGGGCGGGGTAACATTACCAATCGGGGGTTTAGCGACAGGTGGAAGGAAGATTAGCACATGGTAGTCGCGCCAGGGACGGGCCCTCAACCGAGCGAGCCTGATAAGATGCGACAGTGTCAGCCAATACTGCTGGTGGGCGGTGGTATGATATACCTTTATTCGTCGGCCAGCAAAGGTGCCGTCCCTTCCCCGGCACCCTGCACTAGGGCCTAACCTCAATGAATATAGTATTTGGTGCTGTCGAGGTGGCTTTTCCCAGAGACTCAGCTACTTTCCCATCCCCCGCTCGGCGCTTGGTTTTGAGCGCGGTGAAGTGCTTGCAAGCCATCAGCCTGGACATAGGAGATTATCGATTGATATGGCGGCGGCGCAGGATGATCCAGATGGTATTCTTTTGGTGGATCATGAGTATGGGGTACGGAGAGTAAGAAGCTTTCGCAGCATCGCTTGCTAATAAATGGCCAGAGAGATAACTCCGACGCGGATTCCGGGTTCGATGGCGCCCAGCAGTCAGTATTTAGCGAAAGTCTTAGATCTTCGGTATACAACTATCGATATGAGAACGGTCGCACATACCACTCGTACCGCGAGGGCGCTTACTATCTTCCGAACGACGAAGAGGAGCAAGATCGCTTAGATCTACTACACCACATCTGCAAGATGCTGCTCGGTGGGGAGCTTTTCACCGCCCCCCTCCCTAGCGACCCTCAGCGGATACTCGACGTCGGCACTGGAACGGGTATATGGGCCGTTGAGATTGCCGACCAATTCCCAAGCGCCCAAGTTTTTGGTACAGACTTAAGCCCAATACAACCCCCCTGGGTGCCTCCAAACCTCAGGTTCTACGTTGATGATGCGGAAGCCGACTGGACATGGGAGGAGAGCGAGAAATTTGATTTCATCCACGGACGCGGTCTTTGCGGTGGAATCGGCGACTGGCCCAGGTTCTACGCCCAAGCTTGGAAGACCCTGAGGCCTGGAGGGTGGATGGAGATGCAAGAACATTCAGTGAGTTTCTTCAGCAATGATGGCGGTTTGGAGCATGCAACCGCGTGCGTGGCAGCCGTCATGGAACTAGAACGAGCCAGCGAGATGGTTGGCAAGCCTCTCAACGTCGCTCATCTCCACAGACAGTGGATGGTTCAATCCGGGTTCCAGGATGTGCAGGAAGTCGTGAAGAAGGTGAGCGCAGCGACAGACATGCCAAAAGGCTGTTTCTAACCGTTGCAGATTCCAATAGGGCCCTGGGCGAAAGATCCGATGCTGAAAGAGATTGGAACACTTTATCGGGCACAGATGCTTCAATCGGTTCCGTCCTTCATGCTGGCCTATTACAAACGGATCTTGCATCACAGCGATGAGGACACGGAGACTGCGATGGCGGAGGTAAAAGAGGAGTTCCTAGATCGAAGCCTGCATCTTTACCAGCGCTGGTACTTTGTGAAGGGCCGGAAGCCGGTATGACCAGTTATCTTCTTCTTCTTCTTCTTCTTCTTCTTCTTCTTCTTCTTCTTCTTCTATGGAGTGCTGGTGGGTCGTGAAGGAGAGGTATAAGTACGAATACTCCTTCCATATGCTATAGACGGAGCCAAATCCCAGAGGACGGCTCTCAAAAGCCTTGACTTAGACTTCTTATACAAACAGCCTATGTTGTAGTATTCTCGCCCTGCGTCAACTGTTCCCTACTTGCTGTCTATTGGGAAGGCCGCCCGAGGCATTCAGATCTGACGACTTGCAATAATCCTATGACTTGCCTTGCAGGCTGGCTGCTTCTCCAGCGAGGCTAGACAATACGAAGGAACCCGATATACAGGGACAAGAGCTTTGGGCAAGACGACCCAAGCAATTTACAGTATGTTGTCGCGAGATTATGATATAGCCAAAACTGGGCCTCGAATTGGCTGCTAGACGAGTTTGGAGAGATATAATAAGCGGTGCGAATAGCGACTCGAAGCATAACGGTCGCAGTGCAGGAAACGCAGAGGCTGAGATATGCACTGTTGCTTCACCTTCAAAGCTCTCTCTCCCGTTTTCTTGATGGTTCTCTCTCTCCCTCTAGTTGAAACTTTACTTGGATGGCTTTACCGGGATTGGTCTTGACTCACTTCCAAGCTGCCACACGAAGTGAGCAGGGAGCTAACAGCCGCTAGGGACCAAGTTGTTCTGGCCAGGTCGTCAATCTCGTATTCAGATTTCAGCTGCACCTCCGCCAGAGATCCTCCCCCCGCCTTTGGTTCTCGGATTGTAAAGAGCTTTTCACGCTCGTCCGTGCGGCAATGGGACTTTTGACTTCGAAGGCAATCAAGATCCTCTGCTCTTTCCTTACACAGCTTGGCCGACGCCGGGCCAGCAATCAGACAGGCCGCCATTCGACTAACTTTTGGGCGGACTGACGCAGGTCTTTGGATCACATGAACAGCCCGAGGTTGAAAAGGGCTTAGAATAGTCGTGTTGGCTAGAGCTTTCTCACCAACTGCAAACAGCATCGACATGTTGTAACACGATGGACAGCTTTGGGGGCCGCGCATCACGACCGTCTGTCCAAGCAGAATCTCTCCTCGATTTCTCTCGCCCGTGCTTTACGAGGATCTAAGTTTGGGAACGGTCGTATAAGCGAGCCAGAACACTCCTGCTTGAGTCACTGCACCGGATGACATACGAACCCGTCTTCCTACGGCTCTCGATCTCTGCATCTGAGTTGGGGACTGCCAACTCTTGGAAGTGTTAAGTACGCTTAGTGTTGTCGCTTTTTCGTCGAGTCTACCCTTTCATGCTTCTTATTGCCATCTAGGAAGGTTTGCAGCATTCTCGATAACATCAAACCCTTTCAAGCCGCAGAAACCCAACATCTTGACTGAACTATTTACCGATGGCAGCACTTGTTCCACATTTGAGCGGCAAGGCTATGTGTGTGTTTGTTTGGGTGTGCGCTTGGTTTGCATATGCAACAACAGCAGGTGACTGGTATGGCGGCGCCATTCGCGTCAGTGCTGGGGAGTCCATCCAAGCTGCGATCAACACCGCTCATCCTGGACAATTGATTTTGGTTGGGGCGGGAACCTACGCAGAACAATTGACAGTCACCACTGATGGCCTACAGCTGGTGGGCACAGGAGCGATCCTTGTGCCTCCGAATTCTTATGTGCAAAACACCTGTTCGGGCCTAGCAGGACCCGATACTGAAGCCGGCATCTGTATAACTGGACAGGACATTGAGCTCGCGGATTTCGTGGTGGAGCATAGGAAGGTCCTCTCAGTAGGCCGCCCAGTGCAAGGTGTCCTGGTTACGGGGTTCGAAGTCCAAGGTTTTCCCGGACTGAACATTGCGGTGGTCGGCGGAGACGACGTCCAGGTGAAAGGGAACTCGCTTTACGACGGCGCGAAGTACGGGTGCTTGACAGTGGGCTCGAAGAACAGCCACATCGACGCGAATAGTGTTGGTTCAACGGGGGACGAGCTCTTCATCGGCATCTGCATGGACGACATGTCCGACGTCCAAGTCACAAAGAACAATATCGCCGGCTATTCAGTCGGGCTCTGCATCCAAACCGACGGTGCCTATGTGTACGCCAACGACGTTACAAACGCGTGCTATGGTGCCTTTGTGGATCCAGGCACCACCGGCGCACAGGTCATCAGCAACCACATCAGCGACGGCAATCCCGTTTGCGCGACGGTGCCCGAGGGTGCTCTGCTTGGAATAACCACGCTCGGCGCTTTCAGCACCCAAATCCAGGCCAACCTCGTCGAAGGCATGACTACCAAGGGGGCGAACGGTAGCGCGGTGGGGATAGCGATCCTGAATGACCCAGTGACAGGACTTGTCTCGGCGGATAACGTGGTGACCGGAAATGTTCTTCGCGACAATGATGTCGACATCTTCGTGGAGACCCCTGGGCAAGGAAACGTCGTTGAGGGAAACCAGTGCTCGACACCCGCTGAGCTCTGCGGCTAGAGAGGGGGAGAGGGGGGGGGGGACAACGGGTCAAAAGATGGGAGCAGCAAAATTGAATAACTTGAAGGAATGTTATCCAGATTCTTGATATAGCCGAATATCGTAAGGGGTTGGGATGAAGATCATGTCGATACTCCATCTCCCATCTATAATAGGGCCGAGCCGCTCTCAGTGATCTGATCCTATCCACAGAAAGTTCAGCTGAAGATGAAATGAATAGAAACCCACGGCGCGGCTTTGGCAAGGAGTGGCATCACTTTGATTGCCCGGTCGGCTTGATCCCCAGCCTCATGATCGGACTGTTGTGAAAATTGGCGTGGTCGTGGAACGCGTCCGTCTGCACCCTCGACACGTCGACCTCTGTCCTTCCCCGAGCGATGACGTCTGCGTCGTACTCGTCGACGGCCTCGGCGAGCGTGTTTCCCCCATTCTTGACTTTGACCATGGCCGAGACGAATTTTTGGCTGTCGCAGATGGCGTTGTTGGCACCTTGGCCGCGGTCTATGCGATGGTTGTTAGGGTTAGTACGTGGTTTTTGTTCTTTCACCTGAGCTGACACGGAAAGCCGAAAGCAAGTTGAATGTGGAGGGAAAAGTAGAGAGGATATCTTACGGAATGTCATGCTGTGGGCAGCGTCGCCCGCAAGGGTGACTCTTCCGCCGCGGTTGTCCCAACCCGAGTCAGGAGGCCCCCAGATCCTCAAGGGGACAGCTTTGGCCTGGACGTCGTCGGGAATCCATTCCACGGCTGACTTGAAGGGATCAGCCCAGTCGTCCATTCTCTTCTTGAGCTCGTCCACCATGTTAATGTCTGCCGATGCGTCCGGGGCGCTCTTGTTGTCTTTCGACCATGTCGCAAGGATATAGAAGACCCAGGTCTCAGGCCTCTCCAGGTCGGGCTTGTCGAGCACAAAAATGCCGATGTACATGGACTTTGGGTGCACGGCGACATCCACAATGGGGTGCATCATTTTGTCCATCTTGACAGCCCGTTCGGCCGTATAGCGGAAGGGGAAGTTGAGGAACGTGTATGGCAAGACAACCGAAGTTCCTTTGTCGCCCAGCATCCAGCGCCGGACCCATGAGCCGCCGCCGTCGCAGCCGACTAGCACAGAGCCCAATTCTGAGGTTCCGTCGTGGAAGTGAGCGATGACTCCATCCTCGGTCAGCTCGATGTCTGTGAGGGTTTTGCCGAACTAGGAGGCGAGTGAGATTCTTGGCGTGAGAGGCCGGGGCGGGAGAAATCAACGGTTTACCTTGACATTTACTCCCTTCGACCAAATTGTCCGCGTCTTCTGAATGTTCAGTCTTCTTACTCCGGCAAACGGGGGCTGCACGATGGTTGCGCCCGTCTGTCCGTCTCGGATAATGACACTCTCAAAGCCGGCCGCTTTGGTATCTAGACCTGGATCTGGCTGACATTCTGGTAATCGGTCGTAGAGCTCCTCGGGGAGAAGCTGCGCGAGTAGCGGGTGGCTCCATGCGATTGTAACGCCCCAGTTTCGGTCACGCGGTTCGCTCTCCTTGTCGACGACGACGTAATCAATTCCATTCTGCCGTTCCTCGTTCAGAATTGTGCTGGCGAAGGTAATATATTGGGTTTTCTTCTTGCACATACCTTTTCAAGGCCTTGAGCCAGTGCCAATCCTGACAGGCCTGTAGTTCTCCTTTTGTCAGAGGCTCAGATCGAAAGGCTTCCATTTTGAGGATTTTGATCGACGTACCGGCGCCAACTATGATGACTCTCAACGGCTGGCTCATTCTGGTGCCGTGGAGCAGGTATGGGGGTCTGATACTCGAGGCGAGTGAGTATGTGGGGGAAGGCGGTAAACAAGCGACAGTCAGCTGAAGATGTCCCCCCGCGGAATGGGTGCGCAATTCTCGCTGCTTGCTTGTGGCTCAATCAACGTCTCTTCCAGTCTCGGTGGGAATTGGTGCGATCAGTATGTTGTCAAATGGCATTCAGTTGTGTAACTTCACAATCTACCATGAGAAGTCTCGGCAAAGAGCGTGCTCGGGGACAATGTCAGCCGGAGCCAGCTGAGCAAAGGCAACGTTGGCCACAACCTGCGATGGCCTCCAACCTCAAAGTTTGCCTCGGGGGCCCAAACTACCGCAAGAGGGCAAGCTTGCAGCTGGAGCTGCTGTCAAGCTTCAGCCTCACTAGTCTGTTCAAGGGACAGTTTGGCGGATCTGCTGCCCGAAGCCACTTTGTACTGATCATCATCTCCACAGGCATCCACTGACCTCATCTACCCAACTCGTCCTCCGATATTCTCTGCCTGTCCCTCTCCCTCCATCTGGAGTGCAGCCCCGAAGATGGCAATCATCGAGTTGGCGCACATCAGCCTCAAGAACGGCGTCCAAGCGACAGACCCAGAGCTCAAGAAAAACCTGAAGGAAGTCAAAAGAGTGGTTGAAGACTACAGCAAACTACAAACCCTGTTCTACACGCAGGTCGACGACCCTACGGTGCTGTTTGTGATTGGAGCGTGGGAGACCAAAGACCATCATCAGCACGGCTTTGACGGATCTCCTCAACAAGCCGAAATCCTCAAACTGATCAAGGACCAAATGGGTATTGACTGGATGCACTACATCGACGTTGAACAGTCGCGGATCCCGCTCGACGCCCCCGTGCTAGCAATCATCAGGGAGACCTTCGCCAAACACGGAGTGGTGAGAACACAATTTGACCAGGAATTTGCATCGCAGACCTCGAGTTTGGGCGGGGCGCATCATGGGGCCATCTCGGCATGGAATATTCACAAGGACAACAAGGAGAGAGATGTCAGGGTGAATTTTTCGGGGTGGGAGAGTGTAGAGGAGGCCACGGCGGCGTTTGTCAACACGATTGAGAACGTGAAAGGGTTCCGAGCCATACCGACCGAGCTGAATTTCTTCTTTGCAAAGCGAACGGAGCTGGATTGATTTGCAGGTAGATACCCCGGGGCGCAGACTCGAGACAGGCTTTGGATGGATAGGGTGCTTAGGGGTGGTGGGAGCCAGGTCTCAGCGGCGGTCATGTGTTGTTGTTTCTGTGACATCGCGAGTCGTAACCTAAGAACAAGATGATTTACCTATCAGTTGGCTGAAGTTCAGGAATAGTTTCTTGCTTCTCCCCTCCAGCACTGCTAATATTTGTGGACCTGTATCTGCCACCACCCTGGCGCAGTTTGAGCCCCTCCAACTGTCCCCGCCTCCCCGCCTTTGTTAATTTTGGACGCCATTCCCACGAGTCCCATGCGCCATGCACCCCACCACCATCACCACCATCATCACCGCCAACGTCGTCTAGGTCATAGCGAGACTTGCTCAGCATTACTCTATCACTGCCCCTTGTCGGCTGTGTGGGGAATCACGGGATCAGAGTCTCCCAACCCGAACTGCTGATCACGGACTGGTGGGTTTACCCTACAACAATCCTTGAGGTTTGTCGACTTACAGCCGCATCAAGGAAAGTACCGACCGAACAAGCCTTGAGCAAACAGATCCTCTTTAACTCAAATTCCGAAGGTTCAAATACCCACACAAGCCACCTGAATCATGGCCACAGAAATCACCGTCGACAGCCCTCTCACCGATGCTCTCCGCGACCTGATCTCCGCAAACCACATTTTGGACCACCATGGCGTGGTCGACGCGTATGGACACATCTCGATCCGCCACCCACTTGAACCCTCTCAGTACATCATGTGTGGCTACATGGCACCGGCACTGGTCGCTTCGCCGACGGACTTGATCTACTACCACGTCGCGGACTCCAGCACCGTCGAGCAGAACGCGAAGAAGGGATACTCGGAGCGCTTCATCCACGGCGAGATCTACAAGCGGTACCCCGGGGTCAACTGCGTGATCCACTCGCACGCCGAGGAAGTCCTGCCCTACGTTGTGAGCACGGGTGTCAAGCTCAAGGCCGTCTACCACATGGCCGGGTTCCTGGGCTCCAAGGGCGTCAAGGTGTTCGACATCGACCCGCTCTACCGGGACGGCGAGCAGCGGGACATGCTGGTCAACAATTCGCGCTTCGGGGCCGCCTTGGCAGAGAAGTTCGTGTCCGACTCCAGCATGCCGAGTCCCGAGGAGACAGTGGTCCTGATGCGCCGACACGGCTTCACCTGCGTGGGTCGCGACATTGTCACCGCCGTCTACAGGGCTATCTACACGCGTATCAACGCCGAAGCCCAGACCAAAGCCATGTCCATCGCGAACGATGTACCGGGACGTACGGCACTGCACAACGAGGGGACAGGGCTCGGCTTCCAAGCGCTTACGGATGGCCAGAGCGAGGGCTGCGCGATCATGAATGAGGCTTTTCAGGATAAGCCGTGGAGGCTGTGGGTCAGGGTGGTCGAGAGTCAGCCCTTGTATCGGAATGAGCTGAGCAAGACGGCGTCTGCCCCAATGAGGCTGGGTTAGAGTGTGAGAGGAAACGGAAAATAAAACCGGGCAAGAAGATAATTGCGGCGAAGGAGCTTTCGTGGTAATCTCTGTTCAACAGGTCATGAAAACAGTCAGTCATACGTCAAGGTATCGGAGTGGAGCGAGGAAAGTGACATCCCCATGATGAGACATTTTCTTTCCATTTTCAGTGTGTCAACGTGCTGAGTGAAACATGGGAATGCAGCGCTGCTAGACTAGCGATGGGAATCATGAAGAATTAACGACGAGAAAACCTGTAGGCGCGCCCGATCCATCCAACGTACGTAGCTGTGCCTGACAATCTTTCCTGGCTAGCCGAGCCCGACCACTTGATTAATTTCCAAACGACAGAGGATGAGAAGAAAGAGACATTGACAACTCTCCGCGAATCGCTCCATTTAAACCTCGACGCCAGCAATCCACGCAATACCCGCTCGCACAATGCGCTCCACAACATCAACCTCAGCCATGGTGCGCGGAGCGTAGACCATAGCCCAGCCCTTGTCGACAAACTTGAGCGGGAATCGCAAGCCCCAGCCCTTCTCGACCACCGTCTTGGCATCCGCCTCGGACAGCCAGACGTGCAAGCTCCCGTCGGAAGGATGGGCGTGGGCGATCTCGGTGCCCAGGATTTTGTTGTCCCTGGCCTTGTCGTTGAGGGTCTCGAGGGCCGGCTTCGCGTAGATGGCGTCGGTGCTCCCGCCCTCGGTCTTGCTCGGGCGCAGGTCGAGGATGGACGGGTGTTTGGCCGCGAGCGAGGCCATCATGGATTTCACGCGCTCTTCCGCCCCCGCCTCCGCCGTGCCGGCCTTGTACGGGACCTGGCGCTGGGGCATGGTGCGCGCCATGGTCGGTGGTCTGGCGCCCTCGCGCACCGGGATGGCCGCCGGGTCGAGATACCTGGGTCCCGACGACGACAGCGGCGACGGGTCGGAGAGGTCGTCCTTGCCGAACAGCAGCATGCGGTTCAGCCGGAGCTTGGTCATGCGCCAGTACCCGGCCCAGGTGGGCGGAGTGCCTCCCGTGCCGAAAGACTTCCACGCGTGGAAATCGCTGAGCACCCATGTGAGAGACAGTGTTAGCGCGACCGCTGTCGTCGTCGCGGCGGTCTGGCGTGGCCGCGCATTGACCGTGTCGATGAGCTTGTGGTACTGTGTGGCGAGGGTCGAGGTGATTGACTCCATGGCTCGTTTGACTGGGGAAATCTTGAGCAAAGACTTGTCTCAGGGCTTGTCGTTCCAGGTATCTGTAAATGAACCACTCTCAGGCAGAGGTGAGACGGGTGCCGAGTTTTAAGGCCTCCTCTTGGTCTTGAAGCTGACTCTTGAGATTATTGTTACGGTTCTCGGGGAGATGGGAGATGTCGGGCTTCGAACGAATTCAGAGCGAAGCTGTTCCGGAGATTTTGCGATTACAGGGTTTGGAGATGACGATGACGGCGATGTTGAAGGTGTGTGAAGATGATGAATGTCGTGCAATGGGGCCCCTGAATGCATTGGCCAAGGTGGATTGTTTCCCCGCAGATCTCAAGCTAGATCCCTTTCCTGATTGGGCACGGCGTCCGCCGCCGCTTTATTTAGCATTATCGGTACTTTTATCCCCCCTATTTCGACCTCGTTGCTTCACTCCTTCTTTCTGCCCCATATCGAAATGATGAACATCACTGAATGATGACATAGTGAGGGAATCGAATCGCGATACAACCCGTGCAGCGACCTCCTCGAAGCAACACTCTCCAACTTATTGTGTACAAGGGTCCTTACGACAAAGTCCATTTCGAACAGTAAGCATTCCACCCTTGGACCAGAGCCACGACAGAACCTTTTGAGACAGCTATGGTGTAAAGAATCTGGCAGCTCAATTTTGAACGACTAACACGTCGGTTCACTCGTCCGCTTGCCGACCGGATGCCGTGGACTCTACTGCATTCCCATCACTCGGTCTGTCTCATTCGGAAGCGAATAACCGGCCCCTTCCTCGCCGCGGCTAGATGATCAAGCATCTTATACTCAGCAACGCTAGCACTCGCCAGTCTGTCCTCGATCCCTCCTCCTACGTACTCCATGTCGAAGAGGTAAACGGCTCGCGCTACTGTGATCCACAGTTCAATATATGCCAATCGCTTTCCAATGCATTGCCTTGACCCATACGAGAAAGGCGTGAATGCTCCGTAACTCTTCTTGACGGCTTCCTCGCCCACCTCTTCAGACAGCCAGCGCTCCGGCTTCCACACATCTGGATCAGGGAAATATTCGGCATTATGATGGAGGGCGTATACGGGCACTGAAACCTCGACGCCCGGTGGCAGGAAGACGCGATTGTCAACCATGAGGCCCCCTGGGAGCACTTCGCGAGGCAGAACGCCGGGAAGGCTGGGGCTGAAGCGGAGGGTCTCTTCAATTGTGGCTTTCAGGTAATGGCAGCTCTCCAATTTGCGTCCGAGCTTGATTTCTTCCACCGAGGTGAAAGTGGAGCGAATCTCTGAGTACAGCTTGTCTAGTTTGTCCTTGTTGTGTGTGAGGTAGAAGAAGTTGGCCGCTAATTGTGTCGCGGTGGTGTCGGACCCTGCAAAAACGTTGCTCATCTGTCAGATACACAAGTCGACCAGACATTGAATATCATGCCGACCACTCAGGAAGACTTACCGCCAATGATCAACGCAACCGCCTCCGATCCGAGATCCGTCGAAGATAACTTTGCCGGCGTCCCATCTGGATGTTTGGCTCGCAGAACATAATACAAGAAGTCTTTCTTCTCGGTCTCACGGGTGAGACGATCTGAAATTTGCTCGCCGGCAAACCCCTTGAGGTACTTGCTCATGGCATATATCTTGGGGAACAGGACAGGAAGCAGATTCCAGTTGAGGACGGTCGGACTTGAGCCAGCCTGGTGCAAAAGCGGTTGTCATTAGTCAAGTTCGGAGAACGGTTTCAAGGATGGGGCACCTTGTAGGGGGTCAAAAGGGAGATGCGACTTCCGGTGAGGAAAATTCACATCAGCGACGAAAGAATGAGAAACTGAGCAGAGAGACTGACAATCAGTTGACCGTGCAGAGCCGAATCAATCAGATCAGGCAGGGCTCGACTCTCCTTGCCTCCAAGCATATCGAAGTCCTTTGCAAACGCCAAATCGCCCATGACGTCGAAGGTAAGATAATTCCCCCAGTGGCTCATGTCCACCTCGACCGACCAGCTAGGATCTCGTCGTGGCTCTACATTCGGTGGTGCCGACGCTTCCGGGTTGCCACCTCCGAGGATCCCTACGTCGAAAAACCGCCGTATGTGATGCAGGATGTGAGGCTCCATTGACGACAAGGCCGCGTCGGTGAAGGCCGGGGCCAAAATCCGTCTTCTGTGAGCATGTAGCTGTCGATCGACGGCGCTGAAGCTGTTTGGAAATCCCGTGAGCTTTGCTGAGGCCTGGTACAAGAGCCCTTTTTGCACGTTTCTGTTTACTCCGTAGATGTCTAGGTGGATGAACAAATTTCAGTTCACGTCTCGCTAGGCAGCTCTTGGGCAGCAACCGATGAAGGGGAGTTGGATGTGCCCTCTTTTCGCACCTTTGATTGCTTGTGCATTGTTTATTGTGACCAGATTTGGTGCTATCCGTACAATTTCTCCTGGATAAATCGGTCAGTGAGAGGACGAGCGATTATGAAGAGCGCTCAGCTGCAGGAGCTAGATCAGTTTACCATATTTCTTATGAAGGTGGTAAATATTCAAGTGGTTATCACCCCTCGAGGCATGATACACCCCATACCAATGGGTTACTCTCCCAAGCAATGGCCCGGGGTAAGCTGCAAGGGGATGGAAGTAGAGACGGTAGGCGACGAAACCGAACAGCTATATGCGTTCCCAGATCAGCAGCCACCTTTGAAAGTTCATGCATATTTAGAAAATGCATCCACGGTCCCAGATAAAAAAAGGAGGGAGGCCAAAGGTGGAATAAAGACAGAGCAGAGCATACATAGAGAAACACGGCTACCACAGGTCCAACGAGCAATGCTTGAGGAGTAACCCCGTGTGAGATCTCCTCAACCAACATCGTTGATGACTCAAAACGTTCTCAGTATACGATATTCGAGCACTTTTGACACAGATAGTACGGAAAACGGCAACAGAGGCAGAGGAGTAGCCTTTTTTATAAGATTTCAGAACCCCAGACCCCCAGACATTGGAGTCATAGGCAACTCCTTCCCCAGAGTCAGCCATGTAACTCCCCACGATGTACCAATCCTACGAGTGCGCTCTCCAGACGAACCTCCGCAACTCAAGAAATGTTAAAGGCACGCTACGGATCTCTGTCACTGCCGTGACCATACACCAGAGTCGCCATTCCGGTGCTTTGAGTCCCGTAGTCTCAACGGTCCAAATTCCGTCGGCTGCAAAGCGTATCAAAAACTCAAGTCAACAGCATGCTCGAATCACGACAGTGAATACCTCTTGGAAGGCCTTTATACATTTGTCAGCTCTACCGATCTCGACTCCAATCCAATAAGAGGTCGGCCAAATCCGATGAACTCGGAACCTAGAAGTAGTTAGGCTGGAAATTAAGTGGGCGGGGGAAACACGGGGTCTGCCTGGGATATGGGGAGGCGATGAGGCCGAGAATATCGGCATTGGACCGATTGGGTGGACGGCAACGTAGAAGACAACGTCGGTTCCCATCGAAGCCCGGTGGGCATTCTGGCTCCGGTGTCCTGTCTCCTCATCCGGCAGATAAAATGATCTTGTACAATGGAGAAGATTTAGCTTTGGTGTGGAGGACGTATTCACGGGGCCATGGAATAACATTCCCGAGAGAAGATGCGTGCGGGAGACTGGTGAGAGTTACATTGGGGATCGGAAAACAGTTTTGAGACTACGGAAGCATGAGAGCTGGAACCGGGCATTACCAGTAGTATTGAGGACGACCATCCTATATATGTGTGTAGTTGAAGAGCAGATCGTCCAGGTGCTCTGTAGCAGGCGAACAAGGCAAATTGATCTCTTTAGATCAACAGACTGGGCCGAGGACAAACACTTGTTATTTTCAAGTCTGCAATCACAATCATCGTCGCCGCCGCACCAACAGATGGCTTCCCAGGCTGCCCCGGATGGGAACAAGATGCATGTCATCATCATTGGCTCAGGATGCACAGGCCTGTTCATTGCCCAAGGGCTGAAAAAGGTATTCAGATAAGCATCGCAGTCACCCCTTTATTTATTTTTTCTTCGGCAAGGAATCTCGAAAATCGCTGACTTGTCTTTTCTAGAGGGACATCTCTTTCAGCATCCACGACAAGATCAATCCCGCTTTTCGTCATCGGGACTGGAGCATGACCATGTTCTGGTCCTTCAAATTCTATCCGCACCTGCTGTCCGAAGAACTGCAGGCTCGCGTGCACGAGGCTCAGGTCCGATCCTTCTACAAGGCGACCGACACGGAAGAACTGGTGCTGAGGAACGCGGCGACGGGAGAGGTTCTGAAGAAGGTGAACTCTCCTTATGCGATCCGAGTCAGCAGGGCGCGGCTGAGGAAGTTTTTGCTTGACGGGCTCGATGTCAAGGTATGGCTCTCGTGGAGATGCGTGAAAGGAAGATAGGACTGACGAATCCCCAAAACCCAACAGTACAATCATGAGCTTGTGGGCATCGAGCATACCCCAAATGGTGCCATTGCTCAGTTCAGTGATGGAACAACTGAGGCTGCTTCCATCATCGTTGGGGCGGATGGAGGGCAATCCTTCGTGAGACGCCTGTTGCTGAAAGAGCTAGGCGAGCCCGAGTCGTACCCAGAATACGACATGGCCAACCTGAGTGTGACATACACTCACGAACAGGGCAAATACATTGCCGAGACGATGGCGCCTCATGTGGACTACGGCGTCCACCCGAAGGGAATCTTCTTCATCATGCTCTGTAAGGCAAACCCCACCAGACACAGCAGACCGGGCATATCTGCTCAAGTGCTGACATCGCCCAATCCATTCCAGATCGGACCGCCGTTGACAAGGACGACTACTCAACCTGGACATTCCACTATGTGATCACATGGCCAAAGGAGCTTCCAGGGATGCCGTACAAGGGCCAGAGCAATGCCGATCGTCTTCGAGTTCTCAAGTCCTTTGCGGATGACTTTGCCGAACCCCGACGCTCAGCTCTGGCATGGATGCGGGATGATCAGGAGGTTCCCAATGACACGATCAAGATCTGGGTACCCACTCCATGGGACAACCACGGCGGCCAAGTGACTCTAGCCGGGGATGCGGCGCACGCCATCTCATTCCGTACGTCCACGTCCTCCTCTTCCCTGTCGAGGTGAGTAGAACGTCGACTGACACGTTTTCCCAGATCGCGGACAAGGGATGAACAATGCAACGATGGATTGTGCCAATTTTGTCACCGCGGTGGAAAAAATCATTGCTGGTGAAGAGACCCAGGCGGCCGCAATCGGCGAGTATGAGAAGGAAGTCATCGACCGGGGAACCTACGAGGCCACCCTGTCACGACAGCTCACTCTCAACATCCACCACTGGGATCGATTCCTCGAAAGCCCAGTCATGAAGTACGGGGGAAATCTCGCGCGCCAGGTCGAGCCAGTACCGCGAGCTCAGGTAAGTGCAGGAGCCGCCGTGGCAGAGGCGGCTGCGTGATAGCATACGATTTGCCATTGGCGGATAGGAGAGCAATAGTTGTGGTGCTGAGAATGAAAGATATAAGTCTTTGAACTCAACAGGGCGGGGCAATTTGTTTCAGCGCCTGAAATAGATACGGATACCGAAAAAAGAAATCATTCGAAGGCCATTTGCCTCTACCCCCTCTCACAGTAAATACTTCTGGGCTCTCAGATAGCTTCGAACTCAGGAAGCAGCCACCCGAAATCAGGGGTGAAAGAGACTTGAATTTCCTCCAGTCCACTTCCGAACTCCGAAAAGACCATGTTGGAGAAGTCGACCACGCCGTTTGTAGCCTTTGGTGGACCGAATTCGGACACCATGCCAGCAGAAAGATCCATTTGATCGTCGGAAATGACCCCGAGACGAAGGCACATGGAATAAGCTCTTAGCCACAGGCGTTTGGATGCAGGCGAGTGATTCATGGTAGATCTGAGAAGGCCAAGTGTCGTGATCGCGGCTTTGCGCGCCTTGTCGTGCGTGGCCGGTCCGACTTGTGCATTGTTCGAGATGTTTGAAGGCGAGCTGGACTGCGGATCCTGAGCCAGCCCCAGGAGAAGGAGCACGCCTAGTGCCGTGACAAGAAAGTAGTTGTACTGTGTCTGGTGGGCTTGATATAGATCACTTGTGCTTTCCAGATCTGCCACAACCTGCACCGTGTCGCAGGCGATACCCACGGCGGTGTCCCAGTGCTGGCCGTCGGCGCTGAGATTGTTGTTGAAGCCACAAAGGACCGGACGCAGCATGAGAAGACGCAGTTGGTTGGCTCGGAGGTAGAGCACCGTACGTGGATGACGGATCCTCCTGCTCCCAGATATATCCCCGGCGGCCTGTATGTCACCATCAATATGCATCCTCTGCCACTGGTCGAGACGATAGCGAAAGTACTCAAAGGACTCCTGCCACTCTGCGGTCCCGCGTGGTTGGCCGCATAGGGCTTCTGAAAGCGAGTCGCATGCTTTTGAGCCCAGGTGGCAGTACTCCACCATGGCGTTGAGATAAGGCTCGCTATACTGGGGACCGTGTCAACGCGGATTTCTCAAAATACAAAGCCAGTACTATACTCACAGGGAGCGGAAGACCGTTGTCAACGTCCGCGTCTTCTAGACTCTTGGGTAGCCCCAAAGCGTAACTCATCTGTCGGTCGAGCACGAAAATCGTCCAGAACGTATTGACCACGTTGATACGTTTTGCGGAGTCCTCGAATGTGCGGACAACAACCTTTTTCAGGTTCAGTCCAAGCTCCAGTGCCATGCGCACTAGGTTATTCGTCACTCTCCACGCGAGTCGCCAACTCCCTTTGACGAAGTGATAAATTGCCTACCCATCCAGTTAGACTGTCTATTGACTGGCAGGGCAGGGGAACGTACAACTAGGATGAGGAGATGCAGGTCTCTGACTTCTGTCGCCGTGGTCCAGATCTTCGCTTCCACATCCCGTTGGATGCTCTTGAATAGTTTGGAAGCCATCTCATGGTTTTGGGGCCCTTCCATGACCAACACAGTTGCCAGCACCATCTTGACAATGCTCACGTCGGCTTGGTCTAGTTGGATATTGGAAACCCCTCGAGTAGTCGGCACTCCCATGAGCGTATATAATTTGGTGGTCTTCCGCAACAAGTCATCTTTAAGCAGAACCGGATGCATCGCACCCACGAGGTCATCGTAGGCGCATATCATGTCGAGAGCTCGTTCTTGATTCAACTCTTGAAGGAGACGGAGAGACTCGTCATGTCGGTCCACTGGCACGGGGATCAACGGAGTATGTAGGCTCGGCTCTGGTGGATCTTCCTCAGGACGCTCGTCGTGGTCAATGACAATATCACCATTCAATATGGACACAGTGGCGGGTTCTAGGATAACCTGCTCGCGGGTCGTGGTGCCGTATGTTTTGTTCAGAGTCACACCTACGATGCTGATGCAAAATGAAGAACTAGACGGACCGCAGTACAATGGTAGAGGCGCCGTTGGCGATCGGACTTGAGCATCCGCATTCTCATCCGACCCAACAGCACTCTCATTGTGACGACCCCCGTCTGCTTGTGCTGGTTTTATGAGATTGAAGGCTGGTTCCGCCTGATCGATATGAGTCTCGCCCGCGTTGGTCGTCTGTAATCCATCACCGTCCTGTGATCTCCCTGATCTTTCTAAGAGCAGATCTAGCTTTGCGGACTGAGATTGCAGTAAGCTCTCCAGATGTCTAAATGACTCGATATTCCTAGAAAGTTTTAGATGATTGGAGTTGACAGCAAGGACAGTAGCGAGTGGATCAATGAGCGAGAAGCAAATCGAGCTTCCATAAGACGCACTCACCATGCAGATAGAGACCCATCACTATTGGCGATATTTTCACCTCCGTCCTTTAGACTATTGTTCCCGGCGTCAGTGTCCAGATGCGACTGCAGCGGGTCCCAGTTGATATGCCGCCACTGTCCGTACGAGCATTCCTTCGGCCGTTTCACTTTGCATTTGTCGCAAGGCTGTTCGCCGTTGCAACGAATCTTCTGCCTCTTACATCTTTCACATGCGTGCAGCACATAGCGCGCCCGCTTTCGAGACGATTGTTGGCCGTGCGACAGATTCCCGGCTGATCCCATGGGGGATTGCCTCCAGGTACCTGTCTGGGACGACGTGGATAACTCCATTCGCGTCCTAACGGTCCGCATAGACGAACACCGCAATCGATCAGACTCACACAGAAGCTGTCTGGACTGTACACTGTGTGAGATGAGGACACGAGTAAGATGCTACGTGCAAATAGAGAGCCCCGTGTATCTAGAGGTAGCCGGCTGCGCAGCTTCTCCGTACCCCCGCAGATTTGGCTGACTCGAGGCTCGTTTGATGTCCCGCGAGTGTGGGGTGCCGATCACAGCTGACAAATGGATCAGCCAGTGATTCCGGTGTTGATTGTCGGGTCAAACTCTCCAACGAGAGAGGGCGGAATGGAAGGGAATGCTCTCAATGCTGGAACCTCCAGAACTCGCACTGCCCTCTATAGAAATCACCACCATTGAGAGCTTCGCAAGTTCTTGAACTCTTTGTACCACACGGTGTCACTCTTGCTCCTGCTTGCTCCAGGTTCTGGGGAGCGGGTTACAGGTCCTGGATGTCGTCAGTGGATTAGAGCACCACCCTCGCATCGGAAAGATATCGGAAATACCGGAATTGGTCATCTATGCGTCCAGTACATATTCTCCTTGGGGGTTTCAAATGCATTTTTGACGTAGTCTGGCTTTCTGGCATAGAAGACTGTTATCAATCGATTGTATGAAAGTGTATCACCAGAGACGAGAAGGGTGTGGAGGCTGAACAGCGGTCCGAACAGAATAAGTCAACTATACTGAGGATGAACCAAGTCAGGCAACGGCAACGATCCCTGAGGAAATCAGCAGACGAGGTCCTCCACGGGTACTGCGCTCAGATACTCTGTCGTCGCTGAACATTGAGCGAAAAACACATGTCCAAGCACCGGCTGCCGCAAAAGAAACGCGTCTCCACGGAGCTACAATTGCTTTCGCTCGTCGTCCTGATGGATATTGAAGCGTCGGCCTCTGTTCAAAGATTGCGGTAGCATGCATGACGTTGCATCCTAGACTTGAGCACTTTGGTTGTAAGTTTTCACACCGGGTCCATTGGCCTCAACCATGGATTGTCTTACTCAATACCTGGAACCTACAGGCTGAAAGGAAGCCCCATGAGGTAGTACTAGCCAATTGCATCCTCTCCGGTAAGACGGAACAGACTTGGTGATGCCTGTGGAGACCGGTTCGCAGCCACTCATTCTTCAATGGGTATAGAGCTGCTCGTGGGTAATGATCTTACCTAGTGCAATCCGCTCACCTACGGTCACAGCGTCCCTAGCCCAATGCTTCCAGGACGTGGAGAATTAAATCCCTCACCGAGGAGCCTTTTTCGAAGTACATAACCCACGACGAAAGGGCCCCAAATCAGTTTCTGTTGCATAATTATTACAATCCATTTCAAAATTTGCTGCAGACAACATGGCAACAGTCGATGTCGTGCCCTGCTTCGACGCTCAGTGTCGTCCCAATCCACTAAGTGGGCATAAGAGAACGAACGCGATCAGGTTTTGCGTGATACAAGTCACCTCAGCGAGTCGGCCTCAAGCATATAAAAAGCCCTCCTGCGCCATGTCTCTGTACTCAAGAGCCAGCCTGCTGCCGTTCGTGATAGATCATGGGTAAAGAAGGAACGACAAATCATGGCCCCGCGCGGGTGACTACCATTGCATTTGCAGACAGCCCTGATGATCGGCACAATCGGTCAAGCGCCCACGACACTTTGAGGCAAGACGAATCCCACCATCGAAGGCGTTCAGCAAGTCGAGACTCGATCTCCAGCGTTCGCAGTCGGATCCACCAGGCCAATTATGGTATCCCTATCACCTATCGCACACTATCGTTCCAAGCTTCCGAGTCGAGAGCTCTCAGTGAAAATGGCGGTGACAATACAGCCAAAGACAAGCTGCGAACACCGGGAGACGATTTGGCATGTGCCGACGAGCACCGTGTCGATGTTGAAACTCTGTCTCAGCGCTTGAGAGTGTCGCCAACCGTGGGCCTGAGTTCTGACGCAGCAGCCAAGCGCTTGCAGCAGCATGGTTACAATGTCCTTCCCCAACGCCGTCAAAACTACGCCAAAACCCTGGCAGGGTATGTGTTCGGCGGATTCTGCTCGATACTGTGGGTGGGTGTCATCATCTTCTTCATTTGCTGGAGGCCTCTTGGTGATCCAGATCCTCAACCCTACAACTTAGGCCTTGCAATCTTGGTCATTATCGTCATCGTCCTCCAGGCATCCTTTTCGGCTTTCCAAGACTGGTCAACCGCCAAAACCATGAACTCGATCCTCGGCATGTTGCCATCGGATGCTCTTGTCCTCCGGGATGGCTGTATCAGCAGCGTTCCCACAAAGGAAGTTGTCGTTGGTGACATTGTTCGTTTGGAAATTGGGAACAAGGTCCCTGCAGACATTCGCCTTATCGAGACAAGCGGAGACACTCGGTTTGATCGATCTGCCATGACCGGCGAATCTGAGGAGGTTGAGGCATCGCTTGAATGTACGGGCGACAACATCCTTGAAAGCCAGAATATGGCTCTGATGGGCACAGTCGTCACCAACGGGACCGCCACTGGAATTGTCGTCTTCACCGGTGCGAAAACCGTAATGGGCGCCATTGCCAAAGCAACTGCTGGCGTCAAAGCAAAGCCGACCGCCATTCAACAGGAAATCACGCGCTTCGTCACCATCATCTGCGGGCTGACGATCTGCTTGGCATGTCTGATTCTCTTCGCCTGGGTGGGCTGGCTTAGGATACAGCATCACTCTTTCATGAATGTGGTTGCAATGCTGGATGACATCATGGGCTGCGTCGTCGCCTTCATTCCTGAAGGGATGCCCGTCGGCGTGGCATTGACTTTGATGTTGATAGCAAGGCGGATGAAGGCGGTCAACGTGTTGCCCAAGAGCCTCGCCACGGTGGAGACGCTGGGCTGTGTTTCAGTCATCTGCTCTGATAAGACCGGGACCTTGACCAAGAACCAAATGACAGTGACCAGCATTGGGTTCGTGGACCAGTTCTTGTCTTCAGAAGAGGCCAAGGAGTCCTTCACGCAAAAGACGCAGCCTCAGCCTTTGGCACGCCTTGTGACCGCTGCCAGATTGTGCAATGGAGCCAACTTTGACCCGATGAGCCTTGAGAAACCAGTGGAGGCCCGTCTCACACAGGGTAATCCAACCGACGGAGCACTCCTTCGGTTTGCGGCGGCCCTCACTTCGGGTGACCAGCATTGTGATCGCTTTCCGCAAGTCGCGGCAATCCCATTCAACTCCAAGACCAAATTTATGCTGACACTGCATCAAACACCCTTGGATGAGTTCAAACGGGTGGAAAAGTCCTCGTCGTCAACGTACAAAGCATTCGTCAAAGGAGCCCCTGATGTATTGTTGCCGAGGTGCTCTCAGTACTGGACTTACCGATCGAATACTATCGCTCGCTTGGACGAAGAAGCAAGAACAGTCTTCCGCGAGCTACAGAACACAATGTCTCGGAATGCGGAACGAGTCATCCTTCTATGTGAGCGTGAATACACATCCACCAATTCTTTTCATTCCGATGGCTTGTCCCAGGAGAACCTCAATCATTGTGCAACGGATCTTGTAGCCATTGGCTTGGTGGGCATTTTCGATCCGCCTCGACCGGAGACTAGTTCTACCGTTGCTGCGTGCCGCCGTGCTGGGATACGGTTCTTCATGATGACTGGTGACTTTGGGCTCACCGGCGCAGCGATTGCTCGTGAGGTTGGCATCTTTACTGGCGACCGAGAGCCTGACACGTTTTCAACGATCGAAGAGCGACGGGAAGAGGGGCCTGAAGCACTGTATAGCAGCCAATCTTTGCTCCTGGAAGGCTCCCAGATCAGCCAGCTCGAGAAGGACGACTGGAACGTCGTATGTGGCTACCAGGAGGTCGTGTTCGGCAGGTGTACTCCGGAAACTAAACTTCGGATCGTCAACGAGCTAAGGAGTCGTGGCAATACCACGGCGGTGACTGGAGATGGCGTCAATGATGCACCTGCTCTGAAAGCTGCCGATGTTGGGATTGCAATGGTGAACGGCAGTGATGTTGCCCTTGAGGCTGCTCATCTCGTGCTGCTCGATAAGTTCGACTCCATCGTTGACGGAATACGACTCGGCCGTCTTGTGTTCCAGAACCTACAAAAGGTCATCAGCTATCTTCTCCCCGCGGGAAGCTGGTCGGAGATCTGGCCGGTGCTGGTGAATGTCTTCTTTGGGGTTCCACTGCCACTCTCTTCCTTCCTTATGATCATCATCTGTGTGTTCACGGATCTGTTCCTGGCTCTGAGTCTCATCATGGAGAAAGAAGAGTTCGACCTCCTCAGCCTTCCGCCGCGGAACCGAAAGAAGGATCACTTGATCAACCTTCGGATCTATACTCAGTCTTACCTTTTCATCGGTGTGATGGAAACCGTCTGCGCCCACGCCATGTACTTTTTGTACTATTCCAGATACGCGCACATACCGATGACAGACCTGTTCTTCGCGTTCGAGAAGTATACTGAGGGTTTCCATGGATATACCGAGGCGGAACTCACAGCCTTCAACACCACGGGGCAATCCGTCTACTTCATTACGCTGGTACTTCTTCAGTGGGGCAATATCCTCTCCATCCGAAACAAGCGACTGTCAATCCTCCAAGCTGATCCTATCCGAAAGCAGCGCCGTAACCCTTGGCTGCTTTTGTCAGCTGTCCTCTCCCTAGCGGTTGCCATCTTCGTGACAGAAGAACCCGGTATCCAAAGCTTATTCGGTACTGGGAGCGCGCCCATTGAGTTCTGGTTCTTGCCCTTGCCGTTGGCGCTTGGGATCTTGGTCATGGATGAGCTGCGGAAGTTATGCGTCCGTACCTGGCCACGCGGTCTACTTGCCAGGATCGCATGGTGACATAGGAACTTGAAGAGCACGATCCTGAGCACTATCCCGAGGAGCTGAGTTCTTGTCAGCTGTCTCTACTGGCGATATAAAGTCAGGTCTGAGAGATTGCTGAGACTGCGGGAACAGATAGACGAAAGAGACGAAAGACCTTAAAAGCCCGTACTCCACAAGACCTCCCTATGCCACAAAGATCTTGTCTCAGTGCCTAGGGATGCTCAGTGCCGTTGGATGAAAAGCGAGGAAGGGGTTCAGGAGACACGGTAGCCTTGTAATCGTTGAGGAGACTCCGAAGATCTTTCGTGTTCCCTGCTTCGTGAGACCCTCTCATGGTGGTCTCTTCCGTTCCTTCTTCAGACCCCAGACATTGCATGTAGTAAAGATACATTCCGGCGGAAGAGGTACCTTGTAGCAGCCTCGCTGAGGTCTCCGCAAAAGCCTCGGATCGGAGCTGGATAATTGTTGCTGCTTTAAGAATGGAGAAGATTCGGGGAAGCAGATGCCGATGTTCGGAATCGAGGTCCCGATGGCAAGATGCAGCTCCTCGTCATTGTCCCCCCATATATGAATTTCCCTGATAGCAGATCCCAATTCCTTCTTCCCTACCAAAGACACCTCACTCTGTCTACAGACGTCCCAGGGGCCGGCAATCATGTCTGGGTCGGCATCAAGAGGCCTGGCGCGCGTCTTGCGCCAGACCAAAAGACCTTCGATCCCTCGGTCTCAAGCCAGACAGTGCCAGCCTCTGCGGCCCTTGTTTGAACCCGTGCGAAATTTCTCTGGAACGGCTCGACAACGGGAAGACACTGGCGAACCGCACCGCAATGTCAAGTACACGACCGACATGTACCCTACCCTCAAGCGAGACCCAAGGTTCTCCGAGATCACGCCGGAGCATGTCCAATTCTTCAAATCGGCGCTGGGCGATGATGCTGCGGTCATTGATGGAGTGAGCAGCGATGCTTCGGATGACCTTGAAGCTTTCAACACCGACTGGATGAGGAAGTACAGAGGTCATACCAAATTGGTCTTGAGGCCTAAGAGCACGGAAGAAGTGAGCAAAGTGCTCAAATACTGCAATGACAATAAGCTGGCTGTGGTGCCACAAGGTGGCAATTCGGGTCTGGTTGGAGGGAGCGTGCCGGTCTTTGACGAGATTGTCATCTCGCTTTCCCGGATGAACAAGATCCGCAGTTTTGACGACATCAGTGGCATCCTGGTGGTGGACGGAGGTGTGATTCTGGAAGTGGCTGACAATTACCTTGCCGAGCAGAACCATCTCTTCCCCCTGGATCTTGGTGCCAAAGGGTCAGCCCAGATAGGTGGTAATGTGGCGACCAATGCTGGAGGCTTGAGATTACTAAGATATGGTTCGTTACACGGCAATGTCCTCGGAATCGAAGCAGTCCTACCGGACGGCACTATTGTCGACGACCTTGGTACGTTACGGAAAAACAACACGGGCTACGACATAAAGCAACTCTTCATCGGAGGAGAAGGGACAATCGGAATCATCACAGGTGTCTCGGTGTACTGTCCGCAAAGGTCCAAGGCAGTCAACGTTGCATATTTTGGACTTCCGTCGTTCGAGCATGTCCAAAAGGCTTACAAGGAAGCCAAAGTCCAGCTCGGGGAGATTCTATCTGCTTTTGAACTCATGGATGCACGGAGTCAGGGCTTCGTTCACCAAGTCACCGGAAATAAACGACCACTGGACGGTGACCATCCCTTCTATTGCCTGATCGAGACAAGCGGTTCGAATACAGAACACGACAGTGAAAAGCTCGAAAAATTCTTGGAATACGTTATGAGTGAAGAGATTGTCTCGGATGGCGTGCTAGCCCAAGACGAGACTCAGGCCAAATCTCTCTGGGCGTGGCGGGAGGGCATCACCGAGGCTATCGGCCACTTCGGCGGAACCTACAAATACGACCTTTCCATCCCCATCCAGGAACTCTACCAACTCGTGGAAGACACCAGAGATAGACTAGACTCGAAAGGCTTGGTAGGTGATGACGACTCTTTCCCAGCAATTGCCGTGGTCGGCTATGGACACATGGGTGACTCGAATCTACACCTGAATGTTCCCGTGCGGAAATACACAAAAGAGGTCGAAGAAGCAATAGAACCGTGGGTATATGAGTGGATCCAAAAGCGGAGGGGAAGCATCAGCGCCGAACATGGTCTCGGGATTGCCAAAAAGAAATACATCGGATACAGTCGCAGCGAGACCATGCTCAAGCTGATGAAGCAGATAAAGGAGCTCTATGATCCCAACGGGATTATGAATCCGTACAAATATATATAAAATGGCAGAGGCGGCTGACGGGTGAGACGCCGCGTCACATCGACGCTTTCTTCATGTGTTTCTCTACAAGTCTCATGTCATCTTCCACATTATTTGTGGCACTTCGGCATCCTGTCTGACCACTGAACAGAGAGCATGGCCAGTGAATGGCTCTCGACCGGCCTGATAGAGGAATCAATGCGGGGAAGTCGCCGGCGTGATAAGTATATTGATTTCGCCGAGGCAAGATATACTTCTCCAATTCACGGACCTGAGGAGAAGAGACACATTACCACGGAATTCGACATCGGACGTGTTGCTCGAGTCAGTGACTTTGTGCGTGGTTTGTATAAGCTCGGGTTGTCCTTGTTCCCAGCCAGAGCTTTCCAAAGACTCGCGCCCTTCTCTGTTGTGTTGCTCACGATCTTGCTCCGAATATGGTCTCCCCTGACCGACTGAAGGAGATCTGGGTCCCCATCTCGGACCAATATGCCTATAAGAAGCGCAAGCTCCGCGTGGCCACGATCGGGGCGGGCTTCTCGGGCCTGATCTTTGCCCACAAGATCCAGCACGAGCAGCCGGAGCTGCAAGAGTTCGTCGACCACGTCATCTTCGAAGCCAACGACGACGTCGGCGGGACGTGGAAGGTCAATACGTACCCGGGCGTGCAATGCGACGTGCCGGCGCATATCTATGTCAGTCTACCCCTGTCTTGTGCTGGTGTTTCAAGAGGGACCAAGGCCGTTGATTCTCTCGTTGAGCTAGGCATTTCCGTTCGACCCGAATCCCAACTGGTCCAAGTTCTATGCCGACGGCCCGGAGATTCTCGAATACGTGCAGGGAGTGGTCAACAAGTGGAACCTGAAGCGGGACATTCAGTTCAACACTCGAGTGGTTGCCCTCAATTGGCTGGAAGAGGAAGGGAAATGGAAGATCCGGGTCCGGAAGGATGGACAGGAGGAAAGGGATGAGTTCGCGGACGTTCTTGTTTCGGCGCAGGGGTTTCTCAGGTAAGTTGCTTGTTCTTGTCTCAAAATCTTGATCCGGGACTGCCAGATGTCAAGCAGTGCCTTTCCGGGTACGGTTCCAAGGTGCTGATCTAGTCTTTGCACTGTCCCAATAGTCAATGGAACTGGCCAGATATACCCGGCCTCCAGACTTTCAAGGGCCACAAAGTGCATTCGGCCGGCTGGGATCATTCCTATGACTACTCGCACAAGAGAATCGGAATCATTGGCAATGGATCATCCGCCATCCAGATCCTGCCCCAGATGGCCAAGCTGCCCGGCACACAGGTGGTGAGCTTCCAGCGGGGAGCCACTTGGATCACCCAGAGTCTAGGCGAGGCTCTCGGAGTCGGCGGCGACGGCGAGCCCGATGCTGAGGAGACCGAGGATCAGGAAATGACAAATGGCGACGAAGGTGTCGATATGACGGAAGTGGACCCTGCGGATGGAGAGGTGGGAAGCAAGTTCAACCCGAGATACACGAAGAGCGACAAGAGGAGGTTTCGGAACCCAGAGAAGCACAAGGCCTACCGCAAGATGTTGCAGCATGGCATGAACAAAGGATTCAGGCTGGTATGTGGTACCCCTATATGATTTTATCATTTCTTTCAAGGCTGGGTTGGTGCTGATTCTTCCCTGCCATGGGCGTATAGTTCCGCAAAGGCTCTGTCCAAAACGCCAAATCCACCGAGGTCACCGTCGAGCGGATGCGCGCCGCGTTGAACAACAACCCGGAGCTCTGCGAGAAGCTGATCCCGAACTGGACGCTGGGCTGTCGGCGCCTGACCCCCGGCGAAGGCTACCTGGAGGCCTTCCTCTTGCCCACGGTGTCGCTGGAGAAGTCGCCCATCGCACGGATCACCGAGACAGGCATCGAGACGGAATCCGGGGGCCACTACGACCTGGACGTGATCGTGTGCGCCACGGGCTTCGACGTCTCGCACGTCCCCCACTACCCGGTGACGGGACGCAACGGGATGACGCTGGCGGAGAAGTGGAAGGACGAGCCCGAGAGCTACCTGAGCGTGGCGTGCCCGGACTTCCCCAACTACTTCCTGTTCACGGGGCCGAACGCGACCGTCGGCCACGGCACGCTGATCACCAGTATGACCTGGACGGCCGAGTACATCGTCAAGTGGCTGCACAAGATCGCGGGCGAGGACGTGCACTCGGCGGCGCCGCGCCAGGACGCGACCGACGAGTTCGTCGCGTACGGCGACGAGATCCACCAGACGCTCACCTGGACGGGCGCCTGCAAGAGCTGGTACAAGAACCACCGCGTCGACGGCCGCGTCACCGCCACCTGGCCCGGCAGCGCCCTGCTCTACCGCGAGGTCATCCTGCGCGAGATCCGCGGCGAGGACTGGGACGTGCGCTACCGCTCGCGCAACCGCTGGCGCGGCGTCCTAGGCAACGGCTTCACCAGGCTGGAGACCGAGGCCGAGGAGAAGGAGACGCAGGGCGAGTCGGTCGATCTGGCCTTCTATGTCGAGCGGTGAAACCCGGTACTCCCTCTGCACAGCGCAGTATGCTTGAGGAGCCAGGATGTTTTGATATATGTATGTATGTAGTCATGGTTTGTGTGCCAGACGCGAAGGAAGCGGCATTTCACTGCGCAGTGTTACCCTCGGAGACGTTCCAAAATCGTAAATGTTCGTGGATCTTGATAGCCGCACTGAGAAGGCTTGGATCCTTCCCGGTTCCAATTGGTATTACAAGGCTACCAGCGTCTTTCCTTGCCTTTCCCTTTTCCCCGGTCTCTATCCCTATCCCGGTCCTTGTCTCGTTCGCGCCTTCTCTCTAATTTCAACTCCTTCTCCTTCTCCCGTGGATCAATCACCACCAGCTCCTCCTCGTTCTTCCTCTTCCAATTCAGATCCTTGCCGAGCCGGTCCTTGGCGAACGACAGCGAGTGGCTCATCCACTGTGAATCATCCTCAGACTCCTCGGCCTCGGCGTTGTTCGGGTCGTCCCACCTCGAACACGATTGACAATTTGCTATGAAGTGCAGGTCGCACAGCGCCGCCTCTTCGTCGTCATCGTGTTTAGTGGGAAGCGGTGCGGCGACTAGGTCTGAGGGGATCGATGAGGAGTTGCGGTCGTTGTGATCCTTGACATCGTTGGCGGGTTTTGAAGAGTGAGCTTTGCCCTGTGCATCGGCAGATTCCAGCCGTGCTTTGAAGGCGTTCAGCATCTTCAGCGCCTTGGCCTCGTCACGCGCGCTGGATTCGCCTGGGCGAGGCCATTTGCGACCTCTCGTGCTTGTTGCCGGGATCAGAGATTCTAGGGCCGACTTCTTAGCGATGGAACCATTGGCATTGTTGTCGACGTTGCGGCGCATGGATGCTTTCAGGGCGGCGATCTCTGCTTCTAGTGCAGATGTTCTGGAAGCTGAAGGTTGTTCGTCCGGTGTGGGTGATCGGGACGGTGATTCTGGGTCGCGGAGGGGAAGTTGGCCCAATGGGTCGTGGAATGATGGCTTTCGGCGCTGGACTGGTGATGGGGATTTGGTCGGTGATGGCACACTTGCCTTACGCTTTTGCGGGATGGTGGGTGAAAGTGATCTTCGTTGCGGTTTCTCGACTGCGGAGGGTCTAGGAGTAGTGCCGTTCGTTTTCTTCTTCGGTTCAGGGACGTCCTCGCTATCGATCAATGTGGGATTGAATTTGGCCTTCTTCGGTCGCACGGCGACTGCGCCGGCATCATCCTCGCCTTCATCTCCCGCAAAGCTGAGTAGAGTCTTCCCGCCCCTCTTTTTGGGTGCCTTTTTCTTCGCGGGAGCTACCACAGTGCGTTCCGCGACTTTGTTTCTTTTCCGCATCTTTTGCCATGCGTCACCCTTGGGCATCTCGATGATTTCAACCCTGAGAATCTTTTCCGGGTACATGGGTCTCTCACTCCCCTCCAACAGCTCGCCTTCCGCGATTTTGACCACGTTGTAGATGCCTTCGCCCTCAACGCGGCCGAACATGGTGCACTTGCCATCTAGTTCAGCTCTGCAGTCTCCTAGCGTGATGAAGAATTGGCTTCCATATCCCGCTCCGTCTCCAGTGCCTTTGGCCATACCAACCAACCCTCTCCTGTTGAACCTCAGCCTGCTGTGGATTTCATCTCCAAACTTGATCTTCTCTCCCTCTTCTCGCCCCGTCAGCCGCGCCCAGTCCTCGTCATATCGTTCAAATTCCCTGTCCTCGTATATGTTTTGTCCACCTTCGCCGGTGCCCGTGGGATCACCCGTTTGAATGACAAAGCCGGGGGAGACGCGATGGAAAATGTTGTTGTTGTAGTCCTCGTCGAGGACATGTTGCAGAAAGTTTCTGCATGTCAAGGGTGTCTGGCTCGCGAACAGAGATATTGTGAGAGGACCAGCCGATGTATGGAGAAGGACTGAGGCAGTTGGAGGAGGTTCGGTCGTGTAATGCGAAGACATGGTGACTCGGTACGCGAGAACATTCAACTCATCGCAATCGCTGCATCTCGGAGTTTACACCCAGCTGTTTCTTCGAGGGAAAAACACTCGAATTATTTCACAACCTTTGACGTCGTGGGTTGACCATGCACATCTCGTACCTGAAATTTGGGAAAACACGTGAAGGCTGCAAACATGTTTGCTGTGTTTGCCGTGTTTACTGGTAAGGCTGAGTGAATACCTGGGTAGTTCTGGTAGTGAACTCGGCATGCATGTCAGCATCGAACGATAGGCCTCGAAGGTGAAGACTGCATGAAGCTCGCGCAAGTTTCGCACACGCGCTTGATCCTGATCTGTCTGCTCCATCGTATTAATAAATGGCCCTTGCTAAGGCCCAAATTAGCGTCGAACGACCTTTCCTATGTCCTCGCGCGACCAATTTTCCCCCTCTAGAATATGGGCTCCAAAAAATCTCACTGGTGGCATATCATTCTAACTGGGTCATCTCAGAGCGAAGGCCAGTCTTCGATATTTGAATGCTTCACCTGCTTAGGAGGTGGCTATGTATAACGGCGCTTTGGGCCAGGCATCATCATCCAGAGTTTCGGTGGACTTGTTGACAAAGCGACAGTACAGGCACTTGTACAAAACAGTTGACCATACCACAAGTCAGCAAGCCCAGGTGTCTTGAAAAAAGCATTATCCCTTCTCACATTCATCTCGTGCTAAAACAGACAGCTGGAGGAAGTCCTATATCCGATTCAGTCGTCAGCAATCGTGCTTGATCCTCCGCCTTCGATCTCACTCAACACCCTCGTCCCCAGAACGTTGCCTTCCGCATCCTGATAGATAGCAGCAATCGAGCTGAAGCCGTTAAACGGCGTATATGAGTATTCCGACTCCTTCGCGTTCTGGCCGTTGAACAGGACTGCCCGCTCGTGGCCGGTAAACGTCATATCGTGCCAGAATGATCCCACCACCTGGGACGAAAATACTGATCCATCGTTGTGCAGTTTCTGATCAACAATATTGCCACCCTGGTCCAGGATCCGGTTTGTGTGCGTGTTGCCACTGTAGTCGTTGATCGAATAGAGGATGCCCTCGTCGAGAAGCGCCGAGCGGGCTGACAGGCCACTCGTTGATGAAGAAGGGCTACTGCTGCTCGTGCTGCTTCCGCCTAGGGCAGTGTCGACCAGGGAGCCAACATCCGACCCCAGCGTGGCAATCACGGGGTTCAGATCGATCGAGTTGAGCGTGTCGTTGATCATAAGTACCAGATTCTCGAGCCGTGCCTCGAGCTCTACTCTTGCCGATACGTTCTGGATGCTCAGCTGCACAGCATTGATGCTCAGATCAACACCAGCGTTGAACTGAAGGAGGGATAGCACTTGGGCATCGATGTTGATTTTCGCGGACAAATTCTTGACCGTAATGTCGATCTCGCCGACCGAGACGCTCGCATTGAGGAAAACGTCAGGCGGAGTGCTGGCATTGGAAACAGCGCCGTTGGAGGTGTCGGTCTCCTCGGTCTCATAGACTGCAGAGTCAGTGTCGTTGCCAGTTACACTAAGCGAGTAGCCAGTATAGCCATCACTGGAGGAGGCCGTCTGGCAAGTGCCAAACTGGAATAGGACCAGAATTAACGAGCATAATAGTATTGGAATCATGACAACCTGATGGATGCAAATGTCGAGAGGAGCGGCATCAAGGGAACAGCGAAGACACTCTGATAGTTGAGTTATTTCACGCTCTAGTTCAAAGATTCAAAGAGATTGTAAGAACTCGACTCTGTACAAGCCCTGCAGGACCGCGGCGGCGACAACCCCTCCTTTTTTTCCCTTTCGACAATTCAATTTCCAGACTCACCAGTTTTGGACTTCTCGAGGGTCACTTTCCGCATCTCATTTGGTGCTTGGAGAAGTCGGTTCGCGCGACATGGGTAAAGACCTGTTTTCGCAAGGCCTAATCCAGGAACAACCATGGGCGTTCCATACCTGCAATCTCGGCAGATCAGCCCTTTACCGCAATGGACCGTTGAAACATGGGGAGCGATGCAGAAAACCGGTTGGAGAAAGACCCATCTGCAGGGATCGGCGCAGATCGCCCACCCGCGTTTGGTCCAGAGTGAGACCCATCGCATCCCACAAGGGAGCGAACAATTTTCCTGGACATGGGAGATTTGTTGTTTAGCGATGCCTGGTCGAGAAATTGGCCATGGCCAGAAGGTGGGATTCTCCATGAGGAGGGAGAGCCTGGGGCGGATGATATAGAGTGCGGGATGGGCGTCGATTCCTGCCTCTTTCTCCTCCACCGTCAGGTGAGAACATCATGGCGCGCTCAATATTCCGGCTTCTCACGTTCGTCTCTTTGTTCCTGCTGCAAGAGCAAGTTCTGGCGCAAACGACCACCTCGTCAACGCCGGGCGGGAGCGGCTCGACATCGTCGAGTTCGGCGACGCTGACGCCGAGTCCAGCCTCTGCTTCCTCTACTCCTCCAGATGTCTACCTGAACGTGCCAACCCTCTCTGTTGGTCGCATTGAACTTGATGTCGACGATCTACGGGCAGACATCAACTTGAACGCCCAAGTGGCGTCCCTTGTCACACTGAATGCTGGCGTCGCCCTTTCCATCCAAGAAGTCAACCTCACCATATCGGACGTCGACGCAGAGCTTGAACTGATCGTCCGTCTGGGACACCTCGTCGACATCGTCAACCGAGTTTTCGAATCCTTAGACCTCAACCCCCTCTTGATCTCTGCCATCAACAATGTCACATCGTTACTCGAGCCCATTGTGGGGGCTGTGGACGGCCTCCTCGGCTCCATCACTCAGGGAGGAACGACACTCTCATTCTTGATCGACAATCTTGGCAACATCGTGCAGGAGGTCGGCGGGGTGAGCACAATCGTTGGGAATTATCTGACGAACATGACCGACACGGGAGTCAGTCAGACACTGTCTGGTGGTCTTATCGAGAAGACGTATTCATATGCTCCCCTCAATGCATTGGTAGATATTGTTTTCAACACAGCTGGGCAAGTTGTTCAGGCATCCGTTCAGAAGCAGAGCGGGAGTGGCGGCAGCACCACAACAAGCTCTACGTCGGCGTCAAGTACCACGCCGGCTCCATCTTCATCCACCACCAGCTAGCAACCACAGAGCGCCAGTCAGCAGACACAGTCAACCAAGGCGACAGCAACCGGGAGATCGTCAGTACCAAGACCGACGAAACAGCCAGGTCGGGGTGGACACTAGTCCTGATTTCGGACCATATTCTGTGGGATTCAATGTTGTGGCTTTCCGGCTAAGTCACGATCAGAGCAGAACATCTTCAAAGGTCCTTGATGATGAAGGCTCTGGAACGGAGTGCGTTTTGAGAGGACTTTGCCACAAGTTCATCCAATATCTTGAACTAAAATTTGCAATACCACCGCATTTGCAGACCAACTTTGGCATCTGCATGCTCTCTGGGCCTTTTCGGATTTCTGTTTTGGTGGAGGAGAATTCCCGCCCAAGCCAGCAGCTCCCTACAAGTGCGATATGCCGCTGTAAGATGAATGTTTTACATAGTATCTAAGGATTCAGACTGCATATCCACCATCTGCCAGTGTCTATTTTGCCCGAACACGACATTCAGCTGTGGCCCCGGAGGCATTTCCCTTTGCAGACCTGCGCTGTCGGCTATTGTTACCAGAAAATCGAGAAAGTCACTCCATAGCTAATTTTCTCGCGAGGCCAAGTAGAGCGGCTGAAGCTCTGAAACTGTGATACCAATCGTCTGCGTTAGCCGAAGCCAAAATTGGCGGCGTACCAAACGAAGAACTCAGTTTGTCGATTGAACCACGAGGCCGAAGCCACATCAGCCCATTTTGCAATGTGATCAGACAATGTTTGCTCCTACCACACAACCAATTGTTAAATGCTCATGACTGGTTACCTGACAGATATCCAGTCAAGTGCTGGATTTCTTCATGATTTAACCAAATACCCAGGAGATAGTTTCAGTCCAAGTCAGATTCCGCTCTGAAAAATCTGTCGCCATGTTGTGTCGCAACTGTTCAAATGTTCGTTTCCAATGGTTTGAAGAGATCGCCGAGGCCAGTGCTTATGCGCAAAATCCTAACAACAGTGTCTTCGAGACATGCAGGAAATACGACATTTCCTCTGTGGAGCAAAAGTTCTACGTCCATCATGCCGACTTCCAACATCTAGCCCAATCCAAAGATGCCGGTTGCTACTTCTGCGCTGCCTTGTGGTTTGCCTTCAATGAGCCATCAAGCGATCCTGAGCAGGGCAAAATTGATTCAGTTTCTGCGGGAGAGGAATCGCCGCTTTCGCCTGCTCACCTCGCCCAAGCCGACAGTCCCGAACCCTCCAGCATTACCAGGACGTGTCCTGTTGTATGGAGGGTCTTTGCAAGTCGCCGTGCGGAATTCGCTTCTAATATGTGGTTCGACGTGGAAAGTTTTGTCTATGTCTTCTGCGGTAAATTCTTTAGAACGCTACAAAGAGTTCAGGTCCCCGAAGGTATGTTGCGTATAGTCCTTGGAGAACTGGAGCGTTGACGATCAAGGTGCTTTCGCGCGGCTGACATCCCGTATCTACGAGCTTTGGGAGTCCAAACAGCTCCTCGAGATTGACAACTCTACCCAATCCAACGACACCTTCGAGCTTGCCAGATTGTGGTACAACAACTGCCTTTCAAATCATCCGAGTTGCGCCACTCTAAGTTTTACGACTGAAGCAATTCCACCATTGCCGACCCGAGTGATTGACGTCAGGGAAGATGGTATGGAGCCTGTCCTTTATGAGCCTGGGCACGGCGAGACCGGTGAATACATCTGCCTCAGCCACTGCTGGGGAGGAACGAAGCCTCTGGACGTGATTAGACACACCGGATCAGGCCAAAGCCCAGAGACAGGCCGTTCTAACGTCTTCCAGCTTCCACAGCTAGCAACGTGGCCAAAAACCTTCAGGGATGCTGTCGACATTGCGCGCAAATTCCACATCCGATATCTCTGGATCGACAATACTAGCATCATCCAGAAGGACAAAGACGATTGGGCGAAAGAATCGCAGCGCATGGCGCAGTATTTCGGCAACGCGACATTCACAATCGCGGCAGCTTGGGCATCGAACGACGATCTTGGACTATACCACTCCCAGAACCCTCTGTTAACCTATCCGCTATGCCTCTTTGATCCGTCCGATGTTCCACCCTGCAAGGGCTACTATGTTAGTTTGATGGGGCTGAATTCCAGAGACAAATACGAGGTCATCAACACACCCCTGGCCAAGCGAGCATGGGTTCTTCAGGAAGAGCAGCTGTCGAGGCGTAGACTCACATATGGTGCTAAGGGAGTCTATTGGCTTTGCTTCTGTTGCTCAGCCTCTCTCGATAACGTTATGGGCTCAGAAGTCACACCGTATCGACATGAACGCTTTGGTGATAATCAACAGCTGAGAATGCATATCCACCCGTCTCTATCAGGAGCTCCGGCTGACGCGGGACGAAACCCTTATTTGCATCTCTGGTATGCCCAGGTGGAGCAATTCACGTCTCGGAACATGAAGATGAAAAGCGACGTTCTCCCGGCTCTTTCTGGTCTTGCACAAGCTTTTTCGAGCTATATGGAAACAGGCGATCAGTACGCAGCTGGACTGTGGCAAAGTGATCTCATGCTCGGACTCCTCTGGACCACAGACCTCTGGAACACACGGGGTGTGAAGGTTCCAGGAGGTGCCACTAACTTCGACCCCGAGGGGTTCTCCGGGCCGTCATGGTCGTGGATATGCCAATGCCACAAGCGAATCTACTTTCATTTTCGTGAGAAAATGCTGCCGGGAGGCAGATGCGACTACCGGAAAAATACAGCCCTTGTCGGCACCAAGATCACGCGCGTCGAAATCGATCACCAGCCCTTTAGCGGCCCCTACGGCGAAGTCAAGGGCGGAAGGCTGTTCGTCACGGCGAAGCTCCTTTCTGTGCTCATTTCGACTACACCTCACACGCTGACGAATGAGGATAAGACCAGGCGAAATATGATCGGTGGCCATGGTTCCATCGTCTATCTTCTTTCGGTGGACACCACGCCATTCCCCTGGCTTGCTCGGCGGGGCATTTGGTGCGAACGGGGCAGAGAATTCAAGGGTGAATGCGACGTAGATGACATGTTCGACGAGGCATGCCGTTGGCTCGATCCGCTTAGTGATGTCGAGGCGAAGTTCCTGCCCCTGATCATGTACGAGGGAGACCCGGACGGCCTAAGAACAGCTGGGTTGGTGCTGGTTCCGAGCGGAAACAAAGAGGATGAGTTTGTCAGGGTCGGCCGCGCTGAAGTTGATATGCCGAACTTTCAGACTTTGCAACGTTCGACGCTTCCTGTCAGGGAGATCACGATAGTCTGAGGCAGGACCTTGAGGTTCCGGGGGCCATGCGCATGCAGTAAAGGCGCGATGAATGGGGATTTCGTGTTCAGACGACTGGCAACTCCTCTGGATAGTGAGGCTGGGTACGTAGCTCATCAGAAATGCTCCGTTGGAGCGTTGCAGGAGGCGAACCGTAAAGGCTCGACTGATAATTGTTTGGCCATTTCGTCGCTATCGTTGACTACTTGAGGTCAACGAAGATGTCTTGAGCGATAGTCGAGCGTTGCAGCTGCCGGAATTTTTTGACTTCGAGAACGCACATCCCAGTCATGGAGCGTCCATTCGAGTATTTGTGTAATCTGAGAATATATTTTCTGAGTGACTCTGATTGCGTCGCTCGTCCACATAACTGAGGTGTGCCTTGCTCCGGAGGAATATTCGTTCCAAAGCGACCAGAAAGTATTCTCTATTTCCTTCATTGACGTGAGGAGAACATAGTGAGACACCGCGACTCGGATGCCGGCATCTAAAAGTGCTTCCCGGCAGCCTCGTCTTATGGCTGTACGAGGAGAGCTGGGGTCAGCTGCGGGATAAGTCTGACTGCTTTTCTCCACGATCCGGCCTCGGTTCCAATATGTACAGGGCGATGAACTTCCCCCACATTGAATCTGACGGGCAATCGACGATTCATGCGTCAATAATAACACCCGAACTTACATGCCGAGATACAAAGTGCTATATCATCTAGAGTTAGTTTCGACTGGTGCATACCAGTCGGCCATTCTGCAGTGCATCCACAATAGCCATTTAATCAGACTATTCCCTCCAAAACCTCCGTTGAAGATCCAGTGCCTTCGTGACATCCACCTTGATCTACCCTATGGCACCAGGATACGACCTAGACAAACTCCCAGGCAGCTTGCCTTCGCAACAAGTTCCAGAGCATGTCGATGTGGAGACAATCCAAAAGTCGGCTCAACAACTCCTAGAGAATTTGGATGTAAACGGCCTGCACAGCACGGCACTATGGAGAGATTGGCTCGCGCTTACGGGTCAGATACGAACGTTCTATAGCTCGGAAAAGATCGCGGAGGTGTGGACCACTCAAGTCAAGGCTAAAAATGTCACAAATATCAAGACAAAGACCGGACGTATCACCAAACCTGTTCCAACGAGCTCCTGGGTCGATATTCCGTTCACATTCATCACGGAGCAAGAAGGCGGCCTCATGGGGAACTGCACAGGTACGGCCTCGTTGATTCCAGATGAGGCCGGGCAGTGGAAAATCTGGATGCTTGTGACCGTTCTGGACAACTTTGCTGACCTCGGACACCCTGATGTTCCTCCGATGGCGGGTAACACGCTTGCCAATGGTACGGTCAACGGTGTTGCTGAACACGGAACGAAAGGGGATGGCGAACATTATTTTGATGTCGTGGTGATAGGAGCAGGTCAATGCGGTCTGGCAGTCGCAGGGAGACTTGGTGCGCTTGGAATAAACTACGTGCTTCTCGAGAAGCGACTCTCAGTGGGGAAGAACTGGACTCAACGGTACGAGTCAGTGAGACAACATACCATCCGAGAATACAACAATCTTCCCTTCGAACGCACATGGAAGGCCAATGACCCATTGTTACTGCCTGGCAAAATCGTGGCAGAAGGCTTTGAGAACTATGTCAGCAAGTACAACATCAACCTCTGGACAAGTGCGGACACCACCGGAGCGACCTGGGATTCCGAGCGCCGGACTTGGATGCTGGACGTCACTATTGACGGGAACGAAAGGCGGAAGCTCGTCTGCCGACATCTTGTCGTCGCCACGGGTGCCGGTGTGAGCATCGACAACGACCCACGGTATCCCGGAACGGACCACTACCAGGGCATACTCGTGCATTCGGGGGCGTACAAGCACAGCCGTGACTGGGCAACCAAGGACGGTATTGTCATTGGGTCAGGCACCACAGCGCATGATATTGCTGAAGACATGTATCGGGCAGGTCTGCGTTCTGTCACCATGATTCAGCGAAATCAGACCGCCATATACCCAATCGAGTGGATCGTCAAGGGACAGCAGGGTAAGGACACCCACGCGATGCAATCGTTGAAGACCTACTGATCAACCATTCTGCAGGTCTTTACAACAACAACATCCCCACCGCTGATGCAGATGCGTTGGTGGCCTGTCGCCCCAATAAGATCCTCCGTGACATTCTGAAGGTGATCCACGAAGCTGCCGCAAGCCAGGAGCAAGAACGCTTCGACGACCTGGAGCGCGCCGGGTTCCGGGTTGATCGAAAGACTCCCCTGATGGACAACATCTTGTCGCGCTACGGTGGTTATTACATAGACATTGGGGCTTGTTCCCACGTTGTGAGAGGCGAAATCAAGGTTAAATCCGGTGTGCCAATTACCACCTTCACCCCCAAGGGCTTGAGATTTCAAGATGGAAGCGAGCTCGAGGGGGGCGTGGTGGTGATTGCAACCGGGCAGGACCACGACTACCGAAATCAGGTCGCCGAGATTGTCGGGAAGGACTTAGCCTCGAAACTAAGCGAGTTTTGGGGCCTGGACGAAGAAGGGGAAGTTCGGAACGTGATGAAGCCAGCAGGTAAGTTAGCCTGCCAAGGACCACTAGCACCGCCCTACTGACCAGATCCTAGCTCCCGGCTTGTGGATGTTTGGAGGCACCGCCGCTCAAGCGCGTTGGTGGTCGCGGTTTGTAGCTCTTTCCATTCAATCCGACGTGATAGGAAAGCCTCTTGAGGGTGTGAAGATGGTCGGATAGCTCTGGAGGAGAGGCGATGAGGCAACATATTCGAGGACCACCGAAAGGTCCAACTCCAGCGAATATTCAAGACTCGAGTCTTTGCGAGGTCCTGGAGTCAATGGGACAGGCGGTCAAACTCTCGCCGAAATTGCTGCGCGGCAACCTGGCCAATTGACTGGAGATATCTCCCCTAATCTAACCTCTTCTGGCAGGTGAAACGGGCCTTCCCAGCCACCCCGGGGCGGGGTAATAAGCTTGGCGAAGCGGGGCATTTAAGCTTCTCCTGGCGCACCTCCTAAGGATTTTGGACGCAGAGCTCAATGCATCCAGAGGGATCTTGTGCATCATATTAATTCGTTGATCCATATCGACTTACACTACGCAGCCCTGTCACAGACTCTCCCCTCTTGTTACACTCAGAAAGACACATTGAACTTAACGGCGTTGCCATTGCGGCAACTACCTTGTCGAGCATGTCGGGTCCACTGGATTATACTGAGGTTCAGGGATTCCGGGCACTTCGAGCAGTGGGTTATACTTCAGCTCAGGGATTACTGGCGCTTGGAACAGTGCGGGATGACCTAGCTCGAATCTTCATGTCCAACCCTCGAGTTCCCACACAAGAAAATGGTGCGCCTCAAGGACCTCATGAACAACACACCAAACCCTTCAGGCCAATTGTAAACGCTCCACCACAAGGCAACCGTATACCTCAAGGATATCATGCACCACACAACGGCTCAGTTCCAGTATCAGCACAAAGCCATCGAGTACCTCAAGGATATCACGTACCACACAACGGCTCAGTTCCAGCATCAGCACAAAGCCGTCGAGTACCTCAAGGATATCATGTACCACACAACGGCTCAGTTCCAGCATCAGCACAAAGCCATCGAGTACCTGGAGGTTTTCAAGTACAACAGGACAAGCCAGTGCCAGCCTTCAGGTCTAGCGACCGAGTCCCGACTCAACAGAGTGGCCCAACCCGAGTTTATGGATCAAATGGAGGTGCTATGCAAAACAATAACAGCATTCAGTCCTTCCCATCATCGGACAAGAACCTAGATCCAACACAGAGTTTTCCGGTACAAGACACCAGTGCATTGCGTTGGGGTCCACCGCAGGACAATGGAGGCCCTCAACAGTTTTTAATACCACCCAACAGCTCCCCTACTGAGTTGCAACCTCACTCTAATGGCCCCCCTTAATCTTGACCATCGCACTATGATGATGAAGGACACTCACAACAACAGAATGGATCTCTTGAACATGTAGCACCAGGCGGGTTCGTATGTTCTCCAAATCAACAGCCCTCCGGAACTCAAGGATCTCGCTTTGAAATCAGTACCGCCACCCCCGTCCCCGTACAACAACCCCATACCACGCCCCAAGAAGCTTCACAAAAACAGCAGACCAGCCCAGCTCAAATTCCCATATCGAACGAGCAGGCTCCTGCCCCACCGGAGGATAGCACCATATACTATACACCACGCGTTTCACGGCCAACACAACTACGAAATGATAGAGGCCGACATACTGAACCGCCGGAGCAAAAATCCCGAGACTGGAAGGATCATGCACGTGGCGCCCAAACTAAGAAGCCACCACAACGGATGGGAGGACGCTCGAAAGATTCTTCTCTGCAAGAGCATGTCACAGCCCGGACCCCGGGTTCTAGCGAAAAGGCTATAGTACAACAGGCTAACACGGCTCAAGCCCCCGAAACAAGCCGGGAGGCTCGCAGAGCTTCCCCGGCGCATGATAACACAGCAAGTGCCACTGATTCCACTGGCGGGACCCCCGAGGTTTCCCAGAATCACGATGCGGGACAAACATCTAGCGCGAATGAAGAAGCTCGAAGACTTCCGCCACCACAAAATGACAAGCCGCAAGCCCCTACAACAAACCAAGAGGCTCCAGCGATTGCGCGACCGCAGGTTCATCGGGACGACGCTCCTGAACCAAGTAGAAATCGAACGCCCCAGAAGGCCTCACCTCAGGCTTCGGAGCAGAACACGAATCCGCCTTCCCAGAATACGCCGGATCAAGCTGCTAGATCAAGTAGAGAGTCGTCATCACAGAATGCCACAACTCCGACGTCCGGTCCAAGCAGAAGAGCGCTGTTGGAACGGAGCGGTACAGAAGCCCTGCCCATCGACCTAGATCTGGAGGCAGATACACCACTAGAGATTGTTGGTACACCTCGGATGCCTGAGTCTGTGGAAGATGCTCCGGTGGAACATGTCAACGCACCCCCCAGCCCCAGATCAGAGAACGTCCCATTGCAGCTGCCGGGTCCGGAGCTGCCCATCGAAGGCACGGCTCTCACCTTCTTCGCCTGGTTCGTCACCTCTTCCCGGCGGCCGGAGACGGTGACCAGTTATCTCGACGAACTCCCCACTCTGCTGTTAAAGGCGTCCAAAAGACATCCGGTTCTTGATTCCGCCCTTCGTGCTCTGTCGCTGGTCCTCTATGGCCTTTTCCACAAATCTGAGCCCGCTGTTGATCGCGCGAGGTTGATCCATGCCTCGTCGCAGCGCATGCTCGCGCAACTCACCTCGCCAGACGCAGAAGAAAGTGTATCAAGCGATGAGCTCATTGTCTCGGAGTTGCTGTCTGAGTTTTATGAAGTATGTTGCTCACTTCCTCGTTACACCACCCCCAGCCAGGATGGAATGAATGCGCGCTACAGTGCCTGGGTCGAAGCATTCCGCTTCGTCTATACTCCCTCCTCTGCCTTCGTACTGACACATTTGCGTGCTATTATAGCTTTGCATATGTCTCCAGGAGCAGCGTCCGTTCAGGAAGGCTCAGATGGGGTGCTTGGAGAGAGTCCTAGAATTGCGCAGCAAAGAGCCGTTTCCAGATGCCCTGTCTAACCGCGTTTTCTCTGCAGCAAGACATCAGATCGTACGTATATTGCAGCTGCAGAAGTTTCCGTCCCGTTACTAACTCAGGACCTCGTCAGGCGTGTTATTGCATCGAGACCTCGCAATCTGCAACCCAAATCCTGGGAAGACACGTGTTTATCTGCGAGAATGACCCTGGGTCGAAACTCACTCGAGAAGCCATTCGAGTTTCGGACTTCCTCGACGAATTCAGGCGCAATCGAGACTCATATCCGCAGCCGCCATGTTGGCAGCAGCTGCAGAAAGGCTTAGACATCGACGATGGATTGAGTTGCTGGCCCAAGACTGTGCCGTCGTGGTGGCAATATTCTTTTCACAAGGATTCCATCTATACCAACGACCTTGGCTATCACGGCATGGTCCACATCTATCATGACATCCAAGTGGCATCGGTGTGGAACTGCTACCGACACATTCGTATCATGCTGCTCAGCACCATCGCTGAGCTCGCATTCTTGAGTGGGCAGGTGGCTGGCATTGATTACAAGGGGGTAAGGAGAAAAGCAATCAGCTCGATGACGGAGCTGGCGGTCGACATCTGCGCCTCGGTGCCCTTTTTTGTAGGCACCCGGAGCGCCGCCACTCCCGAGAGCAAGATCCGGTATCCTTCGCTCGGAACGCGTGACGCCGACTTGATCCATCGCCAAAATGCCCATTCCTGGGGCTGGTTCTTGCTGCTGGTACCGCTCTCAAGACTCCAGATGACGGGCAACCTTCCTGCCGAGCAGCGTGAATGGGCGGCTCAGCAGCACAGTCGGGTCTGCGCCATTGGAGACCAAAGGTATCACGTCAGGGCAGGAAGCTTTGAGAGACTCCTGTCCGATTCCTTGCCTTCCTTCGCCTGCTCACACGCCATCAACATCCAAAACCTGGCGTAAGTGAACTTTCTTGCACTCCTCTCGTGACAAGCACTAACCTGCGCGCTTCCTCTCTCAGGCATATTGATCTCGTGGATCGGGAGCCGACCGACGAAGGCGACCCTATGGACCTTGACGGCTTCGGTCTCCGTAGAGCCGCTGCTCAATCCCCAAATTCGGGATCGAACTCTCCACGGACGCAGTCACCTTCACCACAGCCGCCGCCGCCGCCGCCGCCACGGTCCTCTAGGAGGCCCAAAAGAGGCCGACGAAGAAGACGAGAAGACGACGATGAGGATGATGACGACAAGGACGCCAACGCCGATGCCGATGCAGACGAAGAAGAGGGCCGTGTGAGCTGTGAGTGCGGCCGTCGTGGCCGCATGTCCAATCCCCAGCGGCATCACAGAGAGCGAGCAGCGAAAAGACGGGCGTGTGACACTTGCGGCATCAGCTTCACCAAACGCCTAGCATAGCGCAAGCACGTTGTACAATGCGCTTGTCGGCGCAGGCGCAGCAAGCAGTGAGCTCTGGAGCGTCCGGGGACGATAAAGGCCGGGCACACTGCGAAGAAGAACTTGACGGACCGGCCCGGGTCATTCATTGGTGGTGGCTTATACGGCCAAGTTCTGGACTGTTAATGGCCTTGACAACTAACAAGCACGACGACGACTTACGACCTTTGATGATTGACGATTGGCGATTTACGACTTTGTAACACCACCAACATAGACGATGTCGGTTTCTAATTGTTTACCTATGGCGGGCACCTTGGGAAAGGCGCGTCTAGCGTCTAGCCTGGCAGGGGACGCGGAACTCGAGCTCAGGCTCTGGGATGGACTAATGGTTTTGAAACGAACAATGATACCATGTACGAAATATGAACATGGGATTGGAGGGGTGGCAGGATTGATAGTGCCGATTCTGCATCTATAGATAATAGACAGTTTCATAGTAATAATTCAAGCACGAGAAAGGAAAAAAGGGAAGGTTTGAGAGCAACCACTCCGGGAGATTGAGTCTGGAGGATATCTCTCTGTTTCGCATCTTTTCCATCTACTACAACAGCCCTTTTGCCCCCCAGTTTTAATTGTTGATGGACTTTACTGATAGGACTCAGTTAAGAGACACATTGTGGCTTCCTGCCCGCGAGGTCGAGCATAATCTGGCCAAACAGGCCGTATCGCCCACGAAACCCACGGCGGGGGCGGCGTCCAAATCGCTCGCGTTCCCGGCGCTGACGCTCTGTGGAGCAGTCCCAGCCCGTCAGTGCTGCCGAGTTGTCGCCCGCGACGCCGTGCCACCGGATCGCCGTGTCGAGGGTGTCGGGGAAGGCATTCTCAAAGAGCCGGGACAAGTCTGGGACGGAGATTCTGCTTCTTCACGCGCGACACTGCGTCTTCGACGGCGGACGAGTTCAAGACGTTCGGCAATACGCCTGGCGGTCGCTGGTTGAATCTGCCGGCTGAGAAGGGGGCCCGGGGTATTCTGTGAAATGTCCAAGACAGCTGGGTCCGGGGCATGTGTAGTTGACTTCTTGAGCGATGCAGGCAGTGCCAAGAAGACAAAGGGAGGTGCTCGAGGAGAGCAGAGACAGCATCGTGGCGTGTGATGAGACGAGAAGGGAGGGTGATAAGGGATTGTTCTGCACTCTTGCCTGGGAGGAAGACTTTGCCGTGCTTGTGCTGAGGACGCTCTCACTTTCAACTCACATTATAGAGCCCTTCGCATCTTCAAAGGGCTGCTCTCGTCATGGGGATAGTGAAGATAGTGAATGGCGCCCAGCGAAGCAAGACATGCGGGGGACAGTCAGTGAAGTCGACGCAGGCTGCATCGGTTCCTGCGTCGAGTCAACGCTTTCTCTGCATGAGCCAAAAGTGAAAGAGAACCAGATACAGATAGTCCATATCGATACCCCTTCTTTCAATGCTGGTGGAAAGTGCCGCATATTCCCGTTCATGGCTCGATATCATAGTGCCTCAGCCTCATTCGAGCTCAAGCTGGACCAACTCGGCTCCCTCAAAGAAAGTCGCTCGCACATTGCGACAGATCCCAACTCGCCGGAAGACCGTCGCCCAGGTCTGAGTTCCAGTGTTGCTGTCTGTCTTGTTTGTGTCCTGCCGTCTCTTGCAGCACAGCCTGAATTGCAGCAGGAGCATTGTGCTCTGGCCTACTTGCAAGCCATACAAGTCCCTCTCCACACCTGTCGCAACGTGGATTTCCGGGCTGGAGCCGTCATTGTTGTGCCCCAGAGGAGGAACACCATAGTCCAATTGCCCTTCAATTGGTTGCCTGTTTGGCTCGTATATGACGATCTGGCCACTCGCAGGGTTTCGTGCGTGGACGTGGCGAGAAATGTACTTGGACAGATTGTACTTGTTCTTGCCACCACGCGCCGTTGTCAACTCGGACCAGTCAATCTTTTCCGACTCGGGATATATGATTCGTCGTAGACGACCTCTCACAGAGACCCGTGTCGTCTTCGCTCCCTCCTGGCAAGCATGCAGAATCTTGTCTTCAATCTCTTGGTCCTTTTCTTCAGTTCCAGTAGGATTCTCGCTGCGATCAGGACTACCCAGCAACTCAAAGTCGTTGCTCCGCTGGAAGTTCTGCTTTGTGTTGACACGAGATCCGACAGGAAGGGACGCCCAGGACCAGCTCGGTGCGATATGCACCAGAGCTTCCATTGGATTTGTGGCAGCCGTCACCGACCACGCCAGGTCTTCCGCAAAGGTGTCGCGCCAAAGACCGGCAAGATATTCCTGGCGTAGAACCTTGCGGTCTTGGGTGACATAGGTCGAAAGATATTGTGCGGCCATGCCAGAGATCGCGGGAAATCTGTCCGTGGCTTCTGTTATCTCTCGTGGACAATAAGCCTCCACAAGATCGTTCCATTCTTGGTGCAAGCGAGACCTATCCCCTGCGAAGCGAGAGTTGATAAAGACCTGGGCCGCGCTCATTCGCTTGAATTCATCCGGGCGTTCGAAAGGCGTGCCGCCACCATTGGGTGTCCCGGCACTGAGCGTGGCGATCTCTGTGTGCTGCTTCTCGACGCAAGACCAGTAGACTCTCTGGCCGCAGTAGTATAAGAGCCTGGGGGAAAGTCGTTCCTCTTGCAGAGTCCACGCTCGTTTGGACAGCGGTGCGGTTGCCCTCACCTCGTTGAGACTCGTGTCGTAGTTCACGAGCCACTGGCCTTCGAAGAAGAATGGGATGACGCTGTAAGTCCAGGCCTTCCGAGGCCAAATGAGCCCATCCCATGAACTTTTGCTTGAACAGGCGCAAAGAGTCAAGGTGGCGTTGCCGTAGATGACATGCATCCTCGAAGCTTCTGCGTTCCAATCCTCGCCCGCATCGCTGCTGCAGGCTTTGCAGCCGTCGCCTTCGCAGTCATCGTAGCCATCACCTCCACCATCATTATCATCATCCTCTCGAGGTACAGGTTTTTTGTCCCATTGGATTTTTTGGGCAATGCAGACTTGATCGACCCACAGATACTTTAGCCCAAGAGCTTGGACCAATCTCAAAGCATGTCGTATGGTCCTTGGTAGCGCCGACATTTCGAAAAAGACGGTTCGCTTGTCCCGATTGCACGGCGTGGTCCTGCCTTTCGAACGCCCCTCGCCCCAGCAGTAGCTCAAGGCGACATACTTGAGCTTGACGTTCTTTGGCAACTCGGAGGTGTCGACCAACCTCAATATCGTCTCGGACACAATCTTGATCAGCCGCCTGGGGTGCTCGCTGGACTGAGTAAGGTGGCTGCACTGGTGTTCTTCGCGACATTCTTGCAACCAAGATTTGATTTGAGGAATGGCCGAGTCGAACGGATCCTCTCGCAGCGATGAAGGGTTAATATTGATGGTGAGCGCGATGTTCACCAACACGCTGCTCTCTTGCGCCACCCCCAGACGGACCTGTAGCGTCGACGGACCGCGAGGTCGAGGTTCATCCGAGGGTTCTCCTCCTGACAATCTGACATACACGGGGACATCTCTTCTCTCCATCCTCTCGACATCCTCGCCGGTAATCTGGGACAGCAACAGAGCCTGCCGAACAACTCGACAGGCCCTACACTTGTTGCGTGCGCATTGATCGAGTTCCGCGTAGCTGGAATGGAGTTTCATGAAATCTGTGTCCCTCTCGCCCCTGCTCCGCGCTCTGCGTACCGCCCGCTCGATTTCGACGAATCTGGCGCATCGAAGTTGACTCTGGCTATTGGGCTGCAATTGGCGGGATGAGTTCCGCCACCAGCTCAGCATCTCGGCAATGGGCCTGGTCTGGACGTGCTGTAGTTGGTGCCGGGAACATGGAATATAGCATTCAGCGTAATCAAGGCAAAGGCCTTCTTCGATCTGGCGAACCAGTTGCAAGATGGTCAGCCATTTTACCCAAGAACAAACGGTCGTTATCAAAACAACAACTTCTCCTGGGGCCAGGCGCCCACGGTTTCACATGACGTGGTGAGTCGGTTAATTGGGCTGCAGCCGCACAGGTGTGGCTGAGCGCCCCCGAAAGCGAGGTTAGTGGTGCTCGAATACTCTCACGATATGTATACAGATGGGGTTTGTCAGCGGTGTAGGCCGTCGACAGGTATATTTTTTCGCCCCAAAGAATTGCAGTGAACATCTTGTCGCCACATGGCAAGAAATACGATGAACCATTGGCCAAAATCGAGGCCGAAAAGTCCTCCGCAATGAGATCGATTCACCGGCCCAAAGAGGGCAAACTGGGGGTTCGCGTTCTATATAAAGACCCTTTTCTCCAAGCCCACCACCTCGCCAATCTATCATTCCAATTCCACCGCCGTGGTTTCCTCCTTGAATCGCTTAAGGTTGTCAAGAAGTGAGGCCACGTCAAGGAGCCTACAGGATTCGGTTCGTTAGTTCCTTGTCAACAGATTATCGAGGAGTTGGTGGGAACAGACACGGCGAGGACCCCGAACGTACAAGGCACCACGAAAGCGATGCTCTCAGACGCGGCGCGTCCCCATATAATGGCAAGGAAGGTTGTCGCAGCAGCAAATGCTGCGCCGATGACAATACTGAGGTAGAAGGCGGTTTTCATGTTCAGAATTCGCTTGTCTTCATAGCCCGGCTCAGGCACGCTGTCTGCCACATTTCGAAAGCGCGATGAGATGCTTCCGGTGATGGAAATGTTGAAGGTGGCCTGGTGCCGAGAGTCAGAATCCTGGGGAAACCCCTCTGGTGTTGGCTCCGAGCAGCATCACTCACGACTGCAAAGGAAAGAAAGTTGGTAAACATCCAAGTCGGGTGGGAATCGAAGTGGTTGAAAGGATCTCCCAGCATGACGGCAAAGGAAGTGACGACGGCACTCGCCACAAACACGAGATTTGAGCCGATCCACGCATATTGTGTTAAACCTCCGAGCCCCTGGCCGGAATTGAAGTTTGCTATGGCTGCGTTCATGGTGTCTATTTGTCCCAGCGCGCTCAGGAAAAGAGACGAAAGACTTGAGTAGGGCGAGCATTGACCCAAGGCTGTCGACGGGCATTAAAAGTCGTTGCCAGCCGGGCACTGCGCCTCAATCTGTCGTTTGAGGTTCCAGGGGGCGGCTGTCCATGATTGGCACAGCCACCCAATTTGGGGCTCATGAAGCAACAAGGCGTCCTGGAGAACAGGGATGATGGGGGCCGATATGGTGGGCAGGCGGCAAAGGAGCCAGCCAACCATGGTGTCGACCCTACTTGCAGAGGGTTAAGTTAGTTTGTCTACCTCGAACACACACACAATGAAAACCACACGGTCCAATGCTGTTGTATACGCCAAATGGAAGACGAAGATGTCGAGACAGCTTACCGTGCCGTCCTCTAGGAAAGAAGATCGAAAGGTGGCCCAAACATCATCCCTGCCACTGAGGAATAGTGCTGCGCATGTAATTGTGTCGAAGTCCTTCAATATATCTATAGAGTCGTCGAACGAGCCTCGTCGATGGGAATAACGAGCCTCGAGAGGCCCAACCAGCACAGCTAACAGGCTAAATCGATGCAGCTTGAACCCCCAAAGCCCATCTTCGGCGTCGTGAGCCGTGCTGTTCCGCCGTTGATCTGCACATGGCGATGATGAAATTCGGACTTCGGCGAGCCCTCCGACTTGAGTCGAATACTACTCGGTAGTTTACTTGGCCACAATGACTAGAGATTTGGTACCTACGTTATTTCCACGCTTCATCTCCTACTACTACTAATACTACTGCCCTTTACTCAACCTTCACGAAGCCACTAGAGCCGGGAAGCGGTCCCTCTCATACCGCCACTTTAGTGCTGGATCCTCCGGCCTCGTTTCCCATTCGAAGCAGCCCGGCGACAAGCTGGAGATGGATGAGACCGCCTTTGGCCGGAATCTCAGAAAGACGTTTTGAATATCTCACTCCATCGCCGACCTGAGCTTTCCCACATTTTCACCCTGCCCCTGTGGATCATTCCAAGTCTCAAGGCGTCCACCGCAGCAACAATGTCCAAAACACAGACGATGACGAAAGCTCCTCCCGCGAGGGCATCTCACGTCCAGGACGGCCCGTCAGCGCCGGCCGAGACGTTCGAGCTGAGCCTGAAGACGCCGACCAAGTCGCTTCGCGAACTCACCCGGCGGGTCGTCCAGGGCGGCAAGGCGTCCTTGCCAACGGGGGGCGCGCAAGGCTCGTCGGACGACGACGACAACGACGAAGAAGACACGGTCCGCGACGAGGTCCCTCCGCCGGTGACGGCCCAGCCGGTCGTCCAGCGCTGGAACAAGCCCCGGGGAAACATTGGCCGGCTGGGATTCGCCTTCTTCTCGTTTATCGTCACGGGTCTCAACGACGGTGCTGTGGGAGTACGAAGCTTCTGATCCTCCTCCTGCCTGACATGGGGGTGTGCTAACGCGTATCTTGGACAGGCCCTCATCCCCTACGTGCGTCTTGCATTTCCTTAGTTCCTGTTCTTGAACACCAAGTATCTCACGTGTGTGCAGCTCGAGACGTACTACCACCTGAATTACACCACCGTGTCCCTGATCTTCCTCACGCCCTTCGCAGGCTACTCGCTCGCCGCGTTTACCAATGCCACCATCCACACGAAACTCGGCCAGAGAGGGATCGCCGTCCTCGCCCCGCTGTGCCACATCGCGACCTACGCAGTACTGTCGGCCCACCCTCCCTTCCCGGCATTGGTCGTGATCAACACCGTTTCCGGCTTTGGTAATGGACTCACCGACGCTTGTTTCTGCGCGTGGATTGGAGCCATGGACAAAGCCAATGCGGTACAAGGGTGCCTTCACAGTTTCTACTCGGTAGGGGCGCTGATTGCCCCGCTGATTGCGACCTCCATGGTTGTCCATGCGAAGCTGCCCTGGTACACGTTCTATTACTTCATGGTGAGTGTGACCACCTGGCGAGTGCCGCCGCGCGTTCCTCCAAGGAAAGACATTGAGCCAGAATGTCAAGCGCTAACGCCCTGGTAATTACATCGGCAGACTGGCGCTTCAGCCCTGGAATTCGTCGGTCTCAGTATGATGTTCTGGCACAAGACGGGCGAAGTGTATCGGATCGAACACCCACGAGATACTGAGGCCTCGGGAGGCCGCACGAGAGAAGCGCTCAAATCCAAAATCACCTGGATCTGCTCGGCATTCTTCTTCACGTACATGGGCATCGAAGGTAACGTCCAGTCCCCTGTACCGTCCGTCTCTACTCGCCCAATCCATGCCCTTTTTTTTTCCTTTCCTTAGCGCCTAGAGGTACGCGCTGTGATATGTCGAGTCACTGACATTCATCGGGCGAGAAAGTCGGTCTCGGGGGCTGGATCGTGACATTCATGCTCCGTGTCCGCTCCGCCTCGCCATCAGCGTCCGGCTATTCGGGCACGGGCTTCTGGGCAGGCATGGCCCTGGGCCGCGCTTCTCTGGGCTTCGTCACCGAGCGCTTTGGCGAGCGCCTCTGCATCACCATCTACCTCGCGCTGTGCCTCGCCCTGCAGCTGATCTTCTGGCTGGTCCCGAAATTCATCGTCTCCGCCGTCGCCGTCGCCTTCCTCGGCTTCTTCCTCGGCCCCATGTTCCCCGGCGGCGTGATGATGGCCGCGAAGCTGCTGCCCAAGCACATCCACGTCAGCAGCATCGGCTTCGCGATGGCGCTGGGAGGAACGGGCGGGACGGTGTTCCCCTTTGCCATCGGCGCCATCGCGGCGAGCAAAGGAGTCAAGGTGCTGCAGCCGATCATCCTGGCACTGATCATCGTGCTTTTAGGGCTGTGGCTGAGCTTTCCGAGGGTGAAGAAGAGGGAGTAACGACTCCCCTCTCTAAGAGTTTTGTACTCGACGGAAAGATGGAAGTAATGTCCAAGAAGACGACCCAGAGGCATCCAGGGCGCAAACTCACGTGCGTTGACGAGACCATCCACGCGTCCTTCACTCAACCCACTTCCCAAGGTTTTACTCTGCATCCTTCCTCCATTATACTTGGCCACATCATCGCAGGAAGTGCCTCACCCCAGCCGACGAAAGGCTGGGGCTTCTCAAACCGCTGCACCGCCATCCCCCCAGCAGGGTACTATAACTTTTCTCACCCTCCGCCTGCCCCTGCTGCTGCGCCGTGACAACATAAGGCTATGACCTGCAAATATTGCCGAAGGGAAAAGGTACGCATGACGTGTCTAGGCGCAAAGCCAGTCAACAATGACAACATCTGATGCTTCAGGAGTTGCGGTGCGCAGGCTTCGACACGTCTCCCACGGGCCGCCGTCACCACTACGTACGATTTAACCATGAGCGCGCGTTCGTCACATTCGAGAGAGAAAAATAAGAAAGCTTAGCAACAACATAGAACAAAAACACCTGCAGGAAAGCAGAAGGCATAGAGGAGGCGGGAAACAGCTCTGATCCCATGCCTGAGCGGACTCGGCTTACATTGGATAATACTGCAGAGCAATATCTCAGCGTCGAGACCGCGCCTCCCAAGTCCAACTCCGCCCATCTCGGTGACAATCCAGTCTGGGAGTACGACGCGAAGTAGACGTGGGAATTTATGGTTGCGGATACAACAGTCGCCCCTGTCAGTCGCACGGTTCGCCCAGTTCCTGATTCTTGTTCGAATTGCGACCACAAAGCATGCCTACTCTGTGTTTTGCAGTAATAGGGTATTCAACGAGTAGAATAAAATATCACTTTTGCACATTTCCCAGCGTCGATGACTCCATTTTCTCCTGGTGAAATCATCTCGGAGCTAGGGTTGGGGGGACAATCAAGCTGGACTCGGCACTGGTACATACGACACCCAACACACATCTCGGGGTGACATACACATTCTCCCTCTGTATCTGTGTCTTTCTCTCTTGCACTGAAGAGAAGACCGTTCCCTCTGACTGTCCCAGTGAACTGTTCCTGTTCCTTTGCCGACCTGGATGGTTGTTTGGAAACATGGCTCCACAAATGGTATGGAGGCACAGGGTATCTCGGGTATCTTTGCCATGTTCTCTCATTTCCCTTTTTGTTGTTTCAATTCTCCCCAAACAGACAGTGAAAAGCCCATACTTGAGTCTGTACCAGGTCCTGTTCGTTTCATTTGCCTCATCACACAGCGGCCGCTCACTATTCCTGCCAGCGCTGCTGTCGTTGTTGTTCCCGTTGTGTCATAAGGGCTGATAACCATTTCCGCCCCTCAGTTAGGCCTTTGAATTTCTTGATGTCCCAAGAGCTCGTACACATTCCAACACTCCGGTCGGGGCGGGGCGGAGGCTGCACTTCTCATAAATAATCAGCCAGTCGATCGCTTTCATCGGTCAGCTCTGTTTTTGTTTCTTTCTTGTGTGATTCTTCCTCGTTGCGTTCTTTCCGCCGCCCTGGTTCCCTTCTTTATGAGACGGAAGTTGGAGTTTTCGCATAGCCATCCTCCCCTTTGGAGATACACCGTAGTTGGTATGTTGTGGCTGCAAAAGGCACTCAGGCCCGAGCTCTCTTCCTCCCGCCACCGTCCTCTTCGGCCTCGCTCAGCTTTCTCCCTTTGGCCGCTGTTCGACTTGCACCAGACTTGTCTGATTTGGGAGTTGTGACTTCGCTACTCGGCACACTCTCGACTCGGCCTCCACCGTCATGTTCCGTGTACTGGGTCGCATGGTCGTACTTGACATTTCCCGCATTTCCGCCGTATTCATCTGTCCCCATGCCTGCACCTCCACCGACACCCATGCCCGCACCCACATTAGTCCCATCAAAGGGACCGAACCCAGCGGCGGTATCGTTGTTCAGATTTCCGAACAGCTCGTCGTCGTCCTTGTACCCAAAATTCGAATTATCGGTCGTCCCTAGTTGATCTCCACCCAATCCAGTGTTACCGAAATCGTAGTTTCCATTCCCGTCAGTGGGAAAATCGCCAAAGTACTCGTTGTGGTTCAGAAAATCATCGATATCCAAGGGCGGGGGTGGAAAGGACTGGCCATCACCAATTCCAGGAATCGAGCCTGTCGGAGAAAGCGGCTGCAGTAAGTTCGTGAGGTTTTGAACGGATTTATCCTGCTCCGCTTGGAGCTTGGCGAGGTGCTCCATGTCTGCTTGAGTGCTGGCGAGACGGCGGTGGAAGTTCGGAGGTCCGGGCGGTGGGGTAGCGTTTATGAGCGCATTGTCGTTGCCGGCGGGCTGGTTTGCGGAGTTATTGATCATGCGGAGGACGTCGGCGCGTTGGGCTGTGGACAGTGGGCCTGTACCGGAGGATGCTTCGAGATTGCTGAGGACATTGGAGAAGTCTTGGGCCGGTGTGGTGGGAGAGGTCGCGGCGTGGTTGTTTCTCGCATTGGCGTTTTGGATCACCGTCATCATGTCTCGGGAAGGGAGATCGGTACGGCCGTGGTTGGCAGAGGAAACATTGGAGCTGTTAGGGCTATGAACCCCCGGGTCGAATACCTCTTCTAGTTTCGGTGAAAGCAATGATTGTTGCTGTCCGTTGCGGTGGCTTGTTGGCTTGGGAGTAGGATAGGGACTGTTGCCAGAACGAGGGGACAAGGTACTCGCTCGACCTCCGTGTTGTTGTCCGCTCCCATTGGTCAATAGCAAAGGCTGTTTCTTAAACGGCTTCGCTGGGCTACCATCGAGGTTGATATCGTTGAAGGTGTAGTCCCCGACATCAACCACATTACCCTGAGTTGACGTATCGACGGGCATAGCGTTCTGAAAAAGGTTTGCGATGCCTTGCACATTTTCGTGGCCTTGAAGGCTGCGGTTGTAAACAGTGGCGAGGAAGGTGAGAATGGCATTGATTGAGTTCTCATGTCGATTGTGCTGGTCTTGGAAGGTCGCCGCCTGCCCGTAGAGCTGTTCATGTTCGCGCTTGAGTTGCTGCATCATGCGAGAGATTTGCGTCTGCTGATGTCGAATGGCTGCCAATTCACGCTGCACACTCTTGAACTGATCCTGGGTGAGAGCCATCTCACCTCCTCCCAGCGTGAGTTGACCTGGTCGTGCACGCGCTCGGGTATCAACCGGATTCGAGTCATCAACGTATTCGTCCGCCTCTTCCTCGTTCTGATCGTTGTCGGTTTTCCCTTTTCGTTTCGAGGCAGGTCCGCCGACGTTTTTGGGCTTCTGTATCAACCAGAGCAGATCCGGGTGACCTCGGCGGAAGTAGGGGTTTGAATATTCACTTGGACTCTTGTTTTTACGTTCACTGGCTCTCATGGAGTTGTCGGAAAGGCCCACTTTCTTGTGAAAGCCGTACATATTGAGTTGACGCACGAAAGAGGCGTAGTTGTTATGTTTGAACAGCTCCGGGATAAGTGTCTTTGCGAACTCATCCTCGTCCAGGACAATGAACGAGTTGCCGTCGTCTGACCAGCGGATGAGGTCGGTGTTTCTACCGTCCTCCAGGAAGCTATACACTCGTTAGCGCCAACTCCTTCACTTTTCACCAAGACTCGTTCCCTCTTACCTGTTCAGCTTCTGGACAAAGGGAGGTATTTGTTTCCTCTTCGCTTGAGCCTCTCTTTTTGCGACCTGTGCTCTTGCCTCCAACTCTGCTATGTCGTCCTCCCACTCCGGATTTGTGGGATGCGCACCTCCGTTTGGATGCTCCATCCAGTTGTTCCCGTCTTCGTTCGGTTGGGGGACACGCGAGGCAAGTTGAGCGACGGGCCTCCGAGTGAGTTGATTTGACGGCTGAGGAACAGGCTGAGGATTGTTCGCAGGATAGGCAGATGCGTTCATGCCAAAGCTGGTGTCATTGTATGAGGGACCAGCAACAGGCTGACCGCTTTGACCCCACTGAAGGAACTGATCATTAGAGAGTTGCGGCCCAAGGCCATCGTTGAATGCGGGTGCGGGATTCTGCATTTGAGCAGGGTACGACACCGGGTCGGCACCTGGCGCAGGGCGCTTTCTGGAGAAGCCCTGCGAGGCCATCGGTATTGGGAGACTGGGAGAAGAGAGGAGAGGTACGAGGGAAGTCGAAAGAGAAGAATTCGCAAGGTAAGAAGTGGGATGGGTCAAAGATTCGGAGGTTTGAAATTGTCGGCGTGGGTGAGGCTCGACGACGCCGAGAAATCGGCCAAGATGAGACCGTTGGGAGTAAAGTATTAGAGAAGTTGTCGCGCCTCAGATTGCTAACCGTCGTTACAGGAAAATGGTGTGTATACCGGGTGCGCGCAGGCACAAAGTCGAGTGGGCAAGTGGGCTGAGACGCCGAACTGCGATATTGGTCGATATCGTACTGAAGATTATGGCCAGCCGACCAGATGACCAGCCCAAATCAACGTCAATTGTGTCAAGCAGAATGTCCTCCAAGAGCATCCAGAGCATCCAATATGTCTTTATATCATCGACAATGGACAAGTGGTGTGATTGAGGCCGAGCATTTTCAACGGCATGAGATTGGGAAGGGCCCGGATCTGCTGGTCCTGATGGAGTTTCTTTCAGTCCGCAGCCTGGGATGGCAGTTCCTAGGTACGGAGTCACTGGTGGTGCTGGCTGCTGGCTGCCGGCTGCCACTGCGGGAGCCTATGACATACTGTGTGCGCTTAACTGTGTTTAACTGTGCTAACTGCGCCCAACCAACCAGGCGGCTGACTCTCTTCGCTCCACAGCCCAGTTCCCGACCATTCAGTCCAGCCTTGCGGATCACGAGGGAAACTCTCCTCCATGCTAACCAAGCTGAGTACTGTCTCAATATTGGGCTCCTGGGGGCCATCGCGATCCGCTACCATCCCGATGAGGTATCCTCAGGCCTAAGGCTTGGGTTGTCCGATCAGTGCTCGGAATCCCGTCATTTTCTTGTCCCATTCTTCAGGGTGAGCTTGCGCGAAATCCTTCACCACTTGCACAGCTCTCCAATCCTCCTGCATGTGCAGAGCGCTCTTTGTCCCATTGAGGACCGTCACATTCCCCAATCCCAGTACCAAACAGTACAAGGCGGAATGTGGGCTGATGCCCAGCTGGTTTGCCAAAGCACCCGCTTCAGTCGACCAGACGAGTGTCGGATTGGCCGACAATGTCCAGAAGCTCTGATACACAATCTGCTGCTCTCGACAGAATTGACGCACTCCAATGTCAAACTTGGCGTTCCGATAAAAGCGATTCTGCACCACGCTCGGCTTGATGCGCGCGCGCTCGTAGATGTCCATCAGGGTGAACAGGTTGCAGTTGGATATGCCCAGGTTCCGGATCTCGTTGGGCACATACTGCTCCAACGTCTGCCAGACTTCCAAGGTCTCACTGATGGTCGCCATAGGTGAATGTAGGACGAGCGTGTCGATGTATGGCTCTGCCGTGTCGTCCCCCTTGACCACGTCTGCAAAGTTGAAGTTCTTCAGGGACGACATGACCGATGCATTCACTTGCTCTGGAAGCGGACTGTTGGGGTCATAGGGCATATTCTCTGGATCTTGACCTCCCACGCTGGTGAACTTGGTCTGGATGTAGACTTCAGATCGTTTGATCTTGCCATCTTTGATTGCTCTTGATATCCCAGCGGCGACCAAATCTTCTCGGTAGTGTTTGGGTTGAGCAGCAGTATCAATGGCTGTGAAACCGTTGCAGAGGGCCTGGTAGACCAGGTCAGCTGTGGCTTCTTTTTTCCATGCCGTTCCGTAAATGAAGGCGGGCAAGGCAGGGATCGCATATCGGCCTGACAGATGAGGCGCGTGCAATGCCAGCTTCTCGAAGATTGCGGAGGTTGTCATATTGGCTGCTCCAGCGTCTCACTGGACGTCTAGCTGGGGACGGAAATCAAGTGCAAGCGACTTGGTGGTCAATGGTGCTGGGTCACATGCGCATCGGGCGTCAAGTGGCCCATCAGAATCTGTCAGATCATTCAGCTGTCCCCTGTATCAAGCAGGATTTCTTCACTGTTAGACCCAAAGGTTGCGTTAGTTGAGCGTGAATCATTTGTTGAGGTTGGTCGAATGAAGCAGTTTACATCACGTTGCAGCAAATCATTGGCAGGATTGTTCCTGGGCTCTGGAGCCCCAGATTTTGACAACCCAAGCTGGAAATATCTGTCTGTGTGCGCCATCGACCGGTCGAATTACTCGCAGAGATCTCGCTCGGCAACTGACGTCTTTACAGACAACCTACGAGTACGGAAGCCACAGATATTTCCTACGAGCAACAGGCTCAGGGATGGCCCTGAGGCCCAACCGATGTCGGAGATTTTATGCCCTCGTTGAATAACAAATGGTAGCACAACCTAGAGTTCTGTTTGAGCAACCCCCCGGGCATCAAGCGTTGTTGCAGATCTCTTCCCGTTGGCTAGGTGGATTACCTGTCGCGGGTCACCGGGTCAAGTCGAGAACTCGATCCCTCGCGCCTACTATCCCAGCATGGGAGAGTATGTGGCAGCCATCAAGTCATGCAAGTCTTGCTCACCAGTCGTATTGCAGCTTGCTACCCCTGCCGCTTCGCACATTTTTGGGCTGTCCTTCATATATTTTGAACAAATACTGTCGCCCCTGTGCGAGCCCACATCCCAACCGAACGCCAGCCTATATCCTCCTCCAGGGACCTAACGACTCGTGACGGACAGGATGATGGTTCGTGCCCAGCGATCCGCTACTGACTACAACGGGCGCCGGACTTCCGCCCACGGTCGGTAGAGATGGTGGCTCACAAAGTGAGGCAAAACACTGGGTCGCGCAAAGAATCTAAAGCTTGCACACCAGACCTGCAGCCTAGTCGTGTTGCTGAGAAGGATGGGAGCCCCATGCCATCCAGGTTCAAGGAAAAGCCAAATGGAGAAGTAAAAGGGGCACGCGGCCGAATGCCAATGAGGGCATGGGTCTCAGGGGTGCCTGCTTGACGCAAGGCTCCGACGGCTTGATTAGGGAGTTCGGGACCAGGCAAGTGGAGGGAGGGACATGAAACCGAGATTTCATAGTGGCGAAGCAGTTCTGAAAAGAGGGCGTCAACGGCGTGCCTAGGCTCGTTTATGGGAAGATGTCAGGATAAGGATGAACAGGGGGTGGGAGGAGGACGTCGTAAGATGGTGGAGGAGTTTGATTGCTGTCGGTCGGCAGTGAGGGAGGGTCAGGGAGACGCTCCATCTCCCCATGGTCCGACTGTTTTGCTTGGCTTAAGCCCGTCAACGTTCTTGTGCCAAAGCCAATGAGCAGCCCGTTGTGGTGATCTTCGTGAGCCTGGAGTCTGGATCCTGCAATACAGCCACAGGGCAACAATAAACAAGAGACTGAGGAGGCAGAAGGCTTTGCGGGAAGAGGGAACGAGTGGTTGGACGGGGAGATCGTGGGCTATCCATCATTTCTACTAGCTTACCCTTTTGGCTGGACCACCGCTAATCAGGCCTAGTGGGCAGCTTAAAGTGCCACCGACCCTCCCAGCTTGAACTGGCTTCCGGGGCTGTCGACGCAGTTTAATCACCGCGAAATCTGAGGATTTAGTGGTGGGCAATTCTCTGGTTGGCCACTCCCAGGTAGCAGCCACCCCCAGGGGGGGGAAGGGGAGGGACCACCCATCGACTTGTGACCGCTGGCCGCTGGCCTGCTGGCATTCACCTGCTCTCCGTGCTAACTCTCTAACTTTAGTGAGTCGGCCTCTTCGCAGCCAAAAAACTTCTCCTAATTTCTTTGTCTCAAAACAACATCTTGGACAAAATCTTTCCCCGTCTCTTTTTTTCTAATTTGACACTCTCCCTTTCATCTCAGCAATTCCCAGCTGTCTGCTGCGTGACTACTTGCATCTTGTCTTCCCGGCGCTCTCGTATACGCTGGTTTACCACTCGTCCATCCCTATCATGTCTCGCTGTTCGAGTTAGACGCCCCTGTCCACGTCCTTGTGCCTGTTCGAATTTGCTGCGGGAACTTGACTCGACTCGTTTCCCGACCAGGCTCGAGTTTTGCTACGAACGCCTACCATTTCCCACACCCAGCGGATCGCGCTGCTTCGGCCCTTGGGCATATTACGCTCTCACGACATCTGATATTCCCACCCTCTAATTCTGCGACTCGTCTCTCCTTTAATTGCCATACAATCTCCACCCTGCTCGTTTTACAGTTGGGCACATCCCACAGCCTCGAATCATCCATCCTTCTCTCCATCGCGCACCACTTATCGTCTCCGATAACCGACTGGGGACATTGTCAAGTCTTCAAACCATCTAAGGGCACACCGCAGGGACGAAAAGAAAGAGGTGGATTCTGGCTCGAGGCAGAACTCTTGTCATCAAGAGGTCTCATTGAACCCGAAGGACATTTGTAGAGATGGCAGCTTTCTCTAACGCCTCTGATGCGTTCTATGACGACGTCTCAGGCAATTCCCCGAGAGCGTATCGAAGTGCACAGTTGAATCGCCAGGGCGGTAGGGGTGATCCCTACGGAAGCATGAGCGCGCCTATGTTTGGAACAGAGAGCGCTTTGCCAAACATGCGCTTCGACGGCATGCGAGATAGCTTTGGTGGCCCCATGCAGAATCCTGGGGTTGGAAATATCAATTTCCCCTATGATGCAAGCGCTGCTCAAACCTGGAGTTCTGGGGGAGCGTCTCTGCAATCCTTCGGCAATGGCATGGGCGGCATTCCTCAAAATGCGAACTATGGGCCATCGCGAAGTGTCAAGCCCAGCCGAGGTCGTGTGGGCATTTCGAATGTGAGTCTCCCGAAACACACATGTTCTACGTGTCGGCTGACTGACCAGACTCAGATTTGGTATGATCAGCCAGGACAGCTGCAGCAACAACACCCTGCTATTGTGGGACACCGACCAGGTCCTCAAGGTCGTAATGACCAGCAGGAAGACGATGACGAACTGATCCCTACTGCGATTGTGATTAAGAATATCCCTTTCGCCGTCAAGAAGGAGCAACTCGTCCAACTGATGGTCGATATGAACCTACCTCTTCCATATGCGTTCAACTATCATTTCGACAACGGTGTCTTCCGGGGATTGGCCTTCGCAAACTTCACTTCTCCGCAAGAGACCGAACAAGTCATTCAGGCTTTGAATCATATGGACTTAAGCGGTCGTAAGTTGCGCGTTGAGTACAAGAAAATGTTGCCTCTTGCTGAACGAGAGCGCATTGAAAGAGAGAAGCGCGAACGGCGTGGTCAGTTGGAGGAACAACATCGCCCCATGGCACAATCGCAGCTTCATAACCAGGTTTCACTGTCGTCGATTTCGCGAAACACCCCATCACCCCTGTCGCACCGCAGCACAATGCCTGGTGAGTGACCCTTTTTCTCGATGCTTTGAAAACATGTTAATGGCAGTTTTAGATGTCGACATGAATGACCCTAAGACTCTCGAATTTTATACCGAGATGACCTTGTTCAGACGAGACCCTACTCGTGAAGTCCTCATATTTCCCCCAACACTAGAACCTCACCATCGTCGCGTTGTCCACACCTTGGCCCACCATATGGGTTTGATGCACACATCCCGCGGCACTGGAGACCAGCGACAGGTTCACATCCACCGACCAGCGCCTGGCACAAATGTAAGCCCACCGACCCTCGCAGGCGGATTTGGGACCAATGACGGTATGCGCCAGACTCTTGCCAGGTCCTCCACAGCGGACTTCAACGACGGCAGACAATACGAGGGACCTGCCTTTAACACTCTCCGCGGTCAATCCTCGGTTGGGCTGCTGGATGTCATGGATTCCAGCGCCTACGGCAGAAATGCTGATAGCAACCTCCGCAATGCCAAGTCCTTTGCCGATCTGCGATCATGGAGCCCGTCGCCCGTGCCTTCTTCTGCAAGCTTCCCTGCAGCCTTGCAGACCAATGGAGCACGTTTGCAAGCGTTGAACGATACAGCTGGCTCCAACACCCCCACATTGACTCCGACGGCCTCTAACGCAGGCGTCAACCGAGATGAACCATTCCTCATCTCCAGCTTCTCGAACCTTTCCATGACTAACAACAGCGGCAGCCAGACCAGCCCTCGCCGGCAACGCAGCTTCTTCGGGAACGGATCTGAGTGGACTGATGGCCAGAACTACCAACCCACTGCCCCCATTGGCAGCAAACGAACCGTCAGCATAGGGCCAGAGACGACTTCCCAAAACACCAACCCCCTGCGTCAGTCGCGAGGGCCGAGTTCAACCAGCGCCATCGGATTCCGCCGACAAAACGGACGTGGCAGCGATGAATTGCGTACGGCCGCATCAGCAATTGCCGAATGAAGAGACTAAGCATATACCCCCCTACTTTGATGACGCTCTCTGCTGAGCAATTGATGAGTCAATGATCCACGAACGACATGACCACCTCCTATCAGGAAACAGCAAAAAGTTAGACGCATAGGGCAGCCTACACGACTGCATGATTGGACTACAGAAAAAGATTGTTGTAACGAAATGACACAGGACTCCACGGGTGCGGCATAAAGCATTTTGTTACGAGATCCCCAAGAAAGAATGATTGGCCCTGGGTTGTACACTTTGTTTCTTGACTTGAATTTCCGAGAGAGCAGTGCATTACGGGCGTTGAGCGCCAGAGCGCTCGACAAGGAGCTCATACCGAGATTGTCGACTATGGGGCAGTCGGTTTGGTATGGGACGAAGCGGAGGGAGCCTCCTTGTCATGATTTGCGTTTTTGATTGTGCGGGAGATGGATTTATGGATGGGCTACACTCGTTTTTAATCAGTCGGCAGACCACCTCGAAGGAGTGGTAGTAATACCAGATGATTGTTTTGTTTGATTAGAATGGATCTTGATCGTTGAATCAACTTGGCTCAGCCTTGCCGAATGGCCTCCCAATAGTTCCTCAGCTGGAGGATCCAATTAGAGCGATAGAGCGAATGATTACATAAGAGATGCCAAGCCCAAGTTTCCCCCTCAACCACCTCACTGCATCTTCTTCTCGACTCACCTCCCAACCGGTAGAGTGACCCTCCGTTGTCAAGGACGCGTTCCAAAGCTTGATGATGCGACTGGCAGCTACAGAGAATGATCGCTGTGCCGTCATCTGTCTCCCGGAAATGTCCTAGAAGCACGCAGCGAAAGGGGGAGAATTAATCACTCACCGCAGCAGTCCTCGAAAGCTGCCTCTTGGCTTCTTTCTTCTGCGAGGGCAACATGCTCGTCCCCTTAGGGAAAAGGCCTTTCATGATCCCCTGGTATGTCCGTGATCTACTGACTCCTTTCTACAGCGTCCCTCCACCACTAATGTGGGCACTGCTCTTCTTCTGGACCCGTCGTGAGCAGGCTGCCCATACCAGGCACCGTGCCGCAACAGGTGGCGGGACTTTCCCAAATATGCCAAGCCCCGCGTGCTCCACCCGAAGCAGACTAGGGCCAATCATGTTTTGCCTCTTGCATCTTCGACCTATTTTCCTCGCCGTGCCTGCCACCCACTTATTGTCCTCCACCTCTTGAACCCTCTTCCATATCCCATCCTCGATATCAACAATCCGACGCGTCGACGAAGACTTCCATCGACCGCCGTCCTCGATATACTTGTCGCATCAACTCAAACTACTCGCACGTATCCTCATTCACACCGCTTACAATGGCAGGAGGCAAGGGCAAGAGCATTGGCGGCAAGGCCTCAGGCGCAAAGGACTCCACGGCGAAGACTCAGAAGTCCCACAGCGCAAAGGCTGGTCTTCAGGTGAGCTCACACTCGTTGCGACAAGCTGGTTAGAAGATGAACCTGGCGCAAAATTACACTGCATTCCGACGAGAGATTGACATCGATGACCGTGATGAGGGAAACGCGGTGCAAGACTGTCATCTCGCCCGGCAGCGGTCGGAACCGTTGTTCTACCTTTGTCCCAAGCTTGAGCGCAATCCGTCTGCGCATCGCCTTTGTTGATTAGACCAAAACTGACGCGTCTTTTCCTAGTTCCCATGTGGTCGCGTCAAGCGTTTCCTCAAGAACAACACACAGAACAAGATGAGAGTTGGGGCCAAAGGTATGACTCCAGTCGCTTTCACCATCAAGTGAATAAATGCAGCCGCTGATCATCTTCTCCATCCAGCTGCTGTCTATGTCACCGCCGTCCTCGAGTATTTGACTGCCGAAGTCCTCGAACTTGCAGGAAACGCAGCCAAGGATCTCAAGGTCAAGCGCATTACACCCCGCCACCTGCAGCTCGCCATCCGTGGTGACGAAGAATTGGACACTTTGATTAGAGCAACCATCGCATTCGGCGGTGTCCTCCCTCACATCAACCGAGCACTTCTCTTGAAGGTGGAACAGAAGAAGAAGAGCAAGGCAGATGCATAGAGGGCTGGGTCCGGGACTTCAACAGACCAACCATCTCTCGCAACCCTGTTCCCGGCGTCTATGGGCATCTTGTAATGGGCAGAATCGTGGCGGTGTCATGCGGAAGGGTGATCAGAATGAGTGAATGAGAGTAACAACAAAGGACAGTACGGTTGACAGGAGGTTGTTATTGAACCATTTTACGCGTGTTTGTTTACAATCCTGGTTTCTCGGGCTGACGCGATGTCGAGCTCCTCTCTGGCTTTGGCTTCCAGTTGGATGAGCTACTCTCAACGAGAAAACCCTTTCTTCTCTCTGACTTGTCTGTTCCCTGATTGCCTGTCAAACTTTCTGATTCATCATAGGCGTCTTGTTTTCTTGTTCGACTGCCAGTCTGCTTTCCACGCAGGCAGCAGCACCTTTCCCCAGCGCACCAGTCTCACTTCGGGGCCAATTCCTTGGTGGAGATCACGCGTAGGTTCGTATCACACACTGTACCACTCTGTGATTCCCTAGAAGACTACCATCGTGCGAAGACACCCGCATGTACCGACTAATTTGTCTTGCTAGCTGCTTGTGCTCTCTTCCTTCCTCTCTATGGGCCTGGTGCATTCTTGGGCCACTAGCAGCTCACCATGAAAAGGGCAGCTGGCATCGCAGCACGTCTTCGTCCTTGTACTCACGAAGGAGGACGTGCACGTTGCCCAACTTGGGCGCAATATTTCTGTGCCCAGTTCCAGTGACACGACTGTTGTTTGCTTCGCGAGCGATCCGACTGGCCAGCTCTCTCTTTTACAACAAGCCCCAGAGCGAATAGCCCTGCAACATGAGCTACATGGTCTTCGGCATGCAGCTGACCATCTCGCCTTCGGGGATTTACTGTGTTCCTCCTTACACGGATGGTGATGTGGCCGCCGTCCCCCGAAGCCAATGACATGAGCCTCATCGATAGATTTTCCTCGGCGCCGTGCTACGCTGTGTTTCATAGGTAAGCAGTGAAGCAATTAGCCTGCCCTTGCTTGACGGCGCCTTGACCCGCAGGTATTCGCCGGTGAGAAGAGAGGCTGGAGCTGGAGCCATGGTCAGAGAGCAAAGAAACCGATGGCTGCCCTACCTTTGACGGCACCTCTCGTCACCGCTGCATCAATCCACCTCTGTGTAGAGTGTCATCTTTGGAGCGTGCTGCCAGTATGTCACCCATCTAAAAAGAGGTGGCAATTTGGTCTTTATGCACAGCAGATCGAGGCATGGCTTCAGAGTTGTGTAACGCTGCTCTTGTGGACTGACAATCTCATCCTCTCCTCAACCTTTTGTCAGGCATGTTTCGACACCAAAGTCTGAGGGCGGAGAGTCACCTGTAGGTAGGCTCACGATGCCCCCGGACGAGCATTCCTGATCGCAGGATCCCATCGCCGCTCTACGAATGGGCGTCTGCAGTGCGGTATCATGTCCACACCTCTGCCACATCGACGCGCTTGTGAAACCTCGCAAGCTACACCAGGCGGCACACGCTGGGATCAACTCTATTTATTACGCCTTTCAAGGCGAGGCTGATCAGGAGATGATGCGCCTGTCATTCCCGGGCAAAGCAGGACAGGAAGCGCCAACGGGACTGATCAGCCCTGTCTGGAAGGACCAGCACATCCCGCGCTTCCCACGTGGTGGATAATGTGTTCCTTCGGTTCAGACAAGAAGGTCTTGTGATGACGATCGTCGAGGCGCGAAACCCACATATGAACGCTCCCATTCCCAGCCATATCAGGAGTGGTCAGTTTTGCCAGACTAGAAGAGAGCTCTTCTGACTTCTGCATTTCACCTTCGAAATTTTGACTCTCAAAGGTTGTCTGCGCCAGACCAGACTGCTCGTACAATCCGGTTTGCCAGCAGGGCTGACACAACTGAACTCCCTACTCCGAGCGAAACTTCCACTCTACCCATCGGTGTGGTCAAGGAATCTGGCATCATCTTGTTACGCAGGGGCGTGTTAGCTGCGAGGATGCCGAGAAGATCCCCCATTCCGTGGATCGACCGGGACAGCAATCTGCGCTGGTATGATCCAGACGGCGGCCACAGAAGGCGTTATGAAGATGATCAAGGTACCAGCTACAAGAAGACCCCCAACTCCAAAGGACACTCGGTAAGATTCTCAGGCTCGACCAGAGGAGGTTCCAGCGCCACCAGCGATCATGGCCGGGGTCGGCGCAGGCGGCGAGGAGAGTAAGTCACGAGACAAAACACCCACTACATCCATGTCCCATGTTGGCACCTCTACCCGTCGAGGGAACACTGTGGTAAAAAAAAATGAAGAGTACTGTTTTTCTCGCGCCTTGCTGACATGGAATCTTTGCAAATGGACAAAGGGATCCCGAACAGCGCGCCCTCTCGGCCGTCTTCGCCGGCGTCCACCCCCCTCGGACCAGCGACCGCGCATACCGCAACTCGGGCCGCTCGTGCATCAACATCGAAGGCCCCTTTTACGACGAAGACTTCGACCGCTGGGACTACTACGACATCAGCCGGCCCGGCCGGCCCAGGAGGCTGGACTACTGTCGGCACGGCGAGGTGGAGGTCGCGTGTCTGTACTGCAACGGCAGCTACGGACACGGGCATGGATATGGAAGGGGAGGCAGAGGACGGTCCCCGTCGAGAGGACCAAGTCGGAGCCGAAGCCGGAGCCGGGATCGCCGTCGGCGTCGTCGTCATCGTCACGGCCGCGATCGCGACCGCTGGCCCCATGATGGCGACGAGATCATAGCGTGCTACACGGGCGACTTGGACTACGACTTTGGACCCCCGCGCCGGTCCTCGAGCAGACACGGTCGCCGCCGACCACGACCAGGTCGGAGCTGGGCTCCCGATCGCGAATGGGGGTTCGGACACGGCGGCTGCGGCCTCGAGCCGATGTACGACTTTGACCTCGACGTTGACTTTGACTTTGAGCACGACTTTGACTACGACTACGACCATGACTTTGATTATGGTTATGACTATGATTACAACCACGACTATGACTACGAGGATGGGAGGCGCCGTAGAGGCAGAGACAGAAGAGGATCGCGAAGGGACCGGGACCGGGACGTGAGAGCGGCGGACGCCCTCTGGCGCGAAATGGACAGGATGGAACTGCGGGCCGACGACGCTGAGCGCTGGTTGTGGAGGGAGTACGGCGGCTGAGCGAAACCCCATGCCTAGCTAGGTACGGGGTATAAAACGCCCGAGTTCTGTTGACGCCCGGATAGAGCGCGCCTGTCTCTTGTACATAGTGTGCTGTGATGGATCATGCAACGCGAGTATTTCATTGTTTTAAGAGTCTGAAAAGGGGGGACCGTGCCTTATATGTGCTCTGGTCTAGGATTAGCAAAGACCAAAGAGCGAAGAGCGAAGGCAAGACGCCAAGACGAACAAACAAGGGGTAGAACCAAGGCACGAAGCATTGGTCGGCGTCGCAAGGCCTCGTTGCTCTATTTTTGAAAGGCGAAAGACTACTAATTATCTCGGTCTCCCATAACGGGCATCTCAAGGAAACAGACCTGGACTCGATGGTCCAAAGTAGGGGGAATATCCAGCTCCCAGTCCATATTCTGCTCCAATCCCAGCTCATATCCAAGGTCCAGAGTGCTCGCCCACGCCCGGCCGGATTGATACATATATGCAAAACGCTCATAACTCATGATGCTGATGACGATGACGCTGATATGGGGGCGCACACACTCACTGTCCGTACACGTGAGAGAATGCACCGTGTGTCTGAAGGTGAGGCGCTGATCACATCGTCTTCCTCGCCTTCTTGTTCTTTTTCTTCTTGCTCCCCGTCTGTTGGCTCCCCTGTTCCCTCTTCCGCTTGTTCCCTGCCTGCTCGCCATCGCGGGCGGAAACCGACCCAGCAGGAGATGCGTGGGCCGAATGTGACGTGCGAGGGGCCCCGCAGCGCATGCAGAAGACGTTGCTCGCGAAGTTGTAGAACTTGCATCCTGCTGCATTGCATTTCCAATCGCCTGCTTCGGGACGGAGAGAGCTGAATTTGCCAGAGCTGGAAACATTCCTCGCCAGATGTCCGCTGCCCGCCATACTCCGATGTTTCTGCTCAATTGCCATCCGAACCCGGTTCATTTCCTCATCCGAGTCGATTTCGGCTGTGGCCTTTGCGGCACCTCTGCCTTGTCTCGGTGTTGATATGTTGGACGGATCGGGGATGCCTGCCTCTGACTCCCCGTCGGAATCCGAGTCCGAAGCTGAGCTCAGATCTTGGTCGTTTTCGTACTGGCCTTGATCCTGCCGGTTAGTAGACCGTGATTTCCGCTTCTTGTCAAACGAGCCAAAAGTCTGTCGACCACTAGGTCGTTGGTTGTTCCAAATATCTTCTTCCTCTTCCGCTGCGTCACCCTCCTCTTCCTCTTCGCTCCGCCCATTTAGCACACCAAAGCGTGATGCTTGTAGATTGGATCCATGGTCATCGGCATTCGCGTCCTTATCCGGTGGTGGCTTCACTCTCTTATCTCCAGGAAATCTCATTTTCAGGTCCAGCACCCATTCCGTGTCTGCACCTTCATACCGGGTAAACGTGCTTGTTCCTCCTCTTGAAGCAATGCCCAAGCCTGTACTTTGCGATACAATTGGGTTTGACCTTCCTAAGTGAACAAGACCATTTGACGGTGTTCCAGGAGTCGAGGCCGCCGGGGAAGAAGTAGTACTGTCAACTCTCCGGCGTTTTGCAAGTGGTTCGGTTGCTGGTGTCTGCGCCGTAGAAGATGCTGGAGAGGTTGTTGCGCTCGGCGTTGCGGCAGCAGCTCTTTGCATGAACTAGCGGGAATCAGGCAAATCACAGACTTAATATATACGGTCCACGGCGGCCCTGAAGCAGAACCTGTTGGCTCAAGGGGATTCAAAATTGACTCACCTTCATGTTCAGCAGTCGCGAAGACATCTGCTTCGGTTGCTGTTGCGACGGCGTTCGCGCATTTTGAGTAGGTGTACTGAAGCCTGCCATGTTGCTATTGTAACTGTGTCAGGGAAACCCCCTTCAGCTTGTGTATGAAGCAGGAACAGGAAGAATCCAAGTCGTCAGAAAGGTCAAGAATGTCGCTCTTAACATTCGACGCAACAGACGTGGCAATCTCAGGCTGACACTGTCGTAAGTCCGACAGTTACTGCAGTTTCTGCTGTCTCAGCGGTGCATGGTAGTTTTCATTGAGCTGTGCATGCCACCTGTGGAGAGATTGACCGTAAATGCAATGTCGCAAACAAAAGTTGAACTCCAGAGGATGTTTCGCGCACTCTGTGCCTCGCATCGGCTCGGGGAATTATTTCACCGATCTCCCGGCTTGGGTGCAAGGCTGAAGTCGCATCAGTGACGCTTTTTACCCTTCAAAATATTGTCTGTTACAAGGCATCCTCGTCGTGGTGACGTTGAGAAGGGACTGGCTGAGAACGTAGCTTAGGGAATTCTAGTGAAGTTCCCCGTTCTCCTACAAGACACGAGACTGTGTGACGGATTTCATCCAGAAATTCTTGGATTCCACATGGGCGAGGCTGAATAAGACCTAGACAGACCGAAGCCGACTCCCTTTCTCTCCTCCCAACGTGATAGCATACTCATTGCCGGCGATACACGCTCTTCCGTGCATCATAGGCATTCTCATCCCTCATTTGATAGTTTACCTGTTTAAGAACAGCGTTGGCTTCCAGGTGGAGGTCCATAATGCTTGAACAGCTGTTCCCATACCTTGAGCAAGGTTGCTCCCTCTGAGCCCACCTCATTCTTTCTTTCCCTGACCACATTCGATAGTTTCGAGTACCTCAAGATAGGCAGGACCATGGTCCGGGAACCTCCGTGGATAGTGCAGACAATCTTGAGGCAGGAATTCGATGGCATCTTAGGCACAGGGATCCGCTAATTTCGGAAGCTTCGAGTCTCTCACTGTGCTCCGCTTGACGTTGTTGAAGAGACAACAGGGCTAAGGCACAGCTCAGGACTATTTTCCCGCGTGCATACCGATCGGTTGGACATTGCAGTCAGACACAAACCATTTATTGTTTCTGTCCTTGAATAGTCGCTACCACTTTTCTTGAATGCTTCGACGCTCGAAATTCCAAATACCAGATACCTTGCCACGTGCCAGTGTTCAAGGCGCCATCCGTGATAGGGATTGTTACGCTTGCTCCAATGAGCGCCGACTTGATATGTGCCTAATCGACTCATGAGTATGACCGTGAACTCTGTGCCGTCAATATACACTTACAGGCATATCGTCCAAGCCTTCAGCCGAGTGTCTGTATAGGTTGCCCTTCCTATCTTCCGGAGCAATCCTATCAAGCGCATCGCTCATATCTTCTCTTACATCACTGTCCCAGTTCTCATTCAAAGAGAGCGCACATGAAGTGTGTTGTACGAACAAGTTCAGAAGTCCAACTTTGTACTCCTTGATCTCTGGTAAAGACGCCACAACTTGATCTGTTATGAGGTAGGAGCCACGGGATTTGGCAGGAAGCGTGAAGGTTTTCTGAAACCATGCTGTAGACATGTTGGAACGAGTGCTCTGCGCGATGCAGCCCGGAGGACAATCGAAAGTAACAGAGAGGGGTGATGTCGTTTTAAAGGGATATATGAGCAGACGAAAGGGAAGACCTAGAATGTATTGTGGAAACCCTGGGAATAACGCAAGTACCAAGACCAGCACCGAGACAAAAGTGAAGTATTTGGATTGAGTGATATCCAACGCTGGCATATCATTGAACGGTGTTGACGATGGCATCTCAAACTGCGGACATCGACGAGTTGTCACCGATACGTCATAGGCTGTCGGCAAACCTTCCTGGAGGAACACTCCCAATGCTTTCCTCTCAGGGACTCGTCAGATAAGAGCTCATGTACCATCGACGAGGGACATCAATCTGCCCATGGCACTCCTTGAAATTGCCTGCTTCAATCCCGAGTCTGCTGTGGCAGCGAGTGAGGCTGGGGCAGATCGCATCGAACTCTGTGATAATGCAGATGTCGGAGGGACAACGCCGCCCTCAAATTGGCTAACCGACCTGCGCGACAAGATCAGGGTACCTATCAATATCATGGTTCGTCCTCGAGGTGGTGATTTTGTCTATTCGCCTGAAGAGTTCCAGGAGATGAAAGATGTCATTATCAGTTTGAAATCAGTCGCAGATGGCTTTGTCTTTGGCATCCTCAAGCAGGACCGGACCGTCGATACTGCAAGAACCTCAGAACTTGTCAAGCTGGCAGCTCCTTTGCCCTGTACGTTCCATCGCGCGTTTGACGAAACCCCGGACTTGTTTCAGGCACTCGAAGACATTGTTGACTGTGGGAGTCGTACCATTTTGACCTCTGGCGGGGTTTCAAGCGCCATTCAAAATTGTGATGTTCTAGCCAAGCTTGTGAAGCAAGCAGACAGCCGGATTGTGGTCATGCCAGGTGGAGGCGTCAGGTCAGCAAACATTGAAGAACTGAAAGCTAAGACGGATGCCCTGGTGTTTCATTCTTCAGCTCTCATTGCGGCACAAAATGTTGCTGATGCGGCTGAAATCAAGCAGATGAAGGTGATCGTGCAGCCAGAAATCTGAGTACAACGACATGTCTTGACGGATGACGCTTATTGAAACCTTCAAAAACTTGTACCTTTGTCATTTCTCGCAGCCTACGATGTATCCGAGTCGAATGCTGCACTGATAGCGGGATTATTGGTAGTTTGCATCCTGCTCCCGCGGCAAAGCATTTACAGAGCAAGAAGGTTCAGCCTTTTCTGAGCATCAGCCTGCAGATGCAGATGATTTCAGACACCCATAGAGTCACGAGCTAGCCTCTAGACTTCAACTAGAGATGGGACTTTATTGGTATTGTCTCTTTGTTGTCGGCCTCGCTTAACTGCGTGCCAACCCACGTATTGCTGGCAGCTTTTGTACGGGCCACCGCATTGCCTTTCGGGATTGGTCAATCATGTTTGCAAGCAACCTCAGCAAATCTTGAACCGTCAAATCCTTGGAAGACAACACTTGATCATGAACGTCGAGAGGTTCGTCGGAGCGATATAGCTTCATTGCCTTTACGACCAGTCGCAGGCTACAGATCGGCTCCGAGCCGACTATAAAGCCTAATCGCTCTCTAGAGGTGGCAAGAAAGTGCGACTTGCATGAAGAACAGCGGATTGGGCCTCGAAGACGACAGCGACCTTGTTGGTACGGGACAACTTCCTGGGCCGATTTGACTTTGTTCTTCAGGGATAAGAAGCAGCTCCAGCCTCCTCTGAGAGAAGTTTGTTTGTCCGCTTCATCCAGCACAGATTCCATCCCACCGACGGGGCCTCGCGGCTCACCATGGCCAACTCATCTGGTGAAACACCCAAGCCAGACCTCCCACGTCCCGAATACCCAGTTTCGATCGGTCGGAAGTTTGACCCTGATGGAAAAGTACTGCCTTTTCCCGGAAACACGATCATCTGTCATCTCTCTCCAGACCACGCCTTGTACCGTGCGATGCTAGATCTGCATAATGCACTGAAGCAGCACAAGTTTGCACATCTCTATACCTTGCTCCCGCCCGAAAGCTGGCATATGACTGTCTTTGAAGGCGTTACCGATCAGATTCGCAAGCCTCATGTCTGGCCAGCAGACTTGCCTCTCGATGCTCCCTTGGGCAGATGCACAGATCTCTTCAAAGAGAAGCTCCAAAACTTCGTTTTCGACAGTGAACCATCGTTCCAACTGACTATTGTTGGTTATGATCCACTGGTAGATGGCATTGCCCTGAAAGCCGTCCCCGCTACTGCTGCCGACGAGGCCAGGCTTCGCGGCCTTCGCAATCGTCTTTCTGAGCTCCTGCAGTTACACCATCCTGCTCATGACAGGTATTCCTTTCACATGAGTCTCGCATACATCCTACGCCGTCTAGATAACCAGCAGCATCAGGAGCTCTGGGAGTTTCTAGAAGAGTACCGTTCCAGACTGCCGGCTCATTTTCAATTGGGGGCTCCGGAATTCTGCACCTTCGACGACATGTTTGCTTTCAAGCGGCAACTCTTTTTGGGGGGAAAGTCCTGACATGGCCTGGTCTGAAGTACCGTTGGTTATACAGGTGGGATTGAGCGCGATATTACAGGTTGCTTGTCGAAGACAGACGTCAGACGGGTGAGGATTGCAGTAGTGGGAAACTCATCATATCTTTTGGGCCAAATTATTCATTTTTGGGGTTGTTCAGCCTCCACTCGATTCATATGGATTGCTGGTAGCTGGCTTCTTTGGCATCCAGCCCTACTTTCAGTTTATTTCCTTCTGCAGCCACCTCAGAGGCGAAAGGCGATTCTACCCATCCGACTTTCCCCAATGCGCGTCCCGTCCAGAGCTAATTTGAAACCGCGTCGCGAAGAGGCTGCAAATCTCTCTGGTCTGTCGAATTCCTTCCTACCAATTGGACGGCTTCGTCTTATCTCAAGCCCCCATGTGGCACACCAATCAGATGGATCGACACCCACTTCCATGGTGGTTGGCATGTTTGCCCCGTCGCCTTCTCGTGCCGTTGATCATGTTGACATGTTTGAATCTGACCGGACGAAGTCTGAGGCTTGCGCAAGGAGTAGTAGCTCCTTGCAGAATGGCTCCTGCCGAGATTCCGGCCGCCAGGAAGTACCGCTCGCGAAAACAGAAGCCTTGCGACAACTGTCGCCGCCGCCGCATCTGCTGTGTTCGAGATGCAGAAGGTGCTTGTGCTCTGTGTAGCAGACGATCCATCCCATGTACCTTCAGCTCGGAGCCGTCGCCTCGAAAGCGTCGAGCTCGATCGCCGACTGCGAAGCCGCATGCTCCTGTCCAAGACGATGCCTCTGAGGAATCGCCCGGGACATCAGCCAACTCTGGTGTTGGCCCTCACTTGGTAGTCCCAACTGCCAATGTGGCAGAAGCACGAAAGAATGGCGTCGATGGGAAATACGTTGGGTTGAGCGGCACTGACGACGTGTATTTTGTGGCTGAGCGCAATCAACCTGTCGGCAACGATCCAGCACATGAGGCTTACTTTCGAGTATGATCGAGGCATCCATCTACATCTATTGGCGTTGATTGTTCTGATCAAGCGAAGGAACGGGCAGCTTCGTCCACATCTGTGGCCTCGGCGTCTTCAACTCATCGTGCTCGTTCGATAGAGCCGACTGCTTCGGTCGTGCAGACAATCTTTCTCGAGAGATCCCACCCTGCCATTCCTTTACTGGATGAAAGCCTTATCAAAAGCCAGAAGCAGTCCAGGCTCCTCACCAACGCCATCGCCATTATATCCAAGTACACGTCTCCGGAGCTGGAAGGGCTCCACAACAATGTGCTGATCGAAGACATGACGGCCGCTTTGCTCCTTGAAGCACGATCCCCGACACTGGAGACGATTGAGGCCGCCATTCTTTTCACTCAGAGAGCGTTGCGCGGGAAAATGTGAGTACTTTCATCCGTGCGTACCAGGGTTCTCGCTGATTATAGCAGGAGTACCAGTGCCCCTGGAATGTATGCTGCGATCGGATGTCTTGTGGCCATGTGCCATGACCTCGGACTCAATATTGACTGCTCTACCTGGAGTATACCAGAGTCGACGAAGCGACGGAGGAAACGGCTATGGTGGGCCGCTTACATGCAAGACAAATGGTACGTCGGGCATCCAGTCCACGCTGGGTCTTTGACTGACCTCTGCGGCCAGGTTTGCCATGGCCTTGGGGCGACCATCGTTCATCAATGCTTCCAACACCACCACGCTCAGTCTGACGGCAGCTGACTTTGAGGAGGCCACCTCAGGTTCTCCGGGAGAGGGTGCAAAACGGCCGGAATTGGTGACCGGAATACACTGTTTCGTGGCGATGGCCGAATTGACCGTCATTCTCAACGAAATCCTCTCCATCTTCTTCACCATCAGTTCCGTGGTCAGCCTTCGAGAGGTCAGCGGCGAACACATCATCGACATCGCGGAGAGGATCGAGTCCGAGTTGAGCACCTGGCGCTCCACATACCTCGATCAGATCCTGACACAACGGTTCTTTCCCGATGTGACTGGTGAGAAGCGTCTTCTCTCGCTAAAGGGGGGAACTTTAACGTCGGGGCTTTGATGACTGACGGCCTCAGGAAGTCTGGAACTCGCGTACATCACAGCCAGAATCATGCTTCTCCGGGGCATCTTTCCCAAGCTCTACCGCAGAAATTTTGCTCTGGACCGGTACGTCGAGCGCGCGGTCGAGACCACGACGCACGCCATCACCCTGGTCGAGACTCTGCAAATCAACCGGCTGAGCGCTTTTTGGTGGTCCTGTAAGCTTCTGCCACCCTCTCTGTTGAATGCCCCTGTCTCCCGAAGGAGAGAGGAGGAAATGGCTGACGAAACGATCTTTCCAGGCTCGGGCTTCAACCTCGCTCTCGCGGGCACATTCATGGCCAGTCTCAAGCGGCTGTCCCCCAACCCGGACCGCGCCACCTACTGGGCCGGCCGCCTGAAGTACTACCGTACGCTCCTCGCCGCGCATGGCTTTAGCTTCTGGCCTGCCAAGTTTGCTGCCATGGCGCTCAACGACATGGCCAAGAGCCTGACCAAGGCGACGGAAGCGGGCGCCCGAGCTGCCGTCGCGCCCACATCGTTGTCATCATCGTCGTCATTGACGGCCGGCGGTGCGGGTGCGGGTGCGGGTGCGGCGACGGAGGATACCACTCCAAGCCATTTCGACGCGTTCACGAGCCCGCTGACCACGTCCAGCGGGGTCTCGTACGACTTCTTCCCGCACAGCCTGACCGAGCTGAACGGGCCGGATTTCTATCTCGATCTGTGGAGCGGAGGCGACGTGTTTCAGTGGGAGCCGGATCCTCCAGCCGACCACCCCTAATGCAACGGACGCAGAAGCTGGATAACCCGAGGCCTGGAATGAAGAGGGGGATTCAACAGTGTCATGCTTTCAAGAAATGTTCTCATTCGGAGCCTGAAAAAAAAAGAGACTAGACGGGTCGAAGGACGCCTCTCACTGACGAGGCAGCAAGTTCGCATATCCAAGCGAGGACGTTTTGCAGAAACAAACACATGCTTTTATCGAGCACCCAACTGATATCTCCAGATCTCGTCGCTCCGAACGCTCAGATTCCACAACCACGCTCAAGATCAGACTTGTCCGGCGGACCAGACCCCCTTTTCTACTTTCATGGTGTAATTGTCCACATTTCACAAAAACCATCGATATTCGGGACTGGCAGGACCAGCAGCGAGGAGCTCCGAGGGGATGTCCTTGGCCTTGATGGTGCGGCCGTCCCGGCGATCCCGCCTCTTGTTGTCGACAATCATCCAGGCGCCCAGCAACAAGGTCAGGAAGCAGCCGCACGCGCCGAAGATGGCCGTGGTCAGCAGCGCGGGCATGTACTTGGGGGCGTCCTTGTTCTGGAAGATGTTGCTCGAGACCACGCCCATCATGTTGGCAAAGGGGACCGCAATGGCCGTCAGCATCATGCGCTTGTTCTCGTCCGCGATGTTGTTGTTGTACCACACGTCGAGGATCACGCTGGGCGCGCTGGTGCCCCAGGTCATCATGAAGCAAGCAAAGTAGGCCACGTGCAGCTCCGTGTGGACGTCGACCGCGGCGTAGATGATGAAGCCGATGCAGGTGAAGGCGAAGCCCAGCGCGACAAAGGGGAAGCGGAGCCGCGTGTAGTCGGACGCGAACGCCAATAGGATCAGCATCACCGCGCCGGAGATGTTGGGCGCGACGGTGTAAAGGTTCGTCTTGACGGTGGAATAGCCCAGTCGGGAGACGATGACGGGTAGGAACAGGGACACGGACTGGAGAGGCACGCCCAAACAGATCTCGATACCTAGGATGATCCAGCTGGTGGGATGCTTGAAGATCGCCAGGGCGGACCGGAGGTTGAACTTCTCGCCTACCACCGAGGAGGAGTCGACCTGGATTCGGTAGAACGCGAGCTGCTTCTCCTCGGGGGTGAGGAACTTTGCGCTCTGGGCGTCGTAGGGCAGATACCAGAACGCGAAGATGGCGAAGAGCATCGTGCAGCCGCCTTCGATGATAAAGAGGTACCTCCACCGTGCCAGACTGCCGGATTTGATCTGGAAGACTCCAAAGGACAGCAGCCCGCCGAACGCTGAAGCGATGGAAGACGCGGCGTAGAAGATCGCCAGACGACGGGCGAGTTCGCCGCGGCGGTAGAAGGTGGTTTGGTAGTAGATGACTGTCCCAGAGAATTTGTATCAGCACTTGCTACGCATATAGCATGCCATGAATTGCAGAGTGCAAAAGAGAGAGAGAGATTATGATTTGAACTTACCGAGTGGGAAAAAGGCACTTTCGGCCATACCCAAGAACCATCGGAGGGCGAGAAGGCCGCCGAAGTTGTAGGCCGCAACAATCATCTAATAGATCTGGTCAGTGCTATTGTCGATCGAGACGGAAATGGATGGGAGTGTGTCATGCTGGCGTTATAGAGAAGGGTGCAGAACAAGAGGTCAGAGCCTGTGACCGGGCCGGAACTCACCAAGCTGAAGAAGCCAAAACTCATCATCATAATGGGCAAGACCCTGCTGGGGCCAAACTTCTTGCCCGCGATACCGAGGAACGGGGCGGTGAGGACGTAGGGCACGAAAAACACGGACAGGATGATGTTGTAGTCGTCGCCCGTGAGGTGCAGGGTCTCCTCCAGATGGGCCGTCTTCGCGTTGCCCAGGTTCGACTTGTCCAGCGAGTTGAAGAGGTACATGACGGCCAGGGTGGGCAGGATGCGCAGGTCGAACTTGCGCACCAGGCGGCGCTCGGCCGCGGGCTCGATAGCGACGCTGGCGGACACGCGGCGCGTCTCGCCCAGCGACGTCGTCGTCACGATCCCGTCCTCGACGATCTTGAGGTCCTTGGTGGCATCCGTGGCGGGGCTGGGGTTGGCCACCACCTTCATCTCTTCGGACGGCATTTCGACAGTGCTGTGCATGGTCGCTGCTGTTCCAGACGGGCTGGGTAGAGAGGTCTGTTTCGTCGGCGAAGGAGTCGACGGGCTCGAATGCTGGAGTTAGGCTGGGTCTCGAGGGACTTGGTGCTGGATACCGATGCCATCTCGACTCAAACCCACGGAGGAGGTTATTTTATATATTCGATCAATACGAGGGAGGGTGGTGGTGGTGACGGCAGAGTTTTTGCGCGGACAGCGTGCAGCCTCGTTGGCCGTTGGGCTGGGCAAGACAAGGCTGCGCCATTGGAAGCCGAACAAGAGCAGCGGCTACCAAGTTGCCCGCGGGCCAACGACTCGCACGTGTTGGCCGTCTTCCTTCTTCCTTCATCTCGCCAATGGCTATTTCGCCTGCTCGCTTCTTATCGCCAGCATTGACATCGACCACGAAAGAGTTTTTCCGACGCCGATCTCGCCGGCGCATCTGGTGGATTGACCAGGGCCGCCCGGTCAATCTCCCGCTCGTCGCCGTGCAAGATGATTCCCTGCTGTTGCCCAACGCGCAACTGGCTGCCCGCCGCGTCCAGCAATTCCTCGGCCTGGTGCGACCCTCCGCAGTGGTATGCAGGCCATGGGCAAATGTTGTCGAGTTATGCATCCGCCGAATATGAGGCCTGACCGTGATGAAAATTTCGAGTCGCAACAATTTCCATGGTTTGATCGCGACACGATAGTCTTTGTCGGTGTGACAGATATAGCTGCTCGAGTCTGCCGCGATGGAGCATGTATTTCATCCGGAGTGTTGCTGGAGTTCCAGAGGCAAACACCCGTTGGTATCTCCCTTGCTGCATAACTGCACCCCTTTCACACTGCATTCTGTCAATTCATTGAAACCTGTGGTCAACGAATATGGCTGAAGAATTCCCCTCGATGTCTTTGAACGCGGACCATCTTGATGAAGATCGGCTTCATTACTCGCATTCACCAAAAATCGCAACGAAAGACAACGTAATCGTTGATGCGACTTTGTTCGGACTAGCCAGTTCATTCCCCACTTCGCCATCTGAGCGTCGTCGTTCATCGTCAAGTTCCGGATCAGACGGTGTCGACATCGACGACTTTCAGACCAGCCTTGCACAGTTTGGTTCATTGCCAACTGGCAGTCTGGTCGAGGCGAGCAATTGGTATCAGGAACCTTTCAACCGGCGGCCGAGCCGCATCCAGAAGCAGTCTCTACTATCCGCACACGGCGCACCAACGTATGGAACTCTCGTCAATGATGATTTCGAATGCGGCACCGCCAGTGCCAGTGCCAGAGCAGATATAGAGGACTCTAAGTTCGTCTCGATAAGCCCCCAGCGCTTTTGGTGGGTCTTTACGGTCATCTTGCTGGGCTACTTCATCGCCTGTTTCGACTCGACTTTGATGGCATCCAGCCACCCTGTCATTACCTCTTACTTTGGAGCGTCACAATATGCATCGTGGTTGAGCACTGTCTTCCTCATCACCAGTACGGCTTTTCAACCTTTGTTTGGACGCTTGTCAGACACGATTGGAAGAAAGCCAGTCCTCTTGCTTGTGTTGGCAATTTTCGGATTGACCACGCTGTGGTGCGCCCTGGCAGGAAGTATCGAGAGCTTCATAGCAGCCCGAGCGGCGTGCGGACTAGGTGCTGGCGGTACCATGTCTGTGGGTCTGATTATCGTCAGTGACCTTGTCCGCATTGAATATCGAGGGGTGTTCCAATCACACATCAATCTCGCTTTTGGGTTGGGGTCGGCGTGTGGTGCTGCTCTCGGTGGATGGCTTTGCGACAGTCTCGGGTGGAGATGGGCATTTGGCGTCCAGGTGCCCGTCATATGCCTGTGCTTCATCCTAGGTGGCTTCTTTATGCCATCGGTTGTTGGTCCAATGGTAGGCTGCTCCGAAGAAGGCGGCAAGTGGCTCGCGTTCAAGACCTTCGACTGGTCGGGATCCGCCTCGCTGATCACCGCCATCACTTCTCTCATCCTCGTACTGAACATGGGAGGCAGCATACTCTCTTGGACCTCCCCGTTGGTGCTGACATGTCTCGGTGTCGCTATTGCTGCATCATGTGTCTTTGTGCGTGTCGAAATGAGGGCGGAGCAGCCATTAATGCCCCTACACCTTCTCTGCAGAGCGCCGGTGGCAAATATGGTCTTTGCCAATCTGTTAGGAGGCATTGCTTCCAACACAGTCCTGTTCAACGCGCCACTCTTCTTCAGGGTTGTCCTGCTTACGTCTGCCTCCAGCTCCGGCTTTCGACTCGCCGTCCCGAGCCTCGTCGGGTCTTTGGCGGGCGTTTCGACGGGATATATCATCACTTATACGAGACGGCTCAAGCCAACCCTGGTCTTTGGGAGTCTCATGTACCTTGCCGGCTCGGTGGCCATTCTCTTCATGACCAAGAATACCTCGGCTACGGTGAGCATGATCCTCATCACCGGAGTACCATTAGGACAGGGATTTGTCTTCCCGAACACCATGATGAGCGCCCTGGCGGTGTCTGAGCAGGCCAACCAAGCAGTGGTAACGACCACCATTGGGCTGTGGCGGAATCTAGGGGTGGTTTTGGGGGTTGCTATCTCGAGCCTGGTCTTCCAGAACAGCTTGCTTCCGAACTTGGAGAGGTATGTGGCAGACGAGGACGTTATTCGAAAAGTAAGGTCGTCGGTGCAGGAGATTGGGTTGCTTGACCCGCAGGCACAAGGACGAGGTTGGTGATTCCCTCCCTTTTCGTGGTCGACCCTAGCAGAGGAAATGCTAACGCTTGGTACAGTGATTGACGCATATGCTGCATCCTTGCGGACCACTTTTGTCTGCGCCGTGGTTGCTTCAGTGCTCATTGTGAGTCTTATTGTGCCTATTCACCTGCCGAGGCTGCGCAAAGGAAGACAAGTAGTGGTCAGTGGTGGAGAGTGATACGAGAGTCGCTCGATCGGTTAGCGTGAGATTGCGATGTTCGCCAACAACATAACTTACAGATCTACTATCAGCGGATTAACCAGTCTTTCATACCACTCACTATTCGCTCGACCGACACGCGAACTCCAAATCTCCTAGCGAATTTCAAAGCCAGCGGGCGAACCAGTCCAGGACTTGCTTCTCCGAGCCCTCCAGACATTCCCGCTCCTCTGGATCGTCTGGATTGCCTCGTACAGCAAACCCATGCCGTCCCGGCTTATAGACCCTGTGCTCTACCTCTGGCATCTTCCTCCCCGCTGCCTTTGCTCTCGCGTGGATGTCTTCCACCTTGCCCTTCTGCTCAATGTTGACGCCCTGATCCTCCAGTCCCCATCCAATGCTGACGGGGACGACCAGAGTCTCGACGTCGCCTGGGAGGGACAGATGGCTCGGATGCATGGCCGCCACGGCATCCACGAGGGGCACCTTTTTGCCATCAACCTCGATCATGTTGCTCTCCAGCCCGGCCCGAATCGCATACTTGCCGCCCCAGCAGAATCCGACCATGCCGATCTTCTGGCTTGCGGGGGTCGAGCGCCTCAGCGCCTGCAGGAAATCCATGCAGACCTTGTTGGTTGGCCCTTCCTTGTGCCGCGCCATCCACATGACCAGCGACGGCGCCTTTGCGAGAAGGCCCGTGTACTTCGCCAGCGTCGACTGCTTTTTTGCGTCGACTGGGATCAGAACATCGGCGGTCTTGAGCGGCACGGGGTCGCCCTTGAAGAAGTCGGGGAGATAGACCAGCCACTGCCCGCTTTTGGCGTAGGCGTCAGCGATCAGTTTGTTGTTGGGCAATGGGAGGCCGAAGATGTCTGAGTAGACCACGATGATACCGCTCGGGTTGGTCCGGTTGCCGACCACGTAGGTATTCAGGCCGTGGATTTCTTCTTCGGTGCCCTGGGGTTGGCCGTGGTGGATGGTGCCCTGGGGAACGCGGTGAGTGGAGTGCATTTGTCAAATTCGGATTGAAGCAATCCTACCTTGATGCACTCTTCGCATGGGGGATCCATTTGTGGGGTGATTGTGATGGAGTTCGCCTTACACAGTTTTCGCTTGACAAGCACTGGGTGTTCGTGGTCAATGATAGAAACTTCTGCTCAACGTAGACGGTGTAGGTTAATGACGAGGGCAGGTCGATGCTCGAGAAGCGCTTCATGATTGATATACCAGCTCTTCTCCAGGCACAGCCAGCGCTCGATGACACGTCGATGTCGTAGTGGTCGGCGAGGTGGTTCGTCCGTCGTGGCATCTCGGCGAGATCTCGCGCACTTCTCGGAGCAGCTGTGATTTGTAGATGGACCGTGATGGGCGGTGCGTAACTGCATCCGGCTACTTTCAGGCTCCCCAGCCACAGCCACAGCCCGCCAGCAGACGAACAGTGCGTCTCTCCCTCTTTCGTGCTACACGCCCATCGTCACCCGTCGGCCAGAATCATATCAGCGCCCATTGCCCCGACTGCAGCCATGTCGCAGGGGTCGTCAGTGGCAGCATCGGGGCCTGTGTCCGCGTCGAATGCCGAAAAGACCGCGACTGCGACTGCGACTGCTTCCGCCAGGCCTCCGTCAACGGCCCCGGTCCCGAGCCAAGGCCCAGGATCCAAGTTGCGCAGTTGTCTTGTATGCCGCTCTCGCAAGGTTCGCTGTGACAAGCAGTCCCCCTGCTCCAATTGCCGCCGGGCAAACATCGCCTGTGTGATTCCGTCAGCCGACCGCCCGCCGAGGTGGGCGCGCCGTCTCCATCATCTCACCAACAAGGCCCCAGCATCAAACACTTCTGCACCGCAGGACACCAATGCGGACCTGGACAAAGTCATGGAGAGACTGCACAATCTGGAGCATCTGGTGAAGGAGCTGAGTGACCAGCTGGAACAGGCTCGAGCAGCAGCGACGAGTTCGACGGGCGGGAGCGCGTCTGAAGTCAACTCCCCTGAAAGCTCGACCCAGCATCGCGACCTAGAGCACGAGAACAATCCGTCATCACCCGCCACAGATATCAGCAACATCCGCAGGCAGTTTGGCCGCCTGGTGCTCCAGGATGCCAGTCGTAGCCACTATGTGAGCAGCGCCTTCTGGTCCCGGGTCGACGACGAGGTAGGTTCAATGCCCTGTTTTCGTGGCCGGATGGATCGCTGACCTTTTGCTGCAGCTCGATGGCCTGGATATGGACGCTTTCGGTCTGACAGCAGACGACTCTGACGGCTCGTGGGATGAGCCATCTCCTGAAAGGGCACCATCTTCCCTCGAAATCGAGCGCACGCCGTCAGAACGCCATGCGTTCTTGTTTCGACACAATCTAGCTCCTTCAGCTCCCAATCTCCACGAGTTACGCCCATTGCCCTCGCAGATCCCATCTATCCTCGACATTTTCTCGAGAAATGTAAATGTCTTCATGCAAATCGTCCATATACCGACCATCACTAAGATGGTCTCTGGTCCTGAGAGTGTTCGCACGACTCAGCTCACACCCTCTGATGAAGCCTTAATATTCTCGATCTCGTACGCCGCTGTGACTTCCATGGAGGAAGACGATGTGAGACTTCCCTTGACTGTGACGTTGCCGGTCGGCCATGTGTGAGTCGTGTTGACCATGTTTCCTGGGCAGGTCATGACCCATTTCGGCGCTCCAAAATCCGAGCTGAGTCTCAAGTATCGACTCGGCCTGGAGCATTGCCTCGCTAAGGCTGATTTCCTGACCGTCCCCAACCTGGCCCTAGTTCAGGCATTTGCCCTCTTTCTATGTCTCGCTCGACGACATGACAGCCCGAGGTTTGTGTGGATGATGACTGGGCTCGTCATCAGAATGGCCCAGTTCCTGGGCTTGCAGCGGGATGGAGTCCATTTCAAGCACCAGGCCCCGTTCGAGATTGAGATGCGGAGACGCCTCTGGTGGACTCTGTGCAGACTGGATTTGAGAGCGTCCGAGGACCAAGGGACGGATCTGACGATAGTGAACGGCAGCTTCGACACGAAAATCCCCTTGAACATCAACGATGCAGACATCCACCCTGAGTCAAAGCTGACGCCCACAGAGCGCTATGGCGTGACTGATATGACATTCGCACGCATCTCCGCTGGAATCGTCGATGTCATGAGGCAGATGATGACCTTGAGTGCCGGTGACGGCGTGGCAGGTCTTGAGCACCAGAACCATCTCTTGAACGAGATCTATCAAAAATTCGAACAGGAGTACTTCCAGCACACGTTTGAATCGGGCAATATTGCCTACTGGGTCGCCGTCACCGTCGCACGGATGGTCATGGCCAAGATGACGCTCATCGTCTTTCTCCCTGCCCTCTTCTCCACACCAGGCGAACACATCTCGGACGAGATACGAATCAAATTACTGGTCTCGGCCATCGAGGTCGCAGAGTACAATCATGCCCTGAATACCGAACAAGCATGTCGACATTGGCGTTGGCTTTACCAAAGCCACACTCATTGGCACGCCATTGTGTATCTCCTGATCGAGATCTCACAACGGCCTTGGTCGTCGACGGTCGAAAGGGCTTGGGTTGCCCTGCACAGCAAATGGCTGATCCCAACCCAGGCCCTAACAGATAAGAACCTTCGCATCTGGATTCCGCTACGAAAGCTGATGACCAAAGCCCTGAAGCATCGCGACGCCGAACTCCAAAGGCTACGAGCAGATCCACAGGCAGCTGCAATGCTAGAAATTGAGGATATTAAGAACCCGGTGCCCGCAAGCTCTGGTCCGTTCTCAGCCGGATCCAGTGTCGACGTCTTCCGTGAGCGATGGCGGCAGCTCGTAGCCATGCCGACGGAACCCCCTGACCAGAGATACGCATCTCAAGCCCCTAACATGGGACTTGCCGGCCCTACCGTACATGGAATCTACACTCAACCATTATCTGCCGGCTTTGTTCCTTCGGGTGGCCTTGGGGATCTGGATTTCCACGTGCCGGTCGAAACGCCGTATCTCGGTACGAATGGACAGCAGTTCAACGTTCCCAATCCCAACAAGCCTAAACCTCCGATTACAACGGATGTTTTCGGCGCATTGGCCTCAAATCAGGCTCAGGAGCAATCGTACAATTCCAATTCTACGGTCCCGCATGAGTGGGCAGATGGTCGTACCATGGGGCCTGGTTTCTACCCTTGGCTATGGGCGGACGCTGACCCCTCGGTCGATGTATTCTCCAACTGGGACGTGGATTCCGTCGATGCCAATATAGATCTGGGCGGTGAGGTGAACTGGTATGACTGGGTTAAATCTGCCAGAGGCACGGAGTGGGATGCAAGGCCAATGTAGCACTCGACGGACAGAGTTCCCTGAAATCCCGAGCAGGGATCCGAGGCGGAAATTGAGCATTGTTTCCATGCGAAATAGCTGTCCTTGAGCGAATACGCTTGCCATGGCAGAGTAGATGCTTTCCCCTTTGAGAATTTCAAAGCTCTAGACAGAGTGGAGAGTGACCCTCCGAAATCAAATGACCCTCTGAAAACTCCCTTTGCAGCAAATGCGACAATCTTATATACAGCCATCCTTCCCAGAAATCGCAAACCAACTCAACATCACTCCCTCCAGATAAAGAGGCAAACGTCCCTTTACCGAGTAGCTTATCTTAGCTTAGCAAGCTGAGCATCGGACCAACCGCCACAGCTAATCCGCTAGGCCACTCAACAGCCCCGCGATGACGACCCCGACGGGCACGAACCCCCAGTGCGCCCACTCCCCGCCGCCGATCTGCCTGCGGCTGATGAAGCCGTCGGCCACGGCGACGAGCGTGCTGGTGCACACCATGACGGTCAAGGCGGCGCGGCTGCCAAAGTACGCGGTGGAGACGAGCGCGGTGCCCAGCGCGACGGTGCGCGCGCCCTCAAGCATCATGACGCTCTCGACCAGGTGGCCCTCGGGCGTCACTTCGATGGCGCGCGTGCTGGCCCGCGCGCCCGGGTGCGGGAACTGGAACAGCGCGATCGCCGCGCGCGGGTTGAACAGCGCGTTGATGCCCAGGCCGACCGCCATGAGGCCGAAGCCGCCCACCGCGGCGGGCAGGTAGGGCGATTGCGAGATGGGCATGGTTGGCGAGACGACGGTGAGCAGGGTGCGGTGATTGGAGGTTTGAATGGAGGATTGTAGGTTTTTGTTTCAGTTAGGGCGAAGATGTGTGCGTCGAGAATCTGGATTGCCGGCCGGGTGTGGGATGAGGTTGATGACAAGCGGCAAGGAACAAGTACGAAGTACTTTGTCGTTAATATGCGGTTGTTGGCTGCAGTGTCGTCACAGCTTCAATGGGCAGGCTGCAGGGAAATTTCCCGCCGGATCCTGGATGCGTCAGTTGGAAGGGACCCGGAATCTCGCTAGCGATGACTGGGGGATAGTGAACGACAGCTTACGAGGGGGTGAGAGGATTCACCGTATTAGGACTAGCTTGCTCATATCCATCCGAGTAATGGGCCGCTTCGGGGTACTACCGTGTCTAGCGCCTTGGCGGCACTTGAGACCACCAATCATCATTAACAGCACCTGATTGGCCTGTTGAGCAGCACGTTGTAGCAACTTGCATATCGCGGCCGAGTACTTCAGCCTACAGCAGCTTGAAAGAAAAATACCCAGCGTCTCTAACCTGCGAAAGCCACCCATGTTATCGCCTGAACCAAGTCATGTGTGGATATTGGAGCGCCATCGGATTGGAAGATACCTGATGGAGCGGTGTATCGGGCCACGCAACCCCACGGCACTTCATGGGTAACATTCCCTCAAAGGAGATTCCGCGGTGGACGAAGGTCATGCCTACAAGGCCAGTAGTGTGGTGAGGGAGGTCGACTCTCTAGGTATGTTGACTTTTTTATAAAACAGCCTCGGATGATGGCTACACGTCTTGAGCAGTGCCTTCGCCGAGGATGGATCTTTGCAACATGAAAGATTCCCGAGAGCCCCCGCCGTGATCCTAATGGCATGGCCAAATACTCCAGAGACGGATGCCAGGCAGCTCCGTGACCTGCTAAGCGCTGCATGACTCAGAAGCACGACGTTACTCGGGAGAAGGCTGGAGGTCCCTCTATGTGTTGAGCGGACCCAAAGGCCTCAAACACGGACAAAACAGAGCTGATGTCGGACAGCAGCCAACCGAAGACGGACATGGATTCCCTTCACGCCAAGATTTCACCATCCCCGAATCTGGGGCTCGCGATCAAGGACGGCATGGCCTTAGCGAGAGCGCAGTCGGATCGGTCTACCGATGCACGCTGCCGTTGGTCAAGATCGGCCATCTGACATGAGCACCCGCAGCACGGGTGCACTGACCACGCCGCAGATGCACGGTACGAGCAGAGACGGCCCCCCACCGAGGTCCCTATGTCGTGCATGCTATGCGGCGTCTATCGGTCTTGTTGTTATTGGTTGGCGCCAGCTTGGACGGGGTGCCGAAATGGCCTCTTTGTGGAGCTTGGACCCATATCGCGCGTGTGGACGTCCACACAGCCCACACTGAACCCTGTTACTTCTCTTGATGGCCGAATTTTGAGACTTTGGGAGAGAGGCGCCTCGCTTTCGAGTCCGAGAAGGGGTGCCCCTCAAGCTTGAACGTGTTGAGATAAGTTGCAACTCTGGGAAGGCACGTCGTCTTGTTTTTCCTTGTCCATCACCCTCCTCCTCTACATTGAATCACATTCCGTAGGTCGTCATAAGGTAAGAATCTCCCTGCGAACCATCTACAAGCCCCCGGCTGGTCAGAGTGTTTGGGCAAACTTCGGTGCCAGACTTATGCCCTACAATCCTGTCCCAAAGGGCTTCTAAACTAGGATCTGCCGGCTTTCAGGTACCGTGGAACGAGAGTGTGCATCTCGCTTATGCCCGACATCTTTACTCCCTGCGATCCTTTTACATTTGCCACATATCAACATTTTGGGCGGTGGCAATGCGAAGCTTGAGGCTGGCAACAATGCCCGGTCCGATGACAACAGGTTCATTCCGCATAGACTTACATAGCTGATCTCCAAGGCGCAGATGCTAGAATACAAGGACTTTTAACTCCGCTCCAGAGTCCAATCTACTCCGTGTTTTCCCCTTGTCCTAAGCCTTCCCCGTCTTCTGGTTGGGATGCAGATTACAATGATTCGGCTCACAATTAGTACAACCACCCAGCAACCACCAGATCTGGAGCCGTTGAGTCTATCTAGCTCTCAGCAGTCGTTTCAGCGTCTCGTTTTCATGCTTGAGTCTCGCGAGAGCTTGACGTAAACGTTCCTGTTCCAGCCTGTCCTGATTGCAGCGCTGCAGCAGATTGTTAAGGTCATCAATAAGCCTCTGGACTTGTGCTTCGCGGCGAGCACGGTATGCCCGTTGCCTGAATGGTCAAAGTCAACACGGTTTTGATAGAGATAGCAATCCAAAGACTGCTGGATAGGGGGACTACTACTCACGCTTTTCGGTTTTGCGATTTCCGCTTCTCTATGGCTTCCGGGGTCCGTGATTTTGAGCCATTCAGGGAAGACACGTCAAAGTCCACTAGGGGACTCTGGTCGGGTTGGCCGTATGCAGGGCTGGAACTGTAGATGGAATTCCATCTTGGTGAGTCGCCCGCGCCCATAACTTGATTGCTGTGAGAAGCAGGGATTGCCATGTCCTGAATGCTTACGATAAGCTACGTGGTGCATTTCCTCAACAGGGCATCATACCAGATATTCCTGCATCGAGTCATCTTCCCAATGCAGTTGTTCTTCTCCGTATGAGTGATCCGCGCCCGCATATCGCATGTCACCCAAGGAAGGACTATTCGCCCAAGTTGAGCTTGGCGTGCTGGTTGACGAGCACGAGGCGTCGTAACTTGATGCCTGTCCTGTCCACGCAGCAGGGCTTGTGTTGCTTTGTTGGTAGACCTTGCTATCGTAATGTAGCTGACTATAGGGTGTGCTCGAAGAACGCATCAGATGCAGCTGTTTATGGGATGTGGTTGACGACATGGCTGTGGTGTGGCAAAAGCAGAGGATTTTCCTTAGGCGGACAATCCATTTCGATCAAAGTACTTGCAGTCTATATCTGTTTTTTCACAGTCCCAGAGAAACCCGGCTCACGGGTCTGAACAGTGTGATCGCGGTCTGATCTACGTAGCAATGTTTACATTTGCGGTCAATGTTATAGAAAAGAAGGATTGCCTCGATGTGGAATAGTCTGATCAAAAGGATTGCCCGGAATAGGAAACTACGCGGGCGCCCAGATGGCCCTGCCATTAGCCAAGAACGAGCAGGGCTCCGTAGTCGCTGACGCCAGCGGCAATGGATATTATATTAGGACGTCCCGAATCCCAGATCTCCAGAGATGTCCTCCACGCACCCTGCCCAGCCCGTTTTCCGGGGAAGACATATACTAACGTAAGCTGCTGGATCGAGTGCGTCCTCATGTCTTCTCACCACGACGAATGTCTTCGATGATGATGGAATCTGGGCCGGCAGCCCGATCGTCGTTGCATGCCACGCATTGCCACACGCTGCCCATCAGGTCTAGGCCTGGCGGTCCACCATATCATCTTTGAGAAGAAAAAAAAGTTATATAACCTCGACTTGTCCAGGCATCACGCGGACACACTCGATTGAAAAGCCTCCAGTTTCGACCCTCGGATTGAGATACCAGATTTCCACGGACAATGCTGGCATCGCCAGCCCTGAGTCCTTGGATGTTAGCACTTCTACTGCGCTCGCCATGACAGCATCGGTGCCTGCGGACTTTGAGAGACCATTGAATGTAGCGTCCATGGAGCAGACCGGCACGCCGACCGAGGCGACTCGGCAACGAAACTGCTCTTCACTGGACATGGGAAGAACGGGGGTCAACATGTTCGGCGAACTTTTGTTGATGACGTGTCTCGCTGGCGATTGGCATGCTCTGACTGCTGCTCCTTCGACCATGCCGTGAGAGGGAAAGAGGCCGTCGAATCAGGCTGACAAACGCCCATGCAATGGAGTGCCTAACTGAAAGAGCTAACGACATTACTTAGTCAAGCAAGCCCCGGAATCCTTTGGCTTGCTGTTCTTTCCTCAAGAAAGAGCTCCTATCCTCCAATCCGGACCACAGGCAGAACAAATGGACGAACCACTCTTACAGTTGGACCTGCTAGCCTTGGAATTCCGACCAGCGCTACTTGTGCTTGGGTTCAATCCTGCAGAGTCAAGCACGGGGATCGCACGCGCCCGCGGCGACTTGAGCATTCTCCAACGAAAGCACCGTCCGCCCTCGTTCCTTTTCCTGCTAAGGGAATGACAGGTTCAGAATCAAAGCTCTGGATTTTTGGATGTTTCGGGGGTGATTTGTGCTTGCTGACTTGATCTGACCTCGACGACTGTGGACACCCGAATACCCGCCCCCTCCCCCAAACTGACCGCAAAAGCGGGGTTTCCTTCACCGGTATATCGACCAAGGCTTAAACACCAGCTTGTCATTGACGAAACGGTCGCTGTATAAGGTGGCCTTTTGACACGTACTACACTGATTTCTCGAGTGACTGCCACTTCAGAGGCTCCACCTGGAAAATCGCGGGCAGAAGCCATGAGCGCTCACTTTGTGTTCCTGCCTGGGCAGGGCTCCCACTATTCGGGCAAAATCCGCTCGTTCGTTCTGCGCAATCGGAAATCAGGTCAGCAGCGCCAAAAGCGCGCAAAGAATGGCAGGTCTGAAGAAACGGCCATTGTGGTGTCGACAGAACAGCAAATGGTTCCGTTGGCAGACGCCCAGAATCTTCTGCAAGGCCATTTCGATCCATTCAAAACATTGGCTGCTGACCTGGACCGAACCGAAGGCATCATGGTGTCCCATTGTATGATCTGAGGGTCTCCGGTGCTTGATCTCGCACGAAAAGCTGACTTGATTCACAGTCGTAGGAGACTGCATACCTCACCTCGGGAGACGTCGTCAGAAGACATGGTTTCCACCGCGCGATATGCATTGGCCGGTGATGCAAGGCAACCCGCTCATGCTGGCCGTCGCTGTCCATTTTGCGGCGATGAGCCGCGCTCTGATCGAGACGCCGACAAAAGAAGAAAGGATATTCGCAGAAAAGTGCTATCTGAAAACCCTACAAAACTTCCGCACGAGGCTGGAAGCCGAAGCGGCGAGTCCGAGCGATGGGCTCCTCCAAGCCATGGCCTGCATCTGCGCGACCGAGTCGGTCATTAGAGAAAGCTCCGATGTGACGAAGGAGCAGGCACGCAACTCGTTCTATCTGCATTGTCGTGGCCTCCGGGCGGCGCTGGAACGTCGACACGGCTGGGACGTTGCGCATTACTCTCCGGCCCTGGTGTGGGAAATGACATGGTGAGTCGAAGGGCGCACTATTAGACACACTGACCCTGGCTCGGTTGTCGATAGGAGTTGCAAGGCGCACAGCCCATCATCATCATCGACACGCTAACTATTGACAGGGAGGATATGTTGTCGAATGGACAGATCTCTGCCATGAAGACTCGGTTTTCGGTCCACCTGAAATCGTCCCTGCTGGACGAATCGGACCGACTGATGCTGCCCATTGCAGAGGCAGCACTGACTCAAGCCCAGTGGGATCGGTTTTGCGCTCTCGAGTTCATCGGCGCCTACCAGAATTTCCACACCATGGCCATCTACAGACAACGCCACCCACCGAGCGACCTCCATCCTCTGAGCCTGTTCCTGCCTGACACACCGGCCTACCGGACCCTGTCGGCGAACGTGCCCAACATTGTCCGGCCAATCATGCCAATCCTGCTCCTGCATATCGTTCTCTTCGACCTCCAAGGCGCTTCTGCGGAAGAACTGACCTACCAGTACTGGGCGATACGGCGCAAATTCGACCGGTGCGATGTCGAGCTAGACAGCGGCCCGTCGTACCTTCTGTATGCGATCGGCATGTCACCGGACATGAAGGGGTGGTCAGATCCCGAGCAAATGGCTCTCCTGTCGCGCCTGTTGAGCGTTGAAGTGCGCTTGTCGGATGCTACCAGAGAGATGGTGAGGGAGAGCCTCCTGGCGTTCGTCGAGTCGGCTGTATCCGTGGACAGCGACTGGTGGACTCCTGGGGAGATGGAAGCAGTGGTCACCAAAGAGCTGTTAGAGTAATGACATTGATTTCCAGCCCCTCTGTTTTTTTGTCTTTTGAAGAATCAAAAGCACGCTTTATGATTAGCGGACTTGAGGAAAGGATGGGCGATGCTGAGACGGCTGGAGTCCCTGAGTTTGAAGCCAAATGCGCACCGTCAAGTGGTTCATGCGTAGCGCAGTCTATGCAGGGCAGTCTTGGCCGCCGACCTCAATCGAGTTATATTTTCTCGTTGACTCGCTCTCCGGACTTCTCTGACCATTCCCGAGGATTTCTATCACTGTTCCACTGCATCAGCTGCTGTGGGCTCGTCCCCGTAGTCCTCTAAACCCCCGCACAGGCTCGAGCCCAGAATCAGCCTTGTCTGTGACTCTCCATCCGTATCTCTAAATGTCTTTGCCGATGTTCCTGGCCGGGGTCGGCCGGCCCCAGAGCTTCCGCGACCAGCAAACCACGGACACTTGACGCTCTCTGGCCCTCTCTCACGCGAAACACTCCTCAGACAATGGTGCAGGAGCCTGTAGCCCACGCAAGGCTGTTATCAAAGATCACATAGCAATATTGCAGAACGAAATTGACTGTTCAGTTCTGTCCCACGGATTCTATCAAAGGATTCAATGCGTACTTTCGAGCACTTCTATCTTGCAACAGGCTTTCGGTAAAAGGCTGGAGGTTTGTGCGGGAAGCGCCGTGGAGTCCGGAGTAATCTTATGTCGTTCTAACTTGACCCTTTAACCCGTTTAGGAGCCGGGTGACGGATAGAGTTACGGGCAGCCGAAAGGCATCACATGGGTAGCGACCAGGACCATCCCCCCTTCCCGCCTCGGGATATTCCTACTCTCTTTCAGCTTGCTCGTCCTCGAAGAGTTTGTTCAATGCTTCTATTGTGATCGTGTCTACGAAAAGCCTGCCAGGTTCTAGACCTGGACTGTACGACATACAAAACCGTGTGCTTGTGCGAGGACACACGGCGAAGGGGACTCTGTTCTCCACTTGATGGATGGTGTCATCACTGCGCGGTAGGCGGGGACCGGGAGACGGACACTCGCTTGCTTGAACTCCGTGCTACTACCCTACCCATTATTCACACTTCGACGAACCCAGCGTCGCGAGCCGACCTTGGGAAACAAGTGATACCGGCAACCATCGACGACACGCGATTTCTATGGTTGCCAAATGATATTCAATGGCGATGAGGTTGCCATCGTGTCAAGCTCAGACAATTCCATAAGAGAGATAGAATACTACCACGTTGAACTACAAATAAAAGCCCCATTCATGAATAAAGGTCGCCTGCGAGCAAAGGTTGAACTGCTTCGACTTTTACTCCTAATCTTTTCCACGTAAAGCACTGCCACTTGCTCTTGAACCTACATATCTCGCTGGAATATGATGCAATTCGAGGGTACAATGATGAGCGTGGTTGAGTTTGTTATCAAAGAGATTCGACATGGAGAAATTAGACGGGAGGGGATGACTTCGAACCCTCCACTGAGGTCTCCATGATCCTTCCAGAACAGCAGTGGTGACGTTGCCCTGATTACGCCTGACGTGCAATCCAGAGATTTGGCCAAGGGGAGAAAGCTGATCACGGCATGCCTGGGCAAGTCCTGGGACGAGGATTATCAGACCTTCAAGAGATCTTCGAGGATGGGCAGGTTGTCGTGCTTCGGTCAGGGCTCAAGAGGAATTACTGGCACGATTAGTCGACGCTCCTATCAACGCGCAGGTGGTGATCAGACAGCGCAACGCCCACCTCGACGTCATGCCTTTCAGGAAACGCAATCACTCTCCCCAGGATCGCTGGATCACGTTCGACAACCGTGAAATGTTGTGGTGATCAAACCAAACGGCTGCTTGCTCTACAGAGACGCGTCTCAACGCGCGCGAGAGTCCATCGAGCTGCATCAGGGCGAGCTGCAAAGATCCATAGCTCAAGCCGCCCGCGACGTTGATCCCAACGTGCTCTCCGCACATTGGGTGCCTCGCATCTGGAGGCGTCCGCGTGCGAACCTTTTTCCCGCCCAGATCCAAGATCCTGACGCTGTCGCTATCAATCAATTCTACTTCGCACTCCTTGCTCCCTGCAACTATTGCCCTCGACGCAGGACATGACCAAAGAGGCTGCTGGAAGAGGCGGTTCTGTCGGAACCACGGCGTCCACGGCGAGAGAGGCTGGCGAGAGACTCGTTTCCACATGATGAAGTTTGGCGTCCTTAATTAGACATTCGGCTAAACGGATAAAAAATTGAAGTTGCGAGGCTGAAATATGACAGGGATGTTCTGGGAGAAGGACAAAAACGTGGCTCACCCCTTGGCCCCACTTGCCCCTTAGTGTGTCCAGAAAGGGCCTAAGGTTTATCCCCTCTGGGACTAGCGGGGCTCTACTACGCGACGCGATAGGCAACATCGACTCAGGGGGAGAAGTGAGCAAACTCAGCAAAGAGGTTTCGCGCCCGCACTAGCCTCCCTCTTTTGTTCCTTTTGAGCTTGCGGCACCTCATGGGGAGTCCGCCACCAAAAGCCACTCGTCATCATGGAGATCACACGGCAACTCGAGCAGGCGGACTCGTCAGGAGGACGGGCGACACAGAGGAAGGAAGAGAGAATCTCTATCTATCCTTCTGTGACACAGCAGAGTGTGTATACTCCGGATGAGTGACAGGTCCGAGGCAGCCTCCCACCATGTGGACAGTGCGAGTATGGACGAGAATGGTCTCGCCCGTCTTCGCTAAGAGGATGAAAAGCTTGGTTCTGGCATTATCGGTTTCCGAAGTCCCGTATGCGACGCCCCCCGCCTGACGTGTCTCAGTCCAACAAGACCTTGGCCCTTCTGGGCTTGCGAGATCTAATCTCCCTCCTCGTAAGTTTGTCTTGTCTTATCCCACGACTCAGTCTTTCCACCACCAGAACGTGGGCGCCTCTCGTCATGCATCATGTCGAAGCCCTTGGCTTCTCCTTTTCCCTGCGCGGCCCTAATCTCCTGAGCCGCGGCGCACCTACATGATTCCCCAGTCGACCAGACTGTTTGCTCCACAAGTCAAACCGTGCAGGTCAGCCACGGCTTGACTGATATCAGCTGTGAGCCCCTGGCTTTCCTGGCACCTTCCCAGCCCGGGTGGAGACGATTCTTTTTCTCTGCCGCAAGAGGGCCTTCGAAAGAGGCAAGTCGGGCCTCGAAGTCATGCAATGCGGCGTCTCAAATGGCTTGCTTGCAAGCGAGACTCCGGCGCCATGGGCTGATCCGACGTTGAACCGGCATATTCTGCTACAAGTTGAAGAGGACATCCGGCCTCCTCCTGGTCTTGTTCTTTCTGCTCAAACATTCGTCTTTCAGCACCGTGACTTTTTTGAAAGCTTTTGCTTTCGTCCTCTCGTTTTCATTTTGTCACTCCTTTTGTAGATCTTGTTATGCGGTCGCTTCTTTATGCCGCGGCATTCTTGCCGCTGCAGACTCTCGCCTGGTTTGGCAAAGCATCAGATATCGACGAAATCGTGGTGGTGACCACAACCAGAACGATCACTGTGTGTCCGATTACAGAAGCATGGACTTGCGGGCCCGACTATCCTACAGCTCCATGGCAAGACTGGACGGGCACACCGACAAGCACGGGGTCAGAGGTGTCACCAACTAGCAAGGGAAATGGTAACGGCGGACACAATCATTCTGGAAGCCCCAGCTCATCATCTCCCACGGGCCATCATTCCTCAGGGCCGCACTCATCTGTCCAGGCAACCTGGACTTCTTCATCTAGCCCTGCTGGCAGCCCGAGCTCATCAGGCCCATACGTAGGCCCCAGCTCATCGACCTCACACGGTGGACCAAGCTCGTCAGGCCCGTATGGAAGCCCGAGTTCCTCCAGCCCTGCTGGCAGCCCGACTTCGACCAGTGACTATGGCACCCCAACCTCTTCGTCGTCTGCGCCGGGTGACAGTTCGAGCTCAACCGATCCTCCCGCAGGAGGCTCGAGCACAACCAGCCCATCCGCAAGCTCGACTTCGACAGATCCCCCAGTTGATCCTCCGACTTCCAGCTCAACCACAAGCGGTCTCCCTGTTGATCCCGCGACGACGTCCAGCTCTGCTAGTTCGACTTCGAGCGATCCTCCAGTTGATCCTCCGACGACATCCAGCTCGGCAACCTCGACCTCGAGTGATCCTCCAGTTGACCCGCCGACAACCTCTAGCTCGGTGACCTCTACTACGAGCGACCTCCCTGTTGATCCCGCGACAACATCCAGCTCTGCAAGCACAACCTCGAGCGATCCCCCAGTTGGTCCCGGAACGACGTCGTCCACCACCAGCTCTGCCGCAGACCCTCCTGCAGGAACGTCGACCAGCACATCTTCTGGATCCTCCACCAGCTCTGCAGATCCCGCTGGTACCTCGACTTCTTCGTCCAGCTCTACAAGCAGCGATCCTCCTACAAGCTCCACGTCTTCGGCATCGACCACCTCCAGCAGCGCAGATCCCACTTCTACCACAACCTCTAGCAGTGTTGACCCTGTCACCACGTCGAGCAGCACCACCATCACCACGACTGCAACTCTTACAAGCACCACCAGCCGCAGCGCCACCACTACTTCGTCTTCTACGTGCGCGCCGTCTCAGACGCTCTCTGCTCTGCCTGAACAAACTAGCTGCCCAGATAACACAGCAGATGACCGTAGCCAGTGGTGTGGCAAATCTGTCAGTGATGATACCCTGGTGCCGTACTCGTCCGGACAAACCAAGTCTTTCACCTTGACCATCACGGATGCCGACATCGACTTTGATGGAACTGTCAGACCGGCGTTTGCGATCAACGGTGGCACCCCTGGTCCTGCCATCGAGGTCAACTGGGGAGACGAGGTCGTGATTACTGTTATCAACCTACTGACCGACAACGCCACCACTATCCATTGGCACGGTATTCGCCAGTTTGGCACCAACGACCAAGACGGTGTTCCTGGCGTCACCGAATGCGCCATCCCGCCTAACGGTGGCCAACGTACCTACACATGGATCGCATCGACCTATGGAACCGGTTGGTACCACTCTCACACCCTGTCTCAATACGGTGGAGGTATCCGAGGACCGATCATCATCCACGGACCTGCGACGGCCGAATATGATTACGACATGGGCCATGTCATGATTGACGAAGTCTTCAGCCAGACCATCTTCCAGATGGCGTGGAACATTGCCCGACTCCGAGGACCTCTTCCTGCCGCCGTCAACTACATGGTCAACGGTCAGAACAAGTCTCCAGATGGAACCGCCGGCAAGGCCACCGAATGGACGGTCGAGCCGGGCAAGAAGCATCTGTTCCGCATCATTAACAGGTACGTAGTCCGTTTGAATACCCTAATAGCGGGGTAACTGAAGGGTGCTAACTTTTATCGTCATCCAGCTCGGCCCAGTCTTCCTTCATTGTGCACTTCGACTACCACCAGATGACCGTCATCAGCTCCGACTACACTCCTATCGTGCCATACACGACCACCAGCCTTTACGTCAACCCTGGACAGAGATACAACGTCATTGTCGAGATGGACCAGGTAAGTTGCCCCCAATTGACTTGTAGCTTCGTCTTTCTGACCACTTCCACGTATCCAGACTCCTGGAGCATACTACATGCGCGCAATCACCCAGACCGGCTGCGGTGAGCAGAACGTCAACACTGGTCTCGGCATTGCCAACCCGGTCTTCACCTACAAGGGCTCCTGCGGCACCCCGACGTCCGAGACTCTCAGCATCACGCCGGCGTCTGACTGCCGCGATGAGCCCTTGGCCAGTCTGGTCCCCTTCGTCAGCAAGAACGGCGGCAGCGTCGATGACTTCTCTGACACGGCGAAGCTTCTGCCCGGTGGCAACGGCGGGTCCCAGGTATTTGACGGCTATGGGTCCATCATCCGCTGGTACTTTGGCGGGCTGCTCGACCTCAACGGCAACAGCGCGTCCGTGCTGGGCAACCAGACGGTCAGCGTGGACTTTGAGAACCCGACGCTCAAGACCATGGCGGAGCTGCCGACGCTGTCGTTCAACAGCTCCAAGTACTCAAACGCGGTGGTGCTGGACGGGCCGGCGGGCGACTGGGTGTACTTTGTGATCCAGAACAACTTCCAGACGTCGCACCCGATCCACTTGCACGGGCACGACTTCTCGGTGCTGGGCCAGGGCAAGGGCGTCTTCACGGCCGACCAGGTGACGTCGCTCAACTTCGCCAACCCGTGCCGCCGCGACACGGCGCTGCTGTACGGCTTCGCGGGACCCGGCGGCGTCGCCCAGAGCGGCTGGACCGTCATCGGCTTCCAGACCGACAACCCGGGCGCCTGGATCATGCATTGCCACATCATCTGGCACGCCGACGGCGGTATGGGCCTGCAGTACATCGAGCAGCCCGACGCCATCAACGCCAACGGCTACTGGACCAGCTCGGGCTTCCAGGACGAGTGCAACGCCTACTCGAGCTACCAGAACGGCGGCGGCGAGGGCAAGCTCACCTACGAGGCCGGCATCAAGCGAGACCTCGAGCGCCACCGCTACGCCCTCAAGCACAAGGGCAAGCACTAAACGGTCCGTCCCAATGGGAGTACCCAGCATATATGGCACGCATGTTGAAATTTTAATGGAGGGGGAGGAGGGAGGATGAAAGACGCAGCACAAACACTCAAGAGGAGGAAACGATGCGAGAGCGAGCAAATGGGTTCAGCGGTCCAATGTATAAAGAACTTTCTTCACTGGTGTGGGATACAGGCTACAATTGCACACACTCTCACACACACACAATGTCAATGTTATATCTATGCACAGGCTCTTCACACCTGGTATTCAGCACAATTTTCCTATTTTGTGTTATTGCTGTTGTTGGCCGCCATTCTGGGAAAGTGGATCAAAGCAGTCGGCGCGGTGAGCGGTGAGCAGCGGGCGAACAATGTCCTCTGTCCTGTATATATCCTATCCCGCCTTCCCCCGATTCAAAGAGCTGTGTCTGTCTGTGTGTGAATTGTATCCATCCCGCCGGTTTGGTGCTGTTCTGGGCGCAAGGAACTGAGGGAAAGGGAGGGAGGAACACAACAGACAGGGGATTCTATCATGGTCTGGCAAGCGGCACACTCTAAAATACGGACCGTCCTGGAGCTTTTTGTGATATCTTTGGGGGGCCAGCCTTTTTCTTCGTCCTTTTATCTGGGGGGGAAAGGTCTAGTTTGTTGACTAAACCAATCCCTCTCGATCGACTAGTTAGTTATATATACCATTCGAAGATTGTTCTATCAAGGATCCCGGGTACACAGGTGAACTTTTGAAAGGAACTTAGCTACCATGCATATACACGTCCGTGCGAGGTATTTGCTCCGTACATTAGATGTCAGTGCCGAGCACGTACCATGTTGGACGACCGAGTTCTCGCAATCAGGAGGCTAATGGGTTTGTTCAATGGATCGATAGACATGGAATTGCGAAGCGAGAACTGCCAAAACTGTGAAATACACATTGGAGACACCACTCGCGAAACCTAGAACTCCAGCTCCCAAAGCCCATGGCCAACTCTAATAACACCGTGCATCCCCCTTCCCCGGTTGCATCATCAACATCACACACATTTCATACAAGGGTATCCCTAACATCAAACATCTCCCCATCACATCATCATCATCATCATAGCTCATGCAGCAACGGTGCCGAAACGGGAAACGGAAACGGGGACAGAGGATCGGAGTGGTGGTGGTGATCGGAACGTGGAAGGTGAATAGGATCGGGGTTGGGGCCTCATTCGCGGTGACAAGGCAAACGATCGGGGCTGGGAATTCCACCGAAGGAATCTGTCCATCTGCATGTAGGAGGCCGCCAAACTGTGCTGTATCCGTGCAATCATCTCGAGCTCGGATGGTGAAAGCTGTAGCCAATGCTGTGCAAGAATCTCCACCTGGGACACCATCTGGTCTTGCAGCGCCTTCATCTCTGATAGTAATTGCGCTGTCCCAGTACCAGAGGTCCGGGAAGTTGAGGTCGGTTCCGGTCTGGGATCGAATGCCGGCCGGGTTGCTGTGCTGCTTGTTCCTTTCACCCTGCTGGGTGGCGCGGGCATCTCTGGCGACGAGGAATCATCGCTGGTCGGGATTTTGGCAGGCGTAGGCACCGTGTCGTCGGCTAGGGACTCAAGAAGCGTTGGCGCGTCCCCAAAGTCTTCCTCGAGGCCATGTTCTTGTATCTCTTCCACAGCCTTTGGAACGTGGCTCTGAGGAATCCGGTCGACCAGAGCTCTGCCAGTGATTTCTTGGTCTGCGCTCTCCATGCCCTCTATGATTTCGCGCCATAGTGGCTTCAATTTTTTGCCCTCATAGGGTTCGCCGCGTACCATCCATTCCGTCCACGTGCGAACGACCTCTTCCACCTCTTGGTCACTGTCGTTGAACCATTCACGATGGACTTTGCGGCATTTGCAGAACAGCATTCGCCGTAAACCTATCATCTCAAGCTCAAGAAGGCTGAGCTGTTCAATGTGATAGGGGTGGGGAACAATCGCGGTCTGGTATCCTGGTTGCGTGGATATTTTGCATGCACTCTCCGTCCTTTCCCTCCTTTCCGAGACGCCGTACTGGGTCCAACCGACTTTCTTGAAACCTGACGCTTCATCTGTATAGGTGTATACGCATCCATCCTTTAGACAGTTCTTCGTTAGGTCGCGAGTCAATCTGTCAAATATCAGATGTGACAATTCGTGGTGTGCCCTCTGGCGATGGACGAAGCAGGGACCTTGTTCTGAGTTGTGGGCTGGGGCCTGGGTCGTGGAAACATCCTTCTCTTTCTTCGTTTGGGACCGAGTGGAGGGTCTGTTCGAGTTGCTTGTTGCGGTGACAGCCACGGTGGAGGAGGGCTGCTCAACTGCGTGGTTGCGGGCATTGCACTCCGTCGTAGACAGCTGGTCTTTCCATCGACTGCATATTTGCCTTTTCAAATTTTCGTCTCCTCCCTTTCTGTGGTCCCTTATGCAGCAGTTAAGGTTCAGCAATTCCATGAGGGCATGGTCAAGCGCGACACCTATGAAATGACCATCTTCGATCTCCTGAAGGAGCGTGGCGCCGCGATGGACATCATCCTTATTGACACGATTTTGGCAGAGTCGGTAGCCGTTACGCTGGCTTAGTTGGTACCAACATTTCCCTTTTGCGTTCTCGAACTCCGATGATCCGAGGAGGTGCTCAGGCCTGGAATAGATCATGGTCATTGTCGAAGAAAGGGAGGGAATCGAAAACCACTGCAGTTGCCTGGGTGACAACGATTGACAAGTCGAGTTCGGGGAGCGACTTTAAAGATCCAGTTCACAGTACCGCTGTAGAACTAACTTCATGAATTGATTGATTGTTCTATCTAGTGGGAACGGTCGCACGGCAGTTTGACTTGCCGGCGTGTAAAAACTAGCCGGATAACCTCCCTAATCAGGTTAGGGCAATAACCGCCTGGTACATCAGCGCAAAAGAAACGTACAGAGAAGCCAGGGCGACAGAAATGCACGCAGGCGGCTGCCATGCGAGGCAAATTCTAGAACCCCCAGAGACCTTCTGCAGCACTCTCCCCATTCGAGGACCAAGTCATGGGACCGAACAGGGAGAGTACCTCTCCCGATGGTAGATGAGGTCATTAATCGCGCTGCATGTTTCGCTGCAATCCTCAGCTGCAGAAGGCCATCTTCTTGGCAGGTCTTGGTTGAGTCCTTTTCCAATAATTGAGGTCGAGATTTCGAGAAGGATCAAAGAGAGCCATGGGTCATGTCTGAGGGCTGTGCCCGAAGCCTGCAATTCGGGGGACCATGAGGAGAACGGAATTTGTCCAGAGATGACCAGGGAACTTCTTAGACGCCAGTTGAAGAGAGCAATTGGCCATGGTCGGGGTCACCCTTAGAGGGAGAGAGCGCAGGGAGAGAGTCACAGCCTCAAAAGGCGTCAGAAACCCATGCTTAGCCCAGTAGCAGTCGTCAGCAGTTCGAGCGGCTAACGCAAGCCATCTCATTGAGAACAGTGCGAGTAGGAAGGCCGTGGAAACGATTAGACTGAGAGCATCGTAGCCCTTGAGAGCCGTGCAGCACAGAACTCCATCGAGTGGACTGAGAGAAGCCGAATGGGGACACAATAGTTGATGCAAAGATGCGTCTCTTGTTCCTGATACCGTTCCCCTTCTAGGTACCGAGTACTGGTCAAGGGGTTGATTGCGACAGGGTTGAAGATTCCAAGCGCGGCGCGAGGCGACGCCACCAGTCTCAGCGGTACAAGGATTGCTGCTTCTCGCTCGCCTAGGAGCCGCTCACGTTGCAGTCGGTACTTTTGTGCCGCTTCTGTATGCCCCAAAACAGAGGGCCCCAAAATTCATCTGGAGTAGGGTCTTTATTTGATGATACTTGAAGTAAAGCCAACAAAGAAATAGATGGCCACATATCACGAACTTGATATGACGTCGGGGTGTTGTCCTTGGACTCGGGCAAGCCACCCATTCGCGCGCGGGAAGCCATTGCCGCTGGTCCGGCTGTCCACTTGACGAACGCCTATCAGGTGCTGGGCACGCCTAATGTATAATGTGTCTCTGCCTCCGAGGGCACAGATTGGAGTATCCCGGTCCAGATTGGCATATAAGAAGCAGCGCTCGAAAACAAGATCAAGAGTTTGGAATGCTCTAGCAATGCCATCCAAAGACCAAGCTAAGTACATGCTCGTACGACAGAGTTGAGATTGACCCGAAGATGCAGACACCTCCTCTATCCATCTATCCCATAGCCGGCATGGCCTCGGCGCCCGCGCCGGCCTGTTTGGCTTTCTTCACGCTCTTCCACTCCAGAAAGCACGTCGCGATGAACGACACGCCTGCCACAGCGACGGTTACGCGGTAGCAGTCCTTCAAGGCATATACATAGGCCTCGATCACTTGGCGAAGCTGATCTTCCATCCCAATCTTTGCCAGCACACTGCGAATCGCAGTAGCACCCGTGTTGATGAGGAGCTGAGGGTCGATGTCGGGTGCGTACTTGGCGACGCCGCTGACCAGACCGTTGGAGAAGACAGACTGCGCAACGGCGATGAAAAGGGCGCCGCCGAGCGACTGGCAGAACATCAGCAGCACAGTTCCTTGAGGGATGTCCTTCATCGGCAAGGTCGTCTGAACCGCCACAAGAGGGAGATTGAATCCAAAGCCCGCGCCAAGACCCGCGCAGATCTGGTACCCGAACCATTCGCGGAAGGGCGAGTCGATGGTCCATGTGCTGATGAGGCCGTAACCGACAGTCATCAGCGCACTTGCAACGATGAGCAATGGGGTGTAATAGCCAATGATGGTCACCAGGATGCCTGCGAGAATCGAGGTGAAGACCGTGGAGAGCATCAACGGTAAGATCTGGATGCCGGAACGGGTAGGTGAGGATCCCTTGACGCTTTGGAGATACAAGGGGAGGTAGTACATCAGTACAAAGATGCCGGCCCCGAAAAAGAAAACGAACCCGCAGGCGGCCATGAGAGTACGCTGGCCGAGAAGACGCGGCGGGATGGTCGCCGCTTCGCCCAAGCGCCACTGGGAGACGCCAAAGAGGACTAGAAGGCAACCTGCGCCGACAAAAAGCCCAATGATCCGAGAATTGTTCCATGCGTACGTCGAGCCTCCCCACTGAACTGCCAGCAACAGACAGATGATGCCCGGAATGAGGATTCCCGCTCCAATGAGGTCGAGCTCGAGAATCCGCTTGAGGATTGGCTTCTCGGAGAGTTTGGGGTCTTGAGGGATATGGAGCACTACCAGGACGACGAGGATGGAAAAGCCGCCGATAGGGAGGCTGAATTGGTTCGTCAGCACCCATGAGAAAAATCCAGTGGAAACTCGCTCACTTGATATAGAAGCACCATCTCCAGGAGACCTTGTCCGTGAAGACGCCTCCAAGCAAAGGTCCTGCAACACTGGCAAGTCCCCACATGGCACCAAACAGTCCAAAAACCATGGGTCTACGGATCAATGGGACTGTGTCACCGTCGTCAGTGCTTGAAACGATAACCCAGGTATTTCGATTGGCTTACGGGAATGAGCAATAATGACCAAAGAACCCGAGAAGATTCCACCCACGCCGATGCCCGCAATGGCCCTGCCAACAATGAGGGTAGTGCTGGACGGTGCGACGGCACAGATCAAAGAGCCCAATTCGAAGACGCTGATGGCGGAGAGAAAGACCCATTTGATCTGGAAGACCTTGTAGATGCGGCCAAAACTAGGCTGGAGGGCGGTGCTGGTCAGGAAATACGCGCTGCCGTACCAGCCAATGTCGCTGACGCTGTTGAAGCGATCAGTGATCTTGGGGATCGCCGTGGCAATGATGGTTTGATCAAGCGCGACGAGGAAGACGGCCAGGCAAAGGGCGACAATCAGAGTCACGAGCTTCAGCCCGTGGGGATAGTTGCTCGAGTCTTCGGTCTCATCTTCGATCTCCACCTGCTCCTCCTTCCCCAGGTCCTTCGCCAGTGTGTCGGTCGTGACGCTGGTTTCTTGCTCGACAGGTGTCTTCTCGGCCATATCAATAGACGGCGTTGATGAGCCTGATACGGAGCCACTCGTGTGATTGTGGGGAGAATTCTCCCTGCCTGATGTCTCCTCTGGCATGGTCCTCGTGGGCGGCTGTTCGTCCTCTGGGACACCCATTGCGTTTCAAACAATCAATCTGAAAAGTAAGGTTCGAGCGTTTGAGGCGAAAGCACGTCGAAGGAACCGCACATCTTCGAGAGACGTCGGCGGTATATACCTTCTCGAGGTGGAAAACTTCTCGCGTATCCACTCCACACTAAAATACGAAGCGAGGGGTAGTGTCGACATTTGGGCGACTCGTTGCTGGGCTTGACTGGGCCGGGACCAAACGAGCCGACCATCATTGACAAAGCCGGCACGAATCAAGCTTCCAAGAGTGACGCCTAGATGCGCCCGAAGGGGGAAGTCTGAAGGGAGCCTCCCAAGAAGCGCGCCGGCCGGACGAAATTCAGGAGTTGTCAAGGGGTTGTTGCTGGCCAACTCGGATCTGGAACTCGATGACGCCGAGTCCTTGACAAAGCGCGGCGCATCCTTAGGCCGACAACCGTCACGTGACTGCGCTCGCACCATCAACAACCACGTTGGACTTCAGACAAGGCCCACAAAGATGCCACGCCGATCTTCGTTGGGCAGACACATCTGGAGGCCACAGTGCCATTTCCCGAGCAGATGCGTGCTTGGCAAGTGGTCACTGCGACTGAGGAGCCAGGCAACAGCAAAGCGCAAGGCCAGAGGGAATGAAAGCCAATTTGGGAACGCAAATCAAAGTCGGGTTGAACGGTGGTCTTGTTTTGGGTCGCAAATTTATGCCTTGTATCGCATTCACTCGCCCGCGATCGATCAAAGTGTCAACGAGGTTCCTCAAGGAAGTCCACGCACACTCCGGTGTCCCCACGCCAACGATATGTACAATCATGCTCCCTTTCCTTGTAGTCGCGTCACGTCGGCCATCATCTCTGCTCGAATGACTCTTTGCCTACACTCTCTGCCTCATGCTCGCCCTTCAATAGTGGGTAATGACCTTGAATCTCGCCCTTTTGACTGGGTGTGGCTGGCATCTGGACTTGTGCCGGATCGCCCGTTGGGGCAAGAGGATATGACGTCGAGGGTAATGATTCGAGATATTTCTTGTGTTCTTCCTTGGCCTGTTGGCGAGAGATGTGTGTCAGCTTCTACAGATTCCCACGGAACCTTGCGCTGGCTGTCTTACATATGGTAGACCACAGTATGTGCACCAGCAAACCTGGGGTTTGTCCAAATTGATAAAGATTCGCGGATGACCCAAGGGACCACCGCCGCCGTCGCAGGCCACGCTCTTGTCCTTGACCCAACGGACGGGTTGTTTGTGAATGAGCTCGATCGCAGCGAAGGGCCGGGGCTAAAGAGGCTGATCTCAGTATCCGCTGACGCCAAAGACGTACATATTTTCATTACCTGAGTTTCCATGATCGTCTGTTCAAATCGCGGGCCCGTCATTGCCAGCTCTCGGGGCATTTGACTCCTCGACCACGGCTTTTCCCTGTTCGGAGCCTGCATTATTCTGGCTTTCTCTCCTTCTGACACCATCTCTTGAAGGGGTGCATCGCGGTTACCCCTTGCCTCAACCGGCAGCTCATTTGTCTTGGATACATTGGGAGTCACTTTTCGGGCAGCAGGGTCGTTGGCTTGTTCGAAGTTCTCGCCGGTTCCGGGACCTTGTCGTAGCAGTCGTGTAGTCGTTGCAAACTGCCTCGAAGTAGCCCGGGCGGTCTGAGCCACGTTTCGATAGAGTTGCCTCTTCATGGCTGGTACGATGGAAGCCATGGTCACGAAATCACCGAGGGGTTGACCACTGGTTTGCAGGCAAAGAGTTGATGAACGTCGAGCCGGAAGTGATTGAAGCTCGATCGCCGACCAATCGGAGAGCTCCGTGCTCCGCAGTAGTAGCCGCAGACACTCCGCCGTATAACTAGGGTGGAACACCGCTGCTCTTCGCTTTCAAGGCAACGGTCGCGCCGCGTACTGTCTGTGAATTTGACGAGCACTTCCAACCTCCGCTGCAATACGTCGTCAGTGAACCATCTCAAGACAAGAGCAATACCGGGAGACGTCTCCAGAAATTCTGCGCCAACAATAACCTTTACATCTAGACAATATGGCTTCAGGCTATGATCGTGCTCTTTCCGGTAAGTCGCCCTTGAGGCATTGAATGCTGGTGCTAACAAATCGCAGTCTTCAGGTACGACAGCTCTTGCCATCCTCGAATGTTGCTAACACAAGTAGCCCTGACGGCCATGTATTTCAAGTCGAGTATGCCCTGGAAGCGGTCAAACGGGGGACCTGTGCAGTGGGAGTGAAAGGCAAAGACATCGTGGTCCTTGGTTGCGAAAAGAGATCGGCCATGAAGCTGCAAGACACACGAATCACTCCCTCCAAGATTGGCCTTATCGACACTCACGTCTGCCTTGCGTTTGCCGGGCTCAACGCCGATGCCCGGATATTAATCGACAAAGCCAGAGTCGAGGCGCAGTCTCATAGGCTCACGGTGGAAGATCCTGTTACTATTGAATACATTACGAAATATGTGGCTGGCGTGCAGCAAAGATTTACTCAGAGTGGTGGTGTCAGGCCATTCGGTATCAGCACACTGATCATCGGATTCGACAAGGGTGACAAGGAACCTAAGTTGTACCAAACAGAGCCCTCGGGTATCTATTCTGCCTGGTAAGTTGTCCTCGTGCACTAAAAGATCGGCCATCTGACATGGAGCAGGAAAGCGAACGCGATCGGCCGGTCCAGCAAAACCGTACGAGAGTTCCTTGAGCGAAACCACAAAGACGATATGGACCGAGAGGCAACCATTTCATTGACCGTCAAATCCCTCCTTGAAGTTGTCCAAACTGGCGCAAAGAACATTGAAATTGCCATCATGGCGCCAGGCAAGACGATCGAGATGCTTCCGTCTGAACAGATTGAACAGTATGTCAAGACGATCGAGGCAGAGAAGCAAGAAGAGCAGGCGAAGAAGAAGCCCGGGACGAGAGCGGCCGGCTCAGCAACCTCGTCTCTCCCCACGCGGCCGCTGGCTGAGGGTGAGGGCGGAGGAGACGAATAAAGGAACAGGGCATAGGCCTTCACTCGTTCTTTGCATGAGCGACTGGCGTTGTGGCAATGGATCAAATCAGTGGATATGGCCAGCTAGTAGCTTGTTCAAATGCAGGCTGCTTTTATTGATGCCTCTGAGGCGTGTCCAAGTCGTAAGGTTCATCCGATAGTACTGCCCTTCCTGCGGCTGGCCCTGCTTTTCTCAGGCAGATGGTCGCGCCGCTCTCTTTGGATGTCAACCCAATCGCTCCGTCCCTCCTTTGAGGTCAAATATTGACTGCTCGTTTGACTGTTTCACTCTCTCGTCTTTAATCATTCTATTCCCCAAATTAACCCGAGTTGTTCGCCATGTGTAGACTGTGGCGACTTACCTCGCATCCACCCGAGTGTCCTCGCTCTCAACCTTCAAAGCCGCTTTGGGGGTAACTGCATCAATGACAAAGTGATTGTCGCAGTTTGGACAGTACTCGTCACTAGAAACATCAGCGCCGTCACACACCATTCGCGGTGGACCCACCTCTCCTCCCATTCTTTCGTATTTTTGCGAAAGGCCTTCTTGCATTTTTTGCATATGAACGTCTATTGTAGACCCGTGTGTCAGGAAAATGGTCGAAGACGGCGCAAGAGATTGATCTATGGAACAGATTCATGAAATACCATGTCAAAGCTCTGTAACAGCGGGTGGTCTTCTTGTTCAGCGTGGCATTCTGCACAGTCGAACCATTTCCGACCTGAAATTTACTGGTCAGCCGAATGGATATCGGGATGACGGGAACCACGCGTACAGCAAGGCGAGCGGATGGATACTTGGGCGTTCAAGACATGTTTACTTTCGTCGGGAGTTAGTCTACCACGGTTCGCAGGAGTAGGAACGGAAGGACGTTTACCACATATTGCAGATACGCCGCGCAGGCACTGGCGCACTTGACCAAAGGAAAACGCTCACGCCAAGGTCTTGTAGGGTACCTGATCCTACCTCGAGAAAGGGAGAATTTGAAGGCCTTGAAGAAATGTAAATCCAGGACTGGGAAAAGTCGCGTCGCGGCGAGTCATATATCAATGCACGTGAGTTGGCTCTGACTCGCCACATTCTGTCTTCTCAGTCACCTCGACCTCACCCCTCCGTTCGGTGTTCAATGATCTATGGGAGGCTGGTTGGTCACCATCTACTCTCTTAAGTTTGTCATAAATCGGCATTCTTATAATTCAAGCTAGGCGAAAAGTCTCTACACATGATTCCCCGCGTGAGAACGCATCCTCGAGTAACCACTGAACGCAAGCTTGAGGAGGCCCCGGCTTCCTACCACCGGCTCTAACATGCTTCTACCGGCCTCGACTGCGGTTCACGTTGCCCTGCGCACCTTCAGCTGACTAGCTCACCTAGAACAAATCCCCCGATTTCTTCGGCCTCTCAGGGTGCAACCACAACATCGGATCCTTGAGGTCCACCCAACCCAAGAAGGGCTTGGAAAGACCATACCCGACGAGCTCTTGGAGAGATTCCGGCAGTTCGCGGACCTTCTCTACCGGGTTCACCAGATATTGGTTCTCTTCTTGCCTCAGATATCCCCTGGTCATGAACGTGCTGTACACAAGGCGCTCTTCGGGCACCACCTCACCGTTTTCGTTGGGCTGATCGGTCTTGTTCGCGCTGCCACCGTGGAAGCAACCACTCAGGACCATGAAACCGTCGCCCGGTTCGAGCTCGGCATAGAAAGTTTGCGACTCGCTTGGCGGTCCAGCCGCATAGTCCCAGAGGTGAGAGCCTGGTATGAAGCGCGTGGCGCCGTTACGCTTGGTGGTCTTCTTTCCTGCGACAAAGAAGCCGATACCTGCATCGCGGCCTATCTCGTGGGTCGCAGTGGCTGGATGGTAGACGTGATGGACTATCGAAGAGAATTGTCAGTCGAAGCTGCCCTCGACAAGTTCCGATGACATGGCTCTGAGACATGCCAAGAGTGGCTTTGGGGCACAGGGTAACTCACTTGCATCGTCACGGTGCCTGGAAGTCGCTCGCATTTCTCGTCAGCAGATCGGACTCTACATCAAAGGACGAACAAGCGTGGTTCGAAAGGTTTGAGACCACGATCGAAACAGGGATGCACGTACAGGGCTTGGTCACGAGCCCCAGGACCAATACTAAAGACAATGGTATTGTTCAGCTGGGGGCGAGACACAGAAACCTCATTCTTGTCGCCAATCTGGTTTAGGTCAGCATTTTGACTGTGGACGAAACCGATCTGGGGCTCACCCAGTTCGCTTGCAAAGTGCTGGTCAACAACGCGTCTGTCACACCCAGCCAGAGCGGGTTGGCGACGATGCGTTCGGCGAAGGTTCTTGATTTGCTGACCATGCCGAAAGCCCGACGGGTTTCCTGGGGGAAGAAATCTCCTGTGGAGGGGCTTGACGTTTAGTATCACTATCACCAATCCGGTGTCGACTGTGTCTCTGGAAGAAATCTCGCTCATTCAAGGCCATTCCGCAGCTCCCTGCAGTCTAGACTAGGGAGGGGTGGACGCCACAACTCACCATCATCCCATGCGGTATCCTTGTCCAACCAGGGTCGGGTGTCCTTCTCAAGGCTTGCCAATTCCTGCTCATTCAGCAGACCGCGAATGACGAGGCCGCCAGCCGCTCGGAGTGCAGATACCAACTCGTCCACTGAACATGTCGATGCGTCGAAAGTCTTGACCTCAGGAAGTGGTGAAGACGGGGATTTCAGCTCAGCCTTCTCGGCGGGCTGGGGCGTGCTCGTCGGGGTTGAGAAAGACTTGGGAATGGGAAGGGGAATTTCGACGGCAGAGGGCGCCATTGTGAAGGTAAGCCGTTGGATGGCAAAGTACTGCTAACGGCTCAGGGACGCACGGAGATTGTGAAGTCTACATATAACCATCGATGAAAGACTGCAGGTACAGAAGAAACAGCGTACGCTGTTCCGTAGGCAGCTGAACCCCGCAACGACCTCGAATCTTGCCTACCAATTCCGTGCAAAGCAGAGGTAAGGCCACGAAAGTCGCCCAGCGTACCACATGGCCTGGCGTGACAGCTCTCCTTGTAAGGCTATCTCATGGGCTGTCCTCGGTCTGGCCTATTTGGGAAAGAGAGTTCTTATCAGTGTTCAGGGCGAGTGTGGGGTGCTGCCAAACAAGAAGTTTGGAGAGCCGTGGCTGGCCGTCGGGCTCAAAGAGGAAAGAGAGTCTAGATTGTCGATTTCCTCGGCTCCAAGCACACATGGCTGGGCTCTGATTCGACATCGCCATGAATTCAGGACGCATATTGTACGATTGCGCGGTGAGAATATGTGTCGAGGCACAACAGCTTATGGCGAGCTTTGGCATTGCTGACTTCCCACCGTTCAAACAGGTATGCACGGCCAGCGCCGATGAATCTATTTCCTGCCCATGGCCTTCTCTACCGCCTCAAGCGCTGCCATGACCTTCTCATCCATGTACCTTCTTCCGACAATGCAACAGCTTACCGGAGCACCAACCCATTTCTCCGGCTCATACAAGTCGTAGTTATACTTGTCTTGCTCGTTCATCGGGACATATCCTTCCTCCTTCTTGTCCTTCTCCACGTCCACAAATGTGACAGGAAAGACAGCTGCCGGGTAGTCCAGCAGGTTCCACTGACTGGTGTACGGCCAGTACCTCGCGGTTTCATGTAACGGCGCGGCGCCAGGCGTTGTAGGACAGATGATGACGTCGACTTCTTTACCCGAGTCGGCGGTCTTGCTCCAGTGAGCGGCATATTCCTCGCGGTAGGTGTCTCTCTCGACGCACAGCTCCCAGTATTCGGGCATGGTGCGGTTCTTGACATTCGGTTGCTCTTCGGTGATGAACTTGATCAGGGGGAGAATGGGCTCGTCGACCTCTTTCAGCGGCGCCAGGATCGCCTCGCCGCCGTCTGGGAAATACAGACCCGACACGATGTCCCAGGCCTTGTCGTGTTTGTACGGCTCCCAGTCGACCACTTCCATCCCTGCAGCTTTGCATGCGTCGGCGACCATCTTCAAGGCCCGGATCATGGGAGGATGAGGCTTGACCACTCCGTCGGACCATTCAATGGCCACCTTGAGAGGCTGAGCGAGTTTTTCGGGGGTCCATTTCTTCACCGTGAGAGACGGATCGTATCGCCACGGCTCGTTGTCCAAGATGGTCTTCATGAACAGATTGATGGTCTCCCGGCTTTGGGTGAGCGGACCGAAAGTTGCGAGGACGGAGTCTTTGCCGTCCATAACGTGCTTCATCCCTTTCAACGGGATGCGTTTCGAGGTCGGCTTGAAACCATAGACGCCGCAATTGCTGGCTGGAGCTCTCACACTGCCGCCGATATCCCCACCAAGTCCCTGTCGAATGTTCAGCGGAAGATCTCGTCAGAATGTGGGCATCGGCCGAGGTGGCGGAAGGGACGAGCATCAAGAAGGGAATTCAACTTACCCAGACGCTGCCGCGGAACGCCACAAGGGCCCCTTCTCCGCCGCTGCTACCGCCCGACGTCAGGTTTCGGTTCCACGGGTTGACGGTTCTTCCATAAATATTGTTGTTACATTCGAGAGCCATCAAAGTCTGAGGCCCAGTGGTCCGGACGTAATAGACGCAACCGGCGTCGTACAGATAGTCGTTCAGCGGGTTTGGCGCACAAGGCTGGCCAATCCAGGCCACGTAGGAGGCGTGGTTGGTTTTCCCATTCATGCCATGGTGTTCTTTGACCTACAAGCACAGATCAGCACCAACGGATGCAGTACCAGGTTTCTCACTCACTGAGATGGGGAGCCCATGAAGGGGCCCGACAGGCTCGGGAAGGGAGTCGAGATATTTGGCCCTCTCAATTGCCTCATCCCACATCAACTCGGTCACACAGTTCACCTGCCACAGATATCGCCATTCAGTATTGGTGGGGCGGCATGCTTCGGCGCAGGAGGACATTGCGTACCGCGTACTGAGCCAGAGCAGCCCTCCGCAAGAATGCCCTGGTCAGCTCTTCCGACGTGAGCTTCTTGCTACGCAGCATCTCGAGGAGCTCGACGGCGTCATAGTTCTGGGTGAGTTCATATTCACGCGGCGTCAGATACTTCTTTGGCAGGTCTTGAGAAGAAAGTGGCAGCGGATCTGGGAGAGGCTCGAGCGGAGGATCAACTTTGCTCAGAGTCTCGTCACGATAGTCGCGCGCGCTTTTGGCCTTCTCAACCCACGGTTTCGAGATCATCGTTGCCAGAAAAATCCAAGTGAAGAGACGGGTTGTACTACGTTTGAGGAAGCAGGATACTTGGGCTGGCACTGACTGGATCAGGTTGTCTGTTGTTAGCAACAAACGGGAGAAGGTTCGCAGCTCCATCTGGATATCTGCCTTATTTCCAGTCGACGCAACCCTCTTGCATCTGAAGCTTGGCCCCTCCCTTGTGCAACGCGCAATGCTGAGATAACATCTCCTCCGTCTGTCGAGATAGACAAGCCACGGAGTATCGCGACCGGGAAATATCCGCCTCGGTATCTGGACTTTTGTCCTGGCATCAGCAACGGCGGCTCCGAGATGGAGACCACAGGCGTTCCCCAACTTTCAGAGAACAGCAGCGTGTTTGTCGTTCCCCGAATGTCGATCAGAGGGCCGCCTCAAGGGAGATGCCAGGTTAGGAAAGAGAGATGAAGGCTGATCCCTCAAATGCCCCGTCATCCGTCGAGTGGATCTGGTGCCGGCGCCATTGGTTCATCTTTATCGTATACAGCCTCCAAGCCCCTGGCGCCATTTGCCACTGGTTGGCTATCATTGGCGCCGCCGCTGCGTGGCTGCGTCTTACGACGTCGATCTCCCGACCTACCACCCTCTATCAACTCGTGCTGGCGTGCATGATGAGGTCGGATCACGGATTTCGAGACGCACATCAGCGGCATGGCCACAGGGACTAGATTGCGGTCGATGTACGAAACGAAGCCGATAAGAATATGCGTCAAAGGTTCCCCTATCGCCATTGGCCGCGACCGCGATAATCATCCGTTGATACCCTTGCCTTCATAGCCTTTCCGGCAACGTCTGACGCCCGAAGGATGACTTGAGGCAAAGCTGGTACCTCTTGTCCCAGGGCGACAGAAATATAAGGCGGCGAATGCTGCTCTTTTCCCGCTGCGGAGGTGCCTGAATTCGACCTTCTGCAAGCCCACACAACCCGTATACAATATCAACCAGCACTCCAGGTCTGCCCCTCTGCCGGAGCGACAAGCATCAAGTCGTGCGCTGAGCCTCGTTCCGACCGCCCGCCATGAAGTTCATAGAGCCTTCCCTAGGGAAGGGCAAGTTTCGACTGAACCGCCCGATCAACCAAAACTTCGTGGTCGGCGCCATCCTCTTCTGCCTCCCGGGTATCTATCTAGCACTGACCGGTCTGGGTGCCGGTGGTGGACGTCCGTCTTCTCAGACAGTCGCCTCCACGACCAATGCAGTGCTGTACGGCCTGTTCTGCCTCTTCGGCTGGATCGGAGGCGCCATCCTCAACCTGGTTGGGCCCAAGTTCACCATGGCTTTCGGGGCCCTCGGCTATCCTCTGTACGTGGGCGGCCTCTGGTACTTTGACAGACAAGGCCACTCCTGGTTCCCATACTTTGCTGGTGCATCTCTCGGTGTGACCGCAGGTTGTCTCTGGACGGCGGCCGGGTTCGTGCAATTTGCCTACGCCGAAGAAGATCAGAAGGCTCTGGTACGTTTGTTCTGCACGGATAATTCCTCGTGTCTCAGCACTGACTCGCTCACAGTTCATAACCTGGCAATGGGTCTTTACCTCGTTCGGCGGCACGATCGGGAGCCTGATCGCATTCGGGGTCAACTTCCACCAGACCGAGTCCACCGGTGTGTCGAACGCCGTCTATACTGTCTTGTGAGTCCTCGCCGGTCCTTGGGGGGTGTTCTAGTTCTTACCAGGTCTCGGTTGCAGCATCGTCATCATGTGCATGGCCATCGTCATCGCCCTGGTCTTCATCATCTCGCCCAGGAAAGTTGTCCGCGACGACGGCACTCACATCGCCATCTTCACGCAGCCGCGCGTCATGGACGAAATCAAGGGTCTCATCATGTGGTTCACCGACTTCAAGATCCTGGCCCTGATTCCCGGCATCTTCGTCGCCGAGATGAACCTCGTAAGTTTTCTCCTCGCCGCCCTTTCTTTCTTTGGCGATGCATGAGCTGGCAAGACTCTTCCTCGCTGACGCACAAACAGGCCCTCCTCTCCAGCATCAACGGGTACTACTTCAACCTGCGGACGCGGTCGCTCAACAATGTCATGTTCCAGTTCATCATGATGCCGTGCCCCTTGCTCCTGGCGTACGTGATGGACACAAGCTACATCAAGTCGCGCCGGACCCGAGGCATGATCGGCGCGGTCATCGTCGGCACGATCTGCCTGGCCACCAACGCTGGGTTGGCTGCGTGGATCACGAAGAACGACGTCAACCGCCAGACCCACACGCCGCCCGGCGTCGACTGGTCTGACAGCGGGTTCGGCGCCGGGTTCGTCCTGTACTTGCTCTCCGGTAAGCTCTCCCAATCCTCTGACCGCTTGCTGACGCACATTGACTCCCTCCTTCTCTTCCCTCGACTCTCTCTCGCACTAAATACTGACTCGATCGCCGTCAAAGGAATCATCTACGCGACCTACCAGATCGTGGTGCAGTGGACGCTCGGCGCGATGTCCAACGACCCGGTGCAGTGCTCGCGGCTGGCGGGTCTGTTCAAGGGCACGACGTCGCTGGGCATGTGCATCTCGTTCGTGCTCGACTCCAAGAACGTGTCGTACATCGACCAGCTGATCGTGCAGTTCACGCTGTATGCGGTGGGGCTGGTGTTCCTGCTGGGCATCATCTGGTTCTGCGTCAAGGACACCAACTACTTTCTCGAGGAGAACGTCATCGTGCCGCACCGCTGGGAGGAGCGCGCGCGTATCGAGGGCCTCGTCGCCGAGGAGCAGATCGAGCGCGAGCACCAGAAGGAGATGCTCGCGCAGCGCGGCATCGCGGTCGACTCCAAGACCGTCGGCGAGGTCATTGAGAAGGGCATCATGCCGTAAGTGGGGAGGACGGGTCAGTGGGGGCGCGGTGCCGTGGCAGGACTGGGCTGGGCTGAGCGGTATCAGACGGATGTTATAGAAAGTAAGGGACAGACGACCCGGGACACGTAGACTGGGGTTTCCGGTGGGCTACCCGTGCAAACACACCGGAGAGATAGAACCCGTGAAATGAATGAGAAGGGCCAACACGGGCGACGACGAGGCTGGGCTCCACCTTCATAGGCAAGTGTCTTTGTGGTCTCGTCCTTTAAGCAAAGTGGCCTCCAAGCCTCCCCTTTGGATCGTACTTCTTCTTGATCTCCTTCAACCTGGGGTGATTCTCGCCAAATATCTATCCGCGCGCGGGGCAGTCAGTCAGATCGGTCCTCGTCGTATATGTGGCTGGCTGCAAAGCATGTGACCAATGGAACAAACGTACCGCTTCAACGTCGTTGAAAGAGTCGATGAAGTTCGGGGTATAGTCCGCCCTGCTGTGGGTCGGGCTGATCTCGAAGGGCGCCTCCGACAGAGCCTTGAGCGAGAGCGCGTCGGATTCGGGCGAGCCGGGAAACGAGCCCGTCCCGAGCTGCAGGATGTGCCTGTTGTTCGTGTGCGGCCAGGCCGTATCCGTGCGGGCAGAGGTGGAGGAGAATGCGGGCTTCGCGCCCTGAATGTCAGACAACGGGGTTGCTCAGGAGACAGGAGAAGCTGGAAAGGGACATACGGGCTGCATTATCTCAATCAGTACAAAAGCGCCGGCGCTCTGTCGAGGGTCTTTGGCGAGCAGCTCGTTGAACCATCGCCAGGAGCACCAGATGACCTCTTCGTCGAGGTCCGGAAGTGTTGCCCCAGACATCCAGCTGTTCGTCATGCCCATGGCCACTTTCAGATTGTCTGGACGGGGAGAGGCGTCAGTGCGAAGTGGAAACGGAGAGTGAGACTGGGAAAGAACTCACCTTGCTGCTGATTTGCCTCTGCGAACGTCATAGCCCTCGTTTTGTCCACCGCGCCTTGAATCCTCAAAGCCCAGCCGAAGCCTTCGTCGCTGCGGCCGTGCGCTTCTCCATTCGCGTCGTAGACCACGATCATGATCCCCGGAGCGGGATCTTGTCCGGTCAGAGCTGCATGGGCCAGATCGAGGCAGAAGAGATGCATGGCCACCTTCGGATCTTGTGTCCGACGTGTGAAGTCCGACACGCCTTTGGCCAGTTCCGCGAGGGATTCGTTCGGGACGAGAATGTTTCCCGAGTAGACTGAACTGGTATATTTGTGCACTCGCAACTTCAGGGCGACGACGACTGCGCAGAGAGGTGTCAGGCATGTCGGGCTGGGAGAGAAAATATAGGGGCACCTACCCGCAAAGCCACCTCCCCCACCACGCAGAGCCCACAGCAACTCGGGCTCCGTGGAAGCCCACAAAACCCGCCCGTCGACGGTGATGACCTGTGCGTCGAGCAGGTTCTGGGGATCAGAGGTAAGCCCGAACTCTGAAGACGCCCAAGAGATCCCGCCCGCGACAGTGCCGCCGCCAACGCCGACAAAAGTGCATCGTGCGCTCAAGGCTGGCATAGGTGAGAAAGAGGGTTGTCCATGACCGCCGGCGGCTTCTCACCTGCGTAACCTGGGCCTTCTCTCTCCAGCTTCCGGTCCACGTCTCCCCATGTCTGGCCGGCACCGATGGTTATGGTCTCCGTATTGGGATCAAACTCGAAGCGGTCGAACGCTGCAAGGCTGATGACGACGTCCTTCGCGGAGCTTGAGCCCACACCCCCGGACCTGACCGCGAAGTCCAACTCGGAGTCATTCAAATAGGCCAGTACCCGCGATAGGCGCTCGGCGGACTGAGGACGGACAAGGACTTTTGGGTTCAAATATTTCTGGGTTGCCCATGTTTTGGACTCGTCGATATACGTCTGGGAGCCCGGTAGTGCTAGCTCATCACCGTCGACGAGGGCCTGGAGCTCGGAGATCCAACCATGAGAATCAGTCATATTGAGAAGCAGAGAGGCCAGCGGTAAGAGGATGCTTCGAAGCAATGTATGCGTCCAGGGGCAGATCACCAAGCGTGAGAGATCATGGGAAACCACACGTTCTTATAGAGGGGATATAGGCCGAGTCAACTGGACGCCTAGGTACACCTACCTCACCCATAAAGGGCCCAGCTCACACTGGATGTCTGAATCGGCCAGATCACGAGTTAAAGACCGACCCTGCAGCTTATCGAGGCTGAGGCCTGGATGATGACCGCCAGTCCAAGAATGGCAAAATGATTACATTGCGGCATATGGCTAAGAGAGACGTGCGAGTCGTCGAAAGGTTGCATGGCCAGAACAAACAGACAGACGACATTGAGCACAGAGAGACAGGACATGGGGAACCATTGTATTGCTTGTAGAAGCGGGATCGAGAGAACAAGACAAATGTCAAGGCGCCGGTGGAAACTGACGTGCGAGTCATATATAAGTCACATGATCTGATACATGACTCGATATCTGTGCCGTCTTTTGATTGGTCGGCCTGATAGGGTCTGGATCTAACCAATCTCTCGGTGCGGGGCTTCTCTTATCAATCCGGCGACTTCGTATCAACCACTCACTCTGTGCCACTACTAACCACCTACGACTCCATACCTTCTCCTCCTCCTCCCCCCAGCCTTGAAGTTCGTGCCAGTATACCATCATGTCAGTCACCACCTGCTCGACCACGGCGACGCGCTTGAACCACTTGACCGGGAAGAGGACCAATTCGTTGGGATGGGCAAAGTCCGACTGCCACACGTGCTCTTCGCTCGGTCGTTCTTGTGACCGGCGACGGCCTCGCTGCAGTGCCTGTCTCGCTGACGGCGTGATATGCGCCGGCTACGTGCAGCAACTCAACTGGGAAAGAGGCGCCTTGAAGGTTGGGAAACGGCGGCCCAAGGAACCGTCCGAGAATGTCAGAGAAGCCAAACCAGAGAAGCCGACGGCGCCACTGCCTCGGCCCTCCTCTTACACCTTTGTCGATCAAACGGCCTCACAAACACGGCCACGGCGGAGGTCGAGAAACAACTCGAGATCGAGCGAACTAAGCATCCCAATCTCCAACGCGGCGGATTCCCTGATCAATACTACGCTCTCCAGCGGCGGAGAGTCCGTCTCGTCGGCATCTCCATCCTCAACCTGGTCCGCACTCAGCGCCAGTACGCCACCTCTACTGGACAGCGGCCATCAGTTTGACCTCATACTCTGCCCGCCGGTGAGCCGCCACCCCGGAGGGATCGAGTACGCGCTATCGTTCTTCCATTCCTGCTTCGCCAACACCACGCTCACCTTCCCCGTGAAAATCAATCCCTGGCGGGCCTGCCTGCCTTCCATTCACGACGACTTCCCCTCCGTCCGCTATGCGGCCGCGGCGCTTGCAAAACGTCAGCAAGCGCACTTCGACCGGAAGCCGGAGAGTGCCTCAATATTGCGCCTCAAGTCTCAAGCCTTGTCCATCTTCGCGTCGCACCTCAACGATCTCTCGTTCGAGTGCGGCCTCAGCACTGTGCTTCTCCTCATCGGCCTCGACTACGCCGAAACAGGGGTGGCCAATTGGAACATCCATCTGCGTGGCGCGTACCGCATTCTTGAGTCTCACGGCGGGATCCGCCTCGCGGAATCACGGCCAAACCTTCGGAGTCAGATCGCCATGCTGATCTGGTACGACGTCAATGCCGCCTTGATCTCGCGGCGCGGCCCTACCTTTCCAAGGACCTACATCGAAGCGCTCATGGCATGGCAGGACGATGACGAATGGAGCATGCTGGGCCTCAACGGTCTCCCAGACGGCATGTTTCTTGACATGCACCGCCTTGCTGTTGCCGCCGCCGACATCGATTCCGCCGACCCCGAAGCGCTCGAACTTATCCGCAAGAACATTCTTGGGACGGAGATCGGCATGGAGCAAGGGAAATATCAGGCCCTGATGTCCGAAATCTGGAGGTTGGGCCTCCTGTTATACATTGCCCGGGTGTTTTGGCCGGTCCGGATCTACGATCTGGCAGCGATAGATGACCAGGACGACACGGACACGTTCGCGAGCCACGAAGGTGCCACCGAGTGGGACATTGAGCCGCGTTCCGTGGCCATTCAGATTCTCACCATGGTTGCCAACATTCCGTCGCACAGCAGTTTTCAGAAACAGTGCCTGATGCCCATTGTTCTGGCCGGGTGCGAAATGTCGAGTGCGGAGTGGGCTTTCAGGAAAATCGCCACCGAGTACTCGGAGCGGTGGAAACAGAAGACGGGGATCTGGATTTTTGATTCCGGGTTGGAGTTCATGAGGGGCGTTTGGGCGAAGAATGACATGGCCGTGCTCACCGAAGCAGAGGATGAAGTCGACCGGCCATGGGTACCTTGGACAGAGATATACCCGCCAAGTGCCGAATACGGCTTCCTGTTTGGATGAAAGATGGTGTGCCTGCAGAAGTACAAAAGAATTCAAGGTTGAAACGCGCGGCACTCTTCGACTAGACGTCGCACGTCGATATACCTCACCCGGTCCCTGGCATCTTATCTGCGAGGGCTGCCATGCTGTGTCGACGTCCTTGACACTTCTCAACACGCTACAAATAACAGTAGGGGTCGACATATTCCCCTGTTGAAAGAGCCGCACGGCGTTGATATCACGAGGATGCCGCAGAGGAAGTGCAGATGAGGAAGGACAGGCGAGCAGGAGGGGCGCGTGGTCAAGACAACCGGAGCCTCTGATTTGAGCATCGCGCATCCAGTCACGCTCGCGCCGTGCTCGGCGAGATATATCTCGTCGTGGCCTCCAGTGGCTGTTTTCCGGCATGAAGGTCCGTGCTGGGGGATGGCCGTCCGATGGGCAAGGCTACATGTTCAAATGACCTGTGTGCCAAACCAAGTTCGCATACTTGTGCCAACCAGGAACGGTCCAGGCTAGTAGTTGCTATATCTGCCGTATTATCAGGGCACATACGATCCTTCTGGGAGTTGGGTTCATGTATTATCTCGATCGCACTAGTTGCCGTATAGCCGTCTAGCCGAGGGGGCCATTTCAGGTTTATGAGAATGAGGATTGATGAAACAAGGCGTTGGCAATCCCGCTAGCTTATTATTCGGAAGGCCACGACCATTGCAGACATGTTCCTGGGTGTTGTAGATGTGCATGTACCCCGGCCTATACGAGGAAATATCCTGCGCGACATCCAACGTCCCGGACACAAGGTACCAGGGATACCCAAGGAACAAGGGCAAGGGACAAGGTATCTCCCCGTGCTGATACTCCGTAGTGTCGCCCTCCTGTTCTTCTTCCTCCTCCACAATGTTCTGCTCCACATGGCGATCGATCTAACGGACGCAATCAACGGGGCGGGGGCGTGGATGTTAGGCGCCCCGGTCCTTGTAGTCGTACTCGTACTCGTGTGTGTTGCCGTTTAGGTATGAAGGTACTTGCGGACAGAGTACCTCGTATGGAGTGCATGTTCTGGATGTCGTGTGTGTGTGTGTGTGTGTGTGTGGAGGGGGATGGGGCCCGGGGCTTTGGTGGATAAATTCCTTGCAGGGTCGCAATCAGATGCACTGCGTCATGGACGGGGATCTAATCATCTGCCACAGTGCGTGTTGGGGTGCCGTGTCCGCTGCCCGTAGGTACGTGGGCAATGGCAGATGGCAGACATGGCGATATTCGTGTCGTAGGGTGGTGGACGGAGGAGTGGGCATCTACTCAATGAATCACTCACTAACGACTTCCGTAGTCCTCGATCCACACGTCAATCCTGAAATGACAAACCGGTCACGAGAGGAATACATTGGTACATACACCACATACCTAGATACATACGAATACACCGGGACATAGTACACACAGGTCCCCTCGCTGGACGAGAAGAACAAGCGCCCGTGGACTTCTGCGCACTTGGTTAGCCCCCAGCACCCCAGCGGGCACGGACGAGCAGGTGGCGTCTGGCATCTTGGTATCTGGTATCTGCGCATCTGAAACATACTTGTATACGTTGCCCTTCTCCAACAGACACGGGGCGACGTCATTCGCCCAGAGCCGAGGGAGCGAACAATGCCTTGGGAGGGAGAGTGTGAGTGTGTGTGGGTGTGGGACGAGTTGGCCAAACGTCCTCGCAAACCTAATGGTACAGACTACGAGACGATACCCGTGGCTATGGAGGAGGTATGTGGCTACTCCTTACGGGTGTCCAGCCAGCCATTCCTTGGGCCCTAATGCATGTCTCAGATTGGAATGCTAGTTGGTGCCGTGAACTCCCTGCCTAGGCAATCGATGATGTATCCCAGTCACACACACACAACCTCAGCGATGATGCGATGCGATGCGGTGGAATTGAATGGTATGGAATGGATCAAGGGCAGGAACCTCAAGACAATAACGGTTAGGTTTCGCTGTACGTATAGCTGTGTATGCACCTTCTCCAAGAATACCGACCATACTAACCTACTAGATCCATTCCAGGGACACGGGGAGGAGTACGGAGTAGATATGGACAAGGACTCCTTCCTGGCCTCGTACTATTTTTAGTTTCACTCGAGCAGGGGACATCCCACCGGTTCCTTGCCATGCGAATCCCCCTTCCCGCCTCAGACAATCTCGCATTCCCCGGCAGAGAGGGGGAGCTGGGCCGTCGTCATCAAGCAAGCCCCGTCTTCGTCATCGACTTCGGAACAGAGACCAAAACCCACACGCAAAGAGACAATATACAGGGAATGGCTGTACAATGCCTCAGAGTGGATCGGGTTGGGAAACCACCTACCTCCCGCCAGTATCGACGACATGTGCTCTCCACAGATGCCCACATGCCACGTACATACACATCCACATACTCACCTGCATCTCCACATGGTATTCATTCACACGGGAACAGAAGCAGATCAAGGACGGGGATCGGACAAAGATATAGAAACAAACCTTCGCCAACTGACAACAATAGAAAACCGGTTGTGTCTTGCGTGACGTGCCATCGATTGGATACACGCAAGACATCATCACATCGATAGCCGAACTTCGGAATGTAGACATAATGTGATGAAGGCGACGAGGCTGTGGGTTGTACGCATGCCGATCGTCGGCACTTGCAGACGCGAGCTCTATCTACATTCCAAGGCTGTTCAAGCCTCTTCCTCACAGGAGCCATAGCGTCCATTGTACAAGTAATGCGCATTAAGATTACACAAGCCAAGGCATGAGCGAAAAACTATGAATGATATTGGACACGGGTGTAACGATAGCCCATGAGCACGACTAAATGAAAAGGAAATAGACAACGCTTCGAAATCAGGCCCGTCGCAATCGCCGTCCCCTTGCCCGTATCCCCCATCAACGCCCCATGACAGTTTCCAAGCACAGTCTGCACAGTCAACAGTTCCATAAGCACGTCCGTGATCGATTCCCCCAACGCATCTGAAAATGCTCAGCAAAACCAACGTCAGCAACGCTGTATTGTTGTCAAGGACCCTTCCCCCGAATATGTACGGATTTTGAAACAAGGGCACAAACCCACGCGCAAGGAAAAAAAAAGTAGAAGTCTATCCAGCGATTAAGTCCCACCCCAGCTGTCTATCAGGTATCTGTCTTGCGTGAGAAGCTGTTGAAAAGCAAATTTCTAGTCATGTCGTGACAGTGAACGCGTCCAAGGTCTCCCTCAAGACAGGAGAGCCTCGCGGATGAATGAACCAACGCCCTTGGCCTGCAGGAATAGTTAGCACTTTGTAGAAGGTATCGACGGGAAGGAGCAGTCACTTACCACTGGAGGCTTCATCATCGTAAAGTGGTTGCCGACCACCGTGACCATCTTGCAGACATCCAGTCCCAAGAGCTTGTCCCAGCCGTTGGGGCCAAAGTCGTTGCGGTTCTCCAAGAGCCACTTCATGCTCTTCGGGTCGTCGGCTTGTGGCGGGGGTCGCGGGTCGCCGGGCTTGCCGCAGACACCGTCAGTCGCCCAGATGAGCAGCGTCGGGGGTGCCTTGAAATCGTGGGTCGACTTCAACTCCGGACGGTAGGCGGTCAAGGCCTTGATGCTGTACTCGAAATGAGGCAATAGCCAGTTGGGGGTCTTGCCCGTGCCAGTTCCCAGAAGCCCGATCTCGTCGAAGAAGTGGTGCAGACGGGCGGGGAGGGGCTCGAGTCTGATGGGGCAAGGCGAGTCGATCAGGATCAGCTTCTCGACCGTGTAGTTGCGGTCGGGATGCATCTTCTGCAGGTCACTGAGCTGTCGGGTGACTTCGTACGCGACCACACCTCCGGCGGACCAACCACCGAGGATGTAAGGGCCCATGGGCTGTCGGCGCATCACCTCCTCAAGGTAGAGTTTGGAAACACCTTCGATGCCGCACGTGTAGCTGGTCGGGTCCTTCATGAACGGGCAGTTGAGACCGTAGACAGCCAAGTTCTTGCTGTCGATGGCGGGGATCGAGACGTAAGAGGTGGCAGAGCCCGACCCGTCGGGAAATAGGAAGAGGTTCTTGGTTGCCGTCTTGGGGTTGCCTTGGAGCAACACTGACGTGGCGGGAGGCATCTGCACGACGACCTCGACGGGAGGAGCGGCGGGCGCGACGACGACGTTGGTCCTCACCTCGTGCTTCTGGGCCGTCGGCGGGGCGACCTTGGGCTTTTCGAGACCCAGGGCCTTTCGCAGGTGACCGAGCGACGGGTTATCGGCGAGAATCGTGGGGTCGAGATCGATGTCGTGGTCCTCGCGAAGCTTGCCGAGGACGGTGAGAGCCATCAGGGAGTCCATGCCCAAGTTGCTGAGGTCGGTGGTCTCGGTGATCTCGGCCAAGTCCATCTCCATCTCCTGGGCAATCACCTGTCGGATGGTTTCGATCATGTCGCCACCTGCGGCGGAGGGTGGCTGGGCTACCGCTTCCACGGCGGCAGACTTGCCCTGGTCTTGGGGCTTGGCCGGGAAGTCCTCCGTCTCCGGGGTGGTGATGCCAGATTCGACCGTCTCGTCGTCGCTCTCCGAGCCCGAATCGGTCGATTCGACCGAGCTGGCGTCGCCGCCGCTGGCCGCCTCCGGGGCCGACATGCCGCTCAGGTGCTTGCGAAGAGCGCCGACCGAGGCGTGGTCAGTAAAGAGGGTGTTGTCAACCTCGAGGTCGAGGTCCTCGCGGAATTTGCCAGAGATGGTCAAGGACATCAGACTGTCGACACCCATGTCGGCCCATTGGATGTCATCGTTCAGTTCGGACTGATCAACATCGATCTCCTTAGCGATGATGTCGAAGGCCCGCACGACAAGGCTGCCAGAAGATGCGGCCTTGGGAGGAGCAGGAGCCTTGACCTTGGGGGTCTTGGCAGGCTTCTTGGCCTTCACCTTGGGCGCCGGCAACTCGATGTGAGAGGGAGTGACGGACTCGACGGGTGTGGGAGCCTTGACAGCGCGAGTCTCCTTGACAGGCGCGGCAGCCTTCGCTCCCGCAGCGGCCTTGGGCTTGGGCATCATGACGTCCATCAGCTTCCGGGGGATACACTGGAAGCGGACAGCCCCAGCGACACCCACGATTTCCTTGCTGGAGTTGAAGACGTACACATCACCAGCCCGCATCTTGCTTCCGGCGACCGGCTGCATCTTGACGTAGGCGAAGTACTGCTTGTCGTGCTCAAGAGGGGCGAGGAAGCGGAGGCTGCCCCACCCGTGCGAGATGTAGCACTCCTCCATGCGGTTGACGGTGGCGTTGACGGTGAAGCCCGAGAGATGGCACGCACTGTCGATGAAGTACGGGCTGAAGTAGAAGTCACCGTCGTTGGGGCCAGCGCGGAATTTGATGTTGCTGGTCGCCTCGAACTCTGGGCCGTCGAAGATCACGCTCTGCATGCCCTGGAAGACATCCGAGTAGTCGACCAAGGCGCCGAAGAGTTTGTAGGCCATGGAGCGGCTGACCTTGTCGGCCTCACCGTTCTCCATCTTGTGCTTGAGCATGTCGATTCTGGACTGGACCAGGTACGACACCTTATTCCACTCGTCCTTCCAGGCAGCGGCGTCTTCGAAGCGAAGGACACACTTGGCGTGGATGACATCCTTCTTGCCGTTGTTCGTGGTTACGGTGAAGTCGGCCTTCCTGGCGTCAAGATCGATCTTCATGGTCATGCGCACGATCTGGGTCTCGGGCTCGTGGATGTTCTTGAGCAGCAGAGGGGCGGGGTTGTCCATGGTGCCGATGTTGATGTCGACCTTCTCGCCGGGCTTCAGGAGGTTGACGCCGTAGTTGCACAGAGTGTAGGCCATGTCGGCATACAAAGTCGAGGGGCAGAGACCACTGCCATTAACCAAGTGGCCGGCCACGACGGGGAACAGCTTGGGGTGCGAGAAGTCGGACTCGGCGATAATGGTGGCGACCTTGCCCTTGATTTCCTCCGAGACGATGCCCTGGACGGCGGTCGAGAGGTACTTTCTGGCCTTCGCGGGTCCGGCGGCCACGGGAGCGGCGGCAGCAGGAGCGACACTCTTGGGGTAGTCGCCCTTGTACAACAGCCAATCTCCGGTGTACTGGAGCCAATAATTCTTTTCGTCGAACCCATATGACGGCAGGTCGTTCAAGACGCGGAGAGACTCGTTCTCCTTGTGGAAGGCATCCCAGTTCAGGGCCTTCCCAGCGGTGTACAAGCCAGCCATGGACGTGGAGATGATCTTCCAGGGATCCTCGTCCCGGCGCATGGTGGGAAGAGTTGGTGCGGACAGGCAAGATTTTATCATGCTGGCGCACAGGGGATGGCCGCCGACCTCGAGCCAGAGGGAGGTGTCGCTGATCGTGGCGGTCGACATACCGGCGGAGAGGCCACCGACGAAGTCAACGGTCTTGCGGCAGTGTCGGCTGAGGTAGAAGGCGTCGAAGACACCTCCCACGTTCACGATGTCGCTCAGAAGAGGGGAGATGACCGGGACACGGGGCGCGTGGTACTTGACCGACGACGCCAGTTTCTCGAAGTCCGCCAGAATGGGGTCGACTTGAGACGAGTGGAATGCAAATGGCAACTTAAGCTTGGTGCATTTCTGGCCCGCATCCGCCAGTTTCTGGGCAACGGCATCGATGTCGCCCATGGTGCCAGAGAGCACAGTATCGGAGACACCGTTAATGCAAGCAATCTCAATCTTGCCTTGGCTGTTGGCAACGACATCCTGCAGACCTGCGACGGGGGAGCGGACAGCAAGCATGGCGTGAGTGCCGGCGGTACATTTCTGCTCGAGGAGCTGAGCTCTCATTCCGACCAAGTAGATGGTGTCGGCGACGGACAAGACACCAGCGGCCTGGAGAGCGGCGTACTCGCCCAAGGAGTGGCCGATCACCACGCTGGGCGTGACGCCCCACGTAGCCCAGAGGCGTGTGAGGGCCATCTGGATACAGCACATGCCGAGCTGAACCACGGTGGGTGGCAGGTGCTGGACCTCAGTCGATCCGTCAATGAGCGGCATGATCGATGGCAGACCCTGGCGAAGAGCGATCTCGTTGAACTCTTCGATGTCGCCGCGGAACTGCTTGGAGGTCTCAAACAGCTTTTGGCCCATGCCAGTGTACTGGGAACCCTGGCCGGTAAACGCCATGGCGATTTGAGGCGCGGCGAGAGGAATAGGGTTGTGAGTCTGATCCTGAGTGGCCTTCAAGGCCGCCTGCAGTTGCGCGATGGACTGCACGGGGAAGGCCGCGCGGTAGTTGTAGTGCGCGCGACGAGCAGTGACCGTGTAGGCCAGGTCGGTTAGACCGACGCTGGGGTTCTTGCTCAGATACTCTTCGTATTTTGCCACGGTCTTCTTGAAGGCGGCCAGAGATTTGGCGGAGACGGTTACCACCTGGGTCGACCGAGGATCCGAAGTGGGCTCTGCAGGAATCTCAGGACCATCCTGAAGCAGCATCGCCGTGTTACCACCAGCCGCACTAAAGTTGTTGATAAACACGGTTCGCTTGCCACCAGCAGGTCGCAGGAATGGCGTCGTCTGGAAGGCAATGTTGACGTTGCGCTCTTTCAAGTCGGGTGCGAAGTTCTTGTTCATTTGCTTCTTGATACCCGTATGAGGTGGAATCTTGCTCTTCTGCAACATCAGGATGACCTTGATGAGCGCAGACACGCCAGACACGGCCTCACCGTGACCGATGTTGGACTTCACGGCACCGACGTAGAGAGGCTGATCAGGTCTCCGGCGGGGTTGGCGCGGCGCGAAGACGGACGAGACGGACTCCATCTCGATACCGTCACCCGCCTGAGTGCCGGTTCCGTGCATTTCGACGTAGTTGACCTCGTTGCAGTGCACGTTGCACTCCTTGAGCACCTTGTCGAACAGGAAGGCCTGGTTCTCCGCGCACGGATGCGTGATCGAGACGGCCTCCGCCGAGTGGTTGGTACCGATCCCGCGGATGACGCCCAAAATAGGGTCGCGGTCGGCCTCGGCGTCCTCCAACCTCTTCAGGATGATGGAGCAGACACCGTCGCCTCGGCAGTAACCGTCGGCGTCGTTGTCCCAGGTCTTGCACGACCCGGTTCTGGACAAGAAGTGGCCTCTGCTGAGACCGGAGAAAATGTCGGAGTTGGTGAGCACGTTGGCACCGCCGGTGAACGCGGTGTCGCACTCGTTCGCCCGCAGGGAGGTGATGGCGACATTCATGGCGGCAAAGCTGGAAGAGCAGGCCGTGTCCACGGAGAAACTGGGCCCGGAGAACTTGAAGAAATAGTTGATACGACCGGGACCGAAGGCACGCACACCGCCAGAAATGAAATACGTGTCGATGTCCTGGGCGGCGTTCACCTCACGCCAATCGTCAGACGTTTGGCCGTAGAAGGTGCCGATTCTGTCGTGTTTGGTGGAGGGAGTTCGTCCGGGGACGATACCGGCCATTTCCATGGCCTCGTAGCCAGTGGCCAGCATGAGTCTCTGCATGGGATCAGTCTGGGCGGCCTCTCGTGGCGACATATTGAAGAACCGGGCGTCGAATAGACCAGGCTTCTCGATGAAGTTTCCGAACGGCGTGTGAGAGGTGTTCTTCTTCTTGGAAGTCGGGTCCGTGTGAGAATCGACTGGGAACCTGTCCGGGGGAACCGGTCTGTGCACATCGAGACCCTTCTCGAGCAATTGCCAGAAGAGCTCGGCGTCCGCCGCGTCGGGGAATCGGCCTGAATAGCCAACAATGGCGATGTCGGCCTCTTTCTTCGAGTGCTTCGTTCCCGCTGGGGCCACCGTGGACCAGTGTGACTGATCCTCGAGCGTGACTTTGGGGGTGTTGGCCTTGAGGGCGGAGACCACGCTGCTGGCGAGGTTGGTGGGCCCGACGGCGAAGACCTTGGCTTCCTCGGCCTTGCCAGAGGCGCAGTATTTCAAAACCTTGTCCCATCGCAGCGGCTCAATCACGATCTCTTTCAACGCACCCTGCAGCAGCTCGAAGCCGTTCTGTGCGGGGATGGGCCTGCCCGTGACGCTGGAGCAGACGGGGTATCTGACCGTCGTGCTGCCGAAAATGGCCTTGGTCTGTGGGCGGAGGATCTTCTCGAGGTCGGCCTGCGAATGCAAGTGGGATGCGTGGTACGGAGCGTAGATGGACACGGGGGCGTTTTTGTGCGTCCGGAAGAACTCTGAATCCTCGAACAGCGAGGCCTTGGTGGATGGGGGCCCGCTAATGGTGACCGAGGTCGCAGAAGAGGCGCTGATCCAGAGTTTGTTCGTCGGGGAAGTACCCTTCTCTTTGTGAAACGCGTCCAGAGCGCTCTGTGCCGATTTCTCGTCCGCGGCCACGATGGTCGACCACGACTGCGGCTTGGAGTCGCACTCGATCTGGTCAGCCACCTTGCCCACATGGGCGCCTGCCCGGAATGCAATTCGGACAGCTTCAACTGCGAGTGGAAGGAGGGCGGTAAGGGAATCTGAAGAAGCGACCGCGGCGGCGGCAATTAACCCGGTACATAGACCGACCAGCCGTGCGTCCACATTATGAGAAATGTACGAAGGCGTTCTCTCCTCGAAAGCACTGCAAATCCAAGTCAGCGTGGTCTGAGCGTCGCCCGTCCCCGAGCAAAATAGAGCCGTACCCGAAGAAATGAGTGAACTGTGAAATACAGACGAGGGCGCTCTCAATGGCGGCGTCCTTGGCCTCGCCTCTGTAGTAACGATCGACTAGTTCTTGAACGGTAGAGAAATTAGGGACTGCTTTTGAAGGATGTGATCGGGCTCGGTTCTCGACTCTGACGGCTTCACCAGCTCTCTCCAGGAAGCTCTGTAGGATGACATCGTCCTTCCGGGAGAAGACCTTGGTGAAGAACGCCCGGCAGTCGGCTGTTTGGTCGCCGAAGACGTAGACCTCCTCCATGGTGGGCGTGAAAAGGGTGTCGACGAGCTTCAACGAGCGTTGCTTAGAGGTAGAGGAACCGGGAAAGATGGGGGAGGATCAGCTATCATATAAAGGAGTTGGGAGCGAGTGAAAATAGACCGAACGGCCAATACGAGGCATGAGTAAGGGAGTGGTGAAAGTGAATTTGACAACAGCGCCCCCCTGGTGGGTCGTGTGAGGGTCATACTAGGGGAGTTCAAAGCATGCAGCGCGATCTGCGCGAAGGAAATTCACGAGCATGGCGAGGCAATCCAAATCTGGAGAGGCTGTTCTCTTCGAGTCGTTGCGGTCATGTATTGGCGATTCGGAATTGGCACGGGGGACCCACTTGTGTATTGACGGTCCTGCTAGGCCCTAGTGTACGCCAACTAGTCAAATTGTGCTTGTTTTTTTCTTTCCCCTTCGGCGCCCGAATATGGCCATCAACACGGCCTGGACCCAGATGAGACATGTCCTGGGCTGAACCGGGGGCGGTAATCTTACACCCTCGTACGGTCCCCTCGCGACAATCGTCCAAGGCCTCCCAGCAGTGGTTTACCCTCCGCACCGCTGGCTCTCTCGTACCCGCCCGCCGCCCAGCGGCCTGACCAACGCAGTCATCACTACTTGCTGCTAACATCCCTCGCCAATGCTCAGCCGCACCTGTCGACACCACAACGGTCTGCAAAAGCTTTGTCTAGTGGGAAAAGTAATAATTTGCTCGAACCACAGGGGGCGATCTGTTGTGTTGACGGCTGCATTGAGTGAAAGGGGGGGCTGGAGACCAAGATTTTCTCTGCCATTACATTTTACGGAGGATTTGGTTTGGTTCTAAATGACGCCCTGTCATTGGTCGAAGCACCTGTTCCGGTCCTTGGCTACGGGCAATGTGGCACGGACGCTAGCCTTGTTCGGACTTCTCCTCCAAAATATCTCGACGTCGCATTGGCTCGCCCTACCATCGTTTCGCTGCTTGCTCGGACTACTGGGCACTGCGCAACCTATCACTCAAGCTTTTCGCCCTGGGCAACGAGGCCCAGCAACACCGCACACACGACCCTTTCCTCTCCTCCGCCCTGATCACACTGTTTACCAATCCCACGATCCTACGTTGCAGCTTGACTGTGGTGACGTTGTGCTGGTCCGGTCTAGAATAGACGGGGTGTATAAGAGGTATCACAACCACTGCGTCCGAGGCAAGGGGGGTTTAGGCGCTAGTGCACTTGGCGGTATCGATGGGTGGCCCTTCCAACGGCCCTATACGAGGTATTCGGTACAAGGATGTAAAGACTATGTCGTCTGGCGGTGACAGTACCTCTTGGTCCCCCGTATCGCGACCACTCCTCCCCCCCTGCCTGGTCCATCCAACGGGCTGAGGCTGAACAAAGTTACCAGGTGGCGGCAAAGAGATTGGAGGACAACAATCACCTCCAGAGCTGGGCTCCGCCAACTCTTCCCAAATGATGACTGCATGACGTCCAAAGCTCGGTTGGTTATCTCATTCACAGTCCTTCAACAATGAACTTTTGGTTCTGGGCGCGCCCATCGCGAGATGACAAGAGCATAATACATTCATAGTAACTGCGGTGGACTCTCTTGCTCATCACCGCGCCCGGAGATTCCCAGCGGAAGGAAAATCAGTGAAAAAGTGGCATGAGCAGGACATCCGCGCGCAAAGGCCGAATCCTACTCGGTACAGCGAGTTGAACCAGTGCGTCGTTGAACCACCATGGTACCTGTGTCCCGTCCATCGCCCTGTCGCTCTGGGCCTAAAGGGCTGACAAACATGGTGTTTTACTGCGGCGTTCCCGCTGCGGCAATGATTTGTCTGAAGCGATGCGGATCCTCGACTCACACACGAAGCGTCCCAGGCAATTTTACCGGCGGCGTGGGCTGTGGATGGCGGAGTTTGGGACAAATGAGCGGTGGATGAGGTCTGCTCGGATGTGGGTGATAGGGGAAGGGGATCCCGGCCTTGGGGCGCTGAGGGCCAGGGGATGGGCCAGGATGGATCAAACATGCTTCACCTTTGTCCCAGCTAACTTCCGTTTTGGCGTGACGCCACACCGTGCATGGTCTAGCGAGCCTTGTGCGCCGTCTCTATATTTGGCGTCAGGCCCTGACGCTATCCCTTTTCTGCCGCCAAGCTCCCTCCAAGCCTTCTGGGGTCTGGTGGAGCCTGGGCATCAGGATCAGTTCTCCACCTCCTCCCCCTCTTCCCGCAAACGAAGTGACACCAGCTGTCTGGCGAAAGAATTTCCATCTCGGCTTCCATCCGGCCGCAACAGTCTGTCCGTCTGCGGCTCATCACGCCCTGGTCGGGGGGTGGGGGCGTTCTCAGGGAGATGGGTGTTGTTTGCCTGACCCAAACGCCCGCCACAACCACACCGCCGCAAGAAATCCTGGTGCACATGTGGCGTTAGGGGGATCGGATCTGCAAAGTGCAGGCGGTGGATGGGTAATCATGTCAAAGATAGGGGCTCCCTCGCTACACGACCGCGACCACTGATCCACGTTGAAATCATAGATCGATAGTATTGCAGTTACAGACGCGAGAAAAACCACATGCGCCCTGCATAATACCTGTTCTGTGGCAGCAAACAATCTCTTTGTGTCTTGCAGCCGAACTTTGGGGGTGGATCAAGCCCCCTTCTCCTTTTCTTGATGACACGCCCATATCAGGAGGATCGCATTATACCCCCCTTTCGGCATGCCGTTGCCGGATAGAGCAGCTAGTGGCGATACTACGGCGATAGGCGTCAATGAGGCTCAGGAGACTGTACGTTCCCAGCCTGGTCTAGAGATCTTGTCTCATAATATGGAGACCCACGACCGCCCTCAACCAGCGCGCTAAGTGGCCGTCCTTCTTCAGCCTTGAAGCGAGGTGACCAGAGAGAGAGAGAGAGAGAGAGAGCCCTGTGGGACGCGGGTTCACCACGAGTTTCGCCAACTTTCCGCACCGTCCAGCGCCTCATCCGACAATAGCCAGGGGAGAAGCACACTATCATTGTTGCTAATCGATCGGATGGAGCATTCGACAATGCGCTACACTCCCCCCCCTTTTTTTTATCGATTAATATTCTCCTTTCTCTGTAGACAATAGATAACGCCAGAGACCCTGCCGGACACGAAGGTCCAATCTGGTCCAGAGCAAGGCGCAATTATTGACGCAAGCGAGGTCGTCTCCTCCCAAAGCGTGCTCGTCCCTGGTCTTGATATAAAACCGTCCCCCATTCGGCGGCCCGCTAACGGACCTCAGACTCCATCAAGAATCCTGGACAACGCCCGCCACCCCGCCATTTGTGCGAGGCTTGTGAAGATTCAGTTTCTGCAGTTTGACCACGCCCCTGCTCGTTTGCCTGACTGGTTCTGACTTGCATCGTAGTCCGCTCGTGCCGGATGGAGGGGGAGGTTTACGCTGCGATAGAACGATTCCACCGTGATTCTTTCTATTTTGAGAATGACCACTCTCGAGGACAAAGAATATCAGGGGTTCGCCCGGCGAACAATTCCCAGACCTGTGAAAATGAAAATGTATCCCTCAACTCGGCGTGTGTGCCGTGTGCGATCCAATCTGCGCCGTGCCTGACTTCGGCCGAACTGCGTATCTCAATCGACTACCGGATTGAAAGAGCCGACGAGTACTCCGTACTCAGTACAACGATGCCAACGCTTACAATAGACAATGCCAAATGTTGCACAGACTGGAAACGGCACCTCGCCATCTCCGCCTGTCAGCAAGCGATGCCATGAGGCCTCATCTGCTGCGATTTGGGTGAGGATCTCTACAACGTCTGTACCGACTGCTGCTTTGGGTGCTGACCTTCTCACCACCTTCCTGCTGCGATTCTATACAAAGCACGTCGGGGCCAGGTGCTCCCAGCATCTTCCCAGTTCTTGTTACCCTGCACCTTGGTAGGTCCCTCGCCTCGAATCAGATTGTCGGCAGTTGACTACACGCGCAGGTTGGCAACTCCTGCATACCACGGGCCTTCCCCAGGATGGACACGTCGTACGCAGGACCACGCCGCAACGACAGTGGTTGTCGTTGAACCGTCAGAACCGCCCTTGCATGCCGGCTTTCTCAGGCATGTGCCTGTCAGGCGGCCTCCCACTTCAGTCGCGAAGATGGCGGTGTTGGTATACGAGCAACAGCTCAGCCACCAGTGGTCTCGGGTCCTTGCATGCGCCAAATCGACAGAAGAAAACATGATAGGCCCGTGTAAGTCGTGGCCCTCATATCCGACATATCGGTAAATGTCTTCGGTAAGCAGGTGGCACAGATCCAGTGGCAGGACTCCAGAGGACGAGTGTCGAGAGGTTGCACAGGCGACCTTGCCGCTTGGACTTCTGCGCAGGTACGACTTGGTCGATACGAAAGCGATAACTTGCTTCTGTCCACGTTGAATCTTGGACCCCAGTGCATGCTACTTGGACATCTGGAATGCAAGGTCCGACACAACGGGAAAGTCGCACAGATTGTGAAATGAGCTGCTCGAGTGACTGGAGCTCCCTCACCTCCTGCCTGGCTGTCAAACCCCAGACGATCATGATGGCCTCGACGGGCATATGGAGCGGCGTCGCCAGGCCGTGGTTATTTATACACCCTACACCGGACCGCTCCACATATATCTCGCAACAAGCTATCGGGAGAGGAGTGAAGGATGGCGGTCTGCCCATCCTGTAGTCGCGAGAGGCAATATTCTTATTCCTGCGGCCCTGTGCCACCGATCTCGCCCTACGGTGCCGTCGATCCGCGAAGTGATGTCGTGCTTGGGCGGACGAGAGTGGGAGCGGATCTTGTGATCACGCGACGGTCCTGCTTCCTTCCCGCAGCGGTGCTGATGTTTTCCACTCCTTCGATTTAATCAAGGAGCAAATGTAGCCTATCAAGCTCTCCAGAGGCCAGCGCGCTCGGGCTTCCCACGGCAAACGGTGAGCGTCGTGTATGAGATCGTCGTGCCCGCCACGGATCCTGCCTACAACAACGGGGATCCGTCGGGGCGAAAGTGTTGCTCACTCGGCCGGGTTGTTGAATCCGTGGCCTCTATCAGTCATCCTCTCCGTCCCTCTCCAGTCGCTCGTCACGCATCGATTGGCTCAGTCAATGGCGACGATAACCGTGTGCACGTGGTAGCTGTTGATTCATGGGAGGTCGTTCTCCCCATCCCCTATCTGGCCAAGCTCCGACGATATGCTTGGTCCTCCGTCCGTACCAGTTCGCAGCACGTTCTCTATAGACCCTACTCCAATCTCGTGGCGGGCAGCTAGAAAAGCCTTGTTTCTCGTGGGAACGATCCCTGCTGGCTCCTCGCCAAGGCTCGATGTGTTTGGACGGTGCCCAAGATAGCAACGGACAAGCCACACCGCGAGACTAGACCACATGGAGAATTCCAGACGAGCTCCTCCCCCTTTTTTCGGTGGGCGTGGGTGGCGCAGCCTCTGGGCATTGGCCAGCGCCGTTTCTTGGGCCCCAGGCACTGACCAGGGGTGGCCCCAGGTGGCTTTTTTCCTGTCCCTCTTTGCCAACTTGGATGCGAGGGCCGCCCGCATCTGAGGTCAGGGTACCTGAGAATTGGTGGTGATGCCCGCCAAATCGAGGTACCGACGCCCTCGCCTGTACGTCACACAGCAGCACACGCTCGTTCAGCTCGGCCGCACCCATTCTCGTGCTCCCTTCGCGCCAGCTTGGTTCAGAGGTGCGAGCGTCTGTGTCGATTGAGCATCCGTTGGTGTGGTCGAAATGGGGGGTCTGGAGGATGGGGAGACGATTGAGATTTCGTTGTCGAAACGGTGGTTCTGGGGGGATGGGGGCTTTGTGCCAGCCCGCCACAGTTGAGCCGGTTTTAGCAGCCGAGCAGCCTGGAAGCCATGACGGCCTTAGGTGCGCCAGGTACTTTCCAGGACTCGTTTTTAGCCCAAACATGTGCGGTGCCGGACTGCTACCGTCCACCATCCTGCTTCTAGCCCTGCCGTGCCCTGCCCAAACCTTGCTCGCGCACAGCCTGGGAGGGGTGGTTTAGGTGATCTAGGTGATTTAGGTCATGGCCACCTTCTCGCAGTATAGCTCGGCTCGCAAACAAAGCAATACCAAGGCACCGGGCTGCAGCCAACCATCCGCCATCGGTGTCCATTCTTGTGGCCGTCTGCCTCCATCTGGCGGCCCTCATATCTGCCTGTCGTCCACCCTCGAGCCGGCGTCATCTCCATCCTCGTTCACACTTCCAACTGTTGGGTTTTCGCTCCCTCTGCAGCAGCCCGGCTTCTGCTCCTGCATTTCCGCTCTTTCTCGACCGTCCCTTTTTCGGGGAGTGTTGACGTTGTCGATCTCCTCTGGTGCGTTCGCTCGTAACCTGCTGCTCACCGTCACTCACTCCGATACCACCACCCAGCCTCTTCTTTCTGTCTTTCTGTCTTTCACTTCAACTCCAGTACTACACGTCCGATCGTTATATTGCTATTTCGTCAGTGTGAAGTTGTAAACGCCAGACAACCACCATGACCAAATTGACAAAGTCACCTCCACCCGCCTACTCAGGCAAGGTGGTGCCCCCAGGCTCGCTCCAGACCGCTGTGCCCTACGAGAATCTGCCTCAGGGCACGCAGCCGCCCGTGACTGTCAGCACGGCCGTGTTACCCAGCTCCTACAATGACCCTTTGCCTGACACGAACCCCTTCTCCCCGAATTTCAGACCGGGGCCGGCTTCGACCGCCACGCCGCCAGCAGCGCCTTTCTCTCCAGTCTCGCCCATCGCCGAATCCAGTCCCGTCGAGCGCGCCTCACAAGCACCCATTCAAGCGCCGAAGCCGCAGAGGCCCAGCGGCGACCAGCGCAAATCGGTCGATCTGCGCCGCCTCGACGGAAAGCCGTACCCCGGGTCCAACCCTGCTCACGAGAAGGAGAAGCCCAAGGTCGTGAAGGTCGCGAAGGACATGCACGATGGCGCGCTCCCGCCGGTGTACAAGCGTCAAGCATCCGATCCCATCAACCCCACGGAGGTGTCAGACGCTCTGTCCAACGCGCACAAGTGTGGAAAGTGCGGCAAGAAACACGGTCAGGGCGACGGGCACGGGCACGGGCACGGGCACGGGCACGGCTGCAACCAGTGTGGGAAACGCAGGTCCAATGCGGCGGAGTCGACCCCTCCCACGATGACCCCCGCGCCCATGCCCACGACGACCGCGCATGCTCGCACCGTCTCCGACGGGCAGACGTCCCTGGGCTCGTCCAGGCTGTCGGAGAGCACCGCGGGGCCGTCCAGTTCACCCGGGTCGTCGACGGGGACGCGGTGCTGCACGAGGTGCGGACGATACAAGCGGCCAAGCCCGGTGCCCAATCCCTTCGACCAGCTCCGTCCCAACGGATCAGGTCCCGCCACCGCCCCGATGCCCATGGCCAACCACCCCGCCATGAGGCCCGGTCTCTCCATCCAGCCCAACGCGCCGGGAAACAACCCAGCGTACCCCAAGATTGACGTGATCCCCCCGTCGGCCTCGACGTACCGGGCAGTCAACTCGCCCTTCTCGACCTACGGGGACGACTCGCCGCTCGTGGCCAAGGCCACCAAGCAAGAGTTCAAACTGTTCCGCAACTCCTCCCTCGCCCGCTCGCTCTCGCGGCGTCTCAGCAAGAAGGACAAGACCGCCGCGTCGGCCGCGGCGCCCCTTCCCAGCCAGCAGCTCGCGCGCCAGAGTGGAGAGCAGAGCGCCGGGACCCTGATCAACATGATCAGCACCGCCATGCAAGGACCCGGCAACGAGCGAGACGCCCACTACACCAAGCTCTCGGCGGGCAGCGAACCGGCGGACCGCCCTCAGACCCCGTTTTCGTTCGTGGGCGGCAAGGACGAGCAGGACGCCTTCGAGATGGTCGACCTCCGCGACCAGGCCTCGGTCTCCAGCCATGACAGCATGAAGGAGGTGGTCAAACCTCAGATCAGCGTGACGGAATCCGACAGCGAGTACCAGACCGGGGTCCCCGACCACATCGACGTCGTTCCGCGGTCCAAGTCGGCCGAGGTGGAGAGGAACCAGCACTTGTCGGTGAACGACGCGGAAAACAAACCGCCGATCACGCGGTTCAAGAGCTTGAGACAGGGTGTCTCGAGGATGGGCAGTGTCAGCCGCTCGACCAGCCTGAAGAGGCTGGGCAGCTTGAAGACGGTGCACCATGCTTGGTACGTGGAGGGGACGGATGGCAATAATGAGAATATCGTTCCTGTCTTCTAGAGCCGGAGTTGGAATACGGTTGGGTAATCTTGTATTCATGATGTGAAGGGATTTATGATTCTGCCGATGATACCATTTGAGCTCCTTGATGTTTCCATAGAGATTAATGCAATATTCGTGTTTTTGGACCGTAACTTCTCGAAAGTTGACGTTCGCTCAGCCTCGCGCAGCCTGCTCAGCCTCGCGTGGTGATGTCAGGCCGCTCCACCCCATGCGGACGGCTGCATACGTATTCTTGACCAACAACTTCGGTCGACGTCTGATCTCGACCCTGACGTCCCTCGCTACCCGGCTAGACCTACACACTCTCTTTGTCGGCTACACTCCAGTCTGGCAGCGTTCGCCCTCCAACACGCCCTCCGCCGTCTGGAGGAAGAGCGGCAAGCCCGAACCGGCAACATGGGCGACCTCCAATTCGCGAAGCAATTCCTCACGTCGCTGGACAACAAACCGAACAAGTACCAGCCCGACCATGTCTTTGATCCGACGACGTTCCAGATGCGGCTGCCGGTGAGTCTTGCCTGGGTGGCTGCGGTGGCAGCCTGCGCGAGGAACCACCTGCGCCGCGCGGGCATGCGATGAGGCGATCGCGTGCTGGACGAGATGAAGCTACACGTGCTGACGAGCCTTTTGTGTGTGATGAGCAGTACACCCTGCCCAAGCTCTCGACGCCGCCGCACCCGCCGCCACCCAAATCGGTCCCCGTCGCCGAACCGCCACCGGGCTCCGAGCCCTCGACGCCGACCATCACGCTGATCCTGAAGTCGCCGCGCAACCCCAACATGACGCTCATCCTCCCCTCCGTCCCGCCCGCGACGGCGACCATCCACGCCCTCAAGGAGCGGATCCAGGCGTACCTGGGGGGCGCGGGCGTGGTCCCCCTGGACAAGATCAAGCTGCTGCTGCACAAGAAGCCCATACCGCCGAGCAAGCGGACCGTCGCGGAGGCGCTGGAGGGGTCGGGCACCACCACGGGCTCGGACGTCGAGTTCGGCGTGATGGTCATGGGCGGCGCGCCGGACCCGCCGCAGACCCAGATCACGGCGTCCCTGCACGGGACCATCGCCGAGGCCCTGGCGACGGCGGGGGCGCAGACCGAGGGCAAGAATGCAGGCGCCGGGGGGTCGCCGATGCAAGGCGTGCAGACGGCGGCGCCGAGCGTCCTGGAGTCCAAGGAGTTTTGGGACGAGCTGCAAAGGTTCCTGGCGCAGCGGATCGGCGAGCCCGACGAGGCCGAGAGGGTCAAGGGGATATTCGAGCGGGCGTGGAGGAGTTCGATCGAGAAGCCTTGACCTCGACATGGCGAGGTTTGCATGTAGAGGTGGGCGTTGAGGAGAAGATTTCTGCGTCGGCCGTCGGTACAGACCTTTGTCATTTGCCAGTGTCGCCCACGGCGGAAGCGTGCCTACCTACGTACCTACCTACCTACCTACCTACTCACACGACCGGCTTCCAGCGTTTTCTTTACGAGAGCATGCGCAATGCAATGTTGATATCGTCGCCACGAGCCTGCTAGAGACGATAAGACCCGCGGATCGGGAATCACTCCACGACATTTGTTGTCCTGTTGATATAGCTCCAGCAGCATCGCATCCCTTCCTCCTTCTGTCTCTCTACCTTCGCTTCACTTTGTTCGCCGTTCCTTGCTCTGTTTGTGCTTCTGCCTGTCATTCCACTAGCTACGCTTTCGGGCGTTACGTTTCGAATCTCCTCTACTCGCTCCCTCCGTCCCTTGCTTTCGTGCGCAGAGCCTGAACCGGGGTACTGGGGCAGCATATCCGTCCTGCCTTCCTTCGGTTAGTTGGTAGGCAGGTCGGTAGGTTTGTACGTAAGGTATATAGATCTAAAGACGGATGATTGTTGAATACACTGGACGCACAGCACTGAATCAGGGTCTCTGAGGGGTGTATAACCCATCCCACTGCCCGATCACGGGGGAAGTATGCTTTCAACGCGAGTGTTGGGGCGTGCGCATTCTTGGGCTGGCTAGTAGCCTGGACTTATCCTTGCTTCACTTGCTATTTATTTGGCTCTTCTCTCTGCGCGGAGGACGGCTGGTTTCGAGGTCTGTCTGAGGCGATGGAGGATGATGCTAGCTTCATAAAAAAAGGAAAAGAAGAGAAGAATACCGTGGACGTCCTTGCTATATTGTCTTTCTTATATTAGGTTTCCACTCTTTGCACGTTGCTCTGTTTACGTATGGGTCTATGTACATCAACTCGTCACCGGGATATTTTTCCTAGAATCCAGCAGGACGTGGCGATCAGCGACCCAGCAAGCCACCACTATCGGTCCATGTCATACTTTTGCGAGCGCCGGGAAAACCGAACTGACACCATCCCTCCCCACCGCCAGTCCTTGGACCTTCTATCCATTGACGTGGGTATACGTCTGCTGCCAGGGGATGCTGCCGTTCTGGAAGTTCAACTCGGCGGTGGTGTTGAAGTCCCACCAGAAGTCGAGGTACTCGGGATACCCCAGCGCGGAGACGTTGCACATCTGCACGAAGTCGGGCCCGCGGGCGATCATGGCGCTGTAGTCGGCCATCGGACACGAGTAGCCGGGCCCGGACTGGCAGGTCGGCCAGGGCACCACGGCCTCGTTGATCAGGGCGCGGATGTAGACGCCCGCGGGGGTCGGGGCCGAGGTGGCGTTGCACGAGAGGCGCTCGAGCACGAGGTGGCCGCCCATGGGCACGATGTCGGTCGATCGGTACGGGTTCGGGAAGGGGATGGTGTCGTTGGGGAGCGGCGACGAGGGCACGTCGAGCCCCAGTGCCGCCACCACGGGGGTGATGTTGGCGTCGTGGGCGCTGTAGAGCTCAAAGAAGAGGTGGTCAGTTGGAAGCTCGGTACACGGGCAAAGGGGCTGCACTGACAAGTTCCACCACATTGTGCCGTGGCTGGGGCCGGCTTCCAGAAGTGCCAGGGACGCGTTAGCGAAAACCTGGCCGACGGCGATTTCATATGGATCTCCTGGGCTATAAGGAGAGGGGAAGGTCAGCTTGAAGTTTAGAAGAGCTGAAGAGGAGTAGATGATAATTCTCCCTCAACTTATATGAACGTACCCAGAACAATAGTAGTAGGTCAAGTCTTGAATATACCCGAATGCCACCCATTCGTCAAGCGTGAACGCGTCCACCCACGGTGAATAAGAACGGGCTTGAAGCTCGTAGGGAGCCACGCCTGCAGTCAGAGGATGTCAAGTCAGTGACTCTTTCTTCTGCCTGTATCCTGCAAATGAGGGAGAGGGTTCCTCACTCATCAACGTCGCGATGTCGGTCGAGTTCAGATCGAGGCCGGGGTTCTGAGCATTCAGCCTCGCCGCGGCCACGTTGAACTGCGGCAAACTTCTCGAGGCGTAGAAGCAAGCCAGCAAGCCCGTGTCGGCCGGGCAGCTAGGCGTCAAGCTGTTTGCTCCCCGGGTGGCATTCTCGGATATCACGTTGATCGCGGCATTGGTGGAGTAGTTGTACCCGAAGAATCCCATGCCGAAATATCTCGCCGTCTCGATGACGCGCTCGTAGTCGCTGGCGAATATGGGCACAACGGAGTCGCCGTCCCACAGGTGACCGTAGCGGGCACGGTACTCGGTCCCTTGTCTCAAGGCATGCAACAGCCCCGAGTACGGGCCCGAGAATGTCTCCTGTTCCAGGTAGCCGGGGTCGTTGATATAAAAGGTCCAGTCATTCAGGAAGGCGAGATCTCCCGACCACTGAGAAATACCTGCGGAATGCAGCTTGTTGAGTACGGCTTCGATCCTCCCGTATGTCGTGGTGTCCGGGTAGCGCTCCCCGTGACGCATTAGCATAATGACCTGATCAACAGCACAGCCTTGTGGAGGATTGGGATCGATCCCGTAGCCCACGCGGTCTGAGTACGGGCCGATCCCACCCACATACTTCAGGATGTTGTAGGAGTCCGTGAAGGTTTGGGGGAATTGTTTCTGGAGGTAGGCAGACGAATAAGGGCGTGAGGCGGCGACGACCCCCGAAGCGCCAACGAGCGAGGAGAGCAGAATCCTGAGCACGGCCATCGTTCCCTAGTACAAACGACGAGGAAATAGCCACAAACTTACCTTTTGACTCCAGGGCAGGAGGAAGATTAATATAGCGCAATGAATCCATTAGTATCGACGCAGAAGCAACGAGCTGGAAGCGTTCCTCGGCTGAGAAGGATAGAAAGCTTCGCATGAGCTTCAACCCGACGTTCTCAAGCTTGTAGACGCACTCCCTATCTGAAGCAGCTTGCCAGTGTAGAGCAGACACGTGAGAATCAAAGCGAAGATAATTGGTTCGCAAGCACTGGGAGGTACGCCAGCTCTGGTGAAAATTCTGCTGGCGCGAGCTGCGGGAAGAGCAGAGAGTTTCCCCCAATATGCAGCACAACAATGTGCACAAGGAAGTGAGGACACTGGCAAGCATGCCCGGTGCGTTGTGTTCGGAACTTGTGCCGACATGCAAAACTGCTTTGGGGCTTTTCTCACGGCAATAGGCGCGCTGTCGAAGCCCACGTGCTGAGCTCTGTTCAGTCTTGATCTGAACGGCGCGGAGATGGACGTGGGCTAAACAGCTCGACCTCTATAACAATTTAATGACTTGGAAAACCACGAGGAAACGGAGAGGGGAACATTGGATACATGCGGTTGTCTGTTTGAAGATCAGATCCGAGGTGAACTCTGACGATCGATGACTTGACCTTGAGTCAGCCTGGTCGCCTCACCCCTGACCCGCCGAGCCTCGCCAGCCAAAATACTCCGCAGAGCGGCATGCCCAAGTGTACTCCGTACAATTCCAGACCCTTGCGAAGAGGCAAACACTAGGGCAATTACATGTTTTGGATAAGACGATGGTTGTCCACGAGCCTATTTGGGCTGCGGGACGGCTACTGCAACGCGAATGGCATTGATCCCAGGCCCAGATATCGATCAGCGGAGCTTGATAGTAGTACGCTCTACACATTCAAAAATGGTCAAGACTCAAGGAAGAACAATCTCGAACCGTGAATCCGGTTTTGGGACTTTTTGGTATTTCATGTCTATCTGGAACGTGAACTTTCTGTACATGTCGCCGGCTTCTCCGGATCTCCATTTCCACCCCTCCGTTGTTGTGTTGCAGCAAGCCACCCAAAACCCAGGTGTTCTCTAGGTATTTCTCTTAGGCTTGATAACCCGTTGAAGATGCGACAATTGATTCAAACGCCCTTCGCCGATGCAATAATTTGCCGTTCATTCCTCTGCGTTGGTGGTTGCCGGGCGTTTGTGTCGTAGAAAGAAGTGAATAGATGCTCAAAATCTCATAAAATCATGCAAATGGAGTGGTAGCCAGGACAAGTTGGGTATCCTCTTCATGCCATCGCTCCGACAAGCCTCCCCACAAATGCCGATCTCCTCGACATACCGTCAATCACCTTCGTCGTTCGGTTGTGTTGTTGTACATGGTCCAGCAATTGTTGTTTAACAAGATGTGATGGACTTAGGCGTCCCAGCGCTTCACATTGGCTGCAGTCATGGTGAAATCAGAGGAGACTCCGGGAGTGCATTGCATGCCACTCAAAGGGATGACCACGCTCCAGCTCCCCGAGGCGCATCGCTGGAAGCTGCTTCCATCAATGCAGTTCCAATCGCCTTCGTTTGAACATGGGCCGGTCAACGCTCCAGCAGTAGAGCCATTCGACGCGGGGGAAGACTCGGCGGTTGGAGTTGCGGCAGCACCGGCTGGAGTTGTGACGGGAACGACCTGGAGAGGGTTAGTGCTAGTGGACGACGTGGTAACAGCAGATGCAGGTACCGAAGATGCCCCGCTTGCAAAGTTTCCAGCAGACACGCTGGGCGACGGAGTAGCGGTGGATGGACCGGTGCCTTGTGAATATTGCCCAGCATTGCCACTAGCAAAAGCCGGTGCGGAAGATTGAGGACCAGCGTAGCTAGTAGAAGCCGCAGACACAGAAGGAGCGGAGCCGGTCGGTTGTTGAGGAGAGCTTGCGTTGCCCGCTCCACCCCCGAGCATCATGTAGGGTCCCGTTCCCGCTCTCTGAACATCCGCGCCGGGATCTGGGAATTCGTAGTCAAACCCTTCCACCGTCTGACAGTCGCCGATACCGGCCAAATTGCACACGAGCTTATCGGGAAATGTCGTCTGTCTCTTCAATTTCGGAGCGGGCGCGTATCTCTTCTTCGTCGCGGCGACGACAGTGAGCGGCGCGCAATTTTCATAGTACTCGCGATTACCAATCTTGTTGACCCAGCTCCAACTCAGCGTGTAATCGCCAGGAGCGATGCCTTCAGGAATGGTGAACTGGAAGGTCGAGGCGCCAGTACCTTCGGGATCGGCAGGGAGGTTGCCGGGAACGGAGGCAGGACAGCCGCCCTCAATGGACTTGATGACCATCCACTTGGAGCTCTTCGTGGGTTGGAGATCGGTAGTGAGGCTGACTTGACAGGATCCGCCACCGTGAACGGCACTGCCGAGGAAGCTCAGAGTCTGTGGATCACCGATTGCGGCGACATTGCTGGCACCCTCGGCATCGTAGACGCCAGGACGCTGCTTGCAAGGGAAATCAGAACCGTCGGCGAGAAGTGGTGAGTTGTTGAGGGTGGATTTGCCGTATGGAACAGGAGTCTTCATGATCATGTGGGCATCTCCTGCTACAGCCAGGAAGGCGAGCGCAGCAAGAGCCGCAGAGTTCGAAAAGACCAACATTTTCGCGTTGTTGTTTGGGTGAAGTTGGAGACAGAAGTGAATGTGTTGGGCAGGGCAATAGCCAGATCGCACTGATACACTTGTCAGTCGGGGTGAGGAGGGTGTGAGGTGATGGTGAACTTGAAGATGGATACAAGACTCGCAGGGTTTAAGAGCAAATGGGTTTGGCGGGATATTGAGACAATGGAGGCTTCTGAACAATCCAGCACAAAGCCAACATTATTCGACAAGGGACTGCTGCAGGCTTGTGGTGGGTGACAACGGGTGCTGACGACTGGACAATACATGACAACGGCAGGATTGACACAAAGCGACTGGTGAGCAATGGGGGTAAATGGGATGTGAGTACCTGTTCGTCACTGACAAAGGAACGGTCGTTGACTTGATTGTCAACTGTTGTCTGAAGGAACGTAAGGTCTGCGCCGGGCAGGATAAAGAGAGTAAGGTCAACAAAGGAATGTAGGACTAGCCTGCCACAATTGAGACAAAATGAATGAGATGAGAAGAAGCTCTGGAGAAGGTCAAGATGGGATGAAGTGACTTGGCGGGATTCTATATAGATTTTGAACAATGGAGGTCGGCAAACGCCCCTGGATGTCAAGGCTGAACCCCGGTCAGTACTGGTTATCCTGGTCGGGTTAGCGGTGAGCAAGGGGTACGTGAAACACCACATTCTATTGGCAGGTATTCATTCCATGACTTCGCGCGTGGCAAACTGACGCCCAAGCTGACCGTTCTGGAGTGCAAGCTTGTTCGGAAAGCACAGAGTCCAGTCAGAGCTTCGGCCAACCCGGTCAAAACACAGAGATCTTTGGACAGGTAGAACAGCCCTTTCAGAGAGAGCTCTGACCAACATATCTGATTCGCCGCAAGACAGAGAGCTTGAGCAGAGAGTGTGGACCTCGATGGGCAGCACAAACTGTGCAGAATAGGAGATTGGTCCGCGGTATCCAGGTACCCCGTAGATCGCTTAGGGGCGAAAGGAGATACGGACAAGGCTTGATCGTAAGTTGCTCGGAACGACGCAGGAGAAGACCAGACCAGCCCAGTTCGGACGGGTCTCCTGAGATGGTCGGAGGAGGCTGAAGCAGGCCATCGCGGCGGCAGTGGAGAGGTGAGCGGGAGAAGAAAGGGCAGGAATGTAAGAAAGCAGAGCTGGACGGGATGATCAGGGGGTGAAAATATGCGGTCGACTGCAGCCAATGGTTAGCCGCGTGATGGCAAGCCACCATCCCACAAACAGTTAGACTCCGCTGCATAAATCCGCGACTCCATCACGTTGATTGGCCCGGGATCTCTCCACGTCGACCAGCTTGAAACACCCACCTTTGTTCTATCCCCTTCTTAACAGTTGCTAGCAACCACCAGCTTGCCACCGCCAGCTCCATCCCGGGGACACGTAAAGGAGTGGTTGAGCTCCGGCTCTCGCAGAATATCTTGTGGATTGCCGCCTGAAATACCTCGTACCACGGGCACAAAAAGCTGGGTGGCTGGAAGAGCATGTCCCGGGTCGGGAGGCGCAGTTGCCGCAGAGGGCATGTTCAGTCACCTGTTGCTTGGATGGAGCCACACTCTTGACATAAGTAGCTGTCCGGCAGTCGACATCGCCACGAGAGGCTTCGGGTGTGGCCTGCAAGGTGAATGCCGTGCCTGGAATGTCTCGTGTGGATGAGACATCGTGAGCGGAATGTGGTTTGTCTTGAACATGGCTCAGATCAAGGGATCCATCCATGGGTATGTCCCGCCACTTCTGGTCTATGTAGCGACCCAGGCCTTTGCGGAGCTCCGTCCCGTCATGTCAGCCTTGGGAGGTCACTTCAGCTTGTCAAGGTTGGCCTCTACCAAGTACATTCGAGCGGGCGTAAGCAAAGACTTGGGACACCCTTGACGGCGACCCGCACGGGGTCTTCGCCACTTGGCCCGCTGGTTGGAAGCCTCAGCCTTCATCGCTGCCAAGCGCAACGGCTCAACATCATAGAAATGAAATTCGGGTCAGGGGTGACTCGTGGAGTACTTTGATCGACGCATCACGAGACGAGAGATCGACTGAAGGAACCTGTTCTTGTACAGCAGTCCTGAGCACTGCAAGTACTTGTAGGTTGGGAGACATGGACAATCTCTTTATGACAGCGCGGCCGCTTTATGACAGGGTGATCTCTTTATAACGAGAATCACACCGAATTTGACCACGAAGATGGTGCATTCGAGCTCCAAACCCTTGGAAGACGATGGATTGATCAATACTAATCTGCAACTTGGCAGTCCTGCACCATAGCAGAATGCCGAGGCGTCAGATTGTAGAGCCCGCCGTCTTGTCACAATCGAAGGTCACGATGTCATTCGGCCAAGATCTGAGTGACGTATAAGTATATTCAGTGTGCAACAATGCCTATGAATCTGGTCCTTGAGCTGGCTCTCTTGCCCACGGCGAGAAAATGTTGCCTAGGGCGTTGTGATATTCACTCACGCATTCTCTATCCTCCAAAACTATGCTTGACGTCTCTCAAGTCATTCATCCAGCATCAGCGGAGTTCCGCGGAATATCGTTTCTCCGCACTGTCCAGCACTCGACGACTTGTCTACTTCTCGGTTGTTGCGATTTCCCTTCTGCCTCAGTACTATAGACACATACACAAGACACACGGCGAGCTTTGTCTTCCTTTCTAGCCGGTTGCAGAAGATTCCCCTTGCTTCATAATGTCAATGTAGGGTATTATTCGTACAATACAGTGTTTTCCGCCCTCGTTCTCATCCAAAATTGCCTCTTGCGATCATGCCTTCAATCGCCATGCCCTCTCTTTCGTCTCTCCTGTCATGGCGCACGCTCGCACTTCTCTTCGCCCTGATCAATCTCAAATCGCTGCCTTTGGCCTGGCACGCGCGCCTCTTCTATCGCATGTTCGCGAACTGGTACACGGAAGCGCGGGTCAAGCGCAGCATAGAATCGCAGTCAGAGTTGTCGGACTCGGTCCACCCTCTTTTCGAGCCCGTGTCCATTTTCTCGCGCTCGCCGCTCCTCGAGACGGACTACAACCTGCATAAATCGAACAGCACCTATTTTCTCGACCTGGACGAAAGCCGGACGGTGCTCATGACGAAGCTTTTGGTCCCGGGCTTGCAACAGGGGGATAAGGACCTCCAGCGCGAAGGCCACAAGGGGGCTTTGAACGTGATATTGGGTAGCGTCCACACGTCGTTCCACAAAGAGATCAAACCGTACGAGCGCTACGAGGTCCGCTCGAGGATACTCGCGTGGGACAGTAAGTGGATTGTCGTGGGCAGCTGGTTCATCCGGCCCGCGTCGCGGAAAGGAAGGCAAGAAGTCCTCCTTGCGTCGGCGCTGAGCAAGTACGTGGTGAAGAAGGGCAAATTCACCGTGTCCCCAGAGCGGTGCTTTGCCACGGCCGGGTGGCTGCCGCGCAGGCCAGCGAACTCCAATGCCGGCGCAGACCGACAGGACAAACCCGAGACGAAAGAGATATCTTCATGGTCGTCGTCGTCGGAAGAGTCAGAGCCTACGACAACGCCGCCCCAGAACCTTCCTCCCACCGACGCCGAGAACCCAAGCACCACCAACCAGTCCTCCGAACCATCGCTGATCCCGACGCCTCAAGAAGGCCCTCTCGCGGCCCCGATCCCCGAACCCGCGACGCTGCGCGGCACCGACACCGTCGTCGAAAAGCTCGAGACGGCAGCCGCAAAGACCGGCGCGGCCATCTCGTCCTCGGCACCCCTCGCGCCGCTCACGGCGGCCCGCGACAAAGCGGGTGGCGAGTGGGACTGGCACAGGATCGAGATGGAGCGGATCCGCGGACTGCAGGTGGCGCAGAACTGGCTGGCGCTGGACAGGGAGCTGATGCACGAGTTCATCAGGGGCTAGCATCCTCTCGGGCCCGGCAGGTTCATGTTCTTGGGCTGGGTGAGCGACGCGATAAGACGGGGGAGCGAATGAGGATCGCACGCCCTTTTCCCCAGGTTCTGCGGGCAAGTTGCGGGTTAAGGGGCGTGGGCATTCCCGAATGTTCGGGTCTGCTTTGACTGGTTGGTTGGCTGACTAACTGACGAATATCTGGGGATGGAGGCCGCGTCCAGGTCCGTGCTCGGGTCTGGATCTGAGGCTCCTTTGGGGCCAGTGCCGCATTGATGATACTGTACCAATATAATAGAATGGTGGTGCATAGCGCTCACAGCAGAGCAAGCGACGGCGTTCCAGGCGCGTTAGATGTTAGATATCAAGATGTGAATATGCATGTGTGCTCATGACCTGGTTCTATAAGTTGTGCCTGTTTAGAAATGGACCATATTTGTAGCCATTCAGGTTCTATTATATATGTTTTCTCTGCGTCAGAGCAATAGGATATGTGCTAAGGTGTATAACAGAGGCGCAACTTTTCGCTCGCTCTCATCAGATTTCCACAGTTTGGCGACTAGAGAAACAAGAAATGGGTTGCACACCGCCGTGTGCTGATATATGCAGATCTCCTCCGTCCAAAACGCCGGCTACTCCTCGTCATGCCGCAATTTATCCTCCGTTTACTCCGTCAAATGCCACTTTTCTCTCGTCGAATAGAAGTCGCGCAATGTGGGAAACGGTCTTGAACCGATTAGAGCTCGAAAGGCCAACGCTGAGGGTTCATCGTCGCAATGTTGATGTCGGCAGGGTTGTAGTAATGTACACAATCGTACCAGTCGTCAGGTGTCGAAAGTCGTGGCTGGCGTGGTAGGTCCTTGTTGGAGGCCAATGGGTTGTTGATGCTTTCCAGAAAGCCACCTTGTCTTCGTGGTGGTCGCCGAAAGCTGACTGGCTTCCTCCATCTACTCCTTGTGCTCTTGCTCGTGCTTCTTCTTCCCGTTGCCATTCTTGTGTCTCCTGTGATGTTCTTTCTCGTACTCTTCCCGAGCCTTCAATCTCTGTTCCTCCTGCTCCACCATCTCCTTCCACAGATCGTCGTTTCCGCTGCCGGTGCCTTGGCTCGTGGTGTCCCTCTCGACCTGCTTCTCCAACATGCGCTTGTGTTCGGGGTCGGTGGGGTCAATATATCTGACCGTCTCCCACCTGCCCTGCCCACTCCGCTGGTCGGCAATCTCGAATGCCGCAGTCGCGATCAAGACGCCAACCGTGAGGAATTGGGCGTAGACTCTTGCTTGGACGATCTTTTGCTGGCCGGTGAGGTACTTGTTCCTGTTGACGAGGGCGAATGCTGCGACCATGGAGCCAACCCAGGAGCCGAAAACAATCTTGTACCGCTCTTTGCGGCCGAAATCCATGGCCCGCTCAGTCCATGTCTTGTTGGCCCTCTCCAAGTTCGCCTGTTCGGACTGGCGCAGGCGGAATTCGACCTCTTTGGGGTTTTGGGAGGCCTCGTAGGCACGGGAGTAGTGGTCTGCATTGATGATACCGGCGAATGTGCCGGAGGACGTGACGAGGAATGCTTTGAGCGGGAGGGTCAGGTTGCGGAAGAAATGGTAGCGGCGATGGGCGAAGGCGACCCCGGCCAAACCGACGGCGAGACCTGCAAACCCGCCGATGGTGCCGCCTATGAGGGTCTGGCGGTAGTGTTCTGCTTCTTGTTCCTTGGTGAGGAGCTTCATGGTTGCGGTGTGATGATGTCAGGTGGTGAGGAGGGTAGAGTGTATGGGTGAGGGGTGACTACAAGGCCGTGTCGTCTCGATATGTTGTATGCCTGGACTGGTGTGGAAAGAGAGGTAGGTCTAACTGATGGCGACAGCCAACGATATATACTTGCAACCCGTACGATTCGAGTGAGTGAAGCTAGCAAAACCCCACTGAGCAGGAAGGAAGCCGGAAGAGGTGAGCCGATGTGTGATTCGCCGCAGCTGCGAAGGCTGTCTGGCCGTGTCTGGTAAATGAATAAGCTCCCTGCTTGGTGCCAGTGCGGGATCAGTCAGCCTGCGTTGAGCCAATTTCTGTGCTTCTGGAAACTCGTCCTAACACAGCAGCACAGCAACAAGGTATGGAGGAGTTGTCTCGGATATTGCGAGAGAGTGTATTTTCTCTCTCTGTTCAGAAACGCAGATCAGGACGAAGTAAAATGAGCTCACCGGCTCCAAATGCAGCGCAGTTGCTGAATTTGTACCGGCGGAGCGAGCTGCCTAGAGCAGCAAAATGGTCGAAACGGGCTTCTTCTCCTCTTTCTCTCGTTTCTGCTGCTTCTGGACCCCGATGACATCAGGCAACGCCCTGGAGATGCCGGTGCTTCCCACGCCGTCACCACCAGTCGCGCCCATTCGGGCTTCTCTCACTGCGAATCACAGCGCTGGACATCTCCCCAGCTATTGGTGCCAGTCCTCTTCTCGCCTGAATAATCACCACGCCAGTCCGTCTTCTGCGCCATCTGAAACGAACCTGATGGCCAACGTCGCCCGGAATCACCCGCCAACATTTCGAATGCCCTCCCCTACGAGCAATGACGAGACCGAGACCAACGTTTTACCGGGGAAAGGGGGCCCAGTCCTCGTAAATTGCGAGAAAATGCGCTGTTTTAGCATCTCCACGGAGGAGTCGGGATACGCTCGGGACACGCCTAAAGCCCTCCCGCCAGGCCTCTCCAGGCGCCCCCATGCTCCGTAGCCTCTCTTTCCAACGAGAATGGTGTGACATATGAGAACTCGCCGCCCTTGAGCGTGCCAGAAAGAGCAAGTTTCGTCTTTTCGGCGACCAGCCTCAGATGTCGTGGCGGTCTTCAGATCGCCTCTGGAAAAAGTATTATATCTGGGGTATCCAACATCAGGAGACTTGAAAGTGATCCTCGGCGACCACTGTCACTGTTGCCACAGATCTGTACAAGGGTACACTCCAGGTCGCCTGGGAACGGAGAATAGTATGGGAGAGATTTGCCTTGGTATCGTGTTTTCGACCAGGATGCTCATCTGCCCGATCCTGCCTCTCGAGGAGCAATAGAAGCCGGCGAACATACACCACGTTCCAAAAATCATGCGCAAACTTGGAGCGCCTTCATACCTGATCGCGACTAAAGACCTTGTCCAGCGTTCATCGGGCAGATGGAGTCTTTCGCACACCGGTTTTGCCCACAACAATATGGAGACTCTCTCCACGTGCAGGATCTCTACTAGGATGATCAGCCACTTGGTCATTGATCCGTCGCTGCCCTTCCTCGATGCGAATATCAAACCCAGTCGCCTGGCGAAGGCGGACCTCGACCGATTACTCCCCAGGAAGCGTCCAATTTCAGGGGTCGTTGCCATCCTTTGGGATAAATTGCAATATGGTGTTTCTGCGCTAGTGCCGCTGAGCGCCTCGTCTGCACGACGCTTTGCAATGTGCTGGAAGACGAGGAAGACGATCGGACTGTCGTAGGAACTACGTTTCCCTAGCGGACACTGTATTGGGTTGACTGCCATTTGCTATTGCGATGGGTGCAGTGCAGAGGATGGTATTTCACCACGGTCGAGGCGGTACACTTGGGCGATTGCCGAAGCGTCTGCGCTCGCCTCCGCGCGCAGCCTCTGGAGAGGTAACAAAATTGAGGAGGTAAGATGGATGAATTCCCCTCGCGAAAATCGACCACCATCACATCCCTTCCGCTCACCAAAAGAGGGGTGGATGGCCTCGACTGCCGGCTATTTCCACATCGTTGCAAGCGCTTTTTGGAGACCATGAAGTTGGTGGCGAGAAGGTGGGTGTTGCTCGACGAACTGCTGACGATGGTAGTACTTGCTCTTTACGCTGCTTCACGAACGGTTGGCATGTGCTGAAGTAAGTCATCTTCAGAAAAGCTTTCGGCCACATCTCGCCTTACAGTATATGCAGCCGCCTAGTTGACGTGTACGGGGTGCCGCTTGACAGGTTGGTCTTGGAGTCAGAAGGCAGGTATGCTGAGAGAAACCGTTTCGTACGGTCACGTCAGGATCAGAAGCCAGAGTGATGGCTGATCGGGACCTGCTTTTCGTGTACTCCCTTGCTTGCTGCCCACGAATCACAGGACTATCGAATAGCCACGGCGGTTGCATGCGGGGGTCAGCATCGTTGCTGGACAAGGCACTCGGGGCGGGATTCATGAGACGGATATGTCAGACCTTATTGTTACGGTCTAAATGGAAAAGTGCGCGTACCGAACTGATTGACGGGGAGGAGACAGATTGAAAAGTCCATAAAATAGACCACGAACACATACAAGCGGAGCACGAAGATGACTTCCCAAGAAAATTGAATTCCTCGCCGACGGTAGGAATCACCCGCTAGGCGGACGGACCCGAGCGACCTTTTACATCGCAGTCGACCGCAAGGCTGAGACGTATGGGATTGAACACAATGGTGGTGTGTACTCCGACTGAAGCCACCGAGAACCTAAAGCCGACCCTGAAGCCGACCCTGAACCTGCCAGTCCCTCCACTCCCTTCTCTAGCGGTGCGGAACAGTAGACGAGACCTGGGGAACGATGTGGAAGTTCAGGTGACTCGTCTGAACCCTGGCCCTATTGCTCACTCTCTCGCCTGGAGCAATATTGGATTTCGCCTTGGGAATGGCAGCGGGAGCGGCCTCTTGCCTCCTGGTTGGATCGTACTCGGCCGTGGCCCAGACTTTCTTCGTGTGGTCGTCGCTCCGACCCAAAATCGGCCTCGACCAGTCCTCCATGAGCTTCGTAGCTTGTCGTTTGATCGCCGGTTCGGCCTTCTTGGATTTGCGATAGAACAGAATGACTTTGCCGATGCCAGAAGAGATCAACGTCTCCTTGTTCATGGGCAGCTTGGCAAGAGCCGCGAACAACTCCCGCTGGATGTTGTACGCCGGCAGACTGCCGTCGGTCAGAGGCTCCAGGAAAAACCGGACCGCCTCCAGTAGATTCATCTCCGGGTCGAGAATCGACTGGACGTATGTGTTCCGGTTCAGCAGGCTCACCACTTCGGGCAGCATCTTGAGTTTCTGAGAGGCAGGTAGACCTTGTCGTACCAATTCTCCGTCGGTTTCAGCCGCCGTGATCATTCGGTTCCGCAAGTCCTCGATCTCTGCGTCTGCGGCTTGCTCGAGGTCCTGGACGTCGTCAGTACTCGGTGGCGGCATGTTTGCCTGTGGGTACTCACAATCTCGCCCTTTCTGATTCTCTTGCCCGAGGATCTCTTGACCGCAGCGTCCATTGCCCTGTCCAACGCCCGTCTTCTGCGCTCCTCAGGTGTCAAGTCCTCGTCGTTGATCTCCACTCGCTCGCGCGGCCGAGTTTCTCCACCGGCCGCCTTCGGCTTGCGCGATCTCTTGCCCTCAACCTCATCGCCACCCGAAAAGGCCTCGCTCTCTGCTCGTCGTGATTTCTTCTCCCTCCTTCGCTCTTTCTTCTTCTTCGGCACCGGTTCCTCGCCCTCAGCTCTCTTCCTCTTCTTCACTTTGATGGCCTTGTTCAGCGTGTCAAAGTCGGGGGCGACCTCGACGGCTTTGGGGTCGAAATCCGCGAACTGGGCTTCGTCGACTTCGGAGAGCAGCGATTCATCGTCAGAGTCGTCGGCTGCGTTGGGCCGAGTGTCGGCATCGTGCTCTGGTTGGGGGTCTTGAAATTCGTCGTGCAGGTCGTCGAGCTCGTCTTCATTTTCGTCTGGTCGATCGAGGCCCTCGGCGTCGGGGGGTGGTGCCTCCTCTCCGTAGTCACTCATGATTGTAGCACCACCTGGGGATGGACACGATTGGTAGAGTTTCGGAGAACACAACTGGAGATCGACAGGTCAGTTCGGAGAAAGGAGAGGTCTCGATGATCAAGCTCCTTGAGATTCGTGAGTTCGAAGACAAAAGAAGTTGCGACAGCAGCAAACGACAACATGCCAGTGATGAACGAAGTCGGACGCCAAGCGCGCCCTCACGAGTCAGACTTCAACATCACGTGACTGATACTGAATCGGCTCTTTTGATAGAGAACTGGCTGTCGCTCATTTTCTATTGGCTAGTTATAGGATGACAGAACCAATAGTTTCGTTCTTTATATCTGCGAAGCTAGCCCAGGTGGTATTGCTCAGCTAGGCCATAGGGGACTAAGGTTCCACTACTCAACCCTTCCCACCCTCTGATATAAAGTTATTACAAGGGATAGAGCATAGAGTCAGTAAACAAGTAGAATAACCCTAACCCTAACCCTAACCCTAGGCCTAGGGTTTTACCTCTATCAACGCTAGTGACCCCAGAGAGACCCCAGAAACGCCATTTTGACTCTCTCACGTGACCAGCTTCGCACTGATGCATGTATTGCTCTGAAATCCAGTCGACGTACCATTTTTTAACCAACAATTCGCATAGTTTGACGAGTTACTCTGGGCCATCTGATAGGTCCACGTGACCCCTGCACACGTCTGCATGTTCCCACCTGGCTGATCTTGACCATACAACTGGGTGAAATGTATTGCGTTGGCGCAAGCGTACAGACAATCGGTGAGGCTGTAAGCGAACAAGCCCACCACATCAGCGACCTGTAAGTCCGGGTTGTTCTCGTCCGCAACGTGGTTCAACATGTCGACACCGCAAAAGATGTCGAAAGAGGTGTCGTATTGAACGTCGATTCGGGAGTTGCTGTTCGCACAGCCAGGGTCTTGTAGGCTATCGACGTAATAAGGTTCAGGTACGACGAAGTTTTCCAGCGACGCGGGGGCGGGGAGACCGGACGAGGTTGTGGTTGACTGCGTTAGAGTCGCTGTCGCACTCGAGGTGACGGTCACTGTTGAAACTTGTAGACTTCACTGTATTCAGCCTATCGTCCGCATGGACGAGCAGAAATTCATCCTACCTTGATGAGTTCGAGTTGTCCCCTGACAGCGCTCCTGCAACACCACCGCCCACTGCGCCGCCCACCACAACGGCCGTAATTGCTCCCACCAACAGTCCGAACGCGAGCGGCGACAGGCCCCAGGGATTGGGTCTGGGGGGAGGCGACACCGGCTGGCCCGCTTCTGGTGCGTAGGCATTTGCATAAGGGTACTGCTGCTGTTGATAGACGAGTTCTGGTTGTCCGTGAGGCTGGAATGGAGCCTCGGGCACGACTTCGGGAAACTGTTGGTACGTGGAAGTGTTGGCTGGGTACTTTTCTGTCGTCGCGCTTGAGGTTGCCGTGGAATTTTCGCGGGCTGCATCCGAGGGAGAGACGGGAGCCGTTACATTTCTGTGCGACATTTGCGTCTAGCAGGACAGTTGGACCTCGTTATGTGTGTGTTGTATATGGCGCGTACTCGAGGAACAAAGGCCGAGATTGTCTCTTGAGCCTCGAGGGAGGAATGTGTGCACAGCTTTCGCCTTCACCGTAGGAGCATTGACGAAGAACGGTGACAGGAGACACACACAGACGGAGACGCAGTTCGCCTGATGCGAGGCTAGCCTGTGCCATGTGTGGCAGAGCTCTTGCACTTACCGTTCCATTATTTCCAAAATGCAGGCATCACACGCGCCGTCTCGCAAGTGGGTTGCTCCATGTTGAGATCTTCCGTTGAAACGGGCCAAACTATGGCAGAATCAACTTTTAAGGCGACCAGCTGCTTTTCGCCAATGATGGCTGAGCCTCGAGCGGCGAGCATTCTCCACGATGTTCGAAAATTAATGCGATAGGCACGTTGGGTGATGAAACTGGTCGGTCTGTTATCCGAGATTGGGGGCCCGCCAAAAGCATTGGCCCCTGTGGCAGCCTGGAGTGCCCGAAGGGGCTGGATCCGGGCCAAATCAGTTCGATTTCAATACCGGCCCCGGGGTAAATCATGAGCTAGCACAGGGACGACATGGGTGATTGACAGAGGCCAGAGGCGATTTGGGCCACCGTTGCACAACGCCCGGCTTGCCCGTGACAGATTGCGTCTTTCCAGCATGGAAATTGTCAGATTCGGATATGGCGAATTGCGGTGAATGGATTTCATGAGGCGCCCAACGAGGCCGATAAACCAAGCCATTAAGATCTGGGCTGATCGAAAAGCCCAGACTCGGGGGCGGCTCAGACGCCGGACTCACAGGGGCAATAGCACGGTGACAGATCGCTTGTGGCCGGCTCCAAAATTCTGGCGACAATGTATTTGGCACCGCGACCGTTGGCCGGCCGAGAGATCTGTCTACAGAGTACTCGAAAACGAATGACTTTGTGAATCGCCCAAAAGTACGGAGTAGTGCGTGCAAAGGTGGCCTCCAGATGATTTGAGGACCGTATGTTCCGTCGTCGGAAATGGCGGACTCGACGCCTGCCGCTGCGCGGGACTAGCCTCAGCCTCGTGGCATCGGGGCGACTTGTGTGCGAGGGAAGAAATCGTCGTGTCAAGTGATGTACCTCCACGAAAGTCCTGTCGCCTGTCCTGCTGCATCCGTACCCGGGAAGTCCTGCATCGCAGCAATGACAGCCGCCTCTTCTCGATCCAGTCTCTTGTTCTGACGTCGCAGCATCGTACGCATGAGAATCGCAAGCAATATAGCTCCCAGGGCGCACGATGTATTCAGAGACATCGACTGTACATACCTCGGCGCCCATCGATTTGGATACAGTTCGGAAGTTACGATCTGTAAACATTAATCAGCATCACGGACTACCAATGGGTGAGTGTCGGAGTCCAAATTCTCTTCGTACGATGACTGGAGGTGCCGAAAGGGGAACAGAGCAGCGGAATGGTCTCCCTCTCCAGCCCATGGATCGCCATGGGGTTCGTCTCGACTCACCTGTGATATGCTTCCAGAGGCATTGATGATGGCGATAGCGCAAGCTCGCATCTCTCTAGGCCGGCGTACTGTCTTCTGTGCCCAAGAGAGAACGACCGGATACCCCGAATGCGCACCAACAATCATGAGGAAAGCCGCGGCGTAGCGAAGCCACACACCGCCTCGTGCGGACGGTGGGTCGAGCAAGAATAGCAAGAAACCCAGCGTTGCCAGCGCGGCCGGCCCGATAACGTGGAAAGAAGCGTTTCGATGCCGGTCAGCGAACAGGCTGTTGGCGATGGTGACGACAACTCCAACGAGATACGGAGGCGCCGTCATCCACAGGGTCGTGTTTCGGGAAAACCCGAGCGTGTTGACGACCGAGGGGAAGAAGTTGTGTACCGATGCGCCGATCGCCAGAAGCAGGAACATCCCCGCGAAAACCCACACCTGCCAGCTGCTGACGGCCATGGCTAGGCCACGCCAGCGGCCATTTTCGCTTTCATCAGCCTGAACACCGTCGGCAATCAATCGCAGTTGAGCAACCGCGAGCTCTTTCTCAGAAAGGTAGCGGGTGTTGGACGGGAAATCCGGAAGGACGTAAAAAGCGACGCAAGCAATGAAGACCGTGCTGACACCGCCTACAACGAACAGCCAGCGCCAGCCCTCCAGGCCCCTTGCTCCGTCGATTGTGTCGTAGATTCCAAAAGCGATAAGGCCAGAGAAGGCGTTCGCCGTCATGGGCGCGGTCAAAAGGATGGCACTGCGTAGCCCAAGCTCGGTCCTTGTGTACCAGGACGAGATGAGGAACAGGCAGCCGACGCAGAAAGGCGCCTCCAGGAGACCCAAGAGGAAGCGCACTGCGTACAACTGTGACGGAGCCTTCACGAATGCCGTGGCCGTGCACACACAGCCCCAAAGGACCATCACGCCGGGGAGATAGATTGAAGGGCGTCCCTTTGCCAGGTAGTAGTTCGAGGGAACCTGTGCCATGACATATGCAATAAAAAGCAGCATCATGGCGAGACCGTACTGGTTTGAGTTCATGTCCAGATCTTGCTGCAAGCCCATGACTCGTGCATTCCCGAGACTGCTCTGCAGGCATATGGCAATTAGCTTCCGGAGGATAAAGACCCAGGAACGGACGAGGTCACCTACCCGGTCGAAGGAATTCAGAGCAAACATGATCCAGGCCATGAATACGAGGCAAACATCGAGTAGCCTCTTGATCCTCTTCGATATGGCTAGTATCTCCTTTCCGTCTGTGTCTTGAAGCTGCCGGCGAATAACATCGTTGACTCTTCCATTGTCGTGGAGAAGGGCGAGGAGACTCTCAGGGGATATGCCCTTTTCGGAAGAGACATTCTGGAGCTTCCTGCCCTTGCTGGAGAGGTGGCGGTATAGATCCACGAAGGGGCCGGCGATTTTCTCGGCCATTTTGGAGGTATGGAAGCCTCGACAAAACGACGGTGTCAGGCGCGAGGAAATGCCCCTTTAATGAGATCGGTCATATATGGCCAAGAGACAACTTCGAGTCTCTGATGCTGAAGGCCCTCCAGGTGTCGTCATGCAGTCCACTTATTCGGCCACGGCATGCATGGATGTGCAGCACGTCGCAAACAAGAAGCCGACAGCATCTGTTTCACGCACATCATCCTATAGTGGGTACAGCCCTGACGTTCTCAGCCTTGGCTGCGTTGTCCGTTCCGGGCGCCTATTGGGAGGGCCGAGTATAGCCATGGCCAGATCTTGGATGGCTGGGGTTTGGCATTGGGCCGCGCAATTGTTTGATTCTGGTAGAGTAGAACATCACCTAAACTTTGCCGTCGTGATGCTCTGAATTGCCCACATGCCCCATCTGTTTGTCCACGATATGTACCAGAATGTCCAACATTGATCACGCCATCGGGATGGGCCAGCAGGAGGCCGTCATTCTAGACAGACGTGGACGATAAGATGCCCAACAGAGTTGTCCAGTCATTCCGACGTATGGCCGTTGTTGTTTTCAACTGGTCCCAGTGCAAGGTAGAAGGAGATCAACCAAGGCAACCTGAACTCAGATTTCTTTGCCCCCCCGCGTACTGGGCTGGATGTGGGAGAGCACACCTTGGTGAGAGGTTGACGCCCTTGGCTCCAAAGGGAGTATCGCCGCGCAGGCCAGGCAGACCTGCCGTTGACATGGCCCAACAGTGGGTGGAGATGGCGTTCGAGGTCCGTTCGAACCCAAGCAGCCATTGAGCAGAGAGCTCTTGCGTTATAAAAAGTGAAAGCGGTGCGGCGAAGGTAACAAGCTCGCCGCTTTTACCTTGCCATGTGTGTGTCTTACTTCCCACAGCATCTTCCATTGTTTTGGTATGCTCGATGCGCATCTGAGCAAGAATTATGCAGTTCCTACAGCTCTGTTGGTCGGCCTTCAAGATTGTCAGTCACACAGAGCCAAAAGCCCTGACCAGAACAACTACAGCAGATGAGGCTTGGGCCGTGGCTCTGAGCAACAACTCGATATCCTACACCGACCACCGGACAGAGAAGGTGGCGCAATGAGTAGGAGGTGCTCTCAGGCATTCTGACCGTGATTGAATGTCGCTTCAATGGCTGTGCCACCGATACTTTTGGTGCTCCAATTAGCTTGTTCTCAGTCGACGTCGTCTCCTTCAAAGGGTGCCACCAGGGTAAGGATAAACATTCTCGAGCAACATATGTTAACAGCTTAACCGATCAGAAGAGCAGGCCACTGTAGTTTCAGATACTACGAGGACTATGGCGTTCGAGTAGTAGTTGCGTGTCAGATCTCATAACATTTCCTAGAGCAGCGAGTCCAACTGCGGAGAAATTCCGCCTCCAATGCGGAAAGTCAAACGACTTGTTCGACATCAGACAAGAGGATCTGCTGCTTGGAACTGAGTCTACACATCAGTCCTTGACTATCTCACCCAGCGTCTGCTTTCTGCTTGTTTTTCGAAGAGTTCGAGCCCTTCCCACCAGCCTGCTCCACAGATCAAGGCCTTCTTAGCTGCCAATTTGCACTCAAAGCCCTTTCCCCGAGACAGACCAGATCGACTCTCTCACGATGTTCGCCGGACGTAAGTTTGTCTCGTCATAAACACCCAGTCGCTTATAGTCCCCCACATGTCCCTCGCTTGACGGCTCTCATCATGGCTGACGAATCGCATCCTGAACCAGCACAAGACCAGCTCTCCGAGAAAGAGATCCACGAGGGCGAGGCCCAGGCCACCGCGCAGGTGCAGTTCTTCACCGTCGCCTGCATCGCACTCTGGTTCTGTACGTTGCATCCATCATCTATCTACCTCTCCCCCTGAGGCCCCATTCTGGTCCCCTGTACCTCCAAGATCGACCGGTTCGGGATTTTGGTGGGTGGGAACAAGAGACGGCGCTCAGACGGGAAGAGAACAAGAAAATCTAAATTTGTTGAGGAAAACCAACACAAATACTGGTTTGATCAAGCCTGGCTGACGATGAATTCTTCCGGGAACTAGCGCCTCACGTTGTCGATTGGGCGAGCAAACTCTTCTAAAAAGGCCACGCCGATTCCTTCGGCCGATCCCTCACGGGGTGATGTCCCTGCCGAACGACGGGGGCAGGGAACTCGTTGAGCAAGCTCTACGCAAAGGCGCCTCCCCGTATATCAAGATGAGGTTCAAATAGGAGGAAGACCTCTCTGTACACTAGCTTGTACACTATCTGTTCCCAGTAAACAGCAGCTGGGACCTTCGGACTCTCGTTCGAACGGGCATTGTTTTGATAGAGACAACATCTTCTCAAATTCTGGATTCCAAATCATCGTCAACAGTCACTATTCAAGATGTTCGTGCCGCCTCGCCTCGCCTCGCCTCGCCTTTCCATGCACGTCCTGCGACGGGTCCGCGAGCCCCTGTGGCATTGTTTTCTGTTGAACTCTTTTACAAGTTTTTCCCAACCTCCTTAATTTGATTACCTCCGCCGAGGGACATCGATGTCTCTATCTCTGGAAATCTTCTCCCACTCATCAAACTCTTGCTGCACAAGTTCCAATTCTTTCTGCAGATGTCGGAGTTGGATATCGTAGGCCTCCAGTGTCTGCACAGGAGACAAGTCAGTAATTCCATTGTCATTGACAGACTTGTCAAGGTCGCCGATTGGGCCCTGGTCACAGGTACTCACCTTTTTGGCAGCTTTGATCGTCTCTTCGTCCAACGGAGTGTCTTCCCCGTTGGCAGTAGCCGCCGGTGCAAGCTTTTCCATCTCGGCTTTTAGTCTCTTCGCGCGTTCTCGAATTCCTAGCATCCTCGCCCAGACTTCCTGCTCTCGAGCATTCAGAGAGGGATCAAAGACTTCGCCTTGCAGCTTCTCCAGTTTTGTTTTCAATTCCTCTTCAGCGTTGTCCATCACGTAGCCTCGATTGCGCAGGATTTGAACTTTGACTGCGAGCGCCAGTGTCCGCTGAGCTGCCGCGGCTTGTCTTCTCTTGCATTCTTCTAACCTTGTAGCCACGTTTTGGCGGTGCTTGTCCAGCTGGACATCGAGCGATGTGTTTATTTCTTGCAGCATCATGTTGCATCTCTGGACGGCCTCCATTTGTATCTGAGCCTTTCGTCCCAGTTGAAAGAACCCCTGGACTAAGAGGGGCACCCAGTCAGGTCCCGGTCTTTTGGAAACTGCTTCTTCCCACTTGTCCTCATCTTCTCCCGGCCCCGGGCGATATTTCAGCGCGTCTGTTTCGCTCTCGACATGCTGGTACAGGTATGCGCGCAGTGGTGAGGACAGACTGGTGGGGTCCCACTTATTCTTGACAATGTTCATCTGCACGGGTATTGATCTGAAGACATTGAGGCCACGGCCTTCCTCCCAGAGTGACTGAGCGCCGGGTTGTCCTTGTTGTGACTGACCGAACCTCAGTGTCTGGTCTAGAGGGCGCTGTGGTTGCTGCTGCGGCGCCTGCTGTGATTGACCGAAACCAAATGCGCTCTGCTGTTGGGGCTGGGTTGAAGTGCCGAATAAACCGCCCGGCTGTTGCTGAGATTGCGATGCGCCAAAGAGGCCTCCGGTCTGCTGCTGAGGCTGCGTACCGGCCCCGAATAAACCTCCACTCTGTTGTGTCTGCGTCGAAGTGCCGAACAAGCCACCTGTTTGCTGCGGCTGCGGTTTGGGCGCGCCTAAGCTGAAGGTTGGTAGACTGCTCTGTTGTTGCTGCTGCTGCGTCTGCGGCTGGCCAAATAGCGACGTCGAAGCGGCCGGCTGGTTTGAGGAAGGATTGCTGAAAGAGAAGAAGCCGGGTTTCGCAGGCTGCGCCTGATTCGCAGTCGAGGATCCGAAGAGACTCATCGCGTCAGCTGTATTTGTTAGTTGACTAGAAATTCGTTGCGCAGCCGTGAAGGAGCTTAAACCTGCCCCCAGAGCCACTCAATTCATGAACCGAGACGAATAGAGAAAAGGGACATGACAGTGCTGCTTATACAAAGTGCTCAATCTGGGGAAGGTGTCTCTGACGCGCCAAACTCGCAGACGCGAAAAATCACTGCGGAGAAACATTTCTCCTCCACCCACAATGCAAGGGGCTTGGCGTACAATATTCTGGTCGGCTTCATCGAAACACGGGATTGTGATCTGACCAGCGGTCCAACAGAAGTCAGGGACCAGATACCGATATGCCCCGCAGAGAGTGTTTACAGTGTACTCGCACGCGCCCGGAATCTACCAGAATACGACACCATATAGTCTCACAGGGCGCAAAGACGGGGTTTGGGTCCCTTTGCATTGGATATTGACGAGGCTCTTCATCAACGCATTCCCCGAGGCCACGGCCTGATGCATGAACCATGGCTCTCTGTTCCGGTCTCTGTTCCTTCGGAAGACCACCCGCCCGTGTAGCCACCCCGAGCACCTCTTGTCCGTCAAGCACGAGGCCGGCGTAGTGATTCGAGAGCAGTCCAACAGGGCAGATGCCAGCCGTAATGGGGACACAAGCATGGTGACTTCTGCCGCTACAGCCAGGCGCTAACCCCCCTCTCGCCATGCAGCAACACTCGCACCGAGCAAGCACTGCCCTGGAAATTATTCCTACAGCACACACGGCGTCTTCAGCCCCCTCGAGCGAAAACGGGCGACCTTTGCGAGGTGGTAGGGTCGGAATACCTGAATCCGAAGACCCCCGAGCGCATCACACAAACTGAGGGATGAAATCTGATTTCGTGGACACATAAAATCGCCCTGCAACCCGTCATAGCCGGGTCGAGATTGGGCGCTATTCATTTGGGCGAAACGGCCGTGGTGAAACAGCGACCAGAACCCACCAGGGCAACCCGCCTGACGACCAAGCTCTTATGTATCAACATGCTGGCTGGGAGATTTGACCGAAGATGTTCCAAGCTGTGGTTAGGCCCATCATAATATTTCCGCATTCAGACTTTGACGGCAAGCAGCAACCACAGCCGTGGGAAGCTCCACCATGAAAAGGGCAAAGTTGTCAGGGGTCCACAAATGGATTTCAGATCTGCCAATAAACTGAACGCAATTTGAATGCGGCTCGAGCTTGGGGAGGGTTGATGAGTTCATTCTGCATGCAGGGTCTGTCCAGGAACAGGGGGGGAGAGCCACGACCAGTGTCCGATTTCGGATGGGCGACTTTAGTGTTGGCGAGCAGAGGCAACTTGGGTGGCCGAATCCAACATGGATACCTCCATGCTTGGTTCGGCTATATTGATTGGTTGCTAGGCTAATGAAAGTCCTGCTTTATTAGAGAGCCGATGGTGGAGTGAGTAAAGTAAATCAGCCGAGATCTGACTGGCTCTTCAATGGCGCCTGCTGATGACCTTGGTACCGCGGACCATGGTACCCAGAGTAAAAATACCCAGCAAACTTGCCCGTGGCACTGGCTCGCTTCCGATGGAGAGTTTCTTGATGCAACCTGATCAGCCATCTCCCCGTGCATGTTACCAGCTGGCGAATGTCCCCCAGCGTGGGGTGCATCTTCCTCCCATGTAGGTCACGGGTAGTTGTTGGCGGCAGGACGGGGCAACTCTCTGCAATGCTGAAAGGTCTCGGGGAGAAAACCTCGTGACCGCGCTTTCGAGTTCCGCATTGTCAATGGTAACAGGGCGTGTGTGCTTGTTAGGGCAAACAAGTCCCTCCCGATATCCGCCATGTAGGTCAGCAACAGCCCGTGACGATTCCAGTAGGATCTTCTATGCCACAGCGGGAGAAATTTCTTTTTCCCTTGCTTGCAGTGGTGACGAACCGGGCAATGCCGGAAGAGGATTTTTGACAGTCAGGTGTGCCGGTGTATGTAGCACAGTGTGCGCCGGGGTTGTCTTGAGACGTTCGCGGTAAAGGCCGTCGATGGCAGGCAACGCACTTCACGCCTTTCCTCACTGGTTGGCCTGGAATGTAAGCGAAGAGCAGAAGCATATTGGGGAAATCTGATGCGTCTAGACTTTTTGCAGGTGGAGTGCAGCTTAGGGCTATGACACACAGGAACTGGGCGGGCGAGCTTACCTAGGTCTGAGGAACAGGGGCCCCAGTGGCACCAGTCACCGTGCTGGAGACGGCCAGAGGAGGAGGGCGCCGGTCGCGGCCAAAAATTTTTCGAGAGCTTGAGATTCCAAGATGTAATGTGGTGGAAAAGCGAAGCTGGTGATTGGGTGGCGCGGTTCTTATCAGCACATGCATCGTGATGGAGAGGTTGGCTGGATAACGCCATGGCACCTATCGGATGCCCCAGAACAAGCTGCCCATGATGCACAACTGCAGCTGCCTTCCGAGCCCCCCACTAACAATCTTTGGGGCGGCCTCCCCACCTTGAAACTGGTGCTCCCAGCTTATTCTGGCACTGCTTGCTGCATGTTGTTGCTGCTGCACACTCGGGCTCGAGGTGATTTTTTTTTTCTGCCAGAACAATCACGGCTTGCCAGACCACGGTGCTCGACCTAGTCCGTCTAGCGAAGGTGGCCCCCCAATTGCCGACATCACCACATGCTGGATCAGCCTGCCCGCAGTCACCCTACACGTCGTCAATACTGCCAGTGGCCAATTCACCCTCGCAGACTGACGCTAACTGACGAGAGCAGAAAGTTCTGCACCTTCGAAAACCAACCCCACACCTTTGCTTGCTGGACTGGCATTGCCTGACCCAAAATTCTTCTTTTCTTCCTCTCGTCCACCCTCCTACCCGTTTGTCCTCCTGTTTTCTCTGCCTCCAGCTCGACACGGCCTTGACTTGACAGTCCTCTTCCGCACACACTTGCAGGTGCTGGAGCTCACCCTACAGAGAGACAGCCTCCTTGCTGCCAGCCAACAGACCAACCCACAGCCCGCCCTGGTGCGGCGTCTCCCTCCATCAGAACAGACCCCAAAGCAACCGTCGACCCGACAGCACTTGTTGCCCGTCCTTCCTCCTTAGACTTTCCTTGAAACCAACTGTCGCTAGTCGACCATAGGATGGGCTCAGTAGCCGAGGAACGAAGAAAGCAAGAGATCGATACATCAGAGGTCCAGGAAGAGTACACTCCATACCGGCCCGACAAGGGCTATGGCTGGGGTGAGGCTTTGCCCGAGAAGCAAGGCCTGTACGACCCTAGCCTCGAGAAGGATGCCTGTGGTGTAGGCTTTGCTGCGTAAGAATGCCCCCGCGGAAGAAGCGCTGTTCGGAAGATCTGGGTTGCTGACAAACATTCTAGCAATATCAAGGGCAAAGCAAGCCACAAAATCATCAGCGATGGTAGGTCCAAATTCCCAGGCTGCCACCGAGGGACATGACTGACGTCTGGCAGCGCGGAATCTCCTGTGCAACATGACCCATCGGGGTGCCGTGGGTTCAGATGCACGAGATGGCGATGGTGCCGGGGTCATGACCTCCATCCCCCACAAATTCTTCGTCAAGAACTTTGCCCGCGAGGTCGGGGTCGAATTACCTCCTCTCGGCCAATATGCAGCAGGAAACCTCTTCTTCAAGCCCGACACTGAGATGCTGAAACATGCCACCCTCAGCTTCGAGGAGGCCGCACAGTCACTAGGCTTGCGCACCCTGGGCTGGCGGGAGGTCCCTCGGGACTCTACCCTGCTTGGTCCCGCTGCATTGTCGCGCGAGCCCATCATCCTGCAGCCGTTCGTCGTCCTAGCGTCAGCGTATGGCACAGGCAACAAACCTGAAGTCACCGATCCCGAGCAGTTTGATGACATTGAGTTCGAACGGAGGCTGTACATCCTCAGAAAGACCGTCTCGCACGATCCGCGGTGGAAACCGTGGTTCTATGTCTGTTCTCTGAGCAACAGAAACATCGTCTACAAGGGGCAGTTGGCTCCGGTTCAAGTATACCAATACTTCCACGACCTCGTCTCGGTTGACTATGAAGGCCACTTTGCTCTGGTTCACTCTCGTTTCTCCACCAATACATTTCCCTCGTGGGATCGATCACAGCCGCTCCGATGGCTGGCCCACAATGGCGAGATCAACACGCTCAGAGGCAACAAGAATTGGATGAGAGCGCGCGAGGGAGTCTTGAAGTCTGATTTGTTCGGTGAGGAGCTCGAGAAACTCTTCCCTATCGTCGAGGACGGAGGCTCTGATTCCGCTGCTTTTGACAATGTCTTGGAGCTCTTGGTAATGAACAGAGTGCTTTCTCTGCCCGAAGCCGTCATGATGATGGTTCCCGAGGCATGGCAAGGTAATCCGGCCGTCGATCCCGCGAAAGCGGCATTCTACGAATACGCTGCTTGCTTAATGGAACCCTGGGATGGCCCTGCTCTATTTACGTTCTCGGATGGCAGGTACTGTGGTGCCAACTTGGATCGAAATGGCCTGAGACCATGTCGATACTACGTGACGGACGACGACAGGATTATCTGCGCTTCAGAAGTTGGCACAATTGCCATCGAACCAGAGCGAGTGGTCATCAAGGGCCGCTTGCAGCCAGGTAAAATGCTGTTGGTCGATACCCAGGCCGGCCGGATCATTGACGATGCTGAACTCAAAGCCACTGTTGCCAATAGACAACCTTTCCAGCAGTGGCTGAACAAGAGCTTGATGAAGATGCCTCAGGTATATGAGGCGATTTCTAAGGAGCTCGACTTGAGTTATAAGCTCACAGAGTCGACCATCCAGGAAGATCCTAGGCTTCGGGCCTTTGGCTACTCGTTCGAGCAAGTCAGTTTGCTGCTTGGCCCCATGGCCGCCGATTCCAAGGAAGCGCTCGGCTCCATGGGCAATGATGCGCCGCTCGCATGCCTCGCGCAGCAACCTCGACTCTTGTATGAGTACTTCAGACAACTCTTCGCGCAGGTGACCAATCCTCCGATAGATCCAATTCGGGAAGCAATCGTCATGTCTCTTGAGTGTTACGTGGGGCCTCAGGGCAATCTCCTGGAGATGGATGAATCTCAGTGTGGTCGTCTTTTGCTCCCCTCGCCAATACTCGAGACCGAGACGTTCAACGCCATTAAGAACATTGATCGGTACAACCCAGATTGGACTGTGAGAAC